GCGGGCGGAAAACTAGTTCATATATAAGTATTAAAAACGCTCAACGAACGAAGTCAGGCGGAAAAAATTGTTAAAAATCTTTTGATATATGACCAATGTTTTTTATTTTAAAAACTTGTTAGTATATATGTATTATCACAGAGCTACAAGGTTACAGAGGCGATGACCGGGCGAGTTTCTAATTCGCGATATAATTAATACAAAAAAACTATAATATCCCGCGGTTATGTTCGTCCTGTCCTTTCTAAACGTTTCAAATCCTCTCATATGTATCATCAAACTCATCTATCATTATATAAAAGTTTCACTGAATATAATTCAGCCGTTACGAAGATTTTTGATCAAACAGACGGACATATATATGTAGAATTTTTCATGTACATATGTATTGCTATAAACAAGTTTTGCTTGTAAACAAACGCTTACGAAAACCAAGTTATTTTTGGAACAAACGATTAATAATATTTCTATTATATATGCAAAAGATTTATATGGATATTTGTTATGGGTTGGTTAAATTAAAATTTCGTTCGATCCTGGCCCTGGCAAGTACCAATGTGATTTTTCTGAGTCATATGTACTTTATAAGAGTATTTAGACATCACTGATTAATGCATTCCAAAGAGGGTTGATGTCAGGCAGGCGGCCGGTCGTAAAAACAATTAGACAAAACTATTCACAACATGTAAGGCAGACCCTGGCTAAAGCTGGGAAATTTCCAGGTAGAAGAAGAGCTAAGAACACTGTTCACGGATGTACCCTTCACACAAAAACAAGCGCATTAAAATCGGCTCATCCGTTTAGGAGCTACGTTGCTTCAGACAGACACACACACACGTCATACTAATAACACCCCGTCATTTTGCGTCGGAATTTAAAAAGAAATAAATTTAAATATCAAACAGACAAAGTCGCAAACAAAAACTTGGTTATCACTGATCGTAGGAACGAATAATTTCATATTTTATGAAAACTATTAAACACGATGAGTTTTATCAAAATCGATACAAATATAAATAAATAACTTCAGATTTCATTACTAACAAAAAACTAAGGGCTTTAGAAATTACTTTTAAAACACTTACACTTGGTAGAGGCATCAAAGTTTTAGAGAATATATACTAGCTTTCCACCCGCAGCTTCGCCCGCGTGGAGTTCGGTTATATCGCATTTCTAAGAGAAACTCCCAAAAGTCTGGCATAAAAACTATCCTATGTTCTTTGTCAAGGTCAACTCTCTCTGTACCAAATTTCATTAAAATCAGTTCAGTGGTTTAGGCGTGAAAGCTTAACAGACAGAGTTACTTTCGCATTTATAATATTAGTAGGGATATGTGCATTTTTTTTCTTCTTCTTCTTCTACCTGGCAATTTCTCAGCTTTAGCCAGGGTCTGCCTTACATGTGCATCTTTTTTTATAATCGGTTAATATATATTTATCAAAACAAACAGAGACAAAGGACTATATTACAAGGACCAGACGTCTAGCTAAGGTCATTGACTCGACTAAAGCAATACATGAGTCTGGTATTAGAGAAAGAAAATGCGAGTTTCCTTACTTATGAGGTTGTAGTTTGGAAAATCGATATATATATTGGAAAAATAAAATCAGAGTCTAGAGAAAATGGAAATAAATAGATAAATATACATGTAGTTAAATTTCATAACTGAAAATCTATGTCTTACCTTCTAATATTTACTTGTTTAAATGAAAAGTATAGAATTTATAATTATATACATATACATATAATATATATTATAAATTATCAGTTTTTCTTCTATAATTAACAGTTTTACACCATTAAATATTATACTAAGTATGAAAGAATGTACAATAAGTATATAAAAAATGGAATGTTTTAGAAAGGTATTCTTTCTACTTATTTTTTCTGTTATCTGTAAAGGCTGGACAGATTTTGATGTGATGTTCACTATCAGCTAGGTGATGTCATAAGAAATATTAAGGATTTTAACCGACTTAAAATAGGAGGAAGTTTTCAAAACCAGTATATGTTTATTATTACTTCTCCAATGAATGGTGAATTTTGAAAATGATATTTGCAATTAAAAGACTATTTTCCTGAGGAAGATTTTGTCATCATCATCATCCTATCAGAGCCCACTACTGAGCCTCTTCTCACATGGAGAAGGTTAGAGCATTAATCACCACGCTCACTCAAGACGGGTTTGTGATTTCAAACTTATAATTTGAATATAGTCCATTTTTTCCTTCATCAGTCAGTGGTGTCTAAATACTCTTATAAAGTACATATGACTCGGAACATCACATTGGTACTTGCCCGAACCAGGATCGAACCCACGCTCTCATGCTACAGGCCACTAGGCCACCACTGACTTATACATATATTACTAAAGCCCAAATTAAAGCAGCCAAAGTCGAAAGCAAAAACTAGTATATATAATCTGATATAAAGACTCAAGTATGGCAGGATGCTTAGTAACAAGGACCCCAGCGATGATGATGATTGGCTCAACAAGATAATTTGTGAGGCAAAGACCCGACTATATATAGGACAAATGAATTGAAGTAATAATAAAGTTGGCGAATTGGTTATTTTTGGATAGACTTAATGGCTTATTGGGATATACAGGGTGACTGGTGAATTACTATCGATACTTGAGGACGTGATATTTGACGATCATATATGACAAAATAAAAATTAACTATTTTTTTTTACATAATTCGAATGAGAATCATGTACCGAGTATTCTCCTTAAATATTGATAGTAATTCACCAGTCACCCTGTATATTGGGTCATAATGGGCCAAATTGGCAAGTAATTTGTTAGAAGTATGAAAGTAATATGAATAATTTTTATGAAGACTTCTTATTGGCTGATTGTTATATCCCTACTAATATTATAAATGCGAAAGTAGCTCTGTCTGTCTGTTAAGCTTTCACGCCTAAACCACTGAACTGATTTTAATGACATTTGGTACAGACATAGAGTTGACCTTGTGAAAGAACATAGGATAGTTTTTATCCCAGACTTTTGAAAGGTTCTCTTGGGAATGTGATATAACCGATCGCCACGCGGGCGAAGCTGCGGGCGGAAAGCTAGTATATATAATAAATAATTTCGTTATGATAAGATAGGAAAATTCTTGATAATTTAAATCAGGAAGTATTTTGTATATATTGAACTGATAAGTTTTACATTGTAACACTCCTTTGTTAAATATTATAATTAGATTTTGACTGATTTTGTCTGTTTGGTGTTTAAAAATTGATTAAAAGAGAGATTTATATGTCTTTTTCTTTTATTTTAGCTATATTATTGTACAGTTTTATCAAAGTCCATGCAATAGTTTTGTGTGAAACAGCTACAAAGACCCATACATTATTAATTAGATTTCAATTACATATATCTATGTTTAAAAATAATTCATTGCCACTCAATAAATATTAATTAAATATACATATACACTAAAATCACTAATAAATAAAAATAATTATAATTTTTAATCTTTAAAATATGTATCGATAGAATGCAGTATTAAACATTAGACAATTAACAAATATATTATATAAATAAAAAAACTGCAAAAATTATTTAAATTAGTTATAAAAGAAAAAAAATTAACTGTCAGTCTGTTACTTTACTAAAGAATTGTGACAACATACTGAATAATATATATAAAATTGTATTTTTTTTGCTAAAGTAGAATAACAGATTTTATAAATGTACATATATTACAATAATTTAAAGTTCTGTGTTTGTTTTAATTAAATCTCTAAAAAATCTGGACCGAATTTTATTGCACTTTCACTGGCAGAAGCCGATTTGATATATAAAAAATATTTTTTTATTAATTTTAATTATTCAGCGCGTACAAAGTCGGGGGCGTAGGTAGTTAATATCAACTTCATATAAGTACTAGTAAATAACTACGTAGGAGATATTATAATATGAATTTGTAACAATACGATTATTAAACACTTTTGAGTATAAAACGTATTGTTTTTAAGTTTGTTTTGACTGCGTGTCGTGATTCCGCTGACCTCGCAGTTCAACGCATGTTTGATGTGGCTCCCAAGGACAAACAGTCCATATGTTGTGAAAATACTAAATAACTGCGCAGTTTACAACGAAAACATGTTTTACAACTATCTAAGACGGTATTTACGTGCAAATACGTGTTGTTTTTGTTGTTAATGATGACGAAAGCGTCGTTTCAGGATACAAAGGATAATGTTTATTTATTTACAATAAGTAACTTACCACTCAAATCTTCGAGAGTATTTAGCTTCCGAGCAGCCATCCTCTTGATCACAACACTCGATTATTAATAACTTTATCGTTAATTTCACTTTTTTTTATGTTTACAAAACGTATTGCGTCGGATTTGTAACTTAGTAGAAATCCGACGAGCGACTTCGTCCAATCTTCTTTGTTTAGTGTTTTGATTCGGGTTGACAGAAAAGGCGCGCATACATTTCTCTTCGAGGATGTCTGACGATATTTCTCAACCAATAGGAAGAGAGTATGTAACTGACTGTGATATCATTGGTCAAGATTTTGTAAACAAAAAAAATATGTTGCCACTCTCTAATAAGGTATTCAAGGACAATGGATTAATAATAATATGAATAGAAAGATACATGAAACTATCGTCAGTAACTGAGTTATGTCATTTCTACTTTATTTTGATATAAATTTATTTCCAAAATAATATATTTCTTATGTTCTTTATTCTAATTTAATTAATAACAGTATTGAATATAATAAAATTAAAATGAAATAATTACGAATTCAGTGAAAAATTTTAGTGAATAAAAGGCATCGATATTTCAATTCAAAGTAAAGGTAAATATGTTGTTTCAAAAGCGTAATTCTAATGGCAATAATTTAAAGTTAATGACATTTCGTCAAGATTAAATTATTTGTGACATTTGTCTTTACAGTTTTTAGAATTTCTCTATATTAGTAATGTCGTTCGTTTGTAAACTAAAATAATCTAGTGTATAATTATTGAAAAATGAATGTAAATAATATCGCAGAAGATCGTTTAGCTCCTGCTCTAGATGTTATTGAAAGTCCACGGTAAGCCGTGTTATTTTTGATAGAAAAAAAAATACCTGTTGCTGACAGCTGATTTTTAGCGGCAAAGTTAAAAAGGCGCCAAATGCATCTAACGTGTCACAGCGTTTTAGTTCCCTAAATAATAGTCTAAAACGAAAAAAAACGTGTTTTTATAGGAAAAGAATGCGCGTGGATAATTCCTCCCGCAAAAGCTGGAGTTTGATGGACAGAAGAACTGATTCTGATGTAAGTAATTGTTAAAATTGATAATATATTGCCACTGATGCCTTAACCCCATTTTTGGAAAGCACTTACGAAATATATTAATTTTGGAACTTATAGGTGATTATAAACTATATAATAGCTTTCATCATCACTTTTATATATATTACATCGATTATTTTAAGAATTTATATCGAAATTATACACGTTACTGCAGAAATGTAAAATTGATAAGTACTTTTAATTCGATCTATTTACAACAATTCCTCTCATCTTCCTTCTCAATACACCATTTAGTTTCGTTAACTACTTGAATATTGTATATATTATAAATATAGTGCATATATTTAAAGTTTTTATAAATTATAAACATAGTGCATATATGTAAAGTTTTTAGTTGCTACTAAGTACTAAATCGTAATTCTATCGTCAGGTACTCAATGAAATGGGTGTGAGTTTATTGGATCCGGAGGAAGAGCACGCAGAGCATAACGTGGTTAGTATTATTAATACATTTCTATAATTATTAGACTTCTATTAGTAATTTGAAGAAATATTCTGTTTATCGCTCAGGTGGTATGAAAACTAACTAAAATCAGAATATTATGAGAAATATCTATCTTTATATATATACCTGTTTGTATATATGTCATACAAAAACTTCCAAATGTATATGAATGATTATAATATTCTATCTTATTATCTATTTTATTCGAAAGATATCCAAAATTGATCAACTCCACAGTAAATTATTGATAACTAAGTATATTTATTGACTTGAATAATATAAATCTTATGTATGAAGGATGTCATTTGTCACATAGTCACAATTATAAAATTTTGTTAAAACTAATATTTTTAGATTAACTATGCGGTTTTCATAATTTTAACGACATATTCCCAATATTTTGGTAATTTTGTGGAATACATTATCATATAAAGAAGAGGTGTGAATGTCTGTTGTTAGGTCTCGTTATTTGTCATCTACCCAGAACGTTGGGAGTATGTAGTTTAAAATAATTAAAAATGTGTAATATATTTAAAAATATTTCTTTTATTTTAATCAATATTTGTCAGTCTTACATGCCATTACAGTATTTAATGACTTTGGCAAGAATTTCTTCAAATATGTAATTTTTAAGCTAATATTAGCAATGTTAGTAATTTATAATTATTTTATTATGAATGAGGGTTATTGTTACATATAAAAAGTTAAATAAGGAAGAAATATATTGAATTTTGCTGCAAAATATACATATCCCAGTAAGTTATAAAATTATATATATATTGATATTAATTTTAAACAAATGTTTAACCAAACTAAGAACATTTCTTCATAATGAATAAATTTTTGGAGACATTGCATTTTAAATTGAGGTTGCAAATGCGATTATATCTCAATGCTGACATAGGATTTTACACTTAAATATATATGTATGGAAAATTTGTCATTTTATATAACAATTATATTATTTTACGACAGTCCAAAATTTTGTAATTAGTTCTTAAATGAAATAGTTCTTATTTATTCAAACTTATTATAGATACATACTATGATAATATTAATTTTATTTTCTTACAATAAATCAAAGAATAGAAACGAATATTTTCCTTGATATATCAAAATCTTAGATTCTTCTACAAAAAAAGCCCTTCCTTCCTTAATTTCATTACTTGTATTATAATTTAAATTCAAATATAAAATATTAAGAATTCCATGACCCCTATAGGAGTCGATTAACTCTTAAACTCAACCAACCCGTCTTAAGCGAGCGTGATTAATGCTCTAACCTTCTCCATGTGAGAAGAGGCTCAGCAGTGGGCTCTGATAGGCTGATGATGATAGAAGTAGAAATAATATTTTAGTGACAGTTATTATTTTTGAGAAGAACTTAAAAGAAATCAACTTAACTATATCAATAGAATCTCATTATTATTATCTATTCTAATAGTTTATTAAAAATATATATTGTGTTATTTAAATATTTAGCGAAGATGTTCTCATTTTCAGGACTACTTTTGAATAACACTTCAAAACTATATAAAATTACTATTATATTTCTATCAATAAGAATGCTCTTTAAATAATTACAAACTATAAAATCAAGAATGATGATATATTTATTATTGATTAAGAACAGAGATAGTTATAAGTTAAGACAGAAAAATTATTTATTTTATAATGATTGTAGTCACATTTAAATATATTAACTTATCAAATTTCAGCAGAAATCATTGAAAAGGAAACACGATATAGAGAATGTTAATCCTAATGTAAATAGTGTGAACCGAGGAAGATTCAGTCCGAGGTCACCGATTAAAATGAGCCCTGGACCTTCTAAAATATTGATCAGGAGTCCAAGAAGCTGTGATAAGGGTGAGTTCACATTAATAATTACATAACTAGTAATAATTCTTCCTGCCAATTTTCCAGATTTAGCCAGAATCTGCCCAATAACTATCAAAAATTACTATGTGATATATGATTGGTGGTCGAGGTTAAAGGCCAGCCTCTAGCATGATGGGTTCGATCCTGTCAAGTACCAATGTGATGTTCCGAGTCATATATACTTTATAAGAGTATTTAGACATCACTGACTGATGAAGGAAAATATGAGGAAACATGGACTTAATCATAAGTTTGAAATCGTGTGTCTAAATACTCTTATAAAGTACATGAGAGGGTAAGAGCATTAATCACCACGCTCGCTCAACAATGGTTGGTGATTTCAAACTTATAATTTGATAAGTACAACTCCATGTTTCCTCACGATGTTTTCCTTCATCAGTCAGTGATGTCGAAATACTCTTATAAAGTACATATGACTCGGAACATCACATTGGTACTTGCCAGGATCGAACCCGCGCTCATGCTAGAGGCGGGCCTTTAACCACTAGACTACCATTCACAAAGCTATTAAGTGTGACCACAAAATTAAAACTACCTTCAAGTGACCAATAAATTCATTTTCCAGTTAAATCAGATCTTGATTCATCACTGCCACTCACATATGTAAACGATGAAGAAACGCCTCTAGGCCAATCAGTGGCTGTCTCTTGTAAACATGCAGCCAAACCTCACAATAACACCAGCAAGAAGGAAAGCTATTTCGATTTGGGTAAGTGTAACGAGCGAAACGAACGAAACCGTATAACTTTCTTAGTAACGTTAATTATATTCAATAACAGGTGGTAAGGCTATCATTGTAAAATGTAGATGCTCCATTTCCCTGGACTATACTAATATATGAGTATAGCGTTCAAAATGCCTCTGTTGCTAAATTTAAAAAAATTCTTAAGGAACGCTTGTGTGCAAAAGGTTACTATACAATTAATGAGTTTATGATCGATAGCACACCTTGGGAATGAAACGATCGCCTCCTGGCTATTTCATCTCATATTAAATTGTTTATATAATATATGAGACAAATATTTAAAAACCGCTGAGTTTCTTTCGCTGGTTCTTCTCAGGTCAGGGTATTTTGTTTTCCGAACCGGTGGTAGTGTCTCAAATGACCATCAATAAGAAAGTGTAATGCTTCTATATTGAATAAAGTTATTTGAGTTTGAGTTTGAGTATAGTATCCAGTTAAAGATTACTTTAAAATTTTTGTCTATAAGTATTTTGATCTATGCATGAATGTGAATGCGTTACGAAAAGTGTGATCGGGTGAGGTGATCGAAATTGAGAGGGAGATATAAGTTAGTCAAGATAGATAGAGTGTTACGGTTCGTATGTACTGTTGGGACAAGGAAGAGAGAGAGAGAGAGACATTTTTTTTCTCGCTTCCTTTCACATATATACAGGGTGACTGGTGAATTACTATCAATATTTAAGGAGAATATTCGGTACATGATTCTCATTCGAATTATGTAAAAAAAATAGGTACTTAATTTTTGACCAAATTTCCGTATAAATAAATAAAGCGTGGACACGTTCCAAGTGTGGACGCGTGCGGCGGCGTGCTGATACAACACTACGCCGCCGCACGCGTGTGTGTGTGTGTGTATACCTAATCTGTAGGGTGTTCACACGATGCGTAATTAATTACATAACTTTTGGTTAACTTAGAAGTTTATTAATATTTATGTTATATAAATTTTTATTTCGTCATATATGATCGTCAAATATCACGTCCTCAAGTATCGATTGTAATTCACCAGTCACCCTGTATATACATATATATATCGTATGTTCCAGCCCCCCCCGTCGCCAGCCCCCCCGCGCACGGAGGTGACTCCTTCCTCTCTTTATCAGACGAGGTGGTGCTATCAGTGATGCGCTGGCTGCCCAAGAGGACGCTCGCTCACTGTATGCTGGTCTGCAAACGGTTAGACATATATACTAGCTGCGCCACGCGGTGTTACCCTCGGATTTCCGTAGCCTATGTTATTCCTGGACGTCAGCTTCCTGTATACAAAATCTTATCAAAATCGGTTCAGCCGTTTGAGCGTGAAGAAGTAACTAACATACACACACAAAAAACTTTCGCAATTATAATATTAGCAGGATATTGTTAGTGTATGTATATATGTATGTTTTGTTATAGTTACTGTTAAAAACTATTTTATGGATTTTAATGATAATACATTATGCCTCATATGTAATAACATAGTATATAATGTATTTTTCATAATATATGTATGAAGTAGCGACAGACACGATAGATAGCGCTGACTATTGGTTCATATACAGGGTGACTGGTGAATTACTATCAATATTTAAGGAGAATACTCGGTACATGATTCTCATTCGAATTATGTAAAAAAAATAGGCACTTAATTTTTGACAAAATTTCCGTATAAATAAATAAAGTGTTGACACGTTCCAAGTGTTCCAAGTGTGGAAGCGTGCGGCGGCGTGCTGATACAACAATACGCCGCCGCCGCGTCTGTGTGAGTGTGTAGTGTATACCTAATCTGTAGGGTGCTCACACGATGCGTAATTAATAACATAACTTTTGGTTAACTTTACTTAGAAGTTTATTAATATTTATGTTATATTAATTTTTATTTTGTCATATATGATCGTCAAATATCACGTCCTCAAATATCGATAGTAATTCACCAGTCACCCTGTATATATTATAACATATTACTTTGAAGGGTGGAAAATGGACAAAAAAGAGATATTCTTTTTGTACAATTGGGTGTCAAGTAATCGAAATTGTCAATTAATTTAATTAAATGAATCATGTTTACTTTTATTTGTATCTTTGTTCCGCTAAATAATTCGTGCATGATGTGTTCTCCTGTAAATAATTGTGACACTTAGTTATAAGATTTATTCATTAAAAATTGTATTTATTTAGTGTACACATTGTTGGAGAAAGAAAGAAATAAATAAATGTCTAGTAAAATGTAAAAAAAATATGTTGCATGCTCCTATATATGTTTGTTACAGATACAGTAGGACCTCGATTATCCGGACTAATTGTTGTCGGTAGGCATCCGGATAATTGAAAGTCCGGATAATCCAACATATGAAGAAAAACGGGCTTTTTGCATATGTACATATGTAGTCTGTACCATACATATGTAATGTTAGGTGTTTATTTAAAACAACAAATACATATGAGCGAGAATCAACGTTTATTAAGAAATTGTACATAATGTACTTATGTATAAGTGTTATAAGTGGCGTGGCGTTATGCAAGTTCTGACCTGTTAATCTATACTAATATTATAAAGCTGAAGAGTTTGTTTGTTTGTTTGTTTGAAAGCGCTAATCTCCGAAACTACTGGTTCGAATTGAATAATTCTTTTTGTGTTGGATAGTCCAGTTATCGAGGAAGGCTGTAGGCTATATAAAATCACGCTACAACCAATAGGAGCAAAGATATAGTGGTAAATGTATAAAAAACGGGAGAAATTATTTCATCTTTGAAGCCCTCCGTTGCGTGCGCCGCGAAAACGGTTCAAGATACACAAAAAATATGTATTGAAGAATAATAGCTCTTTTAATGATCTAAAAAACAGTCCGCGACAGTATATGTCTATCTTTTAAGATTAACTCACAAAAACCGGTTTTATCGTAACTAATTTGGTCGAGATAATTTATTTAATTTGTATCAACATAATAATATTAATCTTTATTCAAATAAACAAATAAATATGTTATTGGTTAAGAGTACTTCATTGTGAATAAAAAAAAATAGGTTTTCTCTTGAAAATTCTACGGGAACTCGACCATTCCGAAAACCTCGCAAGAACGGGAACGTATGTGGGAAGAACCAAAAATCTGCCGGAAGTCACTATTCCACGCGGACGAAGTCGCCTCAAAAGCTAGTGTTAGATTAAACTCGTCGCGATTGGCAGTCCGGATAATCGCGAATTCGGATAACCGAGGTCCGGATAATCGAGGTCCTACTGTACATATAAAAGTTCTATGACTGTTAACACCACAGATTATATTAATATAATTAATATTTAATTAACATCTCAAGATGGCGTCGTATAGCGTCCGATGAGACCCTGTGGACCCGTCTGGACCTCGGGAACAAGACCCTCGCTGCGGGGGCCTTGGGGAAAGTTGTTAATAGGACACCTATAGTACTACGGCTTGCGGGGAGCGAGGTAATATAACATATATATACTATACTAGTAGACCCGGCAAACTTCGTATCGCCCTATAATCATTAAATATTTGTTACGTTTATTTATTTATATTTTTGGAGTTTACCTATTAAAGCCATAAATCTCCGTGTTTTGAAGTGCGACAGAATGATTGATATATTAGTTAGTTGAAAAATCTAATGTCAAAAAAACGTTTGTATCAACAATTACTAATAAATTAAAAATTAATTAAAAAAACATTGTCCAGCGGACAAAATTGTGAATCTAAACAATTCCCAGATCCCCTTGAACACACACAAAAAATTTCATCAAAATCGGTCCAGTCGTTTGAGAGAAGTTCAGTGACATACACACTCACAGAAGAATTATATATATATATAAAGATATATATTATATATATGTGTTTCAGATAGGTGAATGGCACCCCGATTCTCCACCAGTACAAACAAGAATTCAGTATCTGGACTTGAGCATGTGCACCATAGACTATAGAACTCTTGAGAGTTTGCTCAGTAGATGCTCAGGACTCAAGAAATTGAGTCTGGAGAATGTTAAACTGAGCGAATATAGCCAGGAGCTGATTGGTAAGTTATATATATAAAGAGAGACTAAAATGAGAATATTAGTACAAAAATGCCTATTTTTTCTATTTTTATAATAGTTAAAAGTAATTATAGTAATTGTAAAATAAATGTTACTCTTCAAAGTAATAGTTTCTTTATATATGATTATATTTAAATATATACTATACTATTTTTTATCTGCCATATCTTATAGATTTTACAATTATACTGTTCCTATAGGAACTTACTGAATCTTAGCATAAATCATAACTTATGTCTTATTTCTTATATCCAAACTACATTATAGGGAAGTTTCAATGTAATTTTACCGGGTCAGCTAGTTTATATATATATATATATATTTTGTGTTTCAGGTAAATGCAGTGGTCTTGAAACTTTAAACCTCGCTATGGCACAAGGAATCACAGCTACAGGCCTTACACACATACTAGACGGATGTCCCGGGTTTGTATATGTATTATATAGAATTATATATGTATGTATGTCTGTGTGTAGAAATCACAGAAACGAAATTTGTTGAATGATGAAATATATTATAAAGGAACACAGTGATTATATATTTACATATATTTAGAAGTCGGTGGTGGTCTAGTGGTTAAAAAGGTCCGCCTCACATGCATGAGGGCTCGGGTTCGATCCTGGCAATTACCAGTGTGATGTTCCGAGTCATATGTACTGTCTAAGCCAAAATAGCCAGAACTATTGACAACATGTAAGGCAGACCCTGGTTTAAGAGGGGAAATTGCCTGGAAGAAGAAGTAGATATATATATATATAATAGTAATTAAAAATTGTTATAACGTTTTATTTTATGATTATATTACAATACAATATACATATATACTAGCTTTTGCCCGCGACTTAAAAACGTCAATTAGAAATCTATAGATGACGAAGCAAACTGTTTCTATTTAGAGACAGTAAATAAACAGATTTTATAGTTTATTCGCATATTATTATTTGTTTGATTGAAGGAATTCAAAAGTATCCTATGTCCTTTCTATGTTCTAATCTATCTCTCCACCAATGTTCATCCGTACCCGTACAGTCGTTAGAGTTATATATAGTGTAACTAACACGACTTTCTGTATACCTAATCTGTAGGGTGTTCATACGATGCGTAATTAATTACATAACTTTTGGTTAACTTTACTTAGAAATTTATTAATATTTATGTTATATTAATTTTTATTTCGTCATATATGATCGTCAAATATCACGTCCTCAAATATCGATAGTAATTCACCAGTCACCCTGTATATATATATATTGTCTAAGATGAGACATAGCAAATATAAATAATAATAGCTCGCCTTATTATCTGTACATATTATTTCTACACATAATTATATGGGTATACAAAAACAATCCATTTTACATATAAATTATTAAAATTATCAACAAATAAATAAGATTTTTCATATCATATTATACAATCTAATTTGATCCTTATCTTCTTCTTCCTGTCAATTTCTCAGCTTCAGCCAGGGTCTGCCTTACATGTCAATAGTTTTGTCTAATTGTTTTTACGATCAGCCGCCGGCCTGATTTCAACCCTCTTTGGGAATGTATTAATCAGTGATGTCTAAATACTCTTAAGTACATATGACTCGGAACATCACATTGGTACTTGCCAGGATCGAACCCGCGTCCTCATGTGTGAAAGCCCTTTTTAACCCCTAGGACATCACTGACTTTCCTTATCTCCATATATATAATGTATATATTAATATAATATAATATTATTCCAGGTTGTCGTCTTTGAATATCTCCTGGTGTAACCTAAGCGAGGCGTCGCTCGAGGTTTTAGTCACAAGGCTGCCACAGAAGCTGAGTCGACTTAATATAAGCGGAGCTCGATGTATGACGGATGAGAGTAAGAATATATATATAACAAAATCCTTATAAAAATATAGATATCTTATAAAGTCAGTACTTTCAAATAACAATAAAACCTCAACTAGAGCAAACTAATTATTATCTTTAACCAAAACAACTTAAATTAGTTAAATTCTATTGACAATAATACAAGTCGTGTTCACAACATACTTTCCCGCGTTAAGAGGACAAGCCAAGCGTCATCGATATAATATCACTTCGGATGCGTTCGGGAATATAAAGGTTCGGATCAAATAAAAAGTGTGTTCCCTAAATATATTTATCTCTTTTACTCTCTTTCTCTCTCTTTCTGCGTGTGGGCGGGGCTTAGTTAGTCTATGACTTTGTTTCGTTGTACGTAACATGTTTAAGTGTAGTGATGATCGATGAAGGATAATTGATTGATTTGTTATGAGACGAATGAGTGAAAGGTAGATATGTGAGGGAAAGAGACGGAGATATGACGAGGAATGAACGGACGGATTAATTTATTTATTGCTTTAGAAATATCATTAGCATATTCACAAATCATATTTGGGAAAAAAACATAAAAAAGAAAACTTGTACAGTGTGATACAACGTTACAGGTATTTACATTTTACAACGGAACTAAACACTACACTCAAAACATTTAATAGAATCTGTGAGAATAGATTTTATACAAAGTGAAGGAAAAAAAATACAACAATAATATCAATACAATAAGATAAACAATCATTTATAAGTTATAAATTATAACAAAAAGGAAGTTAATGATGGTTAATATATTTATTTATTTTTTGCTACACAAATACATTACACATATTATACAGTTATACAGAAGAAAAAATAAATAAATTTGTTGCAAGGGGGTCCATCTCAGTATAAGCTGTGCTAATGCACAGCACTGATTTTCAGATGGCCCCTGAATATTGGGTAAACAAAACACAAATGCGTGCACACGAAAATCAAATGAAATTATTGACGTTTTAACATTTTTTTTAACAATTTATATTAGATAGAACTTTTAAATTAAGTAAATAAATGAAGTGTGTATGTACATGAGGTCTAAGTGTAAGTCCTCCAGGTGTATGTATGTATGTTCCAGACGTGCAGCTCCTGTCCCGCCGCTGCCCGCGCCTCTTAGAGCTCGACGTATCAGACTGTTCCCGCCTGTCCGCCTGTTCGTTGTCCTCGCTACTAGTACTCGCGCGGCTCGAACACTTGGCCCTCAGTCGGTGCTACCTGCTGCCGCCGCACGCGCTCACGTATGTATCTTTCTGGCAATTAGCCAGGCTTAGCCAGAGTTAGCCAGGTCTAGCCAGGGTCTGTCTTACATGTACATAGTTTTGGCTAATTGTTTTCATGACTTGCCTGACTGATATCAACAATCTTTGGGAAAACGTATATATATACTAGTTTTTGCTCGCGACTTCGTCCGAGTTAATTTCGGAATTATTAATATGATGGGTCCTAAAAAGGACCGAAGTTGAAATTTAGCCATTTTTATTTTTTTGTTTCAAACACATCATAATACTGTATTTTATAACGTTCATTTAAAAGAATGTACATATATCTTGGTATGGAAAGACTTAGTTTTTATTGCAATCAAAAATCATAAGTAACACACTTTAATGTATATTATAAAAAAAAACATATACCTACTTATTTAAAAATTTTGTAGTTATACAAGAAAGTTTATCAATCTTAAATGACATACATGTATGTCACAGTTGCTGTCCAAAGTTTCACAGCATCAGTTGTATGTACAAGATACATTGAAATCTAACTTAAAACACCTATTGAACAATTGTATAGCTGACCTACCGAATTTTACCTCTAGAGGCCATAAATAACCAGATATTGAAATTTATTAAGTATTTTTATCTTTTTCAATCGCATGTAAAGTATCCTATGTCCTTTCTATGTTCTAATCTATCTCTCCACCAATGTTCATCCATATCGGTACAGTCGTTAGAGTTATAAATAGTGTACCTAACACGACTTATATATACATGGCTATTATAGAATTTAGTGTAAATTATATTTTAAACACTACTTCTACTATATACATATATTTGTATTGTTTTGTTATGACCGGTCACAGAAATGTTAATTTATTATGTACTATCTTTCCGCCCGCAGCTTCGCCCTCGTGTAGTTCAGTTATATCGCGTTTCCAAGAGAACCTTTCAAAAGTCTGGGATAAAAACTATCCTATGTTCTTTCTCGAGGTCAACTCTATGTCTGTACCAAATTTCATTAAAATCAGTTCAATGGTTTAGGTGTGAAAGCGTAACAGACAGACAGAGTTACTTTCGCATTTATAATATTAGTATTGATTTCTTATATTAATATAGATCATATAAATACTATTTACAATACAGTCGCTGGCAAAGCAAGTTTAATAATACACTCTTCACACCCTATACCTATATATATCTTCTTCCTGGCAATTTCCCAGCTTCAGCCAGGGTCTGTATATATATATATATATATATATATATATATATATATATATATATATATATATATATATATATGTAGGAATACAAGATAAAAATGGATAGATGGATGGGCCATAATTCAAGGCATGAAGTTCTTTTAAACTGAATAATAGTTGAAATCGGATATAATTAGTCCAAGGACCAAATTACAACACCAGAATAATAATTAATTCGTTTTCACAAATTAATTATCCAAAGAGTCAAGGTTAACAGGCTAAGTACAACTAGTGCACCGCGCCACGTCAGAGCCAAGACTCCTGTAGAATAATCGCGCACGTCTTTTATACAGCTAGTAGTGGGGAGAGTGGGGCATCGAATCACGCGCTCGGTGGCGTGATCGGTGCACGTGTGGGTTATAGTTATGTTTAGTTGGCGCGCTAGTGCCGACATATATATATGTATATTATATGTATATATATATTCATTGTTCATATATTAATAGTATGTTCTTGTATATCTTTCAGTAAGCTGTCCCGCATGTCGTCGCTCCAGTTCGTGGAGGTGTGGGGCACGCTGCAGCACGCGTCGCTGGCCGCGCTGCGGGCGGCCCTACCCGCGGTCACCATCAACCAGTTCATGTTTAGGTATTACACGTACACACACACACACACACATACACAGACACACACAGACACACACAGTCAAAACTTGTAATTATGTATCAGTGTGTGTGTGTGTGTGTGCGCACGCGCATTATGTCGTGTAGTGTAATAACTTTCGAAGACATTTCATATAAAAAATGTATTAATGAAAATCTTCATATAAAGTCTTAGTCGATATTTAATTATACATACATCAGTTTCTCTATTGTTTCACATTATTATAGTCCGTTAGACTTAAGCTGAGCTTTGCATTTGTGTGAGTGAAAGTAAAAGTAGAGTTAGACAAAAAACTTTAGAATTCAATTTTATAGATACATAACATAAGTGTAAGAGCTATTCTAGATTAAAAATAAAATAAACAAAGCTTGTAAAAAGCCAGATGGAAATATTTTGAATATTGAGGAAAAAAAATTATTGATTAATAAGAATTTTGAAAAAACTATACAAATTCTTCGTCACTTGATATTGCGTTTTCAACATTTGATATTGCTACCAGTGTAAAAGGTGAAGTGAGGAAGGAGCGGGGCGGAGTAAAAGCAGAATAAACCGGTTCAAAACTAGAAAAGAACGTGGCATTCAATAATTTGATATCACACCTACACTATCCGTGTACACTCACACAAATACAAAGCTCAGCTTAAATCAAACGCACTATACAGAGCTATATACATTAATGACGCTTCCATTTACTACTTAATATGTCTCAGGTTCAATTCCTGTTTAAATATAACTTATTTTTCATATATATATAATTCTCATTATTAATAGTAATGTATGTCTGTCTGTGCAGCGCCATCGCACGTCCAACGGTCGGCACTCGACGAACTTCAGTATGGGGCCTAAGAACTAGAGACTGAACAAAGTAAATTACAGTTATTTTATAATAAACCCTTAATACTTAACATAAATCAGTTTAGTAGTTAACTGAAACTATAATAGTTTCTTAGAAATCTCGATCAATCTTTAAGTAAATCAATTGTATTTGGTGCGACTTGTGTAAGCTAGTTCGAGTATGTACGTAGAAACTGAAAGTATTATAGTTAATTCAAGAAAATCAGAATTATATAGATTTTTTAGAGATTCCACAGTTAACCAACATCATCATAAGAGGTGTTCTGTTATGATTCGTCCAAAAGGGTTGTAGATATAAGAATAGTGTACATATTGACAAATATATTTATCATTTTGATTTTATGTTTTATTAAAATACCTTCCAGGTTTAATATTTAACTGACAATAAAGAAGAAGTTATGTATTTGACAAGTTTGTGTATAGTTAATAGTTGTATTAGAGCATAACCCGCTACTCTGATATTGTTAATACTTAAAAACTTTTTCTATGTAAAAGAAAACACAATTTCAATATTAAATTATAATTTTATTCCGCATTTAATTCATAATCAGCTATAAAAGTCCTTATTTGTTTAGCTCTCAGTGTAAATTTGAGATCTTTCAAATAGTCTGGAATCGGATTTGTTTCGGAATTGGAATTCTGGAATTCGCTTTCTACATTCCAATTCCATTTGGTATAATTCTCCAACCATTGGTTAGCCGCTAGGGTTGTCTCTTTCACTGATTTAATCGTGATTGTATTGAAGGTATTAAAGTCGACTTGCACAGCCCTATCTATATAATTCTCGAATCTTATAAGTATTTTATCCCTCCAGGTCTCAAGAGTAAGGAGATGGACTCCATCTGGTAGTTCCTTCATACCTTTGAAGCAGTTATTCAATTTCAACCAGCTCTCGAATGATATATGCTCTGCCTTCGATACAAAAATAATCGGCTCGTAGTGCGTTTGTAGAGCATACTTCATTTCGCTCACAATTTCCTTTTCATTATTAGGATTTATGTTTAAAATCCTGTGTTTTCCTCTAACAACTAATCCTTTTCCTTCAGCTATTTCGTTTAACGCTTCACCTACGCCGAATGCGTCATCATGTAATAGTCTTCTATGTACCATAAGTTCTATCCCCCCTTCTATTAGTGAGCTGCCCCCTTCAGACCTATCCACCAATACAGTAATCCTAGTATGATCATCTTCTAAATACATTTTGCTCGTCACGGGATAATAATTCCCAGCTATAGGTTCCACTAACGTCAGATTCCACTGCGGCCGTTCGTTTAACTTTCTCTTAAGAATTTGTCGTCCGTTACTATCGGTGTAAAATATTCCGTCGTTGACGACATTAGTGTCGTACCGTACGACGTATTCTTTGCCGATTTTATCGTCCACGGGAATCGGTCCGACAATAAAGTCGTGCTCTATATACGGAAGACCGCTGTACACTCTAAATACACTAGACGCGGTCTCAGACTCCGCGCGAATTTCTTGAACTATTTCTCCTTTAACTATCTTATTAGTGTTATATATAACCGGATACGGTTTATCCGTTTCCGGTCTGAAGATATACGCGCCGGAAGACCGTTCGGTTATGTTGGTATTGTCACCGGAACATCCGGTCCAGTAATGGAATTGTATTTTCATATTGGTAGTTCTATCTGGTAAAATAATATGAGTGACGCCTGTATCATCAGAACGTAGCTTCAGGAACTGAAAGAAAAAGGTTGCACGTGAAAAATTTAATGGATAATAATGTTATAATGAAAATTAATATTTAACCTCATTCTCCAAATAATATTCTTCGCTTCTCTGTACTATACTCGGTTCGTCCGCCAGCAGTCTGTATTCTTCATCAGTTAAACCCGGATGTCTCATCTTCTCCATGTTCCTCGGTACTTTAACTCTCTTCTCCACATTCAAATTCTTCTCCATCATCAAGTCCAAGTTAACATTACTATCCGGTCCGCTCATATAAGAAGGCACACCAATTCTATCAGCACCAATATTATCTACATAGTCATTATTCTCCACTATATACGGGCCAATATTATTCCAGTAATTATTTATATTCCTGTAATCTGTTCCTCGTTTTGTTCGTTGCACCTTCTTAATGTAGAACGATTTTATTGATAGCGGGTGTAGTTTTGCTATGAAAGTTAGTTCGTGTGTGGCTCGAGATTTTCGTGTCGGTATTTTCCTTACTGGGTCCGGTATGTCTAGTAACTGTGATGTTATTTTCTCTCCTGAAAATAAAAAATAAATATAATTTATATATAAAACTCATATTAATGAGATCTAAGACTATTCATATAAAAGAAACTAATATTTTTGTATACTACGCGACTGTATTTTCGTAAAAACTACATACTTTTCAGTATAACCGTGATCACGTTATGTAGTTTTTTACAAATGAGACTAATCCTCTTATCATTCCATGTATTCACGGTGCGTGTGTCGGGTCCATCGTTGTAGTGAGAGGAGCTTCAACAGTGACTGGTACTTGTGACCCAGGTGTAGGTTTAATATATATAGAGAGACGAAACCTCTCATCATTCCATGTATTCACGGTGCGTGTGTCGGGTCCATCGTTGTAGAGAGGAGCTTCAACAGTGACTGTGACTTGTGACCCAGGTGTAGGTTTAATATATATAGAGAGACGAAACCTCTCATCATTCCATGTATTCACGGTGCGTGTGTCGGGTCCATCGTTGTAGAGAGGAGCTTCAACAGTGACTGTGACTTGTGACCCAGGTGTAGGTTTAATATATATAGAGAGACGAAACCTCTCATCATTCCATGTATTCACGGTGCGTGTGTCGGGTCCATCGTTGTAGTGAGAGGAGCTTCAACAGTGACTGTGACTTGTGACCCAGGTGTAGGTTTAATATATATAGAGAGACGAAACCTCTCATCATTCCATGTATTCACGGTGCGTGTGTCGGGTCCATCGTTGTAGAGAGGAGCTTCAACAGTGACTGTGACTTGTGACCCAGGTGTAGGTTTAATATATATAGAGAGACGAAACCTCTCATCATTCCATGTATTCACGGTGCGTGTGTCGGGTCCATCGTTGTAGAGAGGAGCTTCAACAGTGACTGTGACTTGTGACCCAGGTGTAGGTTTAATATATATAGAGAGACGAAACCTCTCATCATTCCATGTATTCACGGTGCGTGTGTCGGGTCCATCGTTGTAGAGAGGAGCTTCAACAGTGACTGTGACTTGTGACCCAGGTGTAGGTTTAATATATATAGAGAGACGAAACCTCTCATCATTCCATGTATTCACGGTGCGTGTGTCGGGTCCATCGTTGTAGTGAGAGGAGCTTCAACAGTGACTGTGACTTGTGACCCAGGTGTAGGTTTAATATATATAGAGAGACGAAACCTCTCATCATTCCATGTATTCACGGTGCGTGTGTCGGGTCCATCGTTGTAGAGAGGAGCTTCAACAGTGACTGTGACTTGTGACCCAGGTGTAGGTTTAATATATATAGAGAGACGAAACCTCTCATCATTCCATGTATTCACGGTGCGTGTGTCGGGTCCATCGTTGTAGAGAGGAGCTTCAACAGTGACTGGGACTTGTGACCCAGGTGTAGGTTTAATATATATATAGAGAGACGAAACCTCTCATCATTCCATGTATTCACGGTGCGTGTGTCGGGTCCATCGTTGTAGAGAGGAGCTTCAACAGTGACTGTGACTTGTGACCCAGGTGTAGGTTTAATATATATAGAGAGACGAAACCTCTCATCATTCAATGTATTCACGGTGCGTGTGTCGGGTCCATCGTTGTAGTGAGAGGAGCTTCAACAGTGACTGGTACTTGTGACCCAGGTGTAGGTTTAATATATATAGAGAGACGAAACCTCTCATCATTCAATGTATTCACGGTGCGTGTGTCGGGTCCATCGTTGTAGTGAGAGGAGCTTCAACAGTGACTGGTACTTGTGACCCAGGTGTAGGTTTAATATATATAGAGAGACGAAACCTCTCATCATTCAATGTATTCACGGTGCGTGTGTCGGGTCCATCGTTGTAGAGAGGAGCTTCAACAGTGACTGGGACTTGTGACCCAGGTGTAGGTTTAATATATATAGAGAGACGAAACCTCTCATCATTCCATGTATTCACGGTGCGTGTGTCGGGTCCATCGTTGTAGAGAGGAGCTTCAACAGTGACTGTGACTTGTGACCCAGGTGTAGGTTTAATATATATAGAGAGACGAAACCTCTCATCATTCAATGTATTCACGGTGCGTGTGTCGGGTCCATCGTTGTAGTGAGAGGAGCTTCAACAGTGACTGGTACTTGTGACCCAGGTGTAGGTTTAATATATATAGAGAGACGAAACCTCTCATCATTCAATGTATTCACGGTGCGTGTGTCGGGTCCATCGTTGTAGTGAGAGGAGCTTCAACAGTGACTGGTACTTGTGACCCAGGTGTAGGTTTAATATATATAGAGAGACGAAACCTCTCATCATTCCATGTATTCACGGTGCGTGTGTCGGGTCCATCGTTGTAGTGAGAGGAGCTTCAACAGTGACTGTGACTTGTGACCCAGGTGTAGGTTTAATATATATAGAGAGACGAAACCTCTCATCATTCCATGTATTCACGCTGCGTTTGTCGTGTCCATCGTTGTAGTGAGAGGAGCTTCAACAGTGACTGGGACTTGTGACCCAGGTGTAGGTTTAAGGGACCCTATCTAACGTTAAAAAATCAGTCGCGTAGTATAGTCCGAAAAATATTAGTTTCATTAAAAAAACATTATATTAATTGAGTTTAGCTTTTCAAAATGGCCGATAAGTCTCATTTGTGGGCGAAGCAGGCCTAAAAGGGTGGGGGAAAAGAAATGAGGTCTTATTTGGAGATCTACGTGATTTGTTAATTAATTCAGCTAAGATAATTAATAGTGGTTTTACAGTTGGCGAATAAATAAAGAACTAAAAATTAATGTATTCTCAAATTGGGTAGTACATAAGTTTGGGAACCTACAGTCTAGTTAATTCTAGTTTATGAAAAACTTAAAGCTCTTAAATAACATACAAAAAACAATTAAAGAAATATCAAAATCTTCGGTACATTTTAATTTTAACTATAGTTTAAATTTAACTCATATTTATGTATAGTAATTAATTTTAAACTTCTTCTTCTTCTACCTGACAATTTCCCAGCTATAGCCAGGGTCTGCCTTACATGTTGTGAATAGTTTTGGCTAATTGTTTTTACGACCGGCCGCCAGCCTGACATCAACCCTCTTTGGGAATGCATTAATCAGTAATTAATTTCAAACTAAAATATTAACTTACCATTGGGAGCGTAAACTTCATACTCTCCTTCCATAACTGGTATGTGGATCGGTTCGAGAGTGTTCCAGCCGAGGGGATTATATATAGACACCTGGAATATATCAGTATTAATATTATAAATGCGAAAGTAACTCTGTCTGTCTGTTACGCTTTCACGCCTAAACCACTGAACTGAATTTAATGAAATTTGGTACAGACATAGAGTTGACCTTGAGTAAGAACATAGGATAGTTTTTATCACAGACTTTTGAAAGGTTCTCTTGGAAACGCGATATAACCGAACTCCACGCGGGCGAAGCTGCGGGCGGAAAGCTAGTATATGTATAGCCAATGAAACAAGATAAATACAAACTAATTATTCTGAATCACAACTTAAAACTTATTTAAAAATCAAGTTTTTGGAAGTACAGACAGCAAATATTTACATAGTAATAGATTTACCAATATTTCACTTAAAAGAATCTAAAATCAAACTGTTTTTCTCTTAATTATAGATTTTTGGCATTATTTGTGTTTCCCGTGTGGTCTTCATGTAAGGTAAAAAAATTATTATCCTACTAATATTATAATTGCGAAAGTTTGTGAGTGTGTGTGTATGTTTGTTACTTCTTTACGCTCAAACGGCTGAACCGATATTGATAAAATTTTGTATACAGGAAGCTGACGTCTAGGAATAACATATAGGCTACTTTACATCCCGGAAATCAAGTAACACCGCGGGGCACAGCTAGTATATATATAAAATAATCATTTAAAGATCTCTGGGTTTCTCTACGGGATCGAATGAGATAGATATATATACAGGGTGACTGGTGAATTACTATCGTTACTTGAGGACGTGATATTTGACGATCATATATAACAAAATAAAAATTAATATAACATAAATATTAATAAACTTCTAAGTAAAGTTAACCAAAAGTTATGTAATTAATTACGCATCGTATGAACACCCTACAGATTAGGTATACACACACACAGACGCGGCGGCGGCGTAGTGTTGTATTACATTTTCTATCTTGTCTCGTTGTCACTACTCACTCACCACAAACTGTTGACTCTCCTCACTGGTGGCGCAGCTCGACTCGTTCAGGCGACATCTTTCATAGTTGAATTGATATGATTCAGATTTAGATAATTTACTGTAACAATAAAACAAACATATATATACAAAAAATATACATTTAGATGCATTTTAAATATATTGTAGGAAATCTAGAGCAAAATTTTTCTTAAACATATCAGAAGATACTCGTACGTAACATTAAAGTAATCTCCTTCCTGGCAATTTCCCAGCTTTAGCCAGGGTCTGCCTTACATGTTATGAATAGTTTTGGCTAATTGTTTTTACGACCGGCCGCCTGCCTGACATCAACCCTCTTTGGGAATGCATTAATCAGTGATGTCTAAATACGCTTAGAAAGTACATATGACTCGGAACATCACTTGTACTTGCCAGGATCGAACCCACGCCCTCATGCTAGAGGCGGACCTTTTAACTACTAGGACACCACTGACTTCGTGCCTAAGGTTCTTATTAGTAATATTACCGTTGTATTCCCTGTATTACCTGATTCCCTGCCTGGCTACTATCAGCGCGTCTTCTATAGCCAGGTCTAGTAATCTCTCGTAGTCGTGAGCCACGTGTTGCTTCTCCGTGCCTGTTATGGCATCATGATGCTGCATCACACCTAATAACAGATTATCACTTTATACATACTAGCTTTCCGGCCGCAGCTTCGTCCGCGTGGAGTTCGGTTATATCGCGTTTCCAAGGGAACCTTTCAAAAGTCTGTGACAAAAACTATCCTATGTTCTTTCTCAAGGTCAACTCTATCTGTACCAAATTTCATTAAAATCAGTTCAGTGGTTTAGGCGTAAAAGACAGACAGAGTTACTTTCGCATTTATAATATTAGCAAGGATTCTGACATGTAGGAGACTTTTGAGTATTCATTTAAATGAAACTAATATTTTTCACACACTATTTTAAACTCCCGATGTTTCGGTTACTTTGCAACCATTATCATTAAGACGATAGCGACGAAAAATATACAAATTCTTATATTTATTTACCATATACTGAAATTATAATTTAAGTATAGAAAAATATTAACCAAGAAAAGATATGTAGTAAGAATAAAATAAACTTAATTTCAGAAATATCAAAGTAAGTTTCTTAGTATATTCGTATGTCAATACTTATTAGTCATTTGTAGCAATATTTTAGTTAGAAAACGTTTGCTGAGTTAATAACTCACCCATGGCACTCTTCAGCTCGTCTATAACAAACTTATTGTGTTCTTCTAAACCGGCCAAAACTTGGAGATTTTTCACCATCTAAATAAATATATAAGAAAATTGTTAATATTTCAGGCAAAACTGTCCATACAGTTCCTCTTCGTGTAAAAAAACAAAAATAATATATAAAATGTAAGAAATCTTAAGAGATTTTGATTTTATTTAGTGCTTTTATAAGAATATATTTAAGATATAAATTTACAACAAAATATAATGCAATAAAATAGGTATAGAAAATAAGTGTAATGTTCTAACTATTCTTAATCCTAACAAGTTTACTACTACACTTGTAGTTTTCAGTTTTTTTAGCCTATCAGAGCCCACTGCTGAGCAAAGGCCTCTTTCTCACATGGAGAAGGTTTGAACATTAATCACCAAGCTTGCTCAAGACGGGTTAGCGATATCAAACTTATAATTTTTTGAAACTATAAGTCCAGGTTTCCTCACGATATTTTCCTTCATTGTATGTCAGTTTTCAGTTACAGAAACTTTATTAAAATTGTATTTGCGCTAAGATATGAAAGAAAACTATTAACGCTAAGTATATAGTGACTAAAGGTCGTGGTGTCCTAGTGGTTAAAGGTCCGACTCATAGCATTGGGTGGGTTCGAAACCTAGCAAGCACCAATGTGATGTTCCGAGTCATATGTACTTAAGAGTATTTAGACATCACTGGCTGATGAAGGAATATATGAGGAAACATGGACTTAATCAAATTATAAGTTTGAAATCACCAACCCGTCTTGAGTGGTCATGATTAATGCTCTAACCTTCTCCATGTGAGATGAGGCTCAGCTGTGGGCTCTGATAGGATGATGATGATATATATAATCACCTGTAAGTATCTATTTCCGAGTCTCTCAAAATATTTGGTAGTCGGTCGCGACGTGAAGTACCCTGTCCAGTAAGCGGTGGGGTCGCTCGCGTAAGGAAAGAAATCGTCTCGTTTTGTAGGTAGTGTTGGGCTGGAAATCGATAAAAACAGGTCAAAACCGATAAAAAAAAGCAGAAAAACCGTTATATTTGAATACTTACTTTGCATCTTTAACAGCTTTCAAATAACAATCGGGTGTGGAGTAAAACAACTTAATATTTAATCCATCCTTAGCGGCTTTTAGGTTTGTATATCTGTAAGAAATATATACATATATTACATAAACTCAATATAATATTAATATATATTAATACACTTATTAGTTTATAAATCGAGCAAAGCCTTCAGTAAGTAGTGTTAGTATCTATACTACCGTCATTAGTAGTTAGTAGTACGTAGTGTCAACTCACTCAATCAACTTATCGAGGTTGATGTACCACATGCCAGCGTCCTGGTAAGTAAAGTCGCCGCCCATAGTCAGTATTATGTGATTCGTTCTGTAGTACTCGGATTGTTGCTTAACGTATTTGAGAAACTTGTTTATCTAGATGAGTTTGAATAAGTTATTTGCATGGAAATTTATTTTTTGTTACAACGCCATCTATTGACGGTTGGACGGTTTTATGTAGTGTTTTATACCTACCTGTTTGTTAATTTTTTGAATACGAGTGATATTAAAAGCATGAAAAGCCTTGAGGCATTTCTACATACTTCGGGACACTTGTACTCATAGCTATCTTAAGAATAAACCTTTCAGAGCATTTAAGGGTAATTTAAAATTAAAATGATATCAATAACAGTTAAAGCTGACATTTTTATTACATAGAAATTATAGACCAGTGGCGATAGCTTTTAAAACATAATTAAATTATAGTAGAATGAAACTCATTAGAAAAGGAGGGGAATATTATAAAAATTAAAGGAAAAATAATTTACGGGCGATCTGAGGTCGGGAAGGGGATGGGTATTTAAGGGTAAAAAATGGGTTTTCTCGATTTCCGGCAAAACTAAAAGTCCTAGGAAAACATGTTGTCTGGCAAAGTTGTAGGTAATAAAAAGACCTAAAACTTTTATACTAACATTTTTTTCACATAACCTCAAAATTTAAGCGAAAAATTAGAAAAACCGAGTTTTTGGTTTTTTATTTTTATCTCTTACAAAAAACAATATTTCGTCACGAAATTTGGTGAAAACTTTCCTTTTGATGTTACAAATACTCTGTAATTTATTTAATTAGAAATATTTATTTTTTCAGCTTATTTTGAATAAATATCGAAAAATCAGTCTCATTTTCAATCGAAAAATCACCCGTCGAAATAACAGCTATTTTCAAAAATTTGGTATGTTTTGAGATTCATTTGAGATTAATTCTACTATAATTTAATTACGTTTTTCATCAATTTTAAAGGCATGTGCACTGGCCCATTTTTATAAGTAATAATAAAAATACGAAAGTGTGTGAGGTTTGTATGACCGTTTGTCGTTAGCAAAAACTACTTGACCGATGTTGAATTGATTGATGAAACTTTACTATAATGTATCTCAATCCCTACTAATATTATAAATGGGAAAGTAACTCTGTCTGTCTGTCTGTTACGTTTTCACGCCTAAACCACTGAACTGATTTTAATGAATTTGGCACAGACATAGAGTTGATTTGAACCTGGAGAAAGAACATAGGATAGTTTTTATCCCAGACTTTTGATAGTATATAATGTATCGTTCAGTCCGTGTAATATATATATATATTGTTACTTGTCATAATTTATACAGGACTTTGCTCAATTTAAGCCAATAAAGTGTTATAAAGTACAACACACTCACTGTATCAGTTTGTCTAAGTTAATGAACCACATGTTCGAGTCTTGGTACTGAAAATCATCTCCCATCGTGACCAAGATATTGTTGGTTCTATACGCTTGTGACATAGCGCGCACTTTACTTATAAACGCTGCCACCTACCGGACAAATTGATATTTATGATCCAAAAACAAAATATAAGTAGGGAAATTTATTTATTTAAAAAATATATCGAATCTTTAATATATACATATATATGGCATGTATGAAAATGATCTACACTTTAGTCTTTCTTACAACGACTAAAATGTCCATATATGGTCCAATGACTTATTGTACGTATTATAAAAAAACTATTTTTGGTCTAGTATATGAAGAAATTTCGCAAATAGGTAATTCCCTATATTTAAGGCAATATTCTCCCTACATCACTAGTTAAGAAACGCCTGGTTATAAAACTAGTACTTTCTCCAACGCTATCATGTACTTCGTAAGCATTCTATCATTCAATACATACATACATTCCAATGCATATATACGTGCATGCAAAATCATTGCATAAAAACAATCCATGCATATGTTTGGACAGATTTCAATACTATTAAATGATTTTTTCTTTAACATTTAGTCATATTTGCTACACTTATTGTACTTTTCTTCGCTAACTACGAGCCATTATCAAACTAGCCACATTTTGAGGGTTTCTTCATAAATCTTTGCCCGAAATAGTATCCACGATTTTATAAGGATAATTCACTAAATATCGTCAATATTTCGTCTTACTATCAATTCCTCCTAAGGGTTCTAAGCTATTATTTTAGTTGTAACATACATATATATATATATAATCGGTGATAGTACAAATCCTCGTAACTATCATTGTATAATTCCACATATCTACATTGGAAGCAGATTATCAGAAGAAAGTTTGAGATGACATATTATATATATTAACCACTTTCAAACAAATTTTTTTATAATAAGTAATTATTTAGATAATAAAAAGTACGTCAAACTTGAATAATATTGTACCAGCATCATAAAAAGACATTATCTATTAAACCAACTAAATGGCTCCTAATATTATAAATACCAAAGTAACTGTTATATTTTCAAACATAAACCGCTGAACCGATTTTAATGATTTTGGATAAATATAGATGGAACCTAGGAGAACATATCTTTTCAAATCACGATCCCGATATTAATACGAGTTCAGTGGCAGTGAACTCTGTTTTAACAGACGGAGTCGCGGTCAAGAGCTATATATATAGTTAATTAATAATAATTTATTAATCTATCAATCCTCAAGCCACGTATATAAGGAGCGCCGTTACTCACAATCTGACACTTTGTTCTCAACTATTGTTAAGAGAAGAAACTATGATCTAATTAGTCTTGAATAATAATAAATCGACCATTTGTTGGCAAAACGTTTGTTTAATAATTATTATGTGTTTTCTTGTCTAACAATATATATAATTAAAATCTGTCCAAATTCTTCCCTCTAGCTAAGTCAAGCTCTATCAATATTGTATTTTCCTTACTGTATAAGTTTGTCTAAGTTAATGAACCACATGTCCGCGTCTTGGTACTGGAAGTCTTCACCCATAGTCACCAAGATATTGTTGGTTCCGTACGCTTGTGACATATTTCTACAGACCTCCAAAAATTTGTTTACCTTCGTCAAATTAATATATTTTATTTACTTGTTAAATTATAATGAAAAATAAAATTTTCGCAAGTATTTACTTAGTGAAACGAATTTTTCGGATTAACACGCGTTATTTTGGTAAAAAGAGGCGTTATAATCCAAAAATATTAGTTTCGTTTATAAATCAAATCTAGTAGACATCATAACATAATAACTAACAAATGATATAAAAGTGTTAAAACCAAAAAAATAATTTGAGACATTACCTACAGACCTAGAATCTAGATAATTAAAGAAGAAAGTTTACACATCCGTTAATAAAACTTAAATACCGGCCACATACGTTACAGTATACTTGCACAAGTATACATGTATTGGAAGAAAACCGCAGTTTTCGATATGCACAAGTTCTTGAAATCTCCAAATTTCAGTTCTCAACTTGTGCAATATTACGTTTGCACAAGTTTTTGTATTCTTTTAGCCATCTATGTTATTTTTGTTCAAAAATTATCTTCACTCTTGATACATAGTTATATAAAAATATATATAGGAATGAGCCATGTTTTTGGCAAAAAAAGGAAAATATACCACAAATACAATAAATTAACTAGTCTTTAGTCCATATAACACGGTCTCTTCTGAATTTTAAATAATTATCGCTACTTAAAACCAACTATCATCATTAGACATATAGCATAAGCCCAACTTAAACAGTTTGTGGCACAGAAATAAGTATATTTATACAATCTAGACTTATTTAAGTATACTGTAACGTGTATAACCGGCATAATCATTCCAATTAAGTAAAATACAGGTAATATCAATAATAAGTCAAACATTCTGTCAATAGATGGCGCTGTCAATAATATATATCAAATCCAACTCACCCTGTCCTCTACGTTATATAAGGGTGAGTTTACATCGTCGATAATCGGCTCGTCGTTACAGAGCACGTCGAAACAGAACCCGGCGGGCGGCGAGTACGTGTTGAATAGAACGCCCGTGAATATATCCGACGAATTACCTGCGGGTAGAGAAATATATTACATATATATACTAGCTTTCGGGATATCCGGGATGTAAAGTAGCCTGTGTTTTATTCCTGGATATCAGCTTCCTGTATACAAAATTTTATCAAAATCTTTTCAGCCGTTTGAACGTGATGAAGTAACAAACATACACACACTCACAAACTATCGCAATTATAATATTAGTAGGATATTTTTAGGTTCATATGTGTCCTTTTTATTACATTTCTTTTATAATTAGAGTAATTTTAATAATTTTTGAGGGATATAAGCAAATTATTTGCATTAAAAACTTTATATGAGAAGAATTTAAAATAACTATGTATTCATAATAATATATATTCAAATATGTTTAACTTCATTTTTATAACCAAATAGCCAAAAATAAATATTTCCAAGGATGACTGATATTTCAGCATGTGAAAAATATTATATAGACACCGCTGACTGATGAAGGAAAACATCGTGAGGAAACCTGGACTTAAAATATAAATTTGAAATCACCAACCCGTCTTGAGCAAGCGTGGTGATTAATGCAAACCTTCTCCATGCAAGAAAAGGCTCAGCAGTGGGCTCTGATAGGCTGATGATGAATAAAATCAAACCAATATAAGTTGATCCCTCACCCAATTGGTCGTCTCCCCTCCACAGCATTTCCATCCGCTTGCCTCTTAGTCGAGCTCCTTTATCCTGGTAGTCTATCCGTCCCAGGAATAAGCCGTCGTATCCCATTTGGGATAGAAGGGACGCGAATTCCCTGGAGTGGCCGAACGGATCAATCTGCCACCCCACACGCGGGATTCCACACGCGCCGAACGTATCATTCAACTTCCTATAAACATATATTATGTGTTATAGTATCTTCTTCTACCTAGCAATTTCCCAGCTTTAGCCAGGGCCTGACTTACATGTTGTAAATAGTTTTGGCTAATTGTTTTTACGACCGGCCGCCTGCCTGACATCAACCCTCTTTGGGAATGCATTAATCAGTGATGTCTAAATACTCTTAGAAAGTAAGTATGATTCGGAAAATTCTTATTGGTACTTGACCGGGCCAGGATCGAACCCGCGCCCTCATGCATGAGAGGCGGGCCTTTTAACTACTAAGCCACCACTGACTTATTATGTTTTATAGTATACTAAAGATATATAGTGAATTACACCTCCAAAAAAGTTTACAAGGAAAAGTGTCTCTTTTGTATGAAATTTGAACATCTACTTTCAATCAACTGCAAAAACTAGTATTAATACTTAAAAACTCATCATACTCTATAATCAAGAAATATCTTTTACGTTTTTTTATTTATATTTTTGGAGTTTGAACAAAAAATTTCAACAAAATCGGTCCAGTCGTTTGAGAGAAGTCCAGTGACATACACACTCACAGAAGAATTATATATACAGATATTGACACTGACTTCATCAATAAACGTCCAATATACGATGACCTGTAATCATTCCTACATATAACTCACTTAAGGCCCCAAGTAAACTGGTCGATGGTGCTCTGGTAGTGGGAGGCAGCTTCATCATTCATGCTCCACGCTCCGCCCACAAACTGTAGCCGTCCTTGTCGCACCAGTGTGTGCACCTTGTGTCGTGTGACGTCACTCTGAAGGGACCACCACTTCCAGAAGAAAGCTGTCTCTACGTATATAAACCTGAAAATTATTATATTTTTTTTAATATATTTATTTATTTGAAACATCATCGGCATATTCACAATAACACTTATGTTATAACAGTACATTGACCAGTGCATGATACACCACTACAGGCATTTACAGCACTGTTAAATTAAATACAAATTAATACACTCTTAAGTAATATTAAAAACTTAAATACTATTAAAAACTTATACATATTGAGATGTAGTGAATAGATTATATTAACTAAACATACTTATTAACCATTATATACTACGTAAGCTAATTTTGTACCTATTTAATGTACGATCGATTAGAAATAAAGACAGTATCTATTCAACAGTCTCGGCTTTCATTCCTCTCTCAGGGCACCACATTAAAATATAATATTAAAAACTTAAGCTAGAACAAACATAAACTAATAAGGTTTAAGGCCATATAAATACAATACAGGCAATAAAAACAAAATAAATAATTATAAGCCAATAAAAATATGTAATTAAAAAAAATAAAAGCATAATAACAACATAGTTATGTACTACACACTATCTATTATATATAATTTTTTCACAATGTTAATGTACTCCTCTTAAATTGCTTTACAGATTTTAAGCAAACTTTATTTAAGTATTCAGTAGGTCTGAGAATTGGCTACTATTTATTTAACATACCCCTAAGTGATAAGGGTTGTTCACCCTTAAATTTTTGTTTTTATGAGTATATAATGTGGCATTAAAATATACATACAACTCTAAATTATTCCTTTTTTATAACCAATCCCTTTTTATATGGCAAAATAACGTTTGCTTTGTCAGCTAGTAGTAATATAAATAAAAAGATTTTAGTATATAAAACAGATGTTTGGGGCTCCTCTCTATTCGATTATTGGCTGACTGTTGGTTCCAAATATTAGCATAATTATTCGATATTATTCATTTCTTTAAACACAGTTAAGATAATGCAGATGTCTTTGACAAAACTATGAGCCATTCTAGACTGGTATTATATATATTATAAAAATCCCTATATATTATTATAAGTGCGAAAGTAACTCTGTCTGTCTGTCTGTTACGCTTTCACGCCTAAACCACTGAACTGATTGTAATGAAATTTGGTACAGACATAGAGTTGACCTTGAGAAAGAACATAGGATAGTTTTTATCACAGACTTTTGAAAGGTTCTCTTGGAAACGCGAAACCGAACTCCACGCGGGCGAAGCTGCTGGCGGAAAGCTAGTAACTTATAAAAAATCTCAAAATGCGTATCTTTTTAAGAAATTTCTACAAAATAATCAAGAATCAAACCCAATACTATTCCAGTAAATTTAACTACTGCACCTTACACGTATCACTATATAAAAAGTTGATAAATTATCTTCCTACCTTCGTTTAGGATCCTGCCATAGTTCTTTGATGACAGAGTCCAAGATATATTGGACGCCGGCTTTCTGAATGTCGTTCTTACCTATAAATATATAAAAACATTTATATGTATTAATAATTAACATATAGAACTTAATGAATTTTTAATCTTACATATTTCAAATATTTTATCATGTAAACTATTGCAATACACAAGCTAACATTAAAAATAATTTATCATTTTTAATTTGGACTTGATTTTAGATAGACCTATTAGTGCTTTTCTATTTTAACATATGACAAGACATAACATATATGTCATGACACAATGACTTAAAACGCAAAATGATTATTAAATTTTTCCTTTCCCCATACAAAGTCCATATATATAGTACTTTTGTGAATGTATATCTACATCTCTACTAATATTATAAATGCGAAAGTAACTCTGTCTGTCTGTTCGTTACGCTTTCACGCCTAAACCACTGAACTGATTTTAATGAAATTTGGTACAGACATAGAGTTGACCTTGAGAAAGAACATAGGATAGTTTTTATTCATGACTTTTGAAAGGTTCTCTTGGAAACGCGATATAACCGAACTACACGCGGGCGAAACTGCGGGCGGAGAGCTAGTTCAATGAATATAAATTGTCTATGATTCTGTGGTACAAGTAAAGTTTATTTTCACCAAAAACTCCTTATTTTAATACTAAAGTAACGTCTATTATTATGAGGGTAGTTCTCACTTCCATAGTAGTACTGATCCACGGTCTTGAGCCAGCCGACGTCATCGTGTGTGTGAGGCACTATGTGTACATTCAATAGACCGGCCTCCGCTGAAACGCAACTCTGTGGAGGGTAGTTTGATATACTTACGATAGGGGAATACCCGGTTTTATTCAACATATATTCTTTGAAGTCAAACTTATGCGAATTCCAACGAGGTTGCGTTAAACGTTTGCGTTAAACGAAATTGGAATTCCCTGTTTTATTCAACATATATTTTTTAAGTCAAACTTATGCAACTTTCAACGAGGTTGCGTTAAACGTTTAACGCTAGAGAGAAAGATACACAAATGTAGAAAGTAAGAGAGAGAGAGTCGGTATATTACAAACACATGGAACTGGTAGTGTTGCTATGTAGTGAAGTTATGTTTATCTTCAAATTTAAACAATATACTATAGAATAAAAGTATCTTTGACTCTTTTAATAACTTCTACTCATTCTTCATCTTAATATGTTTCATACTTTTAATAATATGTATAATATTGTACACAAGAGAATTAACAATATGAAGGTTTAAATTAAATTTATGTAGAGAGAGGAGCTTGTACTTTTATATAATATTTTGTTTATTCCATTCTCTTTTATTGTATATTTGTATCAGTAAATATACATTATCAGTAGGCGATAAACTTTGACCTTTAAATCGTAATACATTGAACTTATTTAGATGTACCGCCATTTGTAACTTAGATTATATATATAGGGGTAAAAACCTAATATTATAAAAATAAATCAATGTTTTTTGTCATTTATGATACTACCGAAATTTATTTATAATCTTTATCGGGGAGACATAGACGAATCCTCTCATCATTCCATGTATTCACGGTGCGTGTGTCGGGTCCATCGTTGTAGTGAGAGGAGCTTCAACAGTGCCTGGGACTTGTGACCCAGGTGTAGGTTTAAGGGACCCTATCTAACGTTAAACGATCACCTCCATACAAGCTCCTCTCCCCTAACTTATACTGATTGTATATCCATATATTTTCGCACTAATTTCTAAGTAATTATCAAAAATTCGTAGTATTTATAAGATACTAACTTCATAACCACATTTCTCATCTAGCGGCACTCCATATGAGAGACCGATCAGCAAAAAAAGCAACAGCATTTCCTGAAACAAAAAATAAAATATATGTTCAAGTACCTACAATTGTAAAAGAGAATCGACCATATAAAAGGCCGAGCATAATCTTAGTGAATTAATTCTACATTGGTCGCTCTTAGGGGTCACTCTGGTAGAATCTCTGCTAAACAATTCTTGAGTCATTGTGGGAATTTGTTAAGCAATAAACGAGTAACATTATAAGTAAAGACCCTCTTTTCTTTAAAATGGAAACCCGTGCTACGTCGCCGATATACTAAACGCCCGGACCCGAAAGCCTTTCAAGGTACTAGGCTCTTGGTCTCTTCCACGAGGATCCCCTCGCTCTAACATATATAATATTCGTTTTAATTAAATTAACAGCTTAAAATTAAATTATTATTAAGCTGCTTGAGTTAAAATAAACAAAAAAAACATCGTTGAGTTACTAATAGAAAAAGCTTTTATTGAGTACGGAACACAAAGAAATTAGTTACATTTGATAGTCAAATAATAAGTCATTAAGAAATTACTTCAAAATTATTATTATCGTATAATTAATATACAAATAAATTAATGTGATCTAAACTATAAAATAAATAAATACTTCTCTCTTTTCAATATATGTACCAAGTACATAATGATTGTTTTTGTTAAATGGTTTTCTTATCAATATTTACTTTATAATCGATCAACAACTTTGAACGTTAAGTAATAAAATATCAAATGATTCGCAAACATAATACATATCTTCTATTTATATATATAATTCTTCTGTGAGTGTGTATGTCACTGAACTTCTCTCAAACGACTGGACCGAGTATGATGAAATTTTTTGTGTGTGTTCAAATTGATCTGGGAATGTTTAAGATTCACAATTTTGTCCTCTGGACAATGTTTTTTTAATTAATTTTTAATTTATTAGTAGTTGTTAATACAAAAAAAAAATTTTTTTTGACATTAGATTTGACAACTAACTAATATGTCAATCATTCTGTCGCACTTCAAAACACGGAGATTTATGTCTTTAATAGGTAAACTCCAAAAATATAAATAAAAAAACGTAACAGATATTTCTTGATTATAGAGCGATACGAAGTTCGCCGGGTCTTCTAGTATGTATATAAATAATTTTTCCCGTCTGTTTGCAATATTAAATTTATATAGCGTTATAATAAATATATCTACATGTACATATACATAGTTTTTATATATTTGTTCTTTCAACTTTGTGTCCCGGCTTAAGTCTAAATGAAATATTTTCCTGAATCAATTTTGAAGAAACTTTCACTGGCCTATAACTGAATTAAGAAGCAGTGACTCTTCTTATTATAGAAAGATATATATTATACAAAAAATGCATGCATTCCCAAGAGGGTTGATGTCAGTCAGGCGGCCGGTCGTAAAAACAATTAGACAAAACTATTCACAACATGTAAGGCAGACCCTGGCTATAGCTGGGAAATTGCCAGGTAGAAGAAGATATAATATATATCCAAAAAATATTATTTTCCAAAAAAGTTTTGTTATTAGGTACAAGAACGGAATAAAAGTAAATAAGATACTGTTATTTGTAATCTATAGAGCCAATGACCGTTATATAAACTTATCTTCTCAACATAAGAAAATATAATTACTTTTACAAGTATTTATTTAACTACAACTAGTTTTGCCCGCGACTTTGTCAAAAAATTTCAGAATTACTAATATATCGGCCGGGCTAGTGGTTAAAAGGCCCACCTCTCATGCACGAGGGCGCGGGTTCTAACCTGGCCCAGGCAAGTACCAATGTGATTTTTCCGAGTCATATGTACTTTATAAGAGTATTTAGACATCAATGATTAATGCATTCCCAAAGAGGGTTGATGTCAGGCAGGCGGCCGGTCGTAAAAACAATTAGCCAAAACTATTTACAACTGCCCTAGAGACGGTAAATAACCAAATATTGGAATTTATAAAATATTTTTTCCTTTTCGATCGAACAGTATTAAATATCCTATGTCCTTTCTATGTTCTAATCTATCACTAATTCTAATCTATCATCAAAGCGAATAATTCTAATCTATCATCAAAGCGGATCACATTCTAGACAGTAAAAGTAGGGATAAAAAAACTATCTAGATTCTAGGTAACTCTGACCTAGTAGTTCATTTTAACTTGAAAGACATAAAAAAACTCTAGAACTCAGAGCCGGATGTAGATAGAATCCTATAGGTTAGTGGCGCGTCATACCTTTGACTAGTTTAAATATATATACTAGTTTTTGCGCGCGACTTCGTTTGCGTTAGTCAGAATCAGAAATGTGTGGCTGACCTAAACTCTGTTCCGCCTTAGAGTCAGTAGATAAAATATTTTTATTTTTTTCGATCTTACTGTATAAAAAATATCCTATGTCCTTTCTATGTTCTAATCTATCTCTCCACCAATGTTCATCCATATCCGTACAGTCGTTAGAGTTATAAATAGTGTAACTAACACGACTTTATTTCATATACATATAAAGATTATTATATTTTTTATTTTCGATAAAAATTTATAAATATATTACAACAATTTTAATTAAATATATTAAAAAAGAAATATTTAATCATAGAAATTATATTTTATATAATTTTAAGTTATTAAACAGGATAGTACCCTATAAATTATTTATGAAACTCAAAGTTTTAATTTCCTCATTTCTAAGAAAAAAACAGCATTTAAAATCAATTCACTTATCGCGTGGAACGTTACACAAAAAATATAATTATATTATTTTGTATGTGTTATGATTTTTTTACGACAAAAACAAGTTTTTGACAAATAACTATTAAGTGTAGATAAAAAATTTATCAGAAGTATATTTTATTAAGAATATTTGAAATATTAACAATAATGTATTACAAGACATATATGGCGAGTGGCAGTCTAGTGGTTAAAAGGCCTTCCTCATGAAGGCGCGGGTTCGATCCTGGCAAGTACCAATGTGATGTTCCGAGTCATATGCACTTTCTAAGAGTATTTAGACATCACTGATTAATGCATTCCCAAAGAGGGTTGATGTCAGGCAGGCGGCCGGTCGTAAAAACAATTAGACAAAACTATTCACAACATGTAAGGCAGACCCTGGCTAAAGCTGGAAAATTGCCAAGAAGAAGAAGATTTATATGGATATATGTTATGTTGCCAGAAGAATGGACTGGTAGATTAGGAACGTGAAATGCGGACCTTAGTCCGAGTAAGACGCCGTAATATTTAAAACGAAAAACTGAAAGTATGATCGTCATTCATACATGACATTTCGTTTGAAATCACTGTGACAATATTTACGGGTAAAAAAATGACTTAAAATCTCTACTAACATTATAAATGCGAAAGTAACTCTGTCTGTCTGTTACGCTTTCACGCCTGAACCACTGAACTGATTTTAATGAAATTTGGTACAGACATAGAGTTGACCTTGAGAAAGAACATAGGATAGTTTTTATCCCAGACTTTTGAAAGGTTCTCTTGGAAACGCGATATAACCGAACTCCACGCGGGCGAAGCTGCGGACGGAAAGCTAGTATTCCTATAGAATATAATATTTGAAAAAGATAATTTCGATAGTTATTTCAAAATTCCGATATTTATATGTTGTGATCCGCTGAAGATGTTGAAATAAGATAAAAATCAATCCATATTTTTTATCATACAACATACGACACTTCAAAAAACAAGAGAATTATGAAATATATTGCCAACAATATTCCCTAAAGCTTCACTTGGCGTTTATTTGTTGTGTCAAATAAGAGCATGTGTGGATGATATATTCGTCTTCATTTGACATATTTGTACAAATAACACACATACACAAATAAGCGGAAACGTATAGATTGGAGACGTGTTGTGATCCCAAGTGTGGATGTCATGTTTGCGATATTTGCACTACGTACGAATGTTTAGACAAATGCGGCGAATACGCTACGCCAAGTGGAGTGTCACATTAGGAATTATCACATTAATTATGTACACGTATATATTAACGTTCATTATACATATATTAAGATTTTTAAAATTCCGAAACTATACATAATATTTAAGAAACAACTGTACTCATTTTGATAGAGTTTAAATAAAATAAAAGACGATGTATAGGAAAAAACTTAATAAAACTCAAAAACATAGTATATCAAGTAGACCCTGTATAAAAAAAGTAATAATTTAGATGAAAAATAAAAGACTATTTAAAGCTACTACAAAACAATATGCAATAGAATTTAAAATTTATTAAAAAAAAAACATTTCAGTTAAACTGTGAATAATAATTTTAAATGAAGGTATCAATTAAAATATTATTGAGTTAGCGATTGTCTTTTAAAAGAAAACATAGTAGGAAGAAATAATTTAAGATCACTGTCATATTATATCCACATAATTGAGTTAAAAACATATATATTATTATATTATTAGTATTAAGAAAAATATATAATAAAATCTACTTACATGGACGCCGGCACGAATTATTATCGAATTATTTGTTGTTTCATAAATAATTTATAAATAAATTAAGAAAATATTTATTTACTACCAAAGACGTAAAAACATGTACTGATTATTTAGCTGAGCGAAACAGACAGCCCGTTTGATGTAAGGCGCAAAGAGTTATATATTGTGAGATTGGTTCAACATTTGAAACTTGACACAAAAATATATAGACTAAAAAACATTTCTACAATATATGTATTGATTAGGGTTCTAAATTAACTATAATTAATATAAATATATAATATGCTTTATCAAAACTAAATACTAAAAAGATTATTTAACTTTTTAACATTAAAAAACAACATACATTGTCTCAATATTGTATGATATAACAAAACTAAACATATTTCTTTTAATTTTAACAAAATGGTTGGTTATTATTATTTTTATAATTAGTATTATCGTTTTTATAAGGATTATAAAAAGATTTAAAAATACACTTGACATAAAATGACAAAAAATTATGTGTGTCAGAGATTTGCTTCAATCACTAATCGTTTGACATTTGACAGGTCAATAGTTCAAATATGTTTTGGTAAATAACAAATGTTTAAAAGAAACTTTAAGTTTTTATTGTAACTTCAGTCGAAGTTGTTAAATTTTATTTCATTTAAAAGTTCATCCCGGTTCCTGTCTCCATTCTACACGATACTGGCATAATATACTGTGCACGTCTTTGCACGGATGAAGGCCACATTTTAAACAACCAAGAAACGATATTTTGATATTTACAATCCTAATTAATTACCAATGCCTGCTTGGCATATACATAATGACCCAACCTTGGAAATTTTCTGAATCATCACAGGATTTATTAGAACGCTTTGTAAAATCCAGCGAAAAAATCGGCAGAAACAAATGGGTGAGGAAATTCGGCCACAGAACAACCGAGCTTTTAGAGAGTTATCACATAACAGTTGTTGATAGAGACGATACTTTTGTGATCAGTAGTGACGAAAGTTCATCAGACACCATCATAACCGGTGATAAAAATAATGAAGTCGATGAAATCCAAAGCATTGCCGACAAATTCAGTCAGGACGTAGCTGTTAGAGAACCAGTCTCTCACATTGATTATATCATGAAGAAATGCTACAAAGATCCGAAAAATTACAATCTATTAGCCGACAGCCTGTCCGAAGCTGATATGGAAAAATTCTTGGAACACATCCTCAATAATGCTGTAGACAACACATTTACAGAGAGAATCCTCACAGAATTACTGCCGACCTACCTCAAGAAATATCCATCAAGAAATTCCATAGATTTATTTATAAAGACGAGGGATAAGAATATATTTAAGCATATATTAGAAATTATAATGAAAGATATTGAGATAGAAAGAGTAATATTGCAGGAATATACTTCGCTACTTAAGAGTACCGAGAAGTCCGACTTGTTGAACAATATTATAACATTTAATATATCGGATGAAGTTTTCACACATCACCTTGAAACAATCCTAATGATTTATAAAGATTGCAACAAAACCAAAGATATTAATCACTTCATACTAACAAAGCTGACCCAGACAGCACAAAATGGTGCAAATGATAAAAATTATGGCCGTCTCTTGCATTTGTATCTACAAAATATTAAACATAATCCCGAAGAAGCTGCTAGTTGTTTAGAAAATTTAGAAAAAGTGATCGACATACACCAGTCCCCGTTCAGAAGACCATGTGTTAATACATTCAATGATATTAAAAGATATATTTTTGCATAGTTAAGAATTATATTCTTTTAAACTGTTCATGATTTTTATTCTTTAAGTTAATAGTATAATTTTATTGTTATATATAGGAAACGTGAAAACCTTCTCCATATGAGAAAGGCCTTTGCTCAGCAGTGGGCTCTGATAGGCTGATGATGATATAGAAAACGTGAAAGTATTTGAAATCAAATAAATACAAGCTTATGAAGTCACTTACTAAATTTATCAATTTACTTATTAAGTTTTGATATTAATGTAAATAATGTCTTTAACTAATCTTCAGACAATAAAAATGGATATAATAATATTCTAAATCCTCAAATTTTCATAAAGTTAGTCTGGTAAAGAAACGAAATAGAGATGGGTTCTCAAAGATTAGAAACTTAGAATTTTCACGTTTGTTTGAAAAAATCATTAATATTTTTAGTTTACGTAAAATAAAAGGATAGTTTACTTACTTAAGCGTCTTGATTCAAACGCGTTTTTCTACAAAATACGTAAACACGGAGAAGGCGGGAACAGAATTTTATATTTGAAATAACACACCGAGATCCAAACTGCACACATTTATTGAAAAATGAATTTTAGTTATAAAAGTAACAGTCTTACAGTAGAGGCATTAAATAACAAGTACAGGCTCAAAAAGTGTATTTGGTATACATTTTTATAAAGAGTTACAAAAAAACATATGTAATTTTGAACACTCGATCACAGATTGCACAAAACACGGCGATTTTTAAACATTAATGAGGATTATCAAAAAATTTTGATGAAGAATAAAGATTAGTTTAAAAATCGCCGGGAAAACTATTATATAATTTTGTTATTACAGTAAAAATCACAGTTGAAAACTTTTGCACCCGTGTAGACTCCCCCTAAATATTTTAAAGCTTTTACATACACTGTGTGCACTATCGTTTTAATTTTCTAATTCTAAAGCTAATATTATTATTAAAAACTTACAATAATAATATAAAAAAAATTATAATAAATGACATTTATTCCAGATCGTCTTACGAATTTGAAAACATAATTTCCAGTATTCTAAATATTCATAGAAATATTGTAATAATCTTTGCGATTACTCAAAAATAATAACTCGTATCTTGATTTTTTTTAAAAAACCAGAAATATATCAAATCTTATAATATATTACTTAAATAATGATTATGAGAATTATTTTAACTTAGATTGAGGCTTTCCGTGTTTTCGAAAAAATATGAACCCTGTTATCCTGACACAAGAAATAATATCCTTCTTTCGTATACAAAGTTTGTTATTAATTTATTTGTAAATTAATCAAAATGGCCGACATTTCAATATACGTGGATGCCACCTCATTAATAACTTATTATAAAATTATTAAGCTTATCCTAATTTAAGTTATAAAAAGTAGAAAATGCAAAAACAGTGGCTAGTAGCAGTAGGTACATTCAAAATCCTATTACCATTTTTAATTCAATATGAAAAACAGTTTTGAACACATCTTGTTGATCAGTCTTAATTTTTGAGATCCGTTTTATTTCTAGATCGATTCAAACCTAGTTCATCTAGAATCTACAACTAAACTAGAAAGATTACCAGCTAGATACTAGGTACTAACTTATTTTTAGATAAATAAATGAAATAAGTAACCCTGTTTGAATTTAGCACTTGAAAAACCCGGATTAGGAACACATTATGTGAAATATATATAAATAAGTAATTTCAGCACCAGATATGTGGAGTTTGGAAAAAAATTATCAATTCAGTCAACGAGGTAAGGATAGACAAAGTCAGAGAACGTAATAGTGTAGCATGCAATGTTAAAGAGATGAAAATTGAAGTCATTAATATGGAAAAATAAATTATTTCTTTTGATTTAAACATGCATTAATCGATAATCTCACCCAACTTCTCCCTTCTACTGACATGTTGGGGCTCGGAGCAGTGGGCCATTAACACAGATTCACCGATGATCAGATTTTCAAAGCACAGAGTGCAAGCGTACAGTGCATCACCGAAGCAGACAATTTTGTTCTCATCTCTATACATTCTCATGGGATTTAGGACTGTACTTGGCTGTATCTCCTTACCAGCTGACATGCATTTCTTAATGTATGCCGTTTTATATAGAAAATGTATCTTCTCACAATGATCTTGACTCAGTATGTGGCATAGCAAGTCATTTTCTTCGGTTTCAACATATTGACAAGGCGGGCAATGGAAAATTATGTTCTTTGTTTCATTTTGTTCACAACTTAATTGGATACTGTGTACTTGGATGTAAAAAGTTATTCGTTCAATGGCCGCCTTCTGGAGTAAGCTATTGAATAAGCTCGAGTCATCATAGCTTGTATAGCTAATAACTTGGTCCAAGGACTCGGAATATGCTGTGAGCGTAGAACAGTCTAATGTAAAATTGCCAATCGATGATGTTATAAATGATGACTGGTCCGTTTTTGATGATGCCGACTCTAAATCGGAATCCGGTGATGAATTATGGCAATTACAATCACATTTGGATGATTCATCATCTATGGAATCATTCCGCAGAGAGAATAAGTTTAACAAAGCATCTCTGAGGTCGGGAAAATCAAAATGCTTTTTCTTTTTGTGCGTTTTCTGTATGGGCTTTTTTAATGATCTTTTCTTATCTATATTCAGGTATATGCGGACAAAGTTGTCTATACAGGCTTTGATTGAAAGCAGTTGCTTCTTTAATTTGTATTTAGTCTGATCATCTTCTCTCTCAACAATGAAATTCCAGTTCGGATTCTTCTCAAGATTCGTGATATCTTCAAGAGTTTTATGAAAATTACTTCCCTGTAGAGCTGATACGATGGATTTGGAATGGAATACTTTGGAAACTTCGATGTGGAATTGGAATTCATGCAACAGTTTTTTCATAACGGATTCCATTTTATCCAGTTTCATTTGATAGTTCAACAGCAGTCTTATTCTTTCTTCTTCACTTTTCTCGAGCTCAACATCACCGAAAGATTCCAAACTTGTCGATGGAACAATTTTATCATTACTGGAGCTGCTTTCATTAACTTTCCGGCACATTTTTATTGATGAATTGCTCGATTTCATAGAAATATCCGTATCTGAATGGTCTGATAGTGAATGTATGTCTATCTCCTCTTCCAGCGGAGATGAAGTGTCCCTCTCATCGTACATAGCATCAAATAGATCCAAAGTCTTGAAATCAAAGCCACGGAAACGTTCAGAAAATGCATCAGAGCTTTTGCACTCCAAGTGAACATGCTTTGGTGTGTTTTCAACATTGTAAGTGCTCAATTGGTTCATAGATTGGCTGGCTTTCTTAATATCTAGCTTGAGTTTTTTACGCCGCTTTTCTCGTGTAGGCACCTCGACGCTCAAAGTTAATAGATCAGTATCAGAAAGCGAGCCTTTCTTAGCAGCGTAATTCTTTAATGATTCTGGCAGCTTCAAGCTAGTGCACTGCCTAGAAGTGGAATCTGCTTCCTCGAAATTTATTACCGGATCTTCGACCCTATACGTATGCCTACGTCTCTTTAAATGCGGATCATTGCTGGGACTATCATCGGATTTTTTGAAATAATTAATATTTGAGAGCATCTTCCTAAAAGAAAACGCCATTTTTCCACAACAACCTCGATATCTGTAACATATATAACAAAAATTGCTAACTTTGAACAAAGGAATATTATTACGATTAACTAAACTTACCAGTATAACTTTAGTGTGTACGGATTTAGATTTGGCTAGACAATAACAATTAATACTAGGACATTTTGACGGCTAAAATAAAATTAAACAAGAATACCTTCAACTTTCTTATTTATTTAATGAACATTTAATTTGACAAATGTACCTACTAACTACACAAACAAAAAGGGGCAGACAATCATCTGTGTTATGAGTCGACTAAATTAAAACGTTTCATAGTTTTGATAATATCGCCATTAGTATGAAAAAATCAATATAAAGAATGTTTTAGTATTCTGACAGAGTACTTTTTGATTTAGTAGTATAATACTTAAAATGTTGTTGCCAGTTGAAATTCTTAAATAGATGTATCCCTTATTTGTAGAGAAAATAATTAAATATAATGAAAATATTAATGTATGATATTTTAATCACCACTCTCTGCATTTAAGACAGAAATGTCTACTAACTAATAGATTCACAAATGGAAACAAAGGAATATTAATGTATTAATTAAATTTATTTTAATATCAGTTGGTACTTTTAGTTTAAATATTCATAAAACTTAAATAACATACTTATTTAACTGTTAAGAAAAAAGAAGAATACTTATTTTCATATAATAGTTATACCATTTATTCAATGTTCATATTTTCACAATTCCTATGATTTCATAGTTTTCAAACGCAACTTACACAAATTTATTTTGCCGCGAAACCAATTTCATTATAAATATTTTACTCGATAATAAAAGTTAAGGAAATAAAGATATGTTATTTTATGAATATAAATCGGCTGGTTTTATTAGCCTCCCGTACGTGGATTGTCTAAATGTAAAATCGGCGCATATGTGGATCCCAATACAGGACGCTCTCACAGACGGGTTTGAGCACTAATTTTTGAGACCAGGTCGGGAAAAACCATTTCATTTCAAAATCTAGTTAAAATATATGAAAATTACAGTTTATTTTATACTAAAGATGTATTTCTTTACCTTCCTACATCAATTAAGCTTGATTTTATATTGCATTGTATCTGTTCTATGACAAAGTATATGGGTCTCCTAAAACGTAACTTTAATTTCCCATATATACAAAATAAAACAATAACTGGATGTAATATTTTATTTTGTATATACACTCTTGTGATTAAAATCAAATTCAAATGGTATACCCTACATACATTTTTTTTCACTGGACCTGTTTCTTAACCTTATACAAAAAAACCAACTCTTCAAAAGTCACTTCTTTACCATAGACATGCTAATTTATATTTTATAGTGAGAGGTCATTCTTTCTTAACCCGATTTTCGTAAGTGCAGAATAGTAAACACTATATTCACGACAAAAATCCCCCCAGACACGACAAAAATTCGAGCGTCCCAGATTGGGACGCTCCACACACGAGAAGTTAGTTAGGAAAATTAAGTAACGTATTTTGTGCTCTCAACATCATTACATTAGGTATATATTTTTCCATGGTACATATTATATTAGTTTGCGGTACATCTTAAATATGTATTGACTTATTTGAGCTATTGTACTCGTTTTAGAAAATAAAACAAAAACAAGAAACGTATAGAATCATCTGGATTCATTAGAAGAAATATCGTGTGTAAAACAATGATGTGCCAAATGCTATAAGTTAAGGCACTCACGTTATTAGCAGACGAAGTTAAATCCATCTTTTGGTTTTGTTTCTATTTTCCCTTTAATATGTGATATACGAGATTTAGTAACCTTAAACAAGTTAGCGAGATTATTATTTTTAGAGCGTGATATTGTTATCGTTTGTAAGAGAACTGAATGGCATTCTCTTTGACGATAGAAACTAGTAATAGTATATTGAATTAAAAGATTATTATTTCAAAGGTATTATAAGTAAACATATTTAATGAATAACTATAACATGGTCTCCATTGCGAAGTATTCTTGAGACTTGAATATCACTATTGATGTTATACATCACGAAGATTAAAAAAATATGTTATTAAATCGTTTTATCTAAATTTTACTTGATTTTTTGATTCAAATTACATTTTCATTATAATTTTTTTGTCATGTTTCTTGGATAAAACTGTTTTTAATTTGGCTGGTACTTAATATTGCATAAAAATGAATTCTTCTCTATTTTACAATGTTTTCTATAGCTTCCACATCCCTACTAATATTATAAATGCGAAAGTAACTCTGTCTGTCTGTCTGTTACGCTTTGACGCCTAAACCACTGAACTGATTTTAATGAAATTTGGTACAGAGATAAAGTTGACCTTGAAAAAGAACATAGGATAGTTTTTATCCCAGACTTTTGAAAGGTTCTCTTGGAAACGCGATATAACCGAACTTCACGCGGACGAAGCTGCGGGCGGAAAGCTAGTACAATATAAAGTATTAGGATTCAAACAAAATGAAACTCCAATCACGCCTAACAGTTTATTATGTGTACAAATTGGGATGTTTCTCCACAACCGATCTGATTTCCGGCGGAAGCGACGCCATCTTGCTGGTGATGAAGAACTTGAGGGTGTCTCTGAGGGCGTGGGGGAAGTAGGCCTCGTCGATTTCCTTTGCCAAAGCTTTGTAACACGAGGGTACCTTCCATCTTATTTTGTAATCTTTGTTTTCAGACTGCAAAAAAATATAATTTATTTATTTATAACTACCAACAAAAGATACAATAATTCGTGTACAGCAGTAATTTTAGTAATACATTTCAAATGTTCTTTTACTAAGTAATTACAATCATAATGGTCATTAATATAGCGAAAAATGCCTAAGAAGTTGAAGTTTTACAACATAGACTTATGGTAATATATTACTGAATTACTCTTCATATTCATATATACTAGTTTTAGCCCACGACTTCGTCTAAATTAATTAAAATAAGAAATGTATTGATGGGCTAACTCTATTGCTCCACAAAGACAGTATATAAGAAGATTTTGGATTTTATCAACTTTTTTTCTTGTGTTTGTATGAAAAGTATCCTATGTACTTTTCCTGGTTCTAAGCTACCTTTTCATCAATGTTCTTAATTATAAATACTATAACTAACATGACTATCTTTTATATATTATATAAATATATTGTTCTAGCTACAGTTTGTCTTGATCCTCAATATTCATACTTCCAGTAATGTGTTACAAGATGTGTGAAGCCAGTATGTATAGTTTACAAACACATGATACTTATGTTGATACATCACAATGGTTCAGTATTATAATTATAATCACTCATAATAATAATTGTAATTTTTATAGTATACTAGAAGACCTGGCGAACTTCGTATCACCCTATAATCAGGAAATATCTATTACGTTTTTTTATTTATATTCTTGGAGTTTACCTGTAAGCATTAAATCTCCGTGTTTTGAAGTGCGACAGAATGATTGACATATTAGTTAGTTGTCAAATCTAATGTCAAAAAAAACGTTTGTATGGGAAATAGAAAAGGGCTGTTTTTATGGTTTTCTCAGTAATGAATCAATTTTTTCCAGCTTTTATACCTTCCCTGAACCTCCACGAACATTTCAAGACTAAGATAAGATAAATCCGTTTAGCCGTTCTCGAGTTTTAGCGAGACTAAGGAACAGCAATCCATTTTTATATATATAGAAGATAGAAGAAGAAGATTATTATTACTAATACTACATATAACTAACACTATATAGTTTTTATAACCAATATATATTGAACCTTAATCAACTGCAGTGCCCGCAGCATGTTGTTGGCCAGTATCCACTGCTGCGGAGCTCTTTGTATGGTTGTCCGGCATAGTTTCCTATGACTATCCATCTCGCTGGCTCCCCACACACAACACAAGGCCTCCACGTATGACACTGTCAGACTCTCTGGATCTTTAATGTTCTGAAAATGGAAATTATATATACATTAATATATATGAAATACTAGTGTTTGCTAGCGACTTCGTCCGTTAATTTCGTCATTAGTAATATATGTATAGCTGACCGGGCGAACTCTATTCCGACCTAGAGGCCGTAAATAACTAGATATTGGAATTTATTAACTTTTTCGTTTTTGATCGTACAGTATTAAATATCCTATGTCCGTCTCCTTGTTCTAATCTATCTCTCCACCAATGTTCATCCATATCCGTCCAGTTGTTCTTGAGTTATAAATAGTTTAACTAACACGACTTTCTATTATATATAAACATTACGACAATCTTTACTTTAAAATTTATGATATGAAAACATAAAAAATATAAATTAAGTAAATATAGACAGAAGTTCTGGCCAATATTTAAAGGTAGTTTGTAAAGTATGCACCATACATTAAAATGTATGTATTAATATTAAATTTAATGTAATATATAATATAATAATACTATAATATACAACTTGAACATAGTTATATATTAACATACCACCTAGAACTAAACTAAAAATTCATATAATTTTTCTTCATATTGCCAAAAGAAAAATAACTTATAAAAAACTCATAATATAAAAGTTTTTTACCTGTAGATGTGCATCAATTACTTCAGCCACGTCATTACCCAGTCGGTTCAAGTTCTCTAAGGTCGGGTCTTTGAGAAATCTACCAATATCTGTTTCTACTTCTTCTATACCTGTATAATAATAATATATTTAATATAGATGAAAATTAATAAATTACTAATTTTTGTATATATTATGTACCTACTTTTTATATAGAAAAATAAGAAAAACATTAATAATTTATTAATATATACAGGGTGACTGGTGAATTACTATCAATATTTAAGGAGCATACTCGGTACATGATTCTCATTCGAATTATGTAAAAAAAAAATAGGTACTTAATTTTTGACCAAATTTCCGTATAAATAAATAAAGTGTGTACACGTTCCAAGTGTTCCAAGTGTGGACGCGTGCGGCGGCGTGCTGATACAACAACACGCCTCCGCGCGCGTATGTGTGAGTGTGTGTGTATACCTAATCTGTAGGGTGTTCATACGATGCGTAATTAATTACACAACTTTTGGTTAACTTTACTTAGAAGTTTATTAATATTTATGTTATATTAATTTTTATTTTGTCATATATGATCGTCAAATATCACGTCCTCAAATATCGATAGTAATTCACCAGTCACCCTGTATATAGTTATTTTAAATTGTTTACTTGAAAATAGATTATTTATAATGATCACAAAGCACTTGTTATATAACAATATGTACATCTTTTATGTTCATGTATTTGTATAAATTATAGTTTTTTTCCTTTAAAAAAATCTGAAGAAACTTGTAAAGAAATTTAATAGTAATAACATTTGCTAGAATAGAGAATCACACAAAGTGGCAGTGTCTTAATATTATGGAGAGCTGGTTAGCATTAAAACATCATCTATTGAGAGATGAGCCTGCCTTATGGCTACCATTAATATTATAAATGTGAAAGTACTCTGTCTGTCTGTTACGCTTTCACGTCTAAACCACTGAACTGATTTTAATGAAAATTGGTACAGAGATAGAGGTGACCTTGAGAAAGAACATAGGATAGTTTTTATCCCAGACATTTGAAAGGTTCTCTTGGAAACGCGATATAATCGAACTCCACGCGGGCAAAACTGCGGGCTAAGCTAGTTCAGTATATCTGTTTGTGTGTATATGTGAGTGTGTGTTTTGCGTTTCCTTCACTATGTATGTATGTACGTGTGTCTCTTTGACCAAGTATGTATGTATACATACATAGGTGAATTACTATCGATATTTGACGATCATATATGACAAAATAAAAATTAATATAACATAAATATTAATAAACTTCTAAGTAAAGTTAACCAAAAGTTATGTAATTAATTACGCATCGTATGAACACCCTACAGATTAGGTATACACACACACTCACACATACGCCACCGCTCGCGTCCACACTTGGAACACTTGGAACGTGTATGCTCCTTAAATATTGATAGTAATTCACCAGTCACCCTGTATAATATATATCTCTGTATGTCTGTATATATATATGTATGTGTGTGTATGTGCACCAGTTCGGTCCAGGTCTTGCTGCTCCTCCACACTAGTCTCCGCGTGTCTCGCGTCCTCCGTGGCGCTGTCCTCCTCAGAAGCTCCCGACTGATAGTCCGAGTGTTCAGACTCGGACTCATCTGAAACATTATATATATTGTACTATAATATATATATCGGCGCTATCAGCTTTAATAACGGATGCGACATGAAAATAATTTGATGCTGTCAACAATCTATACTAATATTATAAAGCTGAAGAGTTTGTTTGTTTGTTTGAAAGCGCTAATCTCCGAAACTACTGGTTCGAATTGAATAATTCTTTTTGTGTTGGATAGTCCAGTTATCGAGGAAGGCTGTAGGCTATATAACATCACGCTACGACCAATAGGAGCAAAGATATAGTGGTAAATGTGTAAAAAGCGGGAGAAATTATTTCATCTTTGAAGCCTTCCGCTGCGTGCGCCGTGAAAACGGTTCAAGATACCCAAAAAATATGTATTAAAGAATAATAGCTCTTTTAATGATGCAAAAAACAGTTCGCGACAGTATATGTCTATCTTTTAAGATGAACTCACAAAAACCGTTTTTATGGTACCTAATTTGGTCGAAATAATTTGTTTAAGTTGTATCAACATAATAATATTAATCTTTATTCAAATAAACAAATAAATATGTTGTTGGTTAAGAGTACTTCATTGTGAATAAAAAAAAAACATAGGTTTTATCCTGAAAATTATACGGAAACTCGACCATTCCGAAAACCCCGCAAAGCGGGAACTATGTGGGAAGAACCAAAAATCTGCGGGAGGTCACTATTCCACGCGGACGAAGTCGCGGCAAAAGCTAGTTATTAATAAAACTCATTAGTATTCATGATTATTGTTAAAAGTAAAACCAAATCAAAGATTGTTTAAAAGGAGAATAGAACTATGTTTAAATCTTGGTATAAATATGACGTCTGGACGCACGACGGCAGAGTTCAGTGAGTGCGTATCAATGAATAATGTGATTATGAAGAACCTTCAAGAAATAAGGGAGTATTAAGAACAATTGAAGTTTCATTTTAAAATATCATGGAACGTTCTAGAAGAAGTGACATTAGTAACGTCAGCGAGGCTGGCGTTTCTCTCTTTAAAAACAATGAATTTGTAATAATTAATAAATAATTAATTATAAAACTAATAATTAATAATAATGAAACTACATAATATTTTTCGAATTATACTGCGCGTGTTTTATTATTATAAAAACTACATGCTCCCGACGTTTTGGGCGTTTGTTGTTATAATCCGAAGAATATTAGTTTCATTTAAATGTATACTCTCTAAAACATTAGATCTAATTATATACAGGGTGACTGGTGAATTACTATCGATATTTGAGGACGTGATATTTGACGATCATATATGACGAAATAAAAATTAATATAACATAAATATTAATAAACTTCTAAGTAAAGTTAACCAAAAGTTGTGTAATTAATTACGCATTGTATGAACACCCTACAGATTACTCTACACTACACACTCACACATACGCGCGCGGCGGCGTGTGTTGTATCAGCACGCCGCCGCACGCGTCCACACTAGGAACACTTGGAACGTGTACACACTTTATTTATTTATACGGAAATTTGGTCAAAAATTAAGTACCTATTTTTTTTACATAATTCGAATGAGAATCATGTACCGAGTATGCTCCTTAAATATTGATAGTAATTCACCAGTCACCCTGTATACAGGGTGACTGGTGAATTACTATCGATACTTGAGGACGTGATATTTGACGATCATATATGACAAAATAAAAATTAATATAACATAAATATTAATAAACTTCTAAGTAAAGGTAACCAAAAGTTATGTAATTAATTACGCATCGTGTGAACACCCTACAGATTAGGTATACACACACACACTCACACATACGCGCGCGGCGGCGTAGTGTTGTATCAGCACGCCACCGCACGCGTCCACACTAGGAACACTTGGAACGTGTCCACGCTTTATTTATTTATACGGAAATTTGGTCAAAAATTAAGTACCTATTTTTTTTACATAATTCGGATGAGAATCATGTACCGAGTATTCTCCTTAAATATTGATAGTAATTCACCAGTCACCCTGTATATCCTACTACTATTATAAAGGCGAAAGTTTGTAAGTATGGATGTATGTTTGTTACTCTTTCACGTAAAAACTACTAAATGGATTTGAATGAAACTTTACCACAATATAGCTTATACATCAGAATAACACATAGGCTACAATTTTTGAGGTTTCTAATGTGAGGTCGTAAAAAAACACATTTTTTGCGCTTACATTTCAAACGCTGACTGAATCCTACAAGATAGATCAAAACAATGTACTACAGTGTTGTACAACTAAAAAAGGTCTACAAAAGAGTCCGTGATGGTATATGTTTATCTCTTAGGAATAACCCACAATAACCATTTTTTATCCTTTACTTTGTACGAGAAATAATGGTTTCTTTACGAAGCGATTTTAAGCAATACGGTATAACCCTTATCCAATTAAGTATCTTAAATACATTGTGCATTTAATAAATATCAATATGGCTTTTTACAGCATGTAAATTAAATAAATATTTTCGAAGATATCACAGATTTAAAATGCGGAGTCATAGCAATTTCGGTGATAAATACCGGCAGCGGTGCCAGGCGAACGGGGCGTGGGGGGAGCGGGGTAGGTGCGGTGGGGAAGAAGTGGCTATACATATATTACTAATGACGAAACTAACGCGGACGAAGTCGCGGGCAAAAACTGGTATATATATATAATGACATATAATTCCCTTACATTCCTCGTCACTCCCTTCTCCATCACTCAGTTCAGCGGACGCTCCAAGCTTATCCTTCATAATTTTCTTATTGGCCGCTCCACCTAAACTGTTGCCTGTAACATATACACAAAATGTTATTAACATAATTATAAATAGCGCCATCTATTGTAATGTGAAACTAAATTTATTTTATAATATCTATTTTATACCAGCAGATAATTAGTACATGATCATAATTAATTTATTATTAAATATACAATATTATAATATGAACATCATTATATTGGGACCCCACGATACAGGTTTCCTAGTGTGGGGTCCAAAGACAATCGAAATTTTAAAATGTGCTGAAAACATAACGCACCTCAACCTTGATGTATTATTGTGTAAGCATTTTTAACATTCAGTCACACACACATTGAGGAATGTACTGATTGATGTATTATATGTGTGTGTGTATTTGTGTGAGTGTGTGTGTGTGTGTGTATTTATGTGTGAGTGTGTGTGTGTCTGCGTAGAGTTTTGATATTGTGTGTGTGTGTGTGTGATGTTCATTTTCTATAATTTAATATATTTTAAATACATTTTATAACAGTAAAATCTCCACACATTTTTCTTCAACACTGTGACTGTTCTAAACTTCATTTTCATAGTAACACATTCATTTCCACTTATTTCACCTATCTATATAATATTATCTCATCATTGTACTTACCGGCCAAGTTAACTCTTGTCAACCTATCCTTGGCCCCCGGTTGTATTGTCAGAGCTTCAACCATTTGCATACAAGCTTCCCGACCAATCTCGTTATGACTTAACTCAATGGACTGAAAATAATACATTATTACAACTCTATTGAAAATATTACTATTTAAGATATAGAGATATGCTTAAAAATAGCCTTAATATGGAAAATTTAATTATATGTGGCTAATTACTTCATATGTCAAGATATTTATGCTTTAATCTTTTAATATATTATATGTATAAAACGGAATTTTCTTTAGGCGACCATTTTGTGAAAAGTGACAGTTTGATTTGATAAAATGGCGCGAAATTAAAAGCAAATATATATTTATATTAGTTATTCGACCAACATTATTGATATTAATTTGAGCATTATGTTTATTACTTATTTGAATGTTTAATTTCATTGTATACAATCTTATATACACAAATTATAATTTCATGAAAATTACGATGGAAAGTTATCATTATTTTTTACCTCTAAGAGTACATTGTGGTCTTTTATTCCCTGAGCTAGCGCCTTCGCCCCGGCGCTCTTCAACAGACAGTCGCCGAAATTTATTGATTTTAATTTCTTTAATCTGTAAAAAGAAATGAGCTTAATAAAAGTAATATAGCTTATATGTATGTTATAGCTTAGCTGTATAATTCTTTACCTCTAAGTGTTGTCAATTCAAAATCTCTAAATATATTTAAAAAAACGATTAAGAACCCATATATTAGAAGATTTCACTGATCTTGTTTAATATCACTACTGTTTATTATTTGTAATTTTAATTGTATTTATAGTTTTTAAAATTTCCTTTGTAAGCGAACTTTGTTCTTTTTGGAAATAAACTTCTTTAAACCTTTATGTTAACAGCATTCATAGAAAAGACTAAAACAATTTTCATGAAACTTACCATTTGAGAAGCTGTTTGTTAAAATCTATTTACTTATAATTCAGAGAATGCATATAATTTATAATTAAACATCGTTTTTAAAAATTTATTAATTGTGGGACAGATATATTTTTTATAATTTTAACTTACGAATTTTTCAATTACCTATACTTTAAAAACTACAAGAGTAATTGTGACCTAACATTATTTTTTAATTAATTAATATAAATAGCCGTTTCAGGTATTTTTCAGCAACTGTAGTCATTAAGACGAGATGTGAAATTCACAAACGTCGAGTATGTAGTTTTTTACAAAAATAAAACACGCATAGTACATCCGAAAAATATTAGTTTAATTTAAATGAATACTCTCGTTGCCAAGAGTGCGGGTTCGACCCTGGCCCGGGTAAGTACCAATGTGATTTTTCCGAGTCTTTCTAAGAATATTTAGACATCACTGATTAATGCATTCCCAAAGAGGGTTGATGTCAGGCAGGCGGCCGGTCGTAAAAACAATTAGCCAAAACTATTTACAACAAGTAAGGCAGACCCTGGCTATAGCCGGGAAATTGCCAGGTAGAAGAAGAATACTCTCGAAAATCTTGCATCTCATTATATTTATATGTCTGTCTGTCCATACAAACCTCGGTAACGCAGCAGCGATGGACACAGCCCCCTTTGGTCCTATTGTGTTATCATTGAGGTTAATGACCTCCAAATTTGGTGAATGTCTGAATGATTCCGACAATGCCGCTATCCCTGTATGATAAATACCGTTCTGCGGCATGGCAAGCTCTTCAAGACTGCCCATTGACTGAAATGATATGATTTTACAGTTTAATACAAAGTAATTTATTAAAGTATCCCTACTAATATTATAAATGCGAAAGTAACTTTGTCTGTCTGTTACGCTTTCACGCATAAACCACTGAACTGATTTTAATGAAATATGTATAGTAGAGATAGAGTTGACCTTGAGAATGAACATAGGATAGTTTTTATCACAGACTTTTGAAAGGTTCTCTTGGTAACGCGATATAACTGAACTATACGCGGGCGAAGCGGCGGGCGGAAAGCTAGTTTATTATATTAGTTTATATGTATATAGAAAATAGTATTATATGCTTAGTAGTAGCCATTGGAATTTATTTTTTACTAGCTGCCTCCGTACCGCCCTATAATCAAGAAAATATATCTGTCACCTTTTTATCTCAATGAAGTTAATTTCTAAATTATTTACAGCTGACTTGACAGACAATGTTCTGTCTTCTTAATTTTGATTATTGAATTCTAATTGGTATATTAATAAATCAAAATTATTCCAAAAACCCAGTGTTTATTATTCTAATGCTTTTTTTCTAACTACGTGAATATTACTGCTAGTGACACATAACTTTAATGAAAAAGTGAAATATTCTAGTTATTTTTTTGACCAATTTTCGTATTTTTTTCTTACATAAGAACCTCCTCTTAATAATAACAAATGCAACAAAAAAGAATTAGTGAAATCGGTCCACGCGTATGCTGTGACCAAGGGAAAAAGGGATTCATTTTTATAGATTAATAAAATCTTATGTTTGATTATGTTTGTATATCCAACCTGATATTCTTCATATTACAAAATAATACTTATATGCCTACTAATATTATAAATGCGAAAGTATCTCTGTCTGTTACGCTTTCACGCCTAAACCACAGAACTGATTTTAATGAAATTTGGTACAGAGATAGAGTTGACCTCGAGAAAGAAAATATGATAGTTTTTATCCCAGATTTTTGAAAGGTTCTCTTGGTAACGCGATATAACCGAACTTCTCGCGGGCGGAAAGCTAGTATATATAAAACATAAAGGAAAAAAATATTTAATCAGTATATGATATTGCAACTCCTTAAATAACTTTAAATAATGAAATAAGTATAGCATATATTTAAAGTAACAAAAACATGTCATTTATATATTATTATAACTGTCTGACAAACTCATTGTGTTTACATAATTTATCTTGTTTCGTTGGCTACACATTATATAAAACTATATTACCTGAAAAACAGCAGCTAATGCTCTGGCTCCGTCGTTCTCAAGCCTATTTCTTCCCGCTATGAATACTTTCAGCTTCAATGTGTTACTCGACAAAGCCTTTGCTAATAATCTTCCACCAGTTATTCCCAGGCCGTTGTTGTTCAAACGAAGTTCCTGGAATTGATTTTAATATATGTATTTATGATGTGTAAAATGTCTTGATGAGTGAAAGGAAAGTCAGATCTAAGGAAGGAAATTCTACAGATGTTATCAACTATTGGAAGAATTCACAGATGTTCTAAACTTTGGGCACTCACGGGATGTATTGTGTGTTCATTTGTCATATATATATATATATGAAAATAAAGTTTTGTAAGCAATGGTGTAATACACCAATGAGATCTAATATTTTTGGGAGTATTCATTAAAATGAATCTAATATTTTTGGCATTACTACGCGATTTTAATTTTAGATATAAACTGCGTCCTCCCGACGTTTCGGCTACTTTTCATCAACCGTGATCATTACGACGAAGTGTGAGTGTCTGTCAGTTGGTCTTGTTATTTTATCACCTAAACTTTAGGTTATAAAATAATAATCGCGTAGTACAACCGAAAAATATTAGATTGATAGATTCATTTAAATGTAATACACTAACTAGTCAGCTCTCAAGAAATTAAGTATCGATCACAAATGACGGAAAAAGGATATTTCATTAATATGATAGTTATCTTCAAGGTACTTAAATGTTTTTTTACATCAATATGAATTTTAATTATTCTTATATACAATATATAAACAATAATCTATAATACTTTGAATAAGTTTGCACAATTTTATATCCTTATATAGACAAATTATTTTACATATATTTTATCAAGAATGTCTATTACCTGTAACTCGGAGCAAACTTCACTCTGCAGTAACTTAGCCAGACCTTCAACACCGATTGGTCCAAAGGCATTGTCACTGAGATCTAATAATGAAAGCCTCGCACCAGCTTCAATCATGCCATCACCGAGAGCACTCTGGAATAGTCACCATCATTATTATCAAAAACCTGACTGTCATAAAAGTTTTGTAGGTGGTAGAGTCTAGCTGTCGTCAAGTTACTACAGCTCGAACATGGACTGGCTTGATCAGGGAACTACCACTCTCTCACTGAAGTTCGGTTTGATGTAGTCTTTAATGGCTGCGTTTTGTCTTTTGACATGAAATAGTTGCCCTTTCCTTATTCCTATCTCTTTCTATTCCTAAAAAACCAAGGTTTGCAATTCATCCTCAACAGAGATGTTGTGTATATCTATGGCCAACAATGATTACTACCCATGAGACTATCACAAGTGGAAAAATAGAGGTAAATTATTTATCCACAAATGAAAAACCAGCAGATTTGTTAACTAAAGGCTAGGTACAGTTAAACATTATAAGTTTATGGAAAAACAAGGCATTTTAAAATTGTAATGAAACTTTGTTTATTTTATTTTGATAAGTGGAGGTGTTGAGTTTAATTTTATCAAAATGCATAAGTGTGTTAAAAATATCATTGTGCTTGGTGTTGGTAGGTTCAGTATACACTAAATAACCAACCGTGCCTGCTCATTTGCTGCCTTTCACAAAAAATGCTGTGTACCGAAACCAATATTCTACAAAGTAAAGTTCAAAGCCTACATTATCATATCTCATCATTACTCACCAGCGCTGGAGGGATTTCGGTCTTCATTCTCCCCGTGAACATGTCACTGAATCTTGCGACTTTCAGTTCCGGGTGCCTCGATAATGCTGTTGCGATAGCTTTAGCTGCTTCAACACCCAGTGTGTTACCAGTTAGAGTCAGGTAGTGAAGATTTGGACAAGCATTGATTGCTTCTATGATTGGAAGAGCTGGTGAATATATAAATGGGTATAGTTTTGTTAGTGCCAGATAAAAACTATATATATTATATGCATTGAGATATAAAAGTAAAGTGTAATGTAATGCTACATTTTCTCTTTGATAAGACTTTAAATATATTATTAAAATTGTTCAAATAGGTAAGACATATTGTTTTATCTAGTTTTTGGTAATTTTCTTACTGTAGTAAAGAGAATGAAAATAATAAACAGTTATTTTTGTAATCACTATACTAAAGTACGACAATGTTGATAGTGGGTACGCGGTATCGTAAATTTGGATATAATTTTCAAAATGAATTAAAAGATGATAATGTTTAGAGGTTATGTCGAAGTTATTAAACAGTTATAGTTTCCTTAGTATCATTATAAATTCTTTATTATAATTACTATTTTATTACTCAGGCATTGTTTAAATTAAGTATTATCAACGTGTGTAGCGAAAACTTCTGTTTACAAACCGTCTTGTTCCGAGTCCAATTTTAATGACCTTCCACTGAAATCTACGCCGCTCTCCGTTCTGTTAGGCTCATTAAGAGCCTTGCTGATTGAATTCAAGTCGAAAGACATTTTTATTTATAAAAATAAAACTTTAAAATAAAATAATAACACTCAACGGATTCTTTTTAATTTTCGGCATCGGCAAGCGGAGTTTGTTAGGGAATGTCAACTGTCATTTTTGATATGTTAATTACGTAGTAAAATAATTCAAATTTATATAAAATAACAATTTCTTTTCTCAAATTGTCAATAAAAATTACTATATATTGTAATTTTGATTAGTTTTCATAAAATCAATAAAATTATTGGGATTTCAATTCATTTTAATTGCATGCAAATATATTCTGGTTAGCTCTACTGAAAACTTAATATATTAATGTGTATTACATAAGTCTATTGAGTAATATTAACATATACTAATTTCTGAATTACTTTACATATTTATAACACTAATTATTGCTCGCAGTTTTGTTTCATTGTTGTATAATACTAAATATAACTTTTATATTCATTTAAATGAATAAAACTCGCGAAAATCTTAGATAATTAGTGAAGTTTTATATTATTAATAATAAATACTACTTCATTAACATCCGAAATAATTTAATTTTATATAAAATGTACACTCCGAAGTCCTATAATAAAATATAATTCTCTATACAAGAATCGAATCCTACTTGAATTATATTTACAAATAGTACAGAGAAAGTAACAGAGATTCAGATATCTGTAATCTTATCTTGAAAGATCAATTTGATTGACTATATTTGAAACTTAAGATTAAATATTTTTTTGGTTCCACTCTTATTTTATGCAGAGCAATGCTCGAATTTAAAAAAATCTTTAACTTTCGTTTTATAATTAAATAACGTAGGTACATATATAACTTAATAAAAAAATGTTAAAAAAAGATTTATTTCAGTTTTCACGTACTATTTATAACTTAAATATATATTAATAATATATAAAGATCTTTTGTTTATATAATAACTAACAGACATATTATATTTATATGTAGATATTTCCGTATGCTCTTTTCACGTCAGTCGTAAGTCGGCTAGTGTTGACAGTGATTGTACGTCTACAGTGAGCTTGATCTACGCCGATAGTCATTTGTCACAAATATTTAACAAATATTTTGACTACGTGACCACTCTAAATAACATTATGGCGGGTATGTATTATAATTAGATAAATTAAGTTTAGATTAATAGTTTTCTTTACATAATTCTTATCAGACACACGGAACTGGTTTATCGTTTACATCAATGAGAATAAACACGGTGTTTTCAATATATTATTGAACTTGGTGCTTCACCTTTGATCCTATGCTTATGTGAAAAAAACACTTGGCTGTTTTTTATATTTATTATATACAGCCTTAGGTTTAGTTTTTCCGACTATACAATGTAATTTATTTTGTTAATCAACTAAAAGATAACCTTCAAGACAAATTAACATAAAATTATGCGTTATTGAGGCCAGTATTTTGTAGATTTTAATTAAAAAAAAAAATATAATTGTCTGTGATTTCATTAATTTTAACTTATCTTCTTCTTCCTGGCAATTTACCAGCTTTATCCAGGGTCTGCCAATTAATTTTAACTTCATACGATATAATTTAATGTATTTTCTAATAGAATATTCTAGATAAGTAACATTTAACAAAACTTATTATTTTTTCATGTTTTTCACTTGCATGTATGTCATTTATTCAATTTTCTTTGAAACAGTTGATTAAACTCAGACATTGAATATGAAACAACGATAAAATACAACTTGATACTGGTTGATAGTGAAATAATTATTTAAAAAGTTAACATTGCTTTTAGTGTGAGAAATTTCTTTTTATATATATGATTTTTAAATTTTAGTATGTCATGATATCTTGTAACATCATTAGATAAGCTTATACCTCGTGATTGCGGTTTCAGTAAATTGTTGCATAAAATATATGTGTTCTATATAAACTCCAATTCTTATGAGAAATTAAACATTAACAGATTGCTAAAAGCAGACCAATTCTTGATACTTAATATTTAAAACACTTTTGAAGATTCTGTTAACATTTCTCAGCTTAGTGTCTGTAATTAATACTATAACTGCTATTTTAACATTATCATAAGGTAATATTCTTTTATAAACATGATAAAAATTATTATAATAAATAAAAGTAATATTTTTGGATTATGGAAAAAAAATTTTTTTTCATCTTGTTTGCCCTTGATCATGATTGCTTCAAAGTAACCGAAACATGGGGAGTATGTAGTTTAAAATATTAAAAAATTCGTACATCTGAATATATTAGTAACATTTAAATGAATACTCAAGAATCTTAGAGCTCATTATTTCTATAATAGTATAATAGAAAACTAATTAGAGGATAAAATTTATTTAACATATATGACATAGATTTTAAGACTTCTAACAAGCACATAGATAATCATCTACAATATTGCAATTTAATTTATTAATAAATATCAATAAAATTAATTAATTAAATTATTGTTTACATGTATAGACAATACAAATTATTTTTAAATGACAGCCAAAAGATTTAGGTAAGAAGTCATAGTTACATACCTACAACTAAATTATAATTCTTAGTAAGTGTAAATAACCTTGTTGAAGTTTTGTGACCTTTGAAGTTTTGTGAGCATTTTAATTAATAATTTGTGAATTTATTATATATAAATCATTCTATTAATATGAAACCTCCTTATACTATGTTTATATGCAATCTTCTTTCAAAACTTCGTAATTTATGTCAAAATCCAAATGTTTTTTGTAATTCGTCAGAAATCTTTTAAAGTGTTTATTAGTTTAAGAATCTTTAAACGTTTTTTCAGTGAAGGTACGTAATTACATCCTTGTTATTTGTTTAGATATAACTTGTTATATTTTTGTGGTGGCACTTCACTTTGGTTGCGTATTCGGCGCATTTGTCCAAATATCGCAATTATACCATCCACACTTGGCATCATAACACGTCTATACGTATCCGCTTATTTGTGTATGTGTGTTATTAGTGCAAATATGTCAGATAAAGACGAATATATCATCCACACATGCTCTTATTTGGCCGAACAACAAATAAACGCTAATTGAAGTAAACTTGGTAGCTTTGAAACAAACCATTTGAGTTTTGACACTTATGACATTTATTGACGCGGGAATTTGAAATAGTTTGATTTTATTGTAACTTAGAAATGTTTAATTTTCTTTTATAACAAAATTATATATATGTATTTACTGATTGTTTAGTGCGTTAGTGAATGTTAATTTTCCTAATGTTCAGTAAAAATTAAGTGGTAGGTCATAGGTGTGACATATAATAAAATATAGTACACAAATCAACTGTGGCGCGTCACTAGCACTTGGATCTGTCGTCGGAGGCGGGAGAACGTTCTCTTGAGTTGTGACTTGTGTATCTACTTACTGATAATTTGGTGGTTTTATTTATAATTCTGAGATATAAATAAAGGATATCACAGTAGGTATTTAAGTATCCGAATACAATACAGTTCTCTTTTTGTTTCAATACATACAAAATGTGAGTAAAATCAGATATAGAAGTATACAAAATGTATAGTTACTCAAAGCTTGAACCATCACACTATATACGGAGTTTTAACAGTTTTTCATTTATAAATCTTCATACATTATTGACAGAAATTGGAATCGCTTCGTATTTAGTCGCGATGCATAATTTATGCTAAACATAATACTCTATAGTCCAGTCCATTTCCGTGTAGATAAAAAGCAAAATACTGAAAGATCAAATTGTGTAATTTCAAATCTGTATATATAGAAGAAAGTCGTGTTAGTTACACTATATATAACTCTAACGGCTGTACGGATATGAATGAAAATTGGTGGAGAGATTGATTAGAACATAGAAAGGACATAGGATACTTTACATACGATTGAAAAAGCGACAAAAAATTGATAAAATACAAAATCTTCTTATTTATTTTCTTTAAGGAGGAACAGAGTTCGCCCAATTTATACATTTCCAATTCTGATTAACGCAGACGAAGTCGCGGTCAAAAATCAGTTAAATAATAAAAATTAATTTCTATTTTCCTTTTCTTATTGAAGTATTACTAATTATAACATAGTTATATGTAGATTTTCTCATTTTATTCATTTAAATGTAACTAATATTTTTCGTATTACTACGCGTATTGTAAAAAACTACATATTATGTACTCCCGATGTTTCGGTTACTTTTCATCAACAAATTAATGTTTCATTTTAAATGTATAAATTAAGATGAAAGATAAAATTATTTATTTATATTATTACAATGACCTTTGATTAATTATCTATCGATAGTTTTTTTTAATAATACTATTAATTAAATGGCGAAAGTCCATTTCATAAACAATTAATTAATTATTTATAATATAAAAACATATATGATTTTATATGTTACAAGATTTAAAAAAAAAACTATAACTGGAATATAAAAAGTAAAAATTTATATTAATATTATTTATATACAAAGTACCAATGTGATTTTTCCGAGTCATATGTACTTTATAAGAGTATTTAGACATCACTGATTAATGCATTCCCAAAGAGGGTTGATGTCAGGCAGGCGGCTGGTCGTAAAAACAATTAGACAAAACTATTCACAACATGTAAGGCAGACCCTGGCTAAAGCTGGGATATTGCCAGGTAGAAGAAGATATACAAAGACGAATATATTGCCACTGTCGTCTAGTTATAAGAAGACTTTTTTTTGTTAGTTTTTTCTACAAACGAGATGTAATGACAAAATAATGATTTTTTTATCATTTTATAAGTTTAAAAAAATTCATAGAATAATATTTGGAATATATAAACGAAAGTAATATTTTCGGATGTACTACGCGATTTTTATTTTTGATTATAATCTACATACTCGCGACGTTTCGGTTACTTTACAGCAACCGTGATCATAAAAAAATTAATTAATATTATTTTTATATAAAGAATATTGTAACTTCTTCCTGGCATTTCCCCAGCTTTAGCCAGGGTCTGTCAACTGCAATTGTAATTGTTGTCCAAATTTTTTTCTTATTATTTTTATTCTACTAATTATTGTCATTATTTTTTTAGCGCCAAATCCGTACAATAGGCTGTTGAAGAAATTGGAAGTGAATAATAAAAGTTACAATTATTACGACATATCACAACTAGGAGCTAAATATGGTGAGTGATGATGATTATAATCTTCTATCTTCTATCTTCTTCTTCTATATATATATATATAAAAATGGATTGCTGTTCCTTAGTCTCGCTAAAACTCGAGAACGACTGAACCGATTTATCTTATCTTAGTCTTGAAATGTTCGTGGGGGTTCAGGGAAGGTATAAAAGCTGAAAAAAATTGATTCATTACTGGGAAAACCATAAAAACAGCCCTTTTCTATTTCCCATACAAACGTTGTTTTGACATTACATTTGACAACTAACTAATAATATGTCAATCATTCTGTCGCACTTCAAAACACGGAGATTTATGTCTTTAATAGGTAAAGTCCAAAAATATAAATAAAAAAACGTAACAGATATTACTTGATTATAGGGCGACACGAAGTTCGCCAGGTCTTCTAGTAATTATAATAATTTATTTCAGACCATATTATAGATCTTTATAGTGTTAGTACAAATTAAACTTAATAAATAAATTGGTCAGTAAATTTACAAAAGAAAAGCAATTTTATTTATGATACTTAACTAATTTCAAAAAATATATTTTACTTGACTACGTGGAGTTTTATCCAGTGTGCTAAAATTGGTGAATCCCAGCGATGATGATGATGAAAAATGATGATTAATAATTAATTATGTAAAGAACATAAAATTATAGTTATACATTATTTCAAATCAGTTCGCTTAGTTTACGTACTCCTAGAAACGAGATTAGAATTGAAATATTTGAAATATTGTCTACATTAACGATTTTTAAGGTAATTTTTTCACAATCAGTAATTATTTTGTGTTTAATTTATTAATAATTGTGAAAAAAATTACCTCAAAAGTCGTTAATATATAAAATATTTCAGCTCAAACTTTCTTTTGATAATTAATCTGCTTCCAATGTAGATACGTGGAATTATACAATGATAGTTACGAGGATTTGCACTATCACCGACTATATCCTACTAATATTATAATTGCGAAAGTTTGTGAGTGTGTGTGTATGTTTGTTACTTCTTCACGCTCAAACGGCTGAACCGATTTTGATAAAACTTTGTATACTGGAAGCTGACGTACTTTACAACCCGGAAATCCGCGGGTAACACCGCGGGACGCAGCTAGTGTATAATTATTTTCTTTTTCTTCAGATCGTCTGCCGTTTAGCGTGCGGGTACTTCTGGAATCTTGCATTCGCAACTGCGACAATTTCCAGGTGTTGGAAAAAGATGTAAATAATGTGCTGGATTGGGAGAAGAACCAAGCTGTTGAAGGTGGAGTGGAGATAGCTTTCAAACCAGCTCGTGTTATTCTACAGGTATTTAAACTCTTATTCAATGTATTCACGGTGCGTGTGTCGGGTCCATCGTTGTAGTGAGAGGAGCTTCAACAGTGACTGTGACTTGTGACCCAGGTGTAGGTTTAATATATATAGAGAGACGTAACCTCTCATCATTCAATGTATTCACGGTGCGTGTGTCGGGTCCATCGTTGTAGTGAGAGGAGCTTCAACAGTGACTGGGACTTGTGACCCAGGTGTAGGTTTAATATATATAGAGAGACGTAACCTCTCATCATTCAATGTATTCACGGTGCGTGTGTCGGGTCCATCGTTGTAGTGAGAGGAGCTTCAACAGTGACTGTGACTTGTGACCCAGGTGTAGGTTTAATATATATAGAGAGACGTAACCTCTCATCATTCAATGTATTCACGGTGCGTGTGTCGGGTCCATCGTTGTAGTGAGAGGAGCTTCAACAGTGACTGTGACTTGTGACCCAGGTGTAGGTTTAATATATATGGAGACGAAACCTCTCATCATTCAATGTATTCACTGTGCGTGTGTCGGGTCCATCGTTGTAGTGAGAGGAGCTTCAACAGTGACTGTGACTTGTGACCCAGGTGTAGGTTTAATATATATAGAGAGACGTAACCTCTCATCATTCAATGTATTCACGGTGCGTGTGTCGGGTCCATCGTTGTAGTGAGAGGAGCTTCAACAGTGACTGGGACTAGTGACCCAGGTGTAGGTTTAAGGGACCCTATCTAACGTTAAACGATCACCTCCACTGTACAAGCTCCTCTCTTTACCTAACGTATTGTGAAAGCTATATATACACCCTGACATCTATTGGTAAATAGTAATACTAATTTTTGCTAATTGCTTTAACTACACAACAGCAAATGGTTTTTAGGTTAGACTAAGAAAGTCATTGTTGATTTACATTGTTTTGTGTATTTTTAATGTGTTCACTTATAAATGCCTAAACGAAATAAAATAACCCAAAATAAATACTAATAATTTTAATACCGAGCAAAGCGTGGTAACCAGATGTTGTATAATAAAGTGATCTAGCTACATTATACTTGATATAACATTACCGACCAAGTATAACTAATACAATCATGTTTAAATAATGATTATATACTAGCTTTCCGCCCGCAGCTTCGCCCGCGTGGAGTTCGGTTATATCGCGTTTCCAAGAGAACCTTTCAAAAGTCTGGGATAAAAACTATCCTATGTTCTTTCTCAAGGTCAACTCTATGTCTGTACCAAATTTCATTAAAATCAGTTCCGTGGTTAAGGCGTGAAAGCGTAACAGACAGACAGACAGAGTTACTTTCTCATTTATAATATTAGTAGGGATATTAGTGTGAGTTTAGCATGTATTTCAAGTTAGATGTGAGACATTAGATGGTTAACCATTTTCATATCTTGTATTGGTTTATCACTGAGAAACGGATTACCAAAGTATTCTCTCTTGTCATATAATAAATTAATAACATAATGCCCTATTATAGAAAATATTGCTAAATATAAGAAATAAACATTATTTAATCCAAATACATATTTATTTAAACACCATCATACTTTAACTGACAAATTATTTATTTATAATGATGATATTGAAAATTATTTATTTAAATTGTAAACTATAAGCATTATATTTGTAATTGTAGTAAATTCATTAGTAGTATTATTAGTTTATTCAAAAATATTTGCACACCAAATCTTCAGAATATGTTGGACCACTGTAAATGTATTAAATGCCTTTGTTAGCCCATAGTCGAGCAAATAAACTATTATTATTATTGAATTTAGATTTTCCAGCTGTATTTCCCAATTTCCAGGACCTGACAGGTGTTCCAGCGGTAGTTGACTTTGCGGCTATGCGTCACGCGGTCAAACAGCTGGGAGGTGACCCTGACAAAATAAACCCAATCTGTCCAGCTGACCTGGTAATAGATCACTCTGTCCAGGTGGATTTTGCTAGAACGTGAGTTTAACCGACTTAACAATGATAGGTTCTGTTATTTACAAGTGTAGGATTATCTAGTTAATATGTGATAATGTAATATATCAAATAATTAGTTTTCAGCGTGTAGAATTTTATATACAGGTTTTAAAGCATGAGTGGGTATGAATATTATCAAAAGCATTCAAAGCAAACCACAATCTGTTTCTCTGAAAATACAAAGATTTTTTTACTTAACACGCCTTTACAATATTATAACACTTTTATCTTACCTGAAAATACAAAGAAACGATATTAAAGTCCACTAATATCACCTCCTCAATTATATCCCTTAGTTTATCTCTCTACACGTTTTAATAATCATAAAGTGAACAGAAACTTAAACATAATTCGCCATTAGTGAATACTGACGCGTCTCTGGTCGACATGTTACAAACTTGAATTTAATGAAATTCCATTTCATTACATATACATATATTTCAGCCCTGATGGTTTAAAGAATCATCAGGAATTTGAGTTTTAATATCATTCAACCGACTTAATAATGATAGGTTCTGCTATTTACTAGTATAAAACCCTGTAGTCTATGTAAGTATAACTAGTCACTGTCTCACTACTACCCCGCCTAGAGCGAAACGTCCCCGTTCTGCTCCGCGCTAGTCGTGAGACTGCCGAGCGCATGCCACCCCCCCTAATGGGGTACGTGAGACAGTGTATTACATATACTATATACATACAAAGACTATAACCAGATTAGTTTTGAATATATAGAAGTTTTGAATAATAAGTGATTAATCATATACAGGGTGACTGGTGAATTACTATCAATATTTAAGGAGAATACTCGGTACATGATTCTCATTCGAATTATGTAAAAAAAATAGGTACTTAATTTTTGACCAAATTTCCGTATAAATAAATAAAGCGTGGACACGTTCCAAGTGTTCCTAGTGTGGACGCGTGCGGCGGCGTACTGATACAACACCACGCAGCCGCACGCGTATGTGTGAGTGTGAGTGTATACCTAATCTGTAGGGTGTTCACACGATGCGTAATTAATTACATAACTTTTGATTAACTTTACTTAGAAGTTTATTAATATTTATGTTATATTAATTTTTATTTTGTCATATATGATCGTCAAATATCACGTCCTCAAGTATTGATAGTAATTCACCAGTCACCCTGTATATTATATAATTTTCAGGCCCGACGCTCTGAACAAAAATCAAGAATTGGAGTTTGAACGCAACAAGGAGAGGTTCCAGTTTTTGAAGGTATTCATAGTTTTATGGGTGTGAGGGAATTTAACCGGCACTTGCCAAAAGAGGCCGACTTTCAACGAAACTAGCCGACAATGGCCGAAAGAAATATAATGCATATATAAATTCATTAATTATTATAAAGTTTTTAAATGCCTACATATATGTTTGTATATGTATATTTGTAAATACATACAAGAAACTACTGGACAGATTTTTATGAAACTCTTCAATTGTTAAAATAAGATTTTGTGAAATTTTCCATTAATGTAAATACTCAAGTAAAAAGTGGTATAGCTTATAAAAAAATAATTTGTAATATTTAAAATAAGTGAAAATATGTTTCAAAGACTTAAATATCACATTTGTATATAATTTTATAAAATGATATATCATCACTAGCTTTCCGGCCCCAGCTTCACCCGTGTGGAGTTCAGTTATATCGGGTTTCCAAGAGAACCTTTCAAAAGTCTGGGACAAAAACTATCCTATGTTCTTTCTCAAGGTCAACTCTATGTCTGTACCAAATTTCATTGAAATCAGTTCAGTGGTTTAGGCGTGAAAGCGTAACAGACAGACAGAGTTACTTTTGCATTTATAATATTAGTAGGGATAGTGTACAATATAAATTTTAATATACATATATTTATGTAGTATTTTCCTGAATGCAATACAATGCAATGTTTTTCAATAATAAGTCAGAATGTGTTATTATTTACAGTGGGGTGCTCAAGCGTTTGACAATATGCTGATAGTTCCACCTGGCTCTGGGATAGTTCACCAAGTAAGTTATACATATATATATATAGACCCTGGCTAAAGCTGGGAAATTGCCAGGAAAAAGAAGAAGATATATACTAGTTTTTGCCTGAGTTAGTTTCAGAATAAGAAATGTAGATCTGACTGAGTGAACTTTGTTCCTCTTTAAAGACAATAAATAAGATTTTGGATTTCATCAACTTATTTCTTTTTTTCAATTGTATGTAAAGTAGCCTATGTCCTTCTCCTTGTTCTAATCTACCTCTCCACCAATGTTCATCCATATCCGTACAGTCTTTAGAGTTATAAATAGTGTAACTAACACGACTTTCTTTATATATATACTAGCAGGTATGCATACCTTCAGAGTATACCCTAACAGTACTCTGTACGATAGTTTCGTAACTCAGAAAATAATAACGTCTGGCTCTTACTCTATTAAACATTAAAATAACAATGGAAATTATTTTATACACAATATATGGCTATAATGAAGTTAGAGCAATTTATATATACAGTGTAAACTCCATGTATCGTCACTCGATTTAACGACTAACTCTCTAAAGCGCCAAAATCATTTGACTTTGGTTGGTTTAGCTTGCCTACCATACAATGATACACTCTACATAGCGTCACATACTCTGAATAACGACAACAATTAAGTAATAAAAAGTACCTCTATATTTAACAGTAACTCTCTATAACGCCATAAAATGCACAGTCCCTTCAGTGTCATTATATAGAGTTTACACTGTATATACAAAAGATAGAATTTTAAAAACTCTTTACACACCTACATGTAAAACAAAAACCCTTGATATTAAGGCGCTTTTCAAAATAGTGAGAATGAATTTTTGATATACAGGGTGACTGGTGAATTACTATCGATATTTGAGGACGTGATATTTGTCGATCATATATGACAAAATAAAAATTAATATAACATAAATATTAATAAACTTCTAAGTAAAGTTAACCAAAAGTTATGTAATTAATTACGCATCGTGTGAACACCCTACAGATTAGGTATACACACACACTCACACATACGCGTCGGCGGCGTAGTGTTGTATCAGCACGCCGCCGCACGCTTCCACACTTGTAACACTTGGAACGTGTCAACACTTTATTTATTTATACGGAAATTTGGTAAAAAATTAAGTACCTATTTTTTTTACATAATTCGAATGAGAATCATGTACCGAGTAATCTCCTTAAATATCGATAGCAATTCACCAGTCACCCTGTATAATTGTTATTTTTCAGGTCAACCTGGAGTATCTAGCTCGTGTCGTGTTCACCAAAGATCTTCTGTATCCTGACTCAGTAGTTGGTACTGACTCTCACACAACTATGATTAATGGCCTGGGCGTTGTAGGGTGGGGGGTAGGAGGTATGTATAGAAATCATATATATATATATATATATATATATATATATATATATATATATATATATATATATATATAATTTGTACATAATATAGTCAGTGGTGTCCTAGTGGTTAAAAGCCCCTCCTCTAGCATGAGGGCGGGTTCGAAACCTGACAAGTACCAATGTGATGTTCCGAGTCATATGTACTTTATAAGAGTATTTAGACATCACTGACTGATGAAGGAAAACATTGTGAGAAAACATGGACTTAATCAAATTACAAGTTTGAAATCACCAACCCACCTTGAGTAAGCGTGGTGATTAATGCTCTTACCTTCTCCATGTGAGAAGAGGCCTTTCAGCAGTAAGCTCTGATAGGCTGATGACACAAATCAACCTCTGAATTGAATTGAATAATAAATATATATGATTAAAAAGTCTATTTCAGAAGCTTTAATTATTATTTAACAATGTTATAATAAATGAAATCTAAGACTCTCCAGTATTAATTTAAATAAAACTAATATTACTCTCATTTAGTATGAAAACCTTTTCTGCCAATAATCATTGTTGATACAATGTAACTGAAACGTTGAGAGTATATAGTTAAACTAATAATAAACGCCTATGTAGTATACTAATAATATTAGTCTCATTTAAATGAAATAAATATTTTTCGGATATACTACGCGGTTTATTTTTGCAAAAAACTACATACTCCCGACCTTTCTGTTACTTTTCATCAACCGTGATCATTAAGACGAGATGTGAATGTCTGTCAGTTGGTCCTGTTATTTATCATAGTTACATTATTAATATATTGGTTTTCATATTTATAATAAATTCGTTTTTATTTCACCAGGTATTGAAGCTGAGGCGGTGATGCTGGGTCAAGCCATCAGTATGCTGTTACCAAAAGTAGTTGGGTACAAGTTAGTTGGTGAACTGAACCCACTGGCGACATCTACTGACCTAGTACTGACTATCACTAAGGTATTGATAACTAGATAAATAATATATTATGATAGTTTTATTTTATATAATTGTTTTTTTTATTATTTATATAATTTTGTACTTATATGACTTAAGTTCAATATATACAGGGTGACTGGTGAATTACTATCAATATTTAAGGAGAATACTCGGTACATGATTCTCATTCGAATTATGTAAAAAAATAGGCACTTAAGTTTTGACAAAATTTCCGTATAAATAAATAAAGTGTTGACACGTTCCAAGTGTTCCAAGTGTGGACGCGTGCGGCGGCGTGCTGTTACAACACCACGCCCCCCTACGCGTATGTGTGAGTGTGTGTGTATACCTAATCTGTAGGGTGTTCACACGATAATTGCATAACTTTTGGTTAACTTTACTTAGAAGTTTATTAATATTTATGTTATATTAATTTTTATTCTGTCATATATGATCGTCAAATATCACGTCCTCAAGTATCGATAGTAATTCACCAGTCACCCTGTATATTGCTGAAAAGATATTTGTAGCATACTATTGTTTCAGTATGCCTTTTTGATTATATCTTTACCTTTTTGATTATACTACACTAGCTTTCCGCCCGCAGCTTCGCCCGCGTGGAGTTCGGTTAATTTGCGTTTCCAAAAACCTTTAAAAAGTCTGGGATATAAACTATCCTATCTTCTTTCTCAAGGTCAACTCTATCTGTACCAAATTTCATTAAAATCAGTTCAATGGTTTAGGCGTGAAAGCGTAACAGACAGACAGAGTTACTTTCGCCTTTATAATATTAGTAGGGATATATGATTACCTAATATATTATACCTAATCTGTAGGGTGTTCATACGATGCGTAATTAATTACATAACTTTTGGTTAACTTTACTTAGAAGTTTATTAATATTTATGTTATATTAATTTTTATTTTGTCATATATGATCGTCAAATATCACGTCCTCAAATATCGATAGTAATTCACCAGTCACCCTGTATAAGAACCACATCACTATACAGGGTGTTCTAATCACATTAAACCTATATATATATATGTATGTATGTATTCTCTGTTCCAGCACCTTCGTTCTCTCGGCGTGGTCGGTAAGTTCGTGGAGTTCTTCGGTCCGGGCGTGTGCGCCCTCAGTATAGCGGACCGCGCCACCGTAGCCAACATGTGCCCGGAGTTTGGAGCCACTGTCGCTCACTTCCCTGTGGATGAAAGATCGCTGGATTACTTGAGACAGACGAGTAAGTTACATATATATAATAATTACTAGCTTTCCGCCCACAGCTTCGCCCGCGTGGAGTTCGGTTATATCGCGTTTCCAAGAGAACCTTTCAAAAGTCTGGGATAAAAATTATCCTTTGTTCTTTCTCATGGTCAACTCTATCTCTGTAACAAATATCATTAAAATCAGTTCAGTGGTTTAGGCGTGAAAGCGTGCGTAACAGACAGAAAAACAGACAGACAGAGCTACTTTCGTATATAAAATATTAAAGGGATATATATAGAGTGACGTCAGCATAATTGACGTAACAAATGCCTTGATGGCTCCTCTATTTCAAAAAACGCCGATCGCTACGACGGCTCGAGCTAGAATGTTTCTAGTCTGTAGTCTCGCATCTAGGAATAATAATAATAGGAGCTGTAGTATGTTGTATTGGCAGGTAACATCCCTACTAATATTATAAATGCGAAAGTAACTCTGTCTGTCTGCTTGTTCAACTTTCACGCCTAAACCACTGAACTGGTTTCAATGAAATTTGGTACAAAGATAGAGTTGACCTTGAGAAAGAACATACGATAGTTTTTATCCCAAACTTTTCAAAGGTTTTCTTGGAAAAGCTATATAATCGAACTCTACGCGGGCGAAGCTGCGGGTGGAAAGCTAGTGTTTAATATTTGAAAGAAATTATAAAGAAGTTTAAACTAAATATATGAAGAGTGTATCATTTATCAAGACTTGCTCCTACATAGAATAATGTATGAAAAACACATTCTCTCATTTACAGATCGTTCAAATGAAAAGATAAAGATAATTGAGGAATATTTGAAGGCGACCAAACAGTTCAGAGACTACAGCAACCCGGAGCAGGACCCGGTGTTCTCAGAGGTGAGTCAGTCAGTTAGGTTTAAAGAAGTTTATTTCCAAAAAGAACAAAAATCGCTTACAAAGGAAATTTTAAAATTATAACTACAATTAAAATTACAAATAATAAACAGTAGTGATATTAAACAAGATCAGTGAAATCATCTAATATATGGGTTGTTAAACGTTTTTTAAATATATTTAGAGATTTTGAATTTACAACATTTAGAGGCAAAGAGTTATAAAGCTGTTGATAGTTAAATAAATTCATACTTTATTTGAGTTTCCAGTAAGTTAATTGATTGGTTAGTTCCTAAAGCTAATCGATAGATGGCGTTGTTAATATATAATGCAATGTAGGTTTATTAATTAGATTTATAAGACAGTGATGTATAGTATAAAGCTGTTTGATATGAAAAATTAACTCATTCCATATTCATGGCCAAAATAATCAAGATTTGTAAGATTCTCAAATGAATTTTAAATATTTTGTAATAAATTTTGTTTTCAGGTTGTGGAGTTGGATTTATCGACAGTGGTGACATCTGTGAGCGGGCCTAAGAGACCTCAAGATAGAGTAGCTGTTAGAGATATGAAGGAGGACTTCCGGGCCTGTCTCACTAATAAGGTAATATATATACTAGCTTTCCGCCCGCAGGCAGCTTCGCCCGCTTGAAGTTCGGTTATATCGCGTTTCCAAGAGAACCTTTCAAAAATCTGGGATAAAAACTATCCTATGTTCTTTCTCAAGGTCAACTCTATGTCTGTACCAAATTTCATTAAAATCAGTTCAGTGGTTTAGGCGTGAAAGCGTAAAGACAGACAGAGTTACTTTCGCATTTATAATATTAGTAGGGATATATACAAGCGATATGAATATAAAATCTGTATGGAGGACTGTCGGTATATATTTGTTGAATTAACCAAAAGCTATGCAGTCCATTAACTCTTAGAATTAATAATAAGAATAATAGTATAGAAAAATGTATTATCTTGAAAACTTCCTTGCTAAAGAGCAACCACTTTCAAACATTTATAAAGGAAAAGTTAATATATGAAATATATTAATTAAAATATTAATATTAAAGGCAATATAAAAGTGCCACAAAATATAATCATAAATAAGTGGTTTAAAAAATATAACCATATTGAATAAATAATAAATAATTTTTATTTAATGTAAGTAGTACAAATATTTATATGTAAATAAGGCGTTGTTCTAATATTATAAAACTAGTATATCTTATTATTCTTTAAGTTTTTTGATCTAGGACAAATTATAATGAGATTTTATTATTATAAAACATTAAATGTCTTATTATCTTGTTGTTGAGGTGATGATGTGAGCTTCCATCGACAGCAATCATTCTCCCAGTGACAGAATGACAACATGTCCACTGAGATAATGACGACTACCTCTGAAAGTTCCTCTCTGATGAACACGGTCCCTGTGAGTTATATTATCTTGTTGAGGTGATGATGTGAGCTTCCATCGACAGCAATCATTCTCCCAGTGACAGAATGACAACATGTCTACTGAGATAATGACGACTACCTCTGAAAGTTCCTCTCTGATGAACACGGTCCCTGTGAGTTATATTATCTTGTTGAGGTGATGATGTGAGCTTCCATCGACAGCAATCATTCTCCCAGTGACAGAATGACAACATGTCTACTGAGATAATGACGACTACCTCTGAAAGTTCCTCTCTGATGAACACGGTCCCTGTGAGTTATATTATCTTGTTGAGGTGATGATGTGAGCTTCCATCGACAGCAATCATTCTCCCAGTGACAGAATGACAACATGTCTACTGAGATAATGACGACTACCTCTGAAAGTTCCTCTCTGATGAACACGGTCCCTGTGAGTTGTATTATCTTGTTGTTGAGGTGATGATGTGAGCTTCCATCGACAGCAATCATTCTCCCAGTGACAGAATGACAACATGTCCACTGAGATAATGACGACTACCTCTGAAAGTTCCTCTCTGATGAACACGGTCCCTGTGAGTTGTATTATCTTGTTGTTGAGGTGATGATGTGAGCTTCCATCGACAGCAATCATTCTCCCAGTGACAGAATGACACAACATGTCTACTGAGATAATGACGACTACCTCTGAAAGTTCCTCTCTGATGAACACGGTCCCTGTGAGTTGTATTATCTTGTTGTTGAGGTGATGATGTGAGCTTCCATCGACAGCAATCATTCTCCCAGTGACAGAATGACAACATGTCCACTGAGATAATGACGACTACCTCTGAAAGTTCCTCTCTGATGAACACGGTCCCTGTGAGTTGTATTATCTTGTTGTTGAGGTGATGATGTGAGCTTCCATCGACAGCAATCATTCTCCCAGTGACAGAATGACAACATGTCCACTGAGATAATGACGACTACCTCTGAAAGTTCCTCTCTGATGAACACGGTCCCTGTGAGTTGTATTATCTTGTTGTTGAGGTGATGATGTGAGCTTCCATCGACAGCAATCATTCTCCCAGTGACAGAATGACAACATGTCTACTGAGATAATGACGACTACCTCTGAAAGTTCCTCTCTGATGAACACGGTCCCTGTGAGTTATATTATCTTGTTGAGGTGATGATGTGAGCTTCCATCGACAGCAATCATTCTCCCAGTGACAGAATGACAACATGTCCACTGAGATAATGACGACTACCTCTGAAAGTTCCTCTCTGATGAACACGGTCCCTGTGAGTTGTATTATCTTGTTGTTGAGGTGATGATGTGAGCTTCCATCGACAGCAATCATTCTCCCAGTGACAGAATGACAACATGTCCACTGAGATAATGACGACTACCTCTGAAAGTTCCTCTCTGATGAACACGGTCCCTGTGAGTTGTATTATCTTGTTGTTGAGGTGATGATGTGAGCTTCCATCGACAGCAATCATTCTCCCAGTGACAGAATGACAACATGTCTACTGAGATAATGACGACTACCTCTGAAAGTTCCTCTCTGATGAACACGGTCCCTGTGAGTTATATTATCTTGTTGAGGTGATGATGTGAGCTTCCATCGACAGCAATCATTCTCCCAGTGACAGAATGACAACATGTCTACTGAGATAATGACGACTACCTCTGAAAGTTCCTCTCTGATGAACACGGTCCCTGTGAGTTATATTATCTTGTTGAGGTGATGATGTGAGCTTCCATCGACAGCAATCATTCTCCCAGTGACAGAATGACAACATGTCTACTGAGATAATGACGACTACCTCTGAAAGTTCCTCTCTGATGAACACGGTCCCTGTGAGTTATATTATCTTGTTGAGGTGATGATGTGAGCTTCCATCGACAGCAATCATTCTCCCAGTGACAGAATGACAACATGTCTACTGAGATAATGACGACTACCTCTGAAAGTTCCTCTCTGATGAACACGGTCCCTGTGAGTTATATTATCTTGTTGAGGTGATGATGTGAGCTTCCATCGACAGCAATCATTCTCCCAGTGACAGAATGACAACATGTCCACTGAGATAATGACGACTACCTCTGAAAGTTCCTCTCTGATGAACACGGTCCCTGTGAGTTGTATTATCTTGTTGTTGAGGTGATGATGTGAGCTTCCATCGACAGCAATCATTCTCCCAGTGACAGAATGACAACATGTCTACTGAGATAATGACGACTACCTCTGAAAGCCCCTCTCTGATGAACACGGTCCCTGTGAGTTGTATTATCTTGTTGAGGTGATGATGTGAGCTTCCATCGACAGCAATCATTCTCCCAGTGACAGAATGACAACATGTCTACTGAGATAATGACGACTACCTCTGAAAGCCCCTCTCTGATGAACACGGTCCCTGTGAGTTGTATTATCTTGTTGTTGTTGAGGTGATGATGTGAGCTTCCATCGACAGCAATCATTCTCCCAGTGACAGAATGACAACATGTCTACTGAGATAATGACGACTACCTCTGAAAGTTCCTCTCTGATGAACACGGTCCCTGTGAGTTGTATTATCTTGTTGTTGAGGTGATGATGTGAGCTTCCATCGACAGCAATCATTCTCCCAGTGACAGAATGACAACATGTCTACTGAGATAATGACGACTACCTCTGAAAGCCCCTCTCTGATGAACACGGTCCCTGTGAGTTGTATTATCTTGTTGTTGTTGAGGTGATGATGTGAGCTTCCATCGACAGCAATCATTCTCCCAGTGACAGAATGACAACATGTCTACTGAGATAATGACGACTACCTCTGAAAGTTCCTCTCTGATGAACACGGTCCCTGTGAGTTGTATTATCTTGTTGTTGAGGTGATGATGTGAGCTTCCATCGACAGCAATCATTCTCCCAGTGACAGAATGACAACATGTCTACTGAGATAATGACGACTACCTCTGAAAGCCCCTCTCTGATGAACACGGTCCCTGTGAGTTGTATTATCTTGTTGAGGTGATGATGTGAGCTTCCATCGACAGCAATCATTCTCCCAGTGACAGAATGACAACATGTCTACTGAGATAATGACGACTACCTCTGAAAGCCCCTCTCTGATGAACACGGTCCCTGTGAGTTGTATTATCTTGTTGTTGTTGAGGTGATGATGTGAGCTTCCATCGACAGCAATCATTCTCCCAGTGACAGAATGACAACATGTCTACTGAGATAATGACGACTACCTCTGAAAGTTCCTCTCTGATGAACACGGTCCCTGTGAGTTGTATTATCTTGTTGTTGAGGTGATGATGTGAGCTTCCATCGACAGCAATCATTCTCCCAGTGACAGAATGACAAACATGTCTACTGAGATAATGACGACTACCTCTGAAAGCCCCTCTCTGATGAACACGGTCCCTGTGAGTTGTATTATCTTGTTGTTGTTGAGGTGATGATGTGAGCTTCCATCGACAGCAATCATTCTCCCAGTGACAGAATGACAACATGTCTACTGAGATAATGACGACTACCTCTGAAAGTTCCTCTCTGATGAACACGGTCCCTGTGAGTTGTATTATCTTGTTGTTGAGGTGATGATGTGAGCTTCCATCGACAGCAATCATTCTCCCAGTGACAGAATGACAACATGTCTACTGAGATAATGACGACTACCTCTGAAAGCCCCTCTCTGATGAACACGGTCCCTGTGAGTTGTATTATCTTGTTGAGGTGATGATGTGAGCTTCCATCGACAGCAATCATTCTCCCAGTGACAGAATGACAACATGTCTACTGAGATAATGACGACTACCTCTGAAAGTCCCTCTCTGATGAACACGGTCCCTGTGAGTTGTATTATCTTGTTGTTGAGGTGATGATGTGAGCTTCCATCGACAGCAATCATTCTCCCAGTGACAGAATGACAACATGTCTACTGAGATAATGACGACTACCTCTGAAAGCCCCTCTCTGATGAACACGGTCCCTGTGAGTTGTATTATCTTGTTGAGGTGATGATGTGAGCTTCCATCGACAGCAATCATTCTCCCAGTGACAGAATGACAACATGTCTACTGAGATAATGACGACTACCTCTGAAAGTCCCTCTCTGATGAACACGGTCCCTGTGAGTTGTATTATCTTGTTGTTGAGGTGATGATGTGAGCTTCCATCGACAGCAATCATTCTCCCAGTGACAGAATGACAACATGTCTACTGAGATAATGACGACTACCTCTGAAAGCCCCTCTCTGATGAACACGGTCCCTGTGAGTTGTATTATCTTGTTGAGGTGATGATGTGAGCTTCCATCGACAGCAATCATTCTCCCAGTGACAGAATGACAACATGTCTACTGAGATAATGACGACTACCTCTGAAAGTCCCTCTCTGATGAACACGGTCCCTGTGAGTTGTATTATCTTGTTGTTGAGGTGATGATGTGAGCTTCCATCGACAGCAATCATTCTCCCAGTGACAGAATGACAACATGTCTACTGAGATAATGACGACTACCTCTGAAAGTCCGTGTGAGTGTACCTCACCTGTAGCAGCGATTCTTGATTATCTTTCTGATATAACTCTTTCACATAAAAAATAATTCACTTTCCAAAAAAACTATTGTAGCAGCAAAACTTTTCTACGTTATTCCAGTTGGAATTCACATTTGCAACTGATTGATTTCGTCACACACCTGCGGTATATATACCCGGGGCAGGGGGTCATTAACATTAATTAATTACTCAAAATATCTAATTTACTAACGAGGTAGTTAGAGTTTAGATGACATTATGCTGTTGAAAATTATAAAGAAACAATATTTGTTACTTGTTATATACATAATTATGTTAAACAAATAGTGTCATTAATAATATTTTGATTATTTTAACAGTTTTTAGTAGAATTTAAAGTGCATTTTTAATAACTATTTCTTTAGAAGTTTTGTATTTTTTATATTATTTAAAATAATTCAATTCTTGTTAAAATTTTATTACAGTTTCTGTGTCTTTAATATTTGTGGAATCTTCATATAAATTAAATGTCTTTTCCATTAAACATATTTTTTTAAATGTTTTGTTTCAAATCCCAATCGTATTGATCTTTTTTCCATTCTTCATCTATGTTTTTTATAACAAATTTTTATTATATATTTATTAAAGAAATAGCTCTTAAGAATAAGCATCATCAACCAGTTAAATTTATCATAAATTTTCGTCTTTTCTGGAAGTTACTTTTTCAAGCCCCTACAATTTGATCAATATGGTATATTCATGCAAACTTGTACAGTTTTGTACCATTGAAATGATTGTCTAATTGTGGTCGTGCAACATGGTACGATTCTCATACTATATACTTGATATATGCTAAAATTATACTTTTTATTTATATGAAGTACTAGATATTTCTCGCGACTTCGTCCGCGTTAATTTCATCATTAGTAATATATGTATAGCTGACCGGGCGAACTCTATTCCGACTTAGAGGACGAAAATAACCAGATACTGGAGTTTATTAAGTTTTTTTTCTTTTTCGATCGAACAGTATTAAATACCCTATGTCCGTCTCCTTGTTCTAATCTATCTCTCCACCAATATTCATCCATATCCGTACAGTCGTTAGAGTTATAAATAGTGTTACTAACACGACTTTCTTTTATATATATATAGATTTATGTATGTGTGTATGTATTACTACATTATACATATTTCACCAACTTATAGCTTTAAAAAAACCGTATAAAAAGCATTTTTCTGTCAAAAAAATGGTTTTTGACCAAAACTCTTAAGATAAGTACAAGTTTGAGTTATAACTACATACGTAGCGTTCCACGTTTCTCAATCAGTAAATTACGATACTATTGTAACAAGAATGAAATACTATTTACGCTGTGTATACAGTAAAGACGCAGACTTGGGATAAGCGTACTGCCGAAGTAAATACATATTCAGGGTGACTGGTGAATTACTATCAATATTTAAGGAGCATACTCGGTACATGATTCTCATTCGAATTATGTAAAAAAAATAGGTACTTAATTTTTGACCAAATTTCCGTATGAATAAATAAAGTGTTGACACGTTCCAAGTGTTCCAAGTGTGGACGCGTAAGGCGGCGTGCTGATACAACAACACGTCACGACACGCGTATGTGTGAGTGTCAGTGTATACCTAATCTGTAGGGTGTTCATACGATGCGTAATTAATTACACAACTTTTGGTTAACTTTACTTAGAAGTTTATTAATATTTATGTTATATTAATTTTTATTTCGTCATATATGATCGTCAAATATCACGTCCTCAAATATCGATAGTAATTCACCAGTCACCCTGTATATATATATATATAACGCGTTATCTTTAATTAGTTTTTATATAATTTTCGATTTGATTTTAATAAAAGTACATAATATAGGAATTAAAGTCTGTGATGGCCTAGTGGTTAAAAGGCCCGCCTCTCATGCACGAGGGCGCGCGTTCGATCCTGGCAAGTACAAGTGATGTTCCGAATCATATGTACTTTATAAGAGTATTTAGACATCACTGATTAATGCATTCCCAAAGAGGGTTGATGTCAGGCAGGCGGCCGGTCGTAAAAACAATTAGCCATAAACTATTTACAACATGTAAGGCAGACCCTGGCTAAAGCTGGGATTTTGCCAGGTAGGAGAAGAAGACATAGGAAATAAACTGGATAATTTAGTAATAATAATTCTAATTGTAAATATACGTGACTGCTTTGAACATAATATATACTCTTACGTCTATAAAATTCCCTTCAATTGTGTCATTATTGTTGACGGAAGTTCTAGAAATGTTATTTAGGATTACGATTCGAAAGTTTAAAAGAAAAAAATGAGATGAATCCTCTCATCATTCCATGTATTCACGGTGCGTGTGTCGGGTCCATCGTTGTAGTGAGAGGAGCTTCAACAGTGACTGTGACTTGTGACCCAGGTGTAGGTTTAAGGGACCCTATCTAACGTTAAACGATCACCTCCACCGTACAAGCTCCTCTCTCTACCAAATTTGAAAAGAACCTACTAGGGCTGCCTTAAAATTTATCAAAAATAACCGAAAAATGGTTATAATTTGACCGATTTTCTAGGTTTTTCTCAAATGCTCATAATTTTTCAAACCGCATGCGATAGAATTTATTTTCTGATTTTTCTCATGATGGTTACAATCAATCCTTTCACCCCAAATCAAATAAAGTGTTATTTTCTTTTACAAAACAATTACAACTGCAACTATTATTCTGTAACGTTCAAAAAATTTCTAAGTTATTATTGGAGCCTTTTTTAATATAAATATACATATATCCATTGATATATGTATATAAAATTAAGTAAATAATTCCTAAAACGAATACATACTTAAGCTATCAAAAGATTATGACTGAAAAATTGTTTGGAAATATATATGATAATATATAAAAAAAATAATTTCTCTTCTATAACAAGTCTCGTCTCAATTAAAAGTCTTACCTGCCGTATATCTTTCACACAAACTAAACATATATATACATATATTATATAATATTCTCGGTGATATTATTATAACATATATATAATTTTATCAAATTTTTGTGGTCAATAGTCGCAGTTTATAATACCATACATATATAGATATATGTATATAAAAAGTAATTTTAAATCATATACCCCATCAAAAATATGGAATCGAATCGCTAACTTCTATAAAAGTGGTCAGCTTCTCTTTAGTGACAGAACTAGCAATCCATATTATAAGCCAACCCATATTGAAACATTTTTAATTTAATATTTTAAGTTTTGATTTTTATATTACCTAAAGTTAAAATAATTACGGGATCTAAATAATAAGAAAAATAAATCGTTTTACGAATAACATAATTCTTATATAAACATGTCTAAATAAACATATTTTTGAGAATTTTTATTATGAGATAAATAAATATGTGAAAAAAACATGATGTATATACGTATAAACTCTAAATATTGATTTATGTTTAATTAACTGAAACTCCAAATACAATACATACTGTTACTGAATATTTAAAATATAATAATGGTTAAAAAAAAACCTAAAAAAACATTCTTTTATATTAAAAACTATTATTTATTTTATGTTTTTTAGTACGTTTTTTGTGGACATGCGCAGATCGCACACTAGCTCTGTCTTTCACTCTCATAGAGGATCTATGAAAAGAATATATTAATCCTGGCCCTAACAAGGATAATGGGAAATTATTAACGAATTATTGTATTGTCATTGGTTCTTGAGACATATGCAAAGTTTCAAGTTAATCAGATGTTTAGAAACCGATTAAAATCGTGCTCAAAGATTCCGTTACATACATACAGCCCAAGATAATATAAGCGTATTAAAAAGTGAATTAATTGTAAAAAGTATTTCAACTGACTCTGAGTCAAATTGTATATTTTCCGGTTTTTCTATATAGTTGTAAAAAAACTAGTAATTTAACGATAATACACATTTTGGTCGCGGCTACAATTGATTGTGGTTAAAACACTGATAATGTACAGTTATTACAATATTTAATATATTTTAGTTATTTTATATATACAGGGTGACTGGTGAATTACTATCAATATTTAAGGAGAATACTCGGTACATGATTCTCATTCGAATTATGTAAAAAAAATAGGTACTTAATTTTTGACAAAATTTCCGTATAAATAAATAAAGTGTTGACACGTTCCAAGTGTTCCAAGTGTGGACGCGTGTGTGTGTATACCTAATCTGTAGGGTGTTCACACGATGCGTAATTAATTACATAACTTTTGGTTAACTTTACTTAGAAGTTTATTAATATTTATATTTTATTAATTTTTATTTTGTCATATATGATCGTCAAATATCACGTCATCAAGTATCGATAGTAATTCACCAGTCACCCTGTATATACATGGAATGATGAGAAGGTTTGGTTTCTAATACAAATCATTGCCTCTTATAATTTAATTAATTTTTCTTTGAAAGAAATAAAAACAATTTTGTCATTTCCTTCATACTAAAATAATTTCGTTTAATTTTAAAAAAATACATAATAGTCGTTATGTATTTACAAATAATAATGACAAGTCTTCCTAATCATGTACTAATTATTTCCTAAATTACGTTAATTTACTTAATTTTAACAAAAATAATTAATCTCGCATTTAGTAAATGATGGTTAGGTAGTTTCTTTATTGTTAATAAATATTTTTAATATGAAATATTTTAAAAATCGTTTAAGTAATTAGATGAAGTTACTATTAAAGAGAAGTTTAAAAATAACTAAAATATGTACTAGTTTTAAACTATGTCTTATTATAATATATAAAAGAAAGTCGTGTTAGTTACACTATATATAACTCTAACGACTGTACGGATATGGATGAACATTGGTGGAGAGATAGATTAGAACAAGGAGACGGACATAGGATATTTAATACTGTACGATCGAAATAAATACTTAATAAATTTCAATATCTGGTTATTTACGTTCTCTAGGTCTGAATAGAGTTCGCCCGGTCAGCTATACATATATTACTAATGACGAAATTAACGCGGACGAAGTCGCGGGCAAAAACTAGTAGATATATAACTTACTGTATTAAAGTATAAGTATAGGAAATAAACTCACCCCAAGACTGAACACAAACTGTGGAACGTGATTTGTAATTAAACATATATATATAATATTAGTTATATGTTTATCAGCGAAATGTGTTCCGCAAACATATATAATATATACAATATATATGACGATACATATATTTATAAATACTATGAAAAAAATATGGACATTTTATAAAAAACCAAAACAAACACTCGTACTGCTACACAAAAATTTTGATACGATTTTTACAGACATTTTTAAAATACCGATATTTAAACTTAAACGGTAGCATGATGAAAATTTTATATATATTTTAAGCGAAGTCGAAAGGCATTGTATAGTTGGAGAAATGCTGATGAAGCAAGGTCTTTATAATGCATTGAAGTGAAAATTACTTCAATTAATTATAGTCTTTATTCAGTTGTAATTAAGGTGATATTAATATATATTAAAAGTTTAAAGTACATTGAATGTATGTCACGGATGTGTATGAACTGTGTACTACTTTGTTAAATATGTATATGTGACCTAATATCAAGTATTCTAGACTAACCGAATTTGAAAAGAACCTACTAGGGCTGTCATCGAAATACGCTTCGGTGGCAGCCCTAGTAGTCGTCCTAATGAATTGACGTGAGTTCTGCCCCCGCCTCTCGTTGCCGAGGGCGCGGGTTCGGTCCTGACGAGGGCAAGTACCAATGTGATTTTTCCGAGTCATATGTACTTTCTAAGAGTATTTAGACATCACTGATCAATGCTGATTCCCAAAAGAGGGTTGATGTCAGGCAGGCGGCCGGTCGTAAAAAATAATTAGCCAAAACTATTCACAATATGTAAGGCAGACCCTGGCTATAGCCGGGAAATTGCCAGGTAGAAGAAGAAGAGAGATTTAGCTGTTATACCTCTCGCTCCCACCTCTACCGCGTACAAATCAACGACGAATCTATTTCGAGTTAGTTCGTTAGTGAGCTCGTAATATTTGTTGACCTTGATGGCATGGTCTTTGGGGATGTTGGTTTCTCAAGGGACCGTAAGCTCTATCATCACTACGAGCTTTAAAATTCGCGAATATAGAAATATGTCTGGTCTGGAGACCGACGCACAAATATCCTCGAGGATTTTATATTGCTTTTCATACGTGTCCATCATGATAGTCCAATCCGAAGCCGCTTTAAGGATGGAGTAAGGCTTGACGTTTAATTTGATAGCCCTAGTGCCTTCTCTTACAATTTCCCTTTGCGCTCTGGCTACCGAAAGACTAACCGCTTCACGTATGATTTCTAGGACCCTACCAAAAGTATAATAATATAACGTTACAATATATTCCCATTTTATTGACATTTTTCTAAGTATCGTTAAATATAATTTTCTCGGTCAACAAAATCATCTATTATGATTAAATAGCGTAAGACCCAGTTTCACCAATCATTGTTAAATAAGTAACATCGTGTCAAGGCGTTTGATGCTCTGTTAGATGTATCGAGCGTCCCACCACGCACTAATGTCCGTTTAAATGTCTTAACCAGCCACTAATATTGATTCCTGCTCTAGAGCTTCGTCTAATGGCTAACAGAATGTTAATTTTTTTGTCCGTATTAACTCTCAGGGGTCGCCAAGCCTCTCCAGATGAGTTGCTAAGCAGTAAAAAAGAATCAATAATATTTGTAGAGATTTATTAAGAAAAATGTTAACTAAAACACATGAAAAAGTTTTAAAATATGAAGTTTCTTTTAAAAATATCTAAAAAACAGTCATCAGCGTACAATTTACATTCAAAATACAGATTTTATATTCATATAAAAAATATTTAAACTATATATATATATTTGATACAATAAATAAACAATATTAGAAATATGATAAAATAAACAATATTAGAATACAACGATCAAACTTAGAGAAATATTTAGGATTATGCTTGTAGGAGCACTTCGAAGATCTAATAATTGTATACCAAAAAAAAGAGCGAAGTGTTATCTACAACTCCCTGATAAAGCCACACGTTGATTACCTAATTGAAATATGAGGGTCAGCTTCAAAGTCTAACCTTAAAATCTTACAAATTACGCAGAAAAAAATTATAAAAGTACTTTTTCATACCGTCGATAGAACTGTACAAAAAATCAAAATTATTCAACCTAAATCAAACATTTATTTATAACACATGTATTTTAATTAAAAAAAATACTATCTAAAAGTATTCATTTAAAAATAACATTTACACAAAAATCAAACAAGCATAACTTAAGAAACAGACATAAACTTGACTTACCTAAAGTCAGAACCTTAAAGCATGGACACAAAAATATACTTTTCGATGGAGTAAAATTATATAATGACTAGCTTTTGCCGCGACTTCGTCCGAGTGGAATAGTGATTTCCGGCAGATTTTTGGTTCTTCCCACATAGTTCCCGTTCTTCGGAACGGTCGAGTTCCCGTAGAATTTTCAGGATAAAACCTGTTTTTTTTATTCACAATGAAGTACTCTTAACCAACAACATATTTATTTGTTTATTTGAATAAAGATTTATATTATTATGTTGATACAACTTAAAGAAATTATTTCGACCAAATTAGGTTCCATAAAAACGGTTTTTGTGAGTTAATCTTAAAAGATAGACATATACTGTCGCGGACTGTTTTTTAGATCATTAAAAGAGCTATTATTCTTTACTACATATTTTTTGTTTATCTTGAACCGTTTTCATGGCGCACGCAACGGAAGGCTTCAAAGATGAAATAATTTCTCCAGTTTTTTACACATTTACCACTATATCTTTGCTCCTATTGGTCGTAGCGTGATATTATATAGCTCACAGCCTTCCTCGACAACTGGACTATCCAACACAAAAAGAATTATTCAATTCGAACCAGTAGTTTCGGAGATTAGCGCTTTTAAACAAACAAACAAACAAACTCTTCATCTTTATAATATTAGTATAGATATTAAGTAGTACTAGCCATTCCATGTATCAAATATTAATGTATGTATGTAACATTATTTAAGCTCATGTAAGTGAACCTATGTATGTTCTTATGAGAATAAAGATCTTTAAGCATATTTATGTATATTTGTTACAAACTCTAGAAGCCCCATAATACTTATTCTACATACAATCACCTTTCCCAGGTGGGCTTCAAAGGTTACGGGCTGTCTCCCGGCCAGCTGACGTCATCAGGCAGCTTCTCGTACAGCGACGGGAACACGTACAGCATCACGCACGGCTCGGTCATCATCGCCGCCATCACGTCATGCACCAACACGTCCAACCCGAGCGTCATGTTGGGGGCCGGTGAGTGAGATTAGAGCGAGCTGCGTTAGAGTGAAGTGCGTTAGAGTGAGATGCGTTAGAGTGAGCTGCGTTAGAGTGAGGTGCGTTAGAGTGAGGTGCGTTAGAGTGAAGTGCGTTAGAGTGAGATCCGTTAGAGTGAGGTGCGTTAGAGTGACATGCGTTAGAGTGAGTTGCGTTAGAGTGACTTCTAACAGATTTGATTATCCTTTCAGATTGTGTCACTTATTGTAATAGTTCTTTTATTATTTGTTATAACATTTTTACATAGCAATAAATGTTTTTGAATCTACAGCAAATAAAATAGGAAAATTTATTTGTAACAATCATCATTTACTATCAAAACTCACTTAAATTATACATTTATATATATTTTGATATCTAAAAAGTTTTTTGTATATAATTCTCCTATCAGGTCTACTAGCAAAGAAGGCTGTAGAAAACGGTCTGTCTGTCCTTCCATACATCAAGACTTCGTTATCACCAGGGTCGGGTGTGGTCACATATTATTTGAAGGTATATACATATTTATATGAAAAGTGTCAATCCATCTGCATCCATTAAAACTCAGTAACCAAGTAAAAAAAGTCGACTACCTTACATAATGTAAGAATTAGATAAAGTTTTATAATAAAATTTATTAATATATATTAGTCAATTAAAACATCCGCCATATTGGATTCACAATGACGTAATCAATATGTCGTCAAAACTAAAAATATATTTAACATTTGAACCAAACAAATATATATAGAATAATCGTAATGAAGCAATATTTGTCCTTTGTCATTTATTTTCAATAAAAGTTTCATCATTTTCGGTCCAGCATATAATATATATATATATTTTCAGGAGTCCGGTGTGGTTCCGTATCTAGAGAAGTTGGGTTTCAACATAGTAGGTTACGGATGTATGACGTGCATCGGTAACTCCGGCCCTATAGATGACAACATCGCGAATACTATAGAAAAGGTGAGATTTGATGGATAGATAACATATGTTGGATTTGAACGGATTTGATTGATTTGGTGATGGTTTGAATGAGATTTGAAAACGGTTGATGAACTTTAGATTTGAAAATGTCGGAAATAATTTGAAAAATTTGGAAGCAATTTGAAAAATTCCGAAGCAGTTTGAAAATTTTGAAAAAAAGTTTGCAAACTCTCCTCAGGAGTTACTATACCATAATTTAATTTTAAAATAGACTGTATGTTTAAATTAAATTGAATAAGACTGTCCTATTTTCTTTCTCAAGGTCAACTCTATCTCTGTACCAAATTTCATTAAAATCTGTTCAGTGGTTTAGGCATGAAAGCGTAACAGACAGACAGATAGAGTTACTTTCGCATTTATAGTATTAGTAGGGATGAAAAACAATTGTAACACAATTCATTAATCCGTTTAAGTACCTTTTAGGTAGTATAAAAAATATACAAATTTGAATAATATATTATTTATATGATGATCTTATCTTATTGTGTTTATATTTCATATAACTTACTCTAGAACGAGTTAGTTTGCTGTGGCGTGCTCTCCGGTAACAGAAACTTCGAGGGTCGCATACATCCTAACACAAGAGCCAACTATCTAGCGAGTCCCTTGCTTGTTATAGCGTATGCTCTAGCCGGGACCGTTGATATCGACTTTGAGAAACAACCGCTGGGTAAGTGCCAGAAATTGCCATATTTGTCCAAATATCGCAAACATGACATCCACACTTGGCTAACAACTCGTCTTTACGCTTATTTGTGTGTTATTTGTGCAAATACGTCAAATAAAGACGAATATATCATCCACACATGATCTTATTAGACGCAATAAATAAACGCCAAGCGAAGTGCCAGTTTTAGAGTAACTTTTCTGTGTATGAGTCTGACTTAGATTAAGTTTGTTCTTGTAAGTCATGATTTAGTTGTGTTTTATTTGATATCGTGTTAATTATATAGGGTGGCAACCTGAGGTTTCAGAAAAACTACGAAACTTACTTATATGTATATTATAATAAGAACTACATATTAAAACTTACAACCTACACCTAAGACTACATGATTGACCCGATGTTAGTATATCAATACCATTCCATAGCTTGTGTGTATCAGGAGTCTTCTGGTTCACACGCTTGGTGTTCGTTCCGCGGAGTCAGCGGCGTCAAGAGTTATATATTTTATACATACAACGATGTTACCCCGGCGATGTTCTTTATTTTTCTTAACATTTTTTTTATTATTATTGTGTTTGTATGTCTGTGTCAGGGTCGCGCGCGGATGGCTCGCCGGTGTTCCTGCGAGACATCTGGCCGACGCGTGCTGAAATACAGGAAATAGAGAACAAATATGTCATACCTGGCATGTTCAAGGAGGTACATATATATACTAGCTGCGCCCCGCGGTGTTACCCGCGGATTTCCGGGATGTAAAGTAGCCTATGTGCTATTCCTGGACGTCAGCTTCCTGTATACAAAATTTTATCAAAATCGGTTCAGCCGTTTGAGCGTGAAGAAGTAACAAACATACACACACAATCACAAAATATCGCAATTATAATATTAGTAGGATTTTGATTAAAATGTGGAAACTTTATAAAATTTTTGTCTCAAATTTTAAAGATTCAATCCTTAGTACAACAAAATTAAGTCTAAATTTGTATATCTAAAACTTATTAACATACATAAAAGCATCGTGATTATCATCAGCCTATCAGAGCCCACTGCTAAGTAAAAACCTCTTCTCACATGCAGAAGGTTAGAGCATTAATCACCACGCTTGCTCAAGACGGGTTGGTGATTTCAAACTTGTAATTTAATTAAGTCCATGTTTCCTCATATTTTCCTTCATCAGTCAGTGATGTCTAAATACTCTTATAAAGTACATATGACTCGGAACATGACATTAGTACTTGTCAGGATCGAACCCGCGCCCTGTGTTAAATTATACTAAAAAAAAGCATTTATAACATTGAGCAAACAGACTCATTTAATATACTTTTAATTAAGAAGTTAATAAATATATTCATCTTCATATATATTATATATTAATTAAATGTCGTTATCATATTTTCCAGGTGTATGAAAAAATAGAGCAAGGTTCTTCTTCGTGGCAGACGCTACAAGTACCTCAAGGCAAGCTCTACAACTGGGACGAAAGTTCCACATATATTAAGAGACCGCCGTTCTTCGATGGCATGACTAGAGTAAGTTTAACTTGACTATTAATATATATATTAATTAAAGTAATAAAAATAATCTCTATATAAAACTATATTTATAAGTCAGTGGTGTCCTAATTAAAAGGCTCGCCTGTCTCATGCATGAGGGCGCGGGTTCGATCCTGGCAAGTACGAATGTGATTGTTCAGTCATATGTACTTTCTAAGAGTATTTAGACATCACTGATTAATGCATTCCCAAAGAGGGTTGACGTCAGGCAGGCGGCCTGTAAAAACATAAGCCGAAACTATTCACATATAAGGTAGACTGGCTATAGACGGAAATTGCCAGGTAGAATATAAATCTATATTTATATAAACACAACTAATATTTTATTAATTTTCCCAACTTAATTAACCAAATTCACTCATCATAGCTCAATGATTACTGTGTTTACCTTGTATGTATGTCGGGTAACTTATTGTTTCCAGGAGTTACCTTCCATAAAGAGTATCTCGGGCGCCAGGTGTCTGTTGCTGCTGGGTGACTCGGTCACTACAGACCACATCTCACCCGCTGGCTCTATAGCCAGGAACTCACCGGCTGCCAGATATTTAGCTGAGAGGGGGTCAGTGACCCATATATATCTAATATTATTTAGTGTTTAATTTATTACCAACTAGCTGCGCCCCTTGGTGTTACCCGCGGATTTCCGGCATGTAAAGTAGCCTATGTGTTATTCCTGGACGTCAGTTTCCTGTATACAAAATTATTAATTCAGCTTAAACTGTCTTCTGATAATTTGCTTAAAATGTAGATACTTGGAATTATACAATGATAGTTACGAGAATTTGTACTATCACCGACTATATGTATAAACTATATTAGAAAATTAGACGTTAAGAGACCCAGAAAAAGTTTCAGAAAAGGTTTCTACACAATGCCTCTAGCATTGTGTAGAAACCTGATTTGTGATTTAAATCAGCTAGGATAAGCTATAAGTAGTCTTTAGTAAGGAAATGCAGAGGAAAAAATGATTTGTTCTCAAAGTGCATAATAAATAAGTTTGGGAATCATTAATATGCATTACAAATCCTTTTATATCCAACAAGATAATTCATATCAAAGATACACAAAATGATAATACTATGAATTTATTTATTCCTAATTATCTATCTTATTACATATCTTTTATAAAAATCTACTTATAAAAGCCATTTCGGTAGTGGATACCAAACACAAACTATTTAGTAACGACTATCATTTAAAAGTAACTTATTTTTCGTATACTACGAGTACTATATATAAGAACTACATACTAAAATTACAGCTACTTTGGGCCGTTCAAGTATTACGTAAGCACTATGTAGGGGTTAGGGGATTTTGATTATTGCTTTGATTATTTTGTATGACATGGGGGGTAGGGGAGTCTAGGTATTGATTACGTCATGGGTAATTATTTACTTTTTTATCATCGCATGGAGAAGATCCATTAAAAAAAAATTCTTATTGATTTATATTAAAAAAACAATACAGTAATTGAAAATGTTTACGTAAGCACGGTGGGAGGTGGTATGAGCTTTGCTTACTGACAAGGGGGATGGAGGGGTATATAATATTTGTAATAAATCTGCTTGCGTTATACTTGAACGGCCCCTTTGCATCAAAGTAAATAACTTTATTTAACTCTCTCTCTCTCTCAGCCTGACTCCTCGCGAGTTCAACTCGTACGGCTCCCGTCGCGGTAACGACGCGGTCATGTCCCGCGGCACGTTCGCCAACATACGGCTTGTGAACAAGCTCGCCTCGCCCGGACCACGGACACTACACGTACCATCGGGAGATGTGATGGATGTGTTCGACGCTGCTCAGAGGTAAATAAATACTGGAAAATGAGGTAATGTAATGATAATGAAAGATATGATATTATAAATGTAATTAGGTATTAAAGAAAATGTAAAGTAATGTATAGAAAGAAAAATGACATAGGAAATATAGAACAACAACCCCCCTTTATTGATCCCTGAAATAAAATAAAAGACTAGATGATAAGGCGGGTACACGAGTAGTTTAAGAATGGAAGGGACGAATAAGAGAAAGATAGTATGCGGAAAGAAAGGCCACAATAATAGCGAGAACTGGTATGGATGAAAAATTGCACAAAAGGACCCTGACCATGTTAGGGGAAGTAGCATAAAAAAAGGTGTGTGATCAGTGTGTGCGTGTGTGTGATCAGAATGTGTGTGATTCTGTTGTATAATATAGTCTGGCTACTATAATATACGATGATTTATAACTCACATTTAAAATCATATTATTTATTTTACTTTTGGATTCATATTAATGTAACAGAGGCTTGAAATGCTATGTTACTATAATATAAATATATGTTTGTCAGATACGCAGATGAGAAGGTTCCTCTGATAGCTATAGTGGGTAAGGACTACGGGTCCGGCTCTAGCAGGGACTGGGCGGCTAAGGGACCGTACTTGTTGGTATGAATATATATACATATATATTTAATAAAAGAAATGTATTTAAACTGAACTTAATGATTAAGGAAAAAATAAAATTCTTTGATGAAAATAAAGCAAAGAGAAAAATAGTCAAATGTTTATTGATTGAATATATGTTAAAGTTTTGGAGAATATATCTGTATAGAAAAAACAATATACATATATACTGAAGATGAGAGTCGAAGCTGTAACAGTAATATATATTTTTTAACCAAAGTTTCCAGATATAATTGTCTATCCTTAACATACAAAACTCAATCGGTCACCCATCCCATCACTAACTCTAATCACTGTCTCTTAACATATTCCAGGGCATCCGAGCTGTAATAGCTGAATCCTTCGAGAGGATCCATCGTTCCAACCTGGTCGGTATGGGGATAGTTCCCCTGGAGTTCATTAACGGAGAGAACGCGGAGAGTTTGGGACTCACCGGCACGGAGAGATATGACATACATGTACCTCAAGATGTGAAGACCGGACAGACATTGACTGTTGAGGTTGGTTCTTCTTCTTCCTGGCAATTTCCCAGCTTTAGCCAGGGTCTGCCTTCCGACTTAAACTCCTCCACTTTGCACGGTCTTTGGCATCCAAATATGTAGTTAGTTATATATATAAAGGAAAGTCTTGTTAGTTATTACACTATATATAACTCTAACGGCTGTACAGATATGGATGAACATTGGTGGAGAGATATATACATATATATATATATATATATATATATATATAATAGAAGACCCGGCGAACTTCGTATCGCCCTATAATCAAGAAATATCTGTTACGTTTTTATTTATATTTTTAGAGTTTACCTATTAAAGCCATATATCTCCGTGTTCTGAAGAGCGACAGAATGATTGACATATTAGTTAATTGTCAAATCTATTGAAAAAAAAAAAACATTTGTATCAACAACTACTTATAAATTAAATATTAATTAAAAAAACATTGTCCGCTGACAAAATTGTGAATCTAAACCAATCCCAGATCCCCTTGAACACACAAAAATATTCATCAAAATCTGTCCAGTCGTTTGAGAGAAGTTCAGTGACATACACACTCACAGAAGAATTATATATATAAGATATATTTATCATTTCAGGTGGACAGCGGTAAATCATTCCAAGTGAAAGTTAGATTTGACACGGAGGTTGACTTGACATACTTCAGGAACGGAGGCATCTTGAACTATATGATTAGAAAGATGCTGTGAAGATGATCCTCATTGATAGGGTTGACACTTGATACTAATCAGCACAGGGTTGACACTATATAGTTTTTGGCAACCCTAGTTTATATCACAAATTTGTTATACATATATTTATTATGTACTCAGCGTTGTCACTTATTTTTTATATAATCCTGGTTCTAAATTGTTATTATTAAAATGGTTGTGGTTTTTTTTGTGCTTATATTTATAATGGTGGCAATACTCTTATTAGTTATATTTATTCCCGTATAACCAGATTTACCCTTAAATTTAAAATTGAACCTGAAATAGCATTTGTAACTTACAACTATTAAGATATTTAATATAAGAATTTTATATATACATGTACATCATTAAATAAATATACTTTGTTACATAATATTGTTTAATTATAACTTGATTTTATATGTTCATATATATCACAAAACCCGGTGATAGTGTTCAAAATTTATTGAAGTGCTCTTAAAATAGATATTATAAGAAATATTTAAATTTTAATTACTTCTTTTTAAAAAATCTTCATAATTACTTGCTAATTTGAAATAAACGAGTGTTTTATAAAATAACTAGCTTTCCGTCCGCAGCTTCGCCCGCGTGGAGTTCGGTTATATCGCGTTTCCAAGAGAACCTTTCAAAAGTCTGGGATAAAAACTATCCTATGTTCTTTCTCAAGGTCAACTCTATATCTGTACTAAATTTCATTAAAATCAGTTCAGTGGTTTAGGCGTGAAAGAGTAACAGACTGAGAGTTACTGTCCCATTTATAATATTAGTAGGGACTATCGAGACGAAAGATAAAAATGCATATTATAATTACAACAGTTTATATATGTATGTAGGAAACAGTTTGTGAAATAAATAAATGAATGAAAACAATTAACGGATTTTGATAAAACTTTACAAGAATTTAGCTTAAATATTAGGATAACAACGTTGAATCAGTTATTTACCAAAAGGGAATAAGTCATCATTTTTCGGATATGGCAATTTTGATGCAGTTAGGTTCGTTTTAGGTAGATCTTGAATTTTAATCAAGAAAATAGATAAGTCAGTTCATTTGCCGATTAAATGTAGGGACGAATTTTTTCGTTCATTTATAAAAAGGAAAAATTCAATGACTTTTTTGGTTACTTTATTGACGAAACCGTAATCACATAATGATAAGTTTATGCCAGGCTCTGGTAGACACAGAGCGGTTCGACAAAATTGTACATCGCTTCTCAGTGCGAGGGCACTCACTTCTGCATAATGGTCGCTCGTTTGGTACTGCGAAAAAAGTTTTTAAAATAAAGGTATTATTTGCCTAAGGAGGTGTGAGAATTCATATGCAATGACCACAAAAAATTTACACTACTGACATTCTAGACTTTAAAAGCTGGTGGGCCAAATTTTATAAAAGAGATGCTATGTCTTTGGCGAGTCAATCAAGAAGTATTCCACAGTCTGACAAGCAAAATTTTTTTCTATCTTAATGGATTTTGAGTACCCCTCAAACATGAAAGGCTTGGTTACCAGGCCTTTTATTGGGAAGGTACTGAAAACTAACACATTTGATTTAAGAAAGAATAAAACTCATACATTTACACTTCCAAAACAAAATGCTTATGATGGGCCTGTGCCCCTAAAAATTAATAAAATAGAAGATCTCAAGCTTACCACGCAATACATTCCAGCTGAACATAAAGCCTATTATTAAAATATAAAAGAAAATTGGCCTAAATGTTAATAAAATCTTATTTTTCAACACTTATTTGTTTATTTTTTCCCTCAAAATTTCGTTTAGGTACCAAAAGGAATAAGTCAAACATTTTTATATAAGCATAATTATTTACAATACAGATATACAGAAAAAGTCTCTACATTAGTACATTCATATAAACCTTAGGTAAGTAACCTAAGGTTTTTTTATATAAATATATTTTTGTCCTTCCTGTAAAATTAGGTATGCCTGACTTAGCCCCTTTAGTAAATAACCGATTCAGTTACAGTCGTTTGATTATAAAATTAAAATAAGTGTGAAGTCAAGGTGTGTGACCAGTTGAGATTGAACTAAAAGAAAGGTACTGTTAAAAATAATAAAAAGTATTATGATTGTTTTATTTAGTTAGCAGGTTGTGTAGGGGAGGCCGGGGCTGAAAGTTCCCGGGGTGCGTTATTTCGACACTAAGAACTTTGCAAAGAAAAGACATAGTAATATAAGAAAAAGGGCGTCGTTCAAGCATCAATTGACACGTACGGACTGTGCTGCTAAAACACCACTGAAGAATTTTTTTCGTATTTACACTTGTTGGTCTATTTTCTTTATTATTGACAGATTTATGTGCATCTTATCAAATATAGAGTATCATTAGTTTGGTTTCATATGGCTTCAATGTTTTTTCAATTAATTTTGTTAATTTGCTAGCATAACAGTTTTTATACATGAATATGATTTTTGGCTACAAGCTCCTTCCCAAAGGGGCTGGTTGTTCAGCGGAACACCTTACCCCATTCGATCCTTAAATTATATTTATATTTTTACGTTATACTTTTAGTTTTAGCACCTACATATTCTCAATCTGAATCAATTACCCTCCAACCTTCTAGCAGTTCAGTTGAGATTGAAGTGGTGGACCAGCCAGGCAATTCAATAATCAAATATCTATTATCATATACATCTCAACAATCTGCAACAGATCAGGGTAATGTATCTCAGGCTGCCTTTGCGACCAATAGTGCCCAAGAACTTAATTTAACACCAACAAAGACTAATGCTTCAGTGGTGTTTAATCCTGAAATTGTAAAGCTTCTGCCAAAGGCAAATTGCAGACGGCTACAAGACATCGTATAAGAAAGACTGCTGTTTTGACTATAAATAAGAAAAAAATGCGTTAGCTGAAGAACAGGTAAGAAAGCAACAAAAGACAAAGACTATTAGAAACAAGGAAAGAAAACAACAATAATAAGGAAAAGGTAAAGTAAGGAAAAAGGAAAAGGAAAAGCTCAAAAAGGAGCTAAACGAAGATTGTTACAAGAAAGCGAGAATGATAGTGATGATGAGGATCTAGAATATTAGGGGAGGCAGGGGCTGAAAGTTCCGATTTTCAAATATCTTAAAATTTTATCATGAAAATCATAAGATTTTAAACTAAATAATTGATTTTATTAAAAATTCTTAATCGCTCTTTGTTATAATAAACGCATTTTTGACAGTTTCTCAATTTTTTTTATACAGGCATTATTTCACAAAATTTCGTAAAGGAACATTCGACCCCATTTTGGGGCGAGTTGTTACATCTGTGGGGCAAATTGTGCCACTTGAAGAATATAAAGAAAGTACAAGGATAATGGGTGGTTTCTTTTAAATAAATCAATAATTAATTTTATGCAATTCTATAAACTTTAAAAATCAATGAAAGACGTTAATAGCGACATATACATAAAATTTTTGTATTCATTAACAGGAAATAAAGTATTAGATTATAAATCTCACAAGCTACATACTTAAGGATACAAAAAAATCTAACAGAACTTAAAAAAAGGACAACAAAATATGCAGTACCTACACACAAATAAGTTATTTTGTTTGCCTTGTTTGTTTTTGTCAACGGATAGTAATAATAATATTTGAATCTGCACTGGATAATGGATATTCCTATTAAAATAACTTTTATAAAGCTACGAGTATGATGAACAGATCGTAATAGTTTTAAGGTACTTTCGTGACTCAGTGGTAGTTGAGAGATTCATAAAGTACTTAGATATTTAAATGTTCGTTCTGATCGGACTGCTGTAACATTATGCGTTAATATATTATTATCAATGTTTAAATGAGATTAATATTTCGATACCTCCCACGTAAGTCGTTGTATGCCACAAAAATGCTATTTTGCTTTTGTTCTGAAAAATATTCTATTGTGGATCATTACATCCATCCAAAGTAAAAAGAACAACAAAAACACTATTTTTAAAGGATTTTTCAGACGCGTACCTAATTATGTAATTTTCAAATTTTGCAGATTTTGGTTTAATTTGAGGTATCGATTTTCTGCTTACTTCGCGTATTTTATCATGTTTAAAAACTATATACTCCCAACGTTGCGATGACTTTGCAGCAACCGTGATCACGGCAGATCTCTTCTGCTCGTTAAAAATAATAAAAACATTAGTTTCATTTAAAATTTTAATCAATACTTGCGAAAGATATTATTATCAATGTTTTAGAGGAGGAAATGATGAAAATTGGTATTTTATTTTTCAAATATTCTGCCTATCTCAAATCTCTGATATTTCTACAGGACTAAGGTTGTACAAGATTCAATTTGACTTTAGTACCAAGAGCAAAACCATCTGAATGACTTGGCCACATCTTACTAACCTGTGCAAATTGTTAAATGATCTCATCTTAACTATTATGTGTCGCTGAAAATTAAGTTTCAGGTTAAAGAAGTAAGAAATTTTTAATACATTTGAAACATGTTAGCTTTTTCTTCTAAACCCCTGACACAAGAAGAAAGGTGTGACTAGTTGTACGGCGTCGTCTGGGAGTAGTCTTGTAATATTTCTCACATCGATGGACCGATTTTGATGAGATTATTTTAATTTCAGTCACTTTCCTTCCGATTCTTAGCTGTTGTATTAATGTTGATACAACGATATAAAACTATCAGTAGTTTTCCAAGATATAATCTATTTTTCTCCTGTGATAATTCTATGTAGTGGAGGCACTAATAATTCTATGCGTGAGGAAGCATGCCAGTATAATCTTTAAATGACAGATGATAATTGATTTTTTATTTAATTTAATGTTCTTATACTTACAAAGTATTATAATTTCATTATCGTACAGTTCTTAAAGTTATCTCATTTATCCTATTGACAACCAACAAATACCAAGAGCGAGAATGATTGAAAATGTGACTAAAAGTTAGTAAATAATAATACTGGTCAACAAAAAACAACCTCTGCGTGTAACATGGAAATTTTGACGTGATAACGTCTCTAAAATCGTTTTAGTCGGGTGACATGTTCAAAAACTTGTGTCACACCAAAACCTCACGAGCGCGATCGCAGGTATAACGAGAGAGAGAGAGACGGAAGATCGGTCCACTCACTCGAACGCTATGCCTGCCTCCGCTCGTGAGGATTCCGCGTGACAAGTTTCACGGAATGACTGGCAGCGCTCGAGATGAGACGGGAGATCGGTCCGTCTCTCTCTATGTATATCATAGTCGAATAGGTAAACTTGTCATTTTACACCCGAAATTTATCATCAAAAGTGTGAATAAAACGATAGATGTAATTTAATATTTGAAAAAATTGTTATTTTCATTAATTCCTTACTTCCCAAAAACTAATATCACCAATAATACGTTATCACGTAAACATCTCGATCGTAAACCTACTTTACAAACAACCAATTATTTTTTAACTAGTTATAGTTAGACAACTATAAAGATTACAGAAATGAAAAAATTCTTTCAATACGAACAGTTTTTTGTAATACTATTTTATAACATTTCAAAATTAAATTTGAATTTTCATTAAAACAAAGTTTTCCATTTTTTTGAAAAACATGATATTTTCGTCAGTATTTTGGTTCAGGAAGGTCTAGTTTTAATTTCCAACAGTAATACGCTTCCATAAGTGAACTTGATCCAATAATGTTTTTCTGTTATAGAAATCTCTCAATAGAATCTTGTTCAAATGTTCAACGAAAAAATCGGCCAAATTTTCAGGAAAGAAGTCTAAATGTGAATGGATAAAATGTTTTTTCAACGACACATTACAGACAAAAGCCTTTTAGGCTCTGCAATAATATGAAATATAAAAGTTCTGCAAAAATATATTTGTAGTAACTAGATCGATGATTTCCTAGAAAATTGTAAGTTACTTTCTTGAACCATTCTCAAGGAGATTTTTCTAAAATACTAAGCTTTTTTTAAATACATCATCTTTCATCATTTGTTTGATAGAAGGCCAACAAATATACTTTCTTTAATTTTTGTTTCATTCAGCTTAGAAAATTTTTGTGTCATATTTAAAAAGCCGTCACTACACTTATCCATAGCTCTCGCTAAGTTCTTCATAAGTCCAAGCTTTATGTGTAATGGTGGTAAAATTATCATTTCTGGGTGCATCAATAAAGAGTTTTGAATATTTTTTATCTTGGAGTAAGGGATTTTCATTGGGCCAGTTTTTTTAATGATAAAACAAAATACTCTCAACTAGTTACTAACGGTGTCAAATTCCTTAGCTGTTTTTAAAAACAAATGTAACAGAATTTGTCAGGATCATTTTAACACTTTCTTGACATTATTTAAGAATTACTCTCAAACTATGTAGAATCACTCACAAAACACTACATTCTTCAAATAAACAAAGTCTCTCAAACGGAACATTAACTTTTTGATTTTGGCTGTAACACGAAAACTAGACCAGATGGAATCAAAATAAGTATCGTAATATAATAAGGGTAGGTAGGTTATTTAAAATTAGCAAGTGCCTTTCTTGTTACAAAATTTTGTTGACCAGTGTAATCTTAATAATAATAATAATAAATATTTGAGTTAAAACACCATTACAAAGAATAAATATATAAAAAATAGACAGTAAACAAAAAAAATAAAAAAGGAAATGTTCATTGTTCATACAAAATTACGATATATAGGCCAGTGCAGAAGCCTTGAAAATTAATGAAAAGTGAAAATAAATTATAGTAGAATGAAACTCATTAGAAAAGGAGGGTAACATTATAAAAATTTAAGGAAAAATAATTTACGGGCGATCTGAGGTCGGGAAATGGGGATGGGTATTTAAGGGTAAAAAATGTTTTTTTTCGATTTCCGGCAAAACTAAAAGTCCTACAGAAAAAAGTTATAAGGCAAAGTTGTAGGTAATAAAAAGATCTAAAACTTTTTTACTAACATTTTTTTCACATAACTTCAAATTTTATGTGAAAAATTCCAAAAACCATGGTTTTCGTTTTTTATCTCTTCCAAAAAACAATATTTTGTCACGAAATTTGGTGAAAACTTTTCTTTTAATGTTTCAAATGCACTCTAATTTATTTGTTTAAAAATATTTATTTTTTCAGCTTATTTTGAATAAATACCGTAAAATCAGTCTCATTTTCAAACGAAAAATCACCTGTCAAAATATCAGCTTTTTTCAAAAATTTTGTATGTTTTCTGTTCTTTGAAATCTCTTTCTTTTATGGTGATGACAAAAATAAAAGTTTCTTACTTGTAGTACCATTTTTGGATAAAATAATCATGTGCTAAAACTATTAAAAATAAGTTGAAAGAGCATTTTCCAAACGATATTGTGTGTTATTTCATTAAAAGGGACGTATATTATTTTTCCTTTAATTTTTATAACATTATTTTCAGTTGAGTTTCATTCTACTATAATTTAATTATGTTTTTAAAGCTATCGGCACTGGTCTATTTCATGTTTAATAGATTATAAAATACTATTTTATAGTACGAAATTACTTGGCAATAGATGACACTAGTAACAATTAAGCTTCTTAGCAACAGATGGCGTTGTGAAATGATAGCGCATCTTCTTGACAATAGATGGCGGTAATACCCAATGATGAAAACATCAAGAACACTAAATATCCTAGTTTATTTAATAGATACCTCTAATTGGAATTATTAATATAACAGAGAACAATATGAATTACATTTGGGTGATTCTTTGAAAATATTTTTTTATAAGTTACTTAGTTTGAAGGTTATTTCTAATCTTATGATTCCTAAAAACAAAGTAAAAACTCATTTGTTACTCTACACTTATTTGAAAGGATTATTAATTTTGCCTGGGACAACATATTTTTCTTCTTATTTTAATCCTGCGGGGAAACTTCGTTAACTCTAAATACTCAAATCCTTATGGAGATGTCCTCTCGGTAGAAATTATTCCAGAAAAATGGAATTCATCCCAATAAGCTTAAAAGGAAGACGAGAACACAAAGATTATTAGTAAATGCGGTTGGTAAACTAACATCCACATACAAGGATGTATGAAAATTACAGCTCACTGACTACTAAATTAACTTTGTTACTGAGTTCATATATCACTTAAACACGGATAAATTGAACTAAAGTATGTAACAAACTACGAGTTTTTTTAATTTTAAAACTACATCTTTCCTTCGTTGCTGTCTGTGATTTTTTGCTGTATAGACCAAAAAATGCAATAAATAAAATAATAAAAAACTTAGTTTCATACAAAATCTTATGTATCATTCTATATATCATAACAAGGATCTTTCTACAGATAGCAAGTAGATCTTCACGTCTCAGTGTATTTAATATTAATATAATAAAACACATTCATCATCATTATAGTTTATATCGTCTACATACAACTAGCACCGCGCCGCCCGACCTCGCCAGGACGAGCCACAAACAAATGTTATATAAATAAAACAAACATATATTTGATTAGAATCTCCCAATCTTGTGATGATCACATCCAGGTGTAATATTCTCCAGGTGTATCGTCCTCCAGGTGTATCGTTCTCCAGGTGTACCGTCCTCCAGGTGTCCGTCAGTCCTGTCTCCTCGTCAGTTCGTCCGCAGCCCTCTGTTCTCTGTTCGCCAAAACTTCTTGTACTAACACGGCTGCTTCCATCTCTGACATACATACTGACTCGGGCGCGGAGCTATCTGTAATATACACACATACATACAGCTCAATATATATATTGTATGAAGTCAATGGTGGCCTAGTGGTTAAAAGGTCCGCCTCTCATGCATGAGGGCGCGAGTTCGATCCTGGCAAGTATCAGTGTGATTTTTCCGAGTCATATGTACTTTATAAGAGTATTTAGACATCACTGACTGATGCATTCAAAAAGAGGGTTGATGTCAGGCAGGCGGCCGGTCGTAAAAACAATTAGCAAAAACTATTCACCCTGGCTAAAGCTGGGAAATTTCCAAGAAGAAGAACATGTATTGTATGAAATAACGAAACACACGATAGATGACGCTCTTAGTTCATATATGTATAATATATGACCACATTTTTTAACTTAATTAAATTCCTATTAGTATATCAAGCATTCCCGGTCTCTCCTTATGTTATACATATATATATATTTTTATTCTCATTATCATCATAACTATTTCCTATAACACTAGTATTCGTTGCATATAATCTTCTTCACTGACCGTGTGGTGAGTACAGAGCGGGCGGAGTCCTAAGCGCCCTCATCTGAACAGTTTCCCTCTTCAGCTGGGCGGCGAGAGTCCTCAGCCTCGCCTCGCAGTCGTCTGTCCAGGGCGGGGGCGAAGGCTCTGTCCCCGGGCGCTCCGCCCACGGCCCGGGCGGCAGCAGAGGCTCGCCCCACGACGGGGGCGCAGACTCCAGGCGCCATAACACACGACGCGCAACTGCCTCCGCTGACTGACGCTGAGAGAATAATGATTTAGTTAGATTGTTGGCATGTATTTGTAAATTGAGATATGTATATTTAACAAGTCATTAACGGAGTTTTAAACAGACCCTTTATCTAGTGACATTTGTATTACATATATACATCAGATACTGAATATCTTCATCGTCAAAGACTGTTACAATGAACTTTATAAATCAGTTAACATTTTCTTAGGACATAAACTTAAGAGTCCCACAACATTCAATCTATACAATAGTCGTTGTGTGTATGTCTGTATCTATGTTTGAGTGTGTCCATGTGTCCATGTGTCACCTCCGTGTCGTGCGGCGCGTGTTGTGTCTCAGCCAGCGCCAGCAGCACGTCGTACACCTCCAGCGCGCGGTCCGCGGCCCTGAGCGCTCCACACACACACACCATAGACGACTCCTGCATCGCGCACGACATAGACAACCTGACGAATATATGAAGAAATGAAGTATTATCACACATACGATAGATGGCGCTGACTGCTCGTGTGAATAAAATATTCAATGATTTAATATATATTATTATTGGGAACTTTCCTACTCACTCCGCCTTCTATTTACAAATAGATTCCAAGTGCAGCATTTAATCATTGCATCTTCAGTCACTTTTACCTTCTGATAATATAATTTTTTTTATTATTATATCTATTTTTTCCTTCTTTTTTTATTCTACCTACACTACATATCTTTTCTTATCCCCTCCAACACAATATCTATCAGAAATCTCTACCAATAACTTATCTTTTATCCATGATTTTCTTATAATATTCTACTTATTTCTATATGTATATATTTCTGTGCACCTGTGCGCCGTGTCCACAGCCCTGGCTAATGCACAGTCCAACACACGACAGTCCGCCGCTAGCCGCCCACAGCGAGCTCGCCACAGACGAACGTGAGCTAGGGCCGTGTCTAACTCATGAACTTCATCTGTGAAACAAACAAAACATCATCATCATCAGCCTATCAGAGCACACTGCTGAGCCTCTTCTCATATAGAGAAGTTTAGAGTATTAATCACCACGCTCAAAATGGATTGGTGATTTCAAATTGTTGAATATATAATTTTATCTAGCATATAGAAATAAGGTAAATTTGTTAATCCGTCTGAGGAGACCACTAATAAGAAATAATTTTGTTATCTATATTTAGTTTAGTCTATACTTGTGTCTATTGTCTATGCTCTCTGCTAACGTGAGAAGAATAAAGTTTCTAGTTTTGTCCAACAGAAAATCTCAATTTCATTTAATAAACGAAGAATCCTTTACAAAACCTAAGTAGTTAACACAAACTTATAATTTGATTAAGTCCATGTTTACTCATATTTTCCTTCATCAGTCAGTGATGTCTAAATACTCTTATAAAGTACATATGACTCGGAACATCACTTGTACTTGCCAGGATCGAACCCGCGCTCTCATGCCAGAGGCGGACCTTTAACCACTGGGACACCACGACCACATAGATATATATATATATCTATATATAGTAGGTCCTATCTCACTCACCACTTCCGGTCGCCACCAAAGCCTCTCTAAGGTCAGCCTGAGCGCACACGTCTAACGCCAACCTCTCCGCTGCCTCCACACACCACGCCTGAAATATACATACATATATATATTAGTCGTTAAAATAGATTTTTTTCATTTCTATAGGACATAATACACAGAAAATGGTAGCATTCTATGGAGGTGTACGTGATTTGTAATTAAATTCAGCTAAGTTATAGTATTTTTACTGTAGGTGAATAAATATGTTATAAAATAATTCATTCTTAAATTAGGTAGATATGAAATATGTTAAAGAAGCCCTAGTCTAACATAGTATCGTATATATATAGTCGGTGATAGTACAAATCCTAGTAACTATCATTGTATAATTCCACGTATCTACATTGGAAGCAGATTATCAGAAGAAAGTTTGAGCTGAAATATTATCTATATTAATGACTTTTAAGGCATTTCTTTCACAATTATTAATAAATTAAACGTTAAATTATTATCCAATGGTAGTTACGCGAATGTGTACTATCCCGACGATATTATATATACAGTATGTCAACTAACGATTCAAGTTCCCATTAATCCGCAATAATGTAGCATCCATACATGCTAAAAAAAATATTACCAATCGAAAACAAAATGTTTTTATTTTTTTTTATTTAAAAAAAATCATTAAAAATATTAAATTAACATGTAAAAGAAACATCCTGTACACGCATATTTGAAGAACGGCAACGTCGCAACTTACTTATAAAAGACGGGCCGCGTATGCGGCATTCGATTGATCTACGATTTTAAAGTGTCACCCGACCCCCGCCCCCGAACGTCCGCGAAATTTTATTTTTTAGTATTTACTATTTAGTAATCCCACGCCGCTGACCGGGATCGCACGTCTATTATTTCCGCATTACTACGTCTACGTATTTTCGTGTGAAAGATGCCGCGTTATCAGTTCAGTGCGCAGGAGTATGTAATTGTGAGTGCCCTAGTGCGTATGCGTAATAATGAGCCGGTAGTGCCGCGTCGTTCAGGTGGCCCGCGACCCGTGATTTCAGTGCGACAGGAAGAGAACGTGCTAAGGCATTTTGAGGAGGAGCCCGGTTCAAGCACCAGAAGAGCCGGCCGCCTGTTCAATATGAGTCACGTCGTAGTGTTTAAAATATTAAAGAAAAACAAGCAGCATCCGTACTCACTTCAAAAAGTGCACGAAAATAACCGTCGGCGATTGCAACAATGTGTAGACAGAGGAGGTCAGCATATCGAGCAGTTCAAAATCTAGGTAAGTTTTAACATTATTTAAATGTATCATAATACCTTAAACATTTCGAGAACATAAAAAAAAATAACACTAAACGAGTGTGCCACAAAATTAATAAGTTCAGAACTCTTTCCTAAAACTGCTTAATACCTCCATGTGAACTGTAAATAAATTGTGTAATACCACCATGATCATTTAAATGCGAGCCTAAACTGTGGTTTAAATAAACTTTCATCCAACTTAATATGTAAAGCAAATTCATGTACCCAGCGAGTAGACCTTCTGTATTAACTAGTATTTGAGTCGTATAGAATCAAAGGCGGCAATCTGCACATTTTATCAAAATAAAGATTTTTATATGGACACACAGGAAATTTAAAATAACGTTACGTACTTAATTTACTTTATAACAAAAACGACTATCTCGGAGTGAAATCCCTTTTGAAAGTCAGGTTTAGCATCAAATCCGGCAATCTTCAACAGCATAAGAATCAAACCCGGCATTCTAACTCATTCCACCAATCACAAGCGTCCGTGTGGTCACGTGATCTAATGACGTCTGTATGAAGTTTCTAACGAATTTGTGTCCGTGTTTTTATTGAATTATTTTATTTATTGTGATTACTGTTATAAAATAAATGTATAAATTGAATCATGGATGTACATTCTAAGCCTGTAAATTTCTTCAATTTGTTATTTTTATAGTACACAATGAGAGTTTAATATTAAGCGCATCAATACTTACATCACTTAAAATAAAGTTACGTAATATCATTTTTGAAACGGACGACACAAACCGAAAATTTTCAATTCTCTGATTTCAGTCTAAGTGTAGATTGCCGCCTTTGATCCTATACGACTCATTTGTTTATTTTGTAACAACGAGCGGGCGGCGACGTGTCGGCAGAACTCAAAGGCGCTACCGCCCCACCGCCCCGCGTTCATTACTCGGCCGTTGCGTGCAAATTCTGTCTAATTCTCTGTATTATTATTGTAATGTTATTGAAACGTGGCTTAGATATGATGGTTGAATTTGTTTTTTTTTATTTACTGTTTGCGAATAGGTACCTCAGTGACACGTTCCTTAGTCAGCGATACATTTGAGACGGGTTAAGTGTTATTTCTAAAACTAAACATACATTTAAAATGTTTATTTTTACTGTTAACAATCCGACTACGTGTCTTTATAATTCAATATGCCGCCACTACAAAAGGCGCCGCTCGGCATCGTGCGTATTGCGACGTTGCCACTTTCGGCAATGCTACTACGCTAGATACATACGTTCTATTCCGCGCCACATACATATAGGAGGTTTCGAAATTATTGTGAATAAATTATTATTTTTTTATTTAGATTATTTTGTGCTTATTTTTCTATGCTGATATATTAATTTTAATCTATTAGTGATATATATTAACGTGTTCAAGGGAACGCCATTTGCTGTATTACATACTGTATATATACATATATATATGTGTGTCCGTACCTCGTCTGTGTGTGTGTCCCGCGCGTCGTGTTCCTGTGTCTTCTTAAGTCTGACTCTGGAAGCTATTTTCGCTTCTCTGAACTCACATTTACCTGAAAACATTAAAAAATACATATTATATTTGTACCCACTATAAGTTGTATATGTTTGCAGACTCTGGCTAAAGCTGGGAAATTGCCAGGAAGAAGAATAAGTTCTATATGTATGGTTCTTGGAGTCATTATAATCTTATAAGCTATATATTTATACAACACACATTTAATTTGAGCCGTCCCTTTAAACTCCCGAACGCACCCGAAGTGTCGTTAAAGAGATGACGTTTGGTTTGTTCACTTTTACGAGGGAAAGTATTTGTTGACACGACTTGTGTGCTTGTAAACTGAATACAACTTATTGAAGGTGTTTTGGTTTAATATAATAATTAGTTTGTTCCAGTTAAAGTTTGATATGTTATTTAAAACTAGTGGCTTTATAAAACACCTATATTTTTTTATGATTTTGTTAGAATCCTATATAGTGTGTATGAATGTTTGTTACTTCTTCACGCTCAAACGGCTGAACCGATTTTAATAAAATTTTGTATACAGGAAGCTGACGTCCGGGAATAGCACATAGGCTACTTTACATCCCGAAAATCAAATAACACCGCGGGGCGCAGCTAGTTTATATTACTCACTAGGTGAGGGCGGTAGTAGCCCCGGCGAGCCTCTTTCTCTGTCACAACTTCCTGTATCAGCGAGGACGTGTTGACAGCATCTGTTTATATAAAAACAACTAAAAATATCTATAGATATAGATAGGTAACATCTATAGTTTATGGTCGAGGGTAATTCTAGAAGTCCGCTATTTCTAAATTGTTTTTAGTTCTGTCAAAACTAGTCAGTAAGCTTCTAGAGTTTTTTGCATATGTTGGACCATTTAGTTGGTTTTACAGCAATTGAGAATAATTATAATAAGAATAGTTAGAAGAAAGTGAATAAATTTTGCTTAGAGAAGAGAAGAATAGAGACTTAATAATTATCATTCTAGTTACTTTAACAACTGTAATATCAGATATTTATTACATCAATCATTTTTTACAACTTTAAGATTATATACCAAGTAGTTGATTACATTATTGTGTATTTTAGTCTCTTAATACTATTATAAGAGCATCATCAGTTCCAATACTCTTATAGTCCGTTAGACTTAAGCTGAGCTTTGCATGTGTGAGTGAAAGTAAAAATAGAGTTAAACAAAAAACTTTTAGAATTTAATTATATTATATTTTAAATAGATATGATACATAAGTGCTAGATCTATTCTAGATTAAAAATAAAATAAACATAACTTGTAAAAGGCCAAATGTAAATATTATGGAAAAGGAATTAAGTAATAAAAATGTTGAAAAAACTATACAAATTCTCATTCACTTGACATTGCGTTTTCAATATTTGATTTTACAGTACAAAGGGTCAAGTGAGGAAGGTGCGGGGCGGAGTAAGAACAGAATAAACCGGTTCAAAACTAGAAAAGAACGTGACATTCAATAATTTGTCATCACACCTACACTATCCGTGTACACTCACACATGTAAAGCTCAGCTTAAATCAAACGGACTATACCACACTCTTCTTATCTTTATATATATAATTCTTCTGTGAGTGTGTATGTCACTGAACTTCTCTCAAACGACTGGACCGATTTTAATTTAATGTTTTGTGTGTGTTCAAGGGGTTCTGGGAATGGTTTAGATCCACAATTTTGTTCACAGGACAATGTTTTTTTTCATTAATTTTTAATTTATTAGTAGTTGTTGATACAAACGTTTTTTTGACATTAGATTTGACAACTAACTAATATGTCAATCATTCTGTCGCACTTCAAAACACGGAGATTTATGGCTTTAATAGGTAAACTTCAAAAATATAAATAAAAAACGTAACTGATATTTCTTGATTATAGGGCGATATGAAGTTCGCCGGGTCTTCTAGTATATATATAACTCACCTCGTATTATTCAGACACACTTCTCCCTCCACCATAACACTGGACTCACGCTCAGAGTCCCCCGCGGGAGCCTCCGCTGGGGGTGAAGCCCTACAACACATATAGAACATATATATTTATATATACTAGTTTATTCCCCCCTTCGTCTACGTTAATCGGAATTAGAAATGTATATCTGACCGAGCGAACTCTATTCCGACCTAGTAAATAACTAGATATTGCAATTTATTACCATTTTTTCTTTTTCGATTTAACAGTATTAAATATCCTATGTCCGTGTCCTTGTTCTAATCTATCTCTCCACCAATCTTCATCCATATCCGTACAGTCGTTAGAGTTATATATAGTGTAAGTAACACGACTTATATATATATATATCTTTATATACATTATATCTGAGGCTAGTTTTAAGTTTCTATTAAACCATATTATATAATTCAGGAGATGTTCTTCAAACATATATTACGGGTTCGATTCCCAGATGAAACATAAATCTAGATCAGATAACAGATCACTCCAATTATTTTCAGTGATAACTTTATACATTAGATTATTTCATAAACATAAGTTTAGTACCACTTCTCACCGCTAGATGTCTCTGTTATTAAACAACTAATTAATACTTTACATATAACATTTATACCTGTCAGTTAGTTCTTCATCCTTTTTCAAATCTTGAGGAGTATTCAGTTCCGGACTCACGGCAGACGAGCTTTCGTACTACGAACAGATGAACAGACATATAGTATACTAGCTTTCCGCTCACAGCTTCGCCCGCGTGAAGTTCGGTTATATCGCGTTCCCAAGAGAACCTTTCAAAAGTCTGGGATAAAAACTATCCTATGTTCTTTCAAGGTCAACTCTATGTCTGTACCAAATTTCATTAAAATCAATTCAGTGGTTTAGGCGTGAAAGCGTAACAGACAAACAGACAGACAGAGTTACTTTCGCATTTATAATATTAGTGGGGATAGTACAATACTTAGAGCGACTGTAATATTCGCAGGTTCGAAGTCAATTCATGTAATACATATTTTTTAATATACATATATGAGTTTATTAAAATCCATCAGTTTTACGGACTTTTAAAAGAGAACTGCATTGAAAAAGGTCTAGCGGGCAGATCATGTATACGGGAAAGAAGAAGATGAGGGTAGTAAGCATACTATAAAGTATATACAGGGTGACTGGTGAATTACTATCGATATTTGAGGACGTGGTAGTTGACGATCATATATGACAAAATAAAAATTAATATAAAATAAATATTAATAAACTTCTAAGTAAAGTTAACCAAAAGTTATGTTATTAATTACGCATCGTGTGAACACCCTACAGATTAGGTATACACACACACTCACACATACGCGGCGGGGGCGTGGTTTTGTATCAGCACGCCGCCGCACGCGTCCACACTTGGAACACTTGGAACGTGTCAACACTTTATTTATTTATACGGAAATTTTTTCAAAAATTAAGTACCTATTTTTTTTACATAATTCGAATGAGAATCATGTACCGAGTATTCTCCTTAAATATTGATAGTAATTCACCAGTCACCCTGTATATATGTATCTGTGTCTGTGTGTGTGTGTCTGTGTGTGTGTGTATGTGTGTCTGTGTGTGTGTGTGTGTGTGTGTGTTTGTGTGTGTGTCTGTCTGTGTGTGTATGTGTACCTGTTCCGTGTGCTCCGTGAGGTCATTGTCCACGTCCCCCGCCGGCTGGGTGATGGACTCACACTCGTCTGTAACAAACATAATATATATATATTGTTTTTAAATCAATTAATTCTCCATTGACGTATATTACATACATAATACGAAAAATAACTTTAGAGTGTTGTATATCATATCAATTATATTGATGATGATGACGAATGATTATTATAAAGAGAAATGTAGAATCTATATATAAAAAATGAATTGCTGTTCTTTAGTCTCACTAAAACTCGAGAACAGCTGAACGGATTTATCTTATCTTAGTCTTGAAATGTTCGTGGAGGTTCAGGGAAGGTTTAAAAGCTGAAGAAAAATGATTCATTTCCGGGAAAACCATAAAAACAGCGCTTTTCTATTTCCCATATAAACGTTTTTTTTGACATTAGATTTGACAACTAAATAATATGTCAATCATTCTGTCACACTTCAAAACACGGAGATTTATGGCTTATAGGTAAACTCCAAAAATATAAATAAAAAATATATACATATACAGGGTGACTGGTGAATTACTATCAATATTTAAGGAGCATACTCGGTACATGATTCTCATTCGAATTATGTAAAAAAAATAGGTTCTTAATTTTTGACCAAATTTCCGTATAAATAAATAAAGTGTGTACACGTTCCAAGTGTTCCAAGTGTGAACGCGTGCGGCGGCGTGCGCGAGTGTGTGTGTGTGTGTAATCTAATCTGTAGGGTGTTCACACGATGCGTAATTAATTACATAACTTTTGGTTAACTTTACTTAGAAGTTTATTAATATTTATGTTATATTAATTTTTATTTTGTCATATATGATCGTCAAATATCACGTCCTCAAGTATCGATAGTAATTCACCAGTCACCCTGTATATCTTCAGTAAGTCCATCTATTCTCCACTCACCGGAAACTTCCTCCTCAGGTATAACCCGTGCTCGTCTATCGCTTGTCCTTCTCCTGACTAGTTCAGCGATGACTCCGTGCAGCTCCGCGAGTCTTGCATCATGAGCTCTACCCTCAGCGGCAGACCTCTGTCTCTCCGCGGCCAAGGCCCGGGCTAGAGCATCTCTCTCCGCTCTTAGAGATTCTATATCTTCGCGACCACTGCTTTGGCTGGCAACCTGGAAGAATACAATCAAATTTTACAATTATACACAAACACATACAAGTATTATAGTCATCATCAGCCTATCAGAGCCCACTGCTGAGTTTTTTCTCACATGGAGAAGATTTGAGCATTTATCACCACAAGGGAAGGAAACAAGGAATAGACAACCTAAATGAGATCTAATACGAATCTAATTCGAAAGTATTCATTTATATGAAACTAATATTATTCGGATTATTTCGAATATTTTATTATATTAAAAAACCTAGATATATGCATACATGACTTTGGGGCCGTTCAAGTATTACGTAAGCACTATGGAGGGGGTCTTTTGCTTTGCTTATTTTGGATGACATGGGGGGTAGGGGAGTCTAGGTGATGATTACGTCATCGGTAGTTATTTACTTTTTAATCATCACATCGAGAAGATCCATCAAAAATATAATTATAATATATATCTGGATTTATATGAAAAAAAAAACAATACAGTAATTGAAAATGTTTACGTGAGCATGGGGGGAGGGGGTATGAGCTTGGTTACTTTTGCTGACAAGGGGGATGGGGGGGTAAATAATTGTAATAAATCTGCTTACGTAATACTTGACCGTCCCTTGAGCCTGCATCATCATAAACTCAAAACATTCCTTAAATACTGATGATTCAAATCACCATACAAGCTGATAGCGGTACATTCAATACATCATGAATAACTACTTAAAATATTAGCATTTTTATATTATAATTACAAATGAAACACAATTATGGTCACATGTCAGTCATTGTACCCAAAATGGCTACCAGATAGGATTCAATACAAAACCAAAACTATCCAACAGATAAAAAAACTATCCTTAGTACTGGCTTGAAAGGAAAAACTAAATACAGATAGTTGAATACGTTTACGACTATCAAACTATCAGTATTATCGTAAGCAGAGATAATATTACCAAAGATGGGACTCGAAATTAATAAATGAAAATCTTTACGTAATTTTTTCCGCGATTTATGTCATCATCCTATCAGAGCCCACTGCTGAGCCTCTTCTCACATGGAGAAGGTTTGAGCATTAATCACCACGCTTGAGACGTGTTGGTGATTTCAAACTTATAATTTGATTAAGTCCATGTTTCCTCATGATGTTTTCCTTCATCAGTCAGTGATGTCTAAATACTGTTATAAAGTACATATGATTGGGAAAAATCACATTGATACTTGCCAGGTTTGAACCCGCGAGTCCATGTATGAGAGGCGGGCCTTTTAACCACTAGGCCACCACTGACATAACTATGACCAAGATTTATAACTATGACAAACTATGACCAAAAATATGACCAAACTAACCGCAGTCACACCATTCCTTCCGGCCACAGGTGCAGCCGTCACAGGTCTTAAACTAGAGTATCTCCAGCTGGATTCCCTGGACATCTCCTCATCCCCTACATTCGGGCAGCACAAGTACCAACTCCTGGTGCGCCTTACACCTGTATTATCCAGCTGTGTTAAAGGCACTCGCCCTACTAGTTCCAGCTCAGCCAACAAAGGCTCTTTCTCCTTAATTTCCTTCAAAGGGAATGTTCCAGCAGTGGAATACGTATCTCCTTTGTTCCCGTTTTCTGGCGTACTATATTCTGGACTCCAGGTGCCTTCCAGAGTTATTTTCACCACCTCCGCGTCCTTAGTACGTTCGTACACCTGGAACTCCTGTTTGACCTGGTAGTCCTGTTTGACCTGGACCTCATCTCGTCGAATCTTCTCCAGGTCAGCGTAATAATAGGCCGTGGAGCGAGGCAGTTCGGTGACAACTGATCTTCCAGACATCATTCAATAATTCTCACATAACTTCACAAAACACAAGCTCAAATTGAATTATAAAACTTCCATTATAAGATAAACTGATATATCTATATATAAGAGTCGTGTTAGGTACACTATTTATAACTATAACGACTGTACAGATATGGATGAACATTGGTGGAGAGATAGATTAGAACATAGAAAGGACATAGGATACTTAACATACAATTATATCGGAAGAAAAAATTGAAAATCCGCTTATTTAGTGCCTTTAAGGAGGAACAGAGTTCGCCCGGTCAGCTATAAATTTCTAATTCTGACTCAAGCAGACAAAGTCGTGGACAAAATCTAGTATATATGACACGAGAACTCATCATTCCATGTATTCACAGTGCGTGTGTCGGGTCCATCGTTGTAGTGAGAGGAGCTTCAACAGTGACTGGGACTTGTGTCCCAGGTGTAGGTTTAAGGGACCCTATCTAACGTTAAACGATCACCTCCACCGTACAAGCTCCTCTCTCTACCTAACCAATATGTAGAATATAATAATGATTCTCATTTTATAGGAACGAGGCGTTTATGTGTTTTCAATAATATTCCCTACTAATATTATAAATTCGAAAGTAACTCTGTCTGTTTGTTACGCTTACACGCCTAAACCACTGAACTGATTTTAATGAAATTTGGTACAGACATAGAGTTGACCTCGAGAAAGAATATAGGATAGTTTTTATACCAGACTTTTAAAAGGTTCTCTTGGAAACGCGTTATAATGGAACTCCACGCGGGCGAAGCTGCGGGCGGAAAGCTAGTACATATATAAAAATGTATATTGCCCCTTTCCTACATATAGTGGTAGGTGTGACGTCACAAGTCTAATATTTTAACTTATCTTCTATATATATAAAAATGGATTGCTGTTCCTTAGTCTCGCTAAAACTCGAGAACGGCTGAACCGATTTGGCTAATTTTAGTCTTGAAATACTCCTGAAAGTCCAGGGAAGGTTTAAAAGGTGAGAAACATTGGAATAATTGGCGAGAAAACCCTAAAAACAGCCCTTTTCTATTTCCCATACAAATCATTTTTTGACATTAGACTTGACCATTATCTAATATGTCAATCATTCTGTTCGATTGAAACAGTAGAAATTTAATAAATACCAATACCGGGTTATTGAAGACGGAATAGAGTTTGCCCGGTCAGCTATACATACATATATTACTAATGACGAAATTAACGCGGACGAAGTCGCGGGCAAAAACTAGTTTCAAATATAAATAGTTATGTATTATGCCTTATATATATGTATGTATATATTCTAACACCAGGATAGTCTAGACTCAACACTACCATCTTGACGCGCTGACGAGATACAACGAAAACACTTAACACTGTACAAGGCATAAGCGACAGCGGATTATATATCCTACTAATATTATAATTGCGAAAGTTTGTGAGTGTGTGTGTATGTTTGTTACTTCTTCAAACGGCTAAACCGATTTTGGTAAAATTTTGTATACAGGAAGCTGACGTCCAGGAATAACACATAGGCTACTTTACATCCCGGAAATCCGAGGGTAACGGGCGCAGCTAGTATACATATATAAAAGAAAGTCTTGTTAGTTACACAATTTATAACTCTAACGACTGTACGGATATGGATGAACATTAGTGGAGAGATAGATTAGAACAAGGAGACGGACATAGGATACTTTAATACTGTTCGATAGAAAGGAAAAAGTTTAAAGTTTAATAGACTCCAATATCTGGTTATTTACGTCCTCTAAGTCGGAATAGAGTTCGCCCGGTCAGCTATACATATATTACTAATGACGAAATTAACGCGGACGAAGTCGCTGACAAAAACTAGTATGTATATAAATCTTCTACATGATCTAATTAACTCGAACCCACAACATTCGGAATATCGTATTTCAGTCGCTGTAGTATTTATTCAATATAATATAATATAATTTATCATTAAAGCATATTTATTGGCCTACATACAACGTTTTGAAGCTTTTTTCAATATGTTAAACTCATCAAATTAATTGTAACTATTAAATATACCCCGGCTTCACGCGATATACTAGCATATCTCCTGACTTTACGTACAAAGGTTTAAATTGCTTATACGACAGTAATTAATTACTTTTCGATATTTTTTATATGTAATAAGTATAAAATCAAACCTCCTTGGTAATAACTAAAAAGGTTTCGTCGTCATCAGGCCTCTTTCTCACATGGACAAGGTTAGAGCATTAATCACCACGCTCGCTCAAGACGGGTTGGTGATTTCAAACTTATAATTTTGAAATTATAAGTCCAGGTTTCCTCACGATATTTTCCTTGTCAGTCAGTCTAAATACTCTTATAAAGTAAATATGACTCGGAACATCACATTGGTACTTGCCAGGATCGAACCTGCGCCCTCATGCTAGAGGCGGGCCTTTAACCACTAGGCCACCACTGACTTTTTAAAAGGTTAATACATTTTTTAGAAGCTTCACGTACATACACTTTAAACGCTAACCGCTTACATTGACACCACATGACTTCCTCATGCATATAAATAAATAACAAAAATAATATGAGCTTTAATACTAAAGCAATAGAGTTTAATATTCTTTAAATAAAAGTTTAAACTAAAATAGATAGTATTGCGTAATTAAAAAATAAACCTACCTTTTAATACATTGAAAAACTAACTCTATTCATAAGCAATTAAAGCTTAGAATCCTTGTAAGAAAAAATGTGTTCCATTTACGAATCTGACATATACATTGCAATATTAACTTTGTTAGTACTGAAATAGAGAACAAATTCCATCGCATTTGAAACGTTCCATTTTTGAATAACGCATACATTGTGACATCAACTTGATCCGTATGTAAACAGATTATATGGGAATGTGAACTTTATTCGAATAGAGATAAAGTTCAAATTTAGATGGACCAATGGAATGCAGTTCCATTTTCAAAAAACCAACACGTCCGTCATTGTACACGGAAGTTTAACATATGTATGTAATAACGAGCTTTATTTTCTAATACTTTAGGTTTATTTTAGTCTGTAGTAGATTCAAGATGCTCTATTTATTGCATGAAGTAGTGTCCATACATTCTCATACAATTGAAATCGAACCTTATTTCGATATTTATAAGTACTAGTTTTGTATGTACTGGTTGTATCGACCGCATTTCAAGGTCAAGCCGAGCGACGCCGTATATGTAGGTTAATAGAAAATTTTATAATAGAATATTCTAGAATTTCGACTTAGGATATATAAAATAGATTATAGTCAGTGGTGGCCTAGTGGTTAAATCGCCCGCCTCTCATGCACGAGGGCACGGGTTCGATCCTGGCAAGTACTAATGTGATTTTTCCGAGTCATATGTACTTTATAAGAGTATTTAGACATCACTGATTAATGCATTCCCAAAGAGGGTTGATGTCTGGCAGGCGGCCGGTTGTAAAAACAATTAGCCAAAACTATTCACAACATGTAAAGCAGACCCTGGCTCATGCTGGGAAATTGTCAGGTAGAAGAATATATATTTTTAAATGTATTTTCACAAATATTCCTTTACCGTCTGAACAAATATTGATGTAACTTATACTAACTAGATAGACTCAAAGTTTGTAATATAAAAATGATTGAGTAGCATAATGTATGTATGAATGTAAACTACAGGCACTACAAGTGTAGCTGAGAACATGTAACAAATTGCTATCATATTATTTATGTTTTAAATATTATGTAGGTATGCTTAATAAGAAAATAAATTATTCAATTTTAATGAAGTTTGTATGTAAGTTCTAGTAAGTATTAATAAAATTCTACTCAAAATCGGTTCAGCCGTTCAGGAGATTACATGGAACAAAAATAAAATAGTACTAATATTTTATGTACTGTAGTTATTTTGTAGGTGTGATATATATAAAATATATATACATGAATATTTGATTAATTCTGTTTGTAGAGTCAGGAGTCATAGAGTCAGGAGATATGTCGGTGTTATTTAAAAATTTTTATATATATAATATGTTTGAAAGCATGCCATTTTTAATAAATTAATATGTATTAAATTAATATCATACCATTTATATATGATGCATAATTTTTTTATATACAGGGTGACTGGTGAATTACTATCAATATTTAAGGAGCATACTCGGTACATGATTCTCATTCGAATTATGTAAAAAAAATAGGTACTTAATTTTTGACAAAATTTCCGTATAAATAAATAAAGTGTGTACACGTTCCAAGTGTTCCATGTGTGGACGCGTGCGGCGGCGTGCTGATACAACAATACGCCGCCGCGCGCGAGTGTGTGTGTGTGAGTGTATACCTAATCTGTAGGGTCTTCATACGATGCGTAATTAATTACACAACTTTTGGTTAACTTTACTTAGAAGTTTATTAATATTTATGTTATATTAATTTTTATTTTGTCATATATGATCGTCAAATATCACGTCCTCAAATATCGATAGTAATTCACCAGTCACCCTGTATATATATGTAAATTTACATATTTCTACAACAATATATATGTAGATTTAATTTCTTATATACTGAATTATTAATCAGAATCACTTTCTAATATTTATATTAATATAAATTTTCGTAAAATTTTGTAATCGACATATTTATTAATCCACTTATACATATATTTATTTCTTTATATCAAATTGAATATTTAAGTAATTATCCCAAAGAGGGTTGATGTCAGGGAGGCTGCTGGTCGTTAAAACAATAAGCTAAAACTATTCACAGTATATAAGGCAGAAACTGGCTAAAGCTGGAAAAATGTCAGGTAGAAGAAGAAGTATATATAAGTAATTGTTACTAAACTTATATTCCGGATTGAACAAGCCATATCTTAATATATAGTAAAATGAGTATTACTTCTAATTAAAGTTTTATAATCTCCAATATTAAAAAACTACATTAAAATTCAATAAACAACGGGACTGTTAAAAAATGAAGGTTGCTAATGTCATAATTAACTAATGAACATTGAGGGTCAAATTTAATTCGCAGTTACTTGATATATCTAGACTAGAATATAAACAATGTATTTACAGACTAGACTGTATAAGTCTAGACTGGATCAAAGCCTAGACTAGACTAAAAATTTAAACCTATAAGATATAAGACGCAAAACTTTCACTGATATATCGAGCAAGTTTGAAACACTTATGCGTTCCGATTTATACCGTTGCATCGCTTATTTTTGGTGTATGACGTCACTAACACTAAGTAACACTAAATAGCACTAAAACTCACACTAAACACTAAACAAAGTATGTTTTAATAATAATTGCATTTATTTGTATCATATCAACCGTTTTGTGTAGACCGCGCTCGCAGACTGCGTCTGACGTCAACAGCGCAAGAATGGCGCATACCGAGTGCTGCCATACATGTGATTTGTTTACCCGTTAATTTAATGGTAATTTGCATGAATTGTAATAGTTTATAATAAACGAATTGATAAAAAAAATTATTTAAGTATAGCTAAGAATATTATTTAAGACTATTATGACGTAATTTAGTTGGTGAATTGGTAAAAAAAATGTATTTAGATAAGCAAATGCTTGACGATTCCTGTCAATATCACATAACTAGACTTGTTTTGAATTTTTCAGTTTTTATAAAATAGTATTATATATAGTTTATGTGTGACTAAAATGAAAACTTACAAATAATATTTAAAAAACTACTTGTACAAAAGTCTACGTATCGTCATTAAAGAGAATTCAGCAACCATCATTAATTAGTCATTAATAATAAAAATAGTTTCCAACTAACACGGGTAATATAGAATAGTGGCAACATTTTTGAAATGTCACTAAAGAGGCGCAAAGAAACAACCTTATTAACTACCGCTACCATTTGTCGGGAACTCGAATCTAATTCAGTCGAGTTACAAAACGAAACTAACAAACGCGAGATACAAGTGAGATATGAACAAATAGTAGTGGACCCCAATGTAGGACTAACGCAAGCCTTTGGAATTAATTGAATCTTGGCTGTATCAACATTTTATTTAAAAAAACTTATATATATCAACAACATATAACATTAATTAATATCTTTCTCATATTAGAATCGACCGCATATTAAAATTGCATATATTTCACGAATTAGAATCACTCACGAATTTAGACAAAGAAGACTTTGTTGACAAATATGTAAATTACGTAAAAAACGGCTGAGGAAAGACGAATGTGATTTTCGTAACACACAAGGTGTCATTTAAACTACGTATTGAATATTATAAATTAATATCGAAAATATGTTAACCAAAAATCTTCAAAATACATACCGCATTATTTGTAGTCGGTTAATATTTGTCATTTATTAGCTTCCAATATAAATGTGGCATTTTACTTGGCGTTGCGTATTCGCCGTATTTGTCCAAATATTTGTACATAGTGCAAATATCGCAAACATGACATCCACACTTGGCATCACAACACGTCTATATATTTCCGCTTATTTGTGTTATTTGTGCAAATATGTCAAATAAAGACGAATATATCATCCACACATGCTCTTATTTGACACAACAAATAAACGCCAAGTAAAGTGCCAGCTAGATTGAAATAGTTACGGAGTTAGTTACAACGACGTACACACAGTCAAACAACGAACCTCGCTCTTTACAGTCGGTCAACTTCAAAATCATTTGTACATCTGTATTTATAATCTTCTTCAACCTGGCAATTTCCCAGATACAGCCAGGATTTGCCTTACATGTTGTGAATAGTTTTGGCTAATTGTTTTTACGACCGGCCGCCTGACTGACATCAACCCTCTTTTGGGAATCAACATTAATCAGTGATGTCTAAATACTCTTAGAAAGTACATATGACTGAACATCACATTGGTACTTGCCAGGACCAGGATCGAACCTGCGCCCTCGGCGACGAGAGGCGGGCCCTCTAACCACTGAGCCACCACTGATACAATATATACATCTGTATTTATAATATTGGTGAGTAAATGTGGTGTTGGTGAAAGTGAACCTTATTGATATATAACATAAGGTGCACTTTATATTTGTATTATAGATTATGTAGGGGGTCAGTGGTGGCCTAGTGGTTAACAGACCCGCCTCTCATGCTCGAGGCCGCGGGTTCGATCCGAACCAATGTGATTTTTCCGAGTCATATGTACTTTCTAAGAATATTTAGACATCACTGATTAATGCATTCCCAGAGAGTGTTGATGTCAGACAGGCGGTCGTAAAAACAATTAGCCAAAACTATCCACAACATGTAAGGCAGACCCTGGCTAAAGCTGGGAAATTGCCAGGAAGAAGAGGATTATAGATCATGTAGGAGGTAGTAGAATGCATCATATATATATATATATCAGTTTGCTTCTTAGCAGACTACATATATGTTAAATTTAATATAGTTATATTGAATACTATATCACACATTTTGTTATTTTAAGCTGAGTGAATCTACTTTAGGAGATTATCCGGAACAAATTAACGGACAGTCATTTAGAAAACAACCTTTTTATTGTAGTGATATTTCATAGTTTAATATGCATATTTTAATGAGCGAGCATGGTGATTAATGCTCTAACCTTCTCCATGTGAGGAGAGGCAGCAGTGGGCTCTGATAGGATGATGATGATATATATATGCTGGTAGATATAAATCTTTAACGGCTGAACAAATATCGATATAACTTATACTAGATAGTCTCAACAATTGTAATATAAAAGTGATTGAGTACTATAATCTATGTATGTATGTAAACTACAGGCACCACAAGTGTAGCTGAGTTATAATCTTACCTCATCCTGATGGCTTACAGTTGACCGACTGCCCCACTCATCCCAGCTCTCCTTCTCGTCTGAAACACAATAAATATTAATCTACATACAAGTTACCCTTAGTCGTTATTCAAAAACTATTTACTGATAGTTTGATGTAAAATTAATAACTAGAAATTGTTATGTAATTTACTTGTATGTAGAGTAAGGATATGGTATAAAAAAATTTAAACTCAATCCTTAGTAATATGATTATTTAAGTTAAAATCATATAAAATTAATATATTGAGATAATTAAAGAATATTTTTAGTATTTATTCCCAAAGAGGGTTGATATCAGGCAGGCGGCCGGTCGTTAAACCAATTAGCAACTATTCACAACATGTAAGGCAGACCCTGGGTAAAGCTGGAAAATTGCCAGGTAGAAGATATTATATTTAAGAACAATGATAGAACTTACAGTAACTCGCTTCACTTGCTTCTTCCATAATAGATATGAATCTGAAATAAAAACGAGATAAAATATAACAAAATAGTCTAAATGAGAATATTAATTAATATTGGTATTTTAGCTTATAAAGTTAGAAACAATATTTTACTTTGCTTTTGAATAAGTCCGAATATATTCAAAAATTACCATATTTATATAGCTTTTATGATTGAGATACTAATAAACAGATCATTAAGAAATATATTACTAAAATAAATAATATGTACCAACATATATATTTATAAGGAACTTACTTGTTATACACGTTCTTCTAATATAGTTAATTTCAACATGAACACATTTTTAAAGCACTTAACTCACGTTAATAACAAGATAATTATTTATAATAAATATAAGCTTATTGAAAAAAAGTAATTTTATTTTCGTTGCCTCCACGCCCACCCCGAACTCGCAACATTATATAAATACGCGATAATAAATTAACATTTCTACATTAATATATAATTTGGCACATTTTAAGACACATTTAAGTTATAACTTTGTGATTATAAGCTTTATAATATTAATTATTTAGTTCGATAGAAAAAGTTCATTGCTTTTTCTGTTTACAGCCGAACGTCAAACCAATGGTCAATGGACGAACTGATTCTGACCAGAGATGGGAAGAAATAATCGATTTTATTAATCGTTTAGATTATTAAACTAATCGATTTTTATAAAATCGGTTTCTGAAATTTTAAGTTTTATTTAATTAAGTTATTATTATATATTTTTTAGTTAAGTTTGTTTATGATTCAGATGTTAAATAAATAATTGAAACAGAGACAACGTAGACAAACGCCTAACAAAACTTAGTAGCAATAACGGGAATTGCTCTGATTGCAAATATTTAATAAGAGTTATCTTATTGTAAAATTACTTATTAATTTGCTTATTCATTGTTAACGTAACTGTTTCTAGTACATAGTATTTTCTTACATAAGTCTTTTTTTTTATTCATTTATCGATTTAAAATATATATATTCGAAATGTAAATATATATAAAGTAGCTCAAGTCTCGATATAATAAATATATGAATAGTTCACTCCTATTCCTGTTTTTCTTCATATACAATAAATTATTCGTATAATAATAAAACAATAAGTTCCAAGTATTCGATTAATTGTATCGATTATTCTTAATTCCGATTATATATATTGAAGGAAAAAAAGAGGTCAGCACTATATATAAACTTTTTTGTGTCTGTCAGTCAAAATATTAATTAAAATGAAACAACATATAATTATAATATATATTTATTAATCATTCCGTCCTCATCTTCTTGGTCGGCGACTCTCCGTTCTCTCCGTTATCTGGCGTCTCTTTCTCTCTCATTAGTTTCTTAACTCTCTCTCTCTCCGGCGAGTAGGCCCATAGCAGCATGTCCAAGTGTTCGTGGGTAGGCTTGTCATCATCATCAAATAATTTGACATCGGCGTACTGAAAATAAAGTAAGTTAAAGTAATTATAAATTACACATAGCCTACTAATATTATAAATGCGAAAGTAACTCTGTCTGTCTTTACGCTTCACGCCTAAACCACTGAACTGATTTTAATGAAATTTGGTACAGACATAGAGTCGACCTTGAGAAAGAACATAGGATAGTTTTTATCCCAGACTTTTGAAAGGTTCTCTTGGAAACGCGATATAACCGAACTCCACGCGGGCGAAGCTGCGGGCGGAAAGCTAGTTAGCTAGCATTTATAATTATTTTTAACTATATAATCCCGATGTCAAGGTTATTTTTGTCCAATCATGAGTAATACATTTGTTTACATACTGGTTTTTGCCCGCGACTTCGTCTGCGTTAATCAGAATTATTAATATATGTATAGCTGACCGGGCGAATTATATTCCGACCTAGAGGACGTTAATAACCAGATATATGAATTTATTAAGTACTTTTTTCTATCGAACAGTATTAAATATCCTATGTCCGTCTCCTTGTTCTAATCTATCTCTGCACCAATCTTCATCCATATCCATATAGTCGTTAGAGTTATATATAGTGTAACTGACACGACTTTATATATATTACCTTATCCTTCATGAGAGCCAGTTCCTTATTCCTGATGATATCCCAGGTAGTCTCTTCATCTCCTTTCACTGTTCTCAACCTCTTGTACTGTCCCCCCACAGACCTGTACGCTTCTATGAAGGCTCGCTATAACAATAAAATTACATTACTACGAACATCGCCGGGCGACATCGTTGTATGTATAATATATATCTCTTGAGGCCGCTGACTCCACGGAACGAACACCAAGCGTGTGAACCAGAAGACTCCTGATACACACAAGCTATGGAATGGTATTGATATACTAACATCGGGTCAATCATGTAGTCTTAGGTGTAGGTTATAAGTTTTAATATGTAGTACTTATTATAATTGCGAAAGTTTGTGAGTGTGTGTATGTTTGTTGCTTCTTGACGCTCAAACGGCTTAACCGATTTTGATAAAATTTTGTATACAGGAAGCTGACGTATAGGAATAACACATAGGCTACTTTACATCCCGGAAATCAAGTAACACCGCGGGGCGCAGCTAGTATACATATAAGTAAGTTTCGTAGTTTTGTGTGTGTGTGTACCTGTTGTTCAGAGACTCGGTCTCCAGCCAGGTCTAGACTAGTCTCCACGAGTCCCAGACTGATGTACGCGTTGTTCTGTTTACTGCGATGTTCTCTTTCAAAGTCTTCTAGAAACTTCTCAAATATTTCTATGGAGCTCTTTATGTTGGCCAACTTGGTCTCGTCTCTTGTGCCTGTAACATTTATGATGGAAATACTAAATACCAACAGTTTGGTGTAAAGAAAACGTTAGGTATGATCGTGAAGGTAAATTGCAATCTACCCGTGATGTGATTGAAATTAAATGAATTATTTTCTGTAAATATTTCTTATTAATTATTTCATATACAGCGTGTTCCGATATTGTTATGTAAAACATTTTTCTATAAATCGTAATGTACCAATCTATATACAGTGTGTTCAAGTGAAGATATTTTTCTGTAAATATTTGTAATTTCATATACAGCATGTTTTAACATTATCAAGTGATCATTTCTAACTAATTATTCCATATACAGTGTGTTCATTTTTCTAACTAATCCTGTATATTGAAGTGTAATAAATATAGCGTGTATGCTATATTATAGAATTAAGTCGAGTGTAAAGTCTCCTTTATAAAACATCTCATATATGGTGGACCCATTGGCCCAAGCTTTCATTACGCTATGTTAAAATCTTATATTATTAAATACGACTTAAAGCTACAAAGACGTTTCTTTTCAAACCACATTAGTGTACATACAGCGTGTTCTAGTGAATCATTTTCATACATATTTCTAACTAATCGTGTATATACAGCGTGTTCTAGTGAATCATTTTCATACATATTTCTAACTAATCGTGTATATACAGTGTGTTCTCACACGTGAGTACTCTCTTGGCGCTCCGTATGAGTCCTTTGATGGCCAGCTGCTGGTAGTCGGGGTCCCGACCTTCGAGTTGCTTGAGAGTGTTCTGAGCTGCTTCCTATGAAAACATAAAGACAAAAGCTTTACATATGTACTAGAAGACCCGGCGAACTTCTTATCGCCCTATAATCAAGAAATATCTGTTACGTTTTTTGATTATATTTTTGGAGTTTACCTATTATAGCCATAAATCTCCGTGTTCTGAAGTGCGACAGAATGATTGATATATAAGTTAGTTGTCAAATCTAATGTCAAAAAAAATTGTATCAACAACTACTAATAAATTAAAAATTAATTAAAAAAACATTATCCAGCGGATAAAATTGTGAATCTAAACCATTCCCAGATCTTCTTGAACACACACAAAATAATTCATCAAAATCGGTCCAGTCGTTTGAGAGTAGTTCAGTGACATACACACTCACAGAAGAATTATATATATAAAGAAAGAAAGCTAAGGTATCATAATCACCACGACCATCTTTCTTACCTTATCTTTGAACCCGAGGCCGGGCACAGTGTCCGCGGACTCTTTCTTTTCCTTTTCTTTCTTTTCTTCTTTTTCTTTCTTCTCCTTACTCTCATCCTCCATCTCTACGTCAGAGCTGGATTCCTGTAAAATAACATATTTCCCACAACGCCATACAGACAAACTTAGTTGGAGTGAAACTTCTTATGCGACTTACAATTTATTTATTTATATAAGGACAACTTACAAAACATACACCATTTATAGGTTTTAAAATAAAGGTATTTACATTTTTAGTTAAGTGTTGTTTCAATTAAAAGTTATCACGGCATATAAAAGGACAGTATTTTCTATTAACCTAACACAACTTTTTTTTTCTACTTCAATTATACAAAAGGTTGCGTTAAAAGTTTAACGCTCCTTATAGAAGGAGACAGAGCGATAGAATACGTGTCGCTTAAACACATGCAATCAATAGTGCCTTGTAAGTTATGTTAATAAAGTTTGTATTAAAGAAACACTAAAAATTCTTTAAAAATCTATTTCCACTCTTTCCTAATTTCATTTCTAAATTAAAAAGTTTCACTTCTTCGTCGCGGAATGACTCTACGCACTATTTTTTTCATTTCCACTGAATAATGCTGAACTCTCAACCCATTTGAAGGTGGAAATAACGTCATAGGTGATAAACGCGCTATCCTACTAACTGCCTATTCGTTTTGAAGACCTATTTGATTTACCTACTGAGAATAAAACATTTTTATGCCTATCTTTTTTTTCATTAAGCATCATTTACCAGTAACAATACGTTTTCTATACCAAAAAGCTATTATACATGAAATTTTGACGACCACAACAAGTTTTTTTATTAATTCTGTATTAAAAATACAATTTTATCATTATTATATTACTTTCGCTTTTTTTGGTATATTTTCTATGAATGGCAAAAAAATATAAAGTTACATTAAGTTAGTAACTCTACTAATATTATATATGCTGAAGTAACTCTATCTGTTTTTTTGTTACGCTTTCACGCCTAAACCACTGAACTGATTTTAATGAAATTTGGTACAGAGATAGAATTGAATTTGAGAAAGAACATAGGATAGTTTTTATTAAAGACATTTGAAAGGTTCTCTTGAAAACGCGATATAACCGAACTCCACGCGGGCGAAACTATCATTTGTATAACAGCTGCAGTCTGTCTCTTCTCCACTATACCTTCTCCGCGCTTCTCTTCCTCTTCCTATCTTCTTCCTTCTTCTCCGGTTTATTCTTCTCCAGGTCCGCCAGCCAGTCCTCAAACACCTTCATCGCTTCCTTAATATTTTTTATTTTGTCTTCCGCCTTCGTCACTAGAAACAATAATCTATATAACTATATTAAGTTTAGTTATTCGCAAAATATTATGAATATATGAGAAATAAAGTTATTAGACCATTATGTGTGGGTTATTCTTAGAGAAAATTAGGATTATTCCCAAAGAGGGTTGATGTCAGGCGGGCAGTCGTAAAAACAATTAGCCAAAACTATTCACATGTTCTGTGGAAGAGAAGAACATGTTGTGCTGACCCTACATAAAGTGGGACCAGGGCAGGAAAAGGAAGAATATTCTTAAAGAAAATAAGGATTAAAGTATGCAAAATTAGAATAATTTTCCAGGGAATCAAAAAATTTTACAGATTTGAAAGGGACGTGAACTTCCATGCAAATAAACCTTATGCTGGATTCTAGAGAGAAGACTTAAATTACTTTAATATTATTACACCATCCAAGAATAGCAAAAACAGTAATATTTTTATTTAAAAACTCCTTGTTCTCTCTTATCAAAACCTTGGAATAACAAGATCTAAGTTTTCGCGAGTATTCATTTTAATGAATCTCATATTTTCGGAAAACGCGCTTTAGATAGGATCCCTTAAACCTACACCTGGGTCTCAAGTCCCAGTCACTGTTGAAGCTCCTCTCACTACAACGATGGACCCGACACACGCACAGTGAATACATTGAATGATGAGAGGTTTCGTCTCTCTATATATATTAAACCTACACCTGGGTCTCAAGTCCCAGTCACTGTTGAAGCTCCTCTCACTACAACGATGGACCCGACACACGCACAGTGAATACATGGAATGATGAGATGTTTCGTCTCTACATACTCCTGACTTTTAGGATTCCTTTCTACCTTCATCATGATCACGAGATGTGAAGATCATCAGAAAGATGAAACATTTGAGTATTTCGTTTAAAATAATAAATAAACCAATTAATCCCATCAAAATATTCATTTCATAAATAAAAACTTGCGTAAGTCAATCCATTACTATAATTTCAAAACCTTGGATCAGTCGTAGTCCATTGTTCCTTTAAACTAATATTATTATAACAAAACTTCATACTTCCTCATCTCATCTGCAAGTGATCAAGTTGATGAAATTTAGCCAAAATTTGGGACTATGTAGTTTACAAAAATAAGCATGCGTAGTATATCCAAAAAATATTAGTTTCATTTAAATGAACAAAACTCGCGAAAATCTTAAATCCTTGTTTCTTTTGAACAAGAATCTTTTTCGCGATTCTACAAACGAGAATAACACAATTCATGCTCAGTAAGTATTTAGGTAGAAAGGTTTTTAACCGTAATTTCTGGATGCCTAGAACACTTTGCTGTCAGAGAGATTAAAAGATGCTAGAAAAAGCGAGAGGCAACAAAACTAGGATTAGCTAATTTTGATAAGTATACTTCTTCTTCCTGGCAATTTCCCAGCTATAGCCAGGGTTTGCCTTACATGTTGTGAATAGTTTTGGCTTATTGTTTTTACGACCGGCCGCCTGCCTGACATCAACCCTCTTTGGGAATGCATTAATCAGTGATGTCTAAATACTCTTAGAAAGTACATATGACTCGGAAAAATCACATTGGTACTTGCCCGGGCCAGGATCGAACCCGCGCTCTATATACTCTCTCTATATGCTCTATATACTCACACGACAATACTCTCTTCGCTCTTCCCAAGAGTCCACGTACAGTCAATCTTCTATAATTAGGTTCATGTTCTTCCAACAACCTCAGCGTCTCTTCAGCCTTGGCTTTATCCTTGAATCCAAAACCGGAATCCTCCTTCTCATCTTTACCCATTCTGATGGAAGAATACATATATAAGAATACCCAAAATATGTATATATACGTATAATGAGTTAAAATTTAACAAGTAAATATCCCTACTAATATTATAAATGCGAAAGTAACTGACTGTCTGTCTGTTAAGCTTTCACGCCTAAACCACTGAACTGATTTTAATGAGTACAGAGATAGAATTGACCTTGAGAAAGAACATAGGATAGTTTTTATCACAGACTTTTGAAAGGTACTCTTGGAAACGCGATATAACCGAACTCCACGCGGGCGGAAAGCTAGTAAGAGAATTTGATTTGTAATATTTAAAGTACGTTAAATATAAATTTTACATCATTTAGCACACTTCTGGATAATCCAGGTGTAATCTAGGTCTATATGTGACCTCGTACGCAGATGACGTCATTAACGTAAAACTGTAAGTTTGGCGTACTTCACTGAACCCGATGGTATGGCTAGCAGTTTGCATTGTAACATACGAAACATTTTCAATTTTTAAGTGAAACTTCTTATACGACTTCTAACGAAGTTGCGTTAAATGTTTAACGCTGAAGAGAGAGATATACAAATGTAGAAAGAGAGAGATATATAGTCGGTAGATTCCAAGCATATGCGCATGATTTTCTTGCCATGCAGCGTAAACAGTGTGCGCGTCGTGAAAATAGTTAAAATACGTACTTGTATATATAAATTTATTTATAACATCCATTACTTTTTAGTTTTATTTAATACGCATGTAACTTATTTTTTATTTACTATTTCTTTTTTCATTACCTACGTTTATATGTGACAAGATTTATTAATGAAATACTGTTAACTCTACGTATGAAGTGTGTAGATGTAAAACTTGAAGTAAGAATACAATATTCTTTAAGTAAAATGTTCAGAACTGTTTCATAAATACGAAACGGAAAATAAAATCATAATCAACTCTTCTTCTACCTGGCAATTTCTCAGATATAGCCAGGGTCTGCCTTACATGTTGTGAATAGTTTTGTCTAATTATTTTTACGACCGGCCGCCTGCCTGACATCAACCCTCTTTGGGACTGCACTAATCAGTGATGTCTAAATACTCAACTATGACTTAGTAATTACTAATTAAAGATATGAAATAATTTCAAACGCCAGCAGTGATATATTTTGAATGTAAAACGAAAGTGACGTAATAAAAACATTGTTAGGTAAAAAAAAAACATGGCCACCAATCTACACGATACAAAAATATATATGAAAAAAATCAGCATTTTCTTTTTAAAAAACTATTTCGAAATACTAATTATAAGTAAGTTTAATATTAAACTATTAATTAATTATCTTTTCAATTTATTTTTCACTGATTTTCGTGACAATACAATTCATCTTGTTTTGTATACATAACAGATAAATGTACGATTATCTCGTTTATTTACTTAACGAAATCTTCAAGGTGAACGTTTTACGTAATATATGTATAATACAAAACAAATAAGATTTAGAATAAGTAATTTTCACTTAAATAAAAAATATTAGCTTATATCAAATTTTTATATCTGTGCTTGTCAGAAAAGACATATGACATTAGTAGGCTTACGTACGCGCATCTTAAAAACATATTAAAAAATAAATGAACATCGCCGGGGTAATATCGTTGTATGTATAATATATATCTCTTGAGGCCGCTGACTCCGCGGAACGAACACCAAGCGTGTGAACCAGAAGACTCCTGATACACACAAGCTATGGAATGGTATTGATATACTAACATCGGGTCAATCGTGTAGTCTTAGGTGTAGGTTATGAGTTTTAATATGTAATTCTTATTATAATATAATCTTCGTAGTTTTCCTTTAACCTCCGGTTGCTCTACATAATTGGTTATATGTTGTTTTACTTTATATCAGATCGAACAATATTTCGAAGTAATAAACATATTTATATAGAAATAGTTGTCAGATTCTATCTATAAGAAGCAATGATCATATTTTAAGAATGAATGGTATTTTATCTATGTAAAATTTAAATAAAATGATATGTATTTATCGGTAATGGTAAGTACGTAAGTAAAGACGTAGGAGTTATATATACGAGTATGTATATATACTAGCTTTCCGCCCGCAGCTTCGCCCGCGTGGACTTCGGTTATATCGCGTTTCCAAGAGAACCTTTCAAAAGTCTGGGATAAAAACTATCCTACTTATGTTCTTTCTCAAGGTCTACTCTACCTCTGTACCAAATTTCATTAAAATCAATTCAGTGGTTTAGGCGTGAAAGAGTAACAGACAGACAGAGTTACTTTCGCATTTATAATATTAGTAGGGATTATCATAATTTTGCGCACAATCATACATTGTAAAACCTTTTTATTGTTAAACTATAAAATTCTTTTTAAATAACATTAGTTTAATCTTTTAAGTAATCTATATTCATTTAGCCTTCTATACATATGTATCTAATTTTTCAACTTTATTTTAAATGTAAAGTAATCGTTTTAATTATCATTTAAATAGATTTCGCGGCAGTTATTTTGTGTTTAATAGCTATCAATGTAATCTATGGCTATTGAATTGTATTTAAAACTTAATATTAAAAAGTAAGTCGAAAATGGTAATAATGACGCATATTTTTATCTAATTTTTCGTTCTCTACTCTATTTCGTATTAAGAGCATTGAAATGGTTAAAAAAGGAGGGAAAAATACAAAGTTATGTATAATTTATAGCAAAAATTATTAGTATACCTACATTCAAGTAATTTAAATAGTATTTTCTATGCAATAGAACTATAATCTTTAAGAATAAGTAATACTTACCTGAATATTATAATAATTAGTCACTACTAAGGATTAAGAAGCTTTATTTAGCTAGATCTATAGTTTTTTCGCAGGTTCACGTGTCGGCGGCCGATCTTTGACTATTTGGTATATTTTATTCAAATAGTGAAGTCATACGGCGGGAATACTATACGATAAAGAAAATAAAATAAATGGTCTTTCATTCCTATATAAATGTAACATTTAACAACCTTTTACAATAAGTCGGCTTATAAACGACAAATCGACGAAAATAAAGCGATGACGTCATTTTATTTGCCTTGAACAGTCCCAAGGTTCGTGTATTTCTTGAGAATGACATCACACCATATTTGTATACAAAGAACTGGTTTTAATATTGAATTGAAATTAATTACTATGTTTTATACTTATTTAAAAACATTATTTATATTTGCCAAAGTTATTTGAATAGCTGTTATACATATTAATATAAAATTATTGGGTTAAACACATATTTTAAGTAATAAAAAGTTTCTAGAAACAATAATCTATACTTTTGAACGATGCCTGTCAAAGATTTGACTAAACTGACATTTTCTTATCAACATACTCATTGAAAACGCCGAAAGCATCGTGCTTAAGTTTTAATAATTTATTATATTAATTAATATACAATGTGTGAGGAACAGAAACCTTTGTTCAGAGATCTAACTGGTGATGATCCGGAGCCCGAAGTGACGGAAATAGAGTCACTCTGTCTGAATTGCCACGAAAATGTATGTATACAGAGGTTTCTAGAACATGCTGCTGTATGAAAAACTAAATTAACTTTTATATCTTTTATGATGAATTAATATTAAATATCAAGAAAATATAATTCTTGTCATTAATTAGTTATATTCATATTTTTTAAAACGTGAATGTTTATAACCTTTGATGGAAAGAATAATTCGTGAATTTGAAGTGAAATAAAGTAATATTTTGTGACAAAAATAAGATAAATAATCTTTTCAATAGAAATACTTATTTTAATATTGATTTGTATAATATTCTCAAATTAAAACCGTTGTAATAAATTAAACATTTGAACTGTTGCTCAAAGCAAACATTATTATGTGATTATTAAATATTTAAATATATATAAACTATACAATAATTATCGAAAAAATATACATTCAACTCTGTTTTAGTATAATATACAAAAGGAATCAATAAAATAAATATTGTAGACAAAATAATTATAAGTAAATTACTAAAAAAAATATAATATTACTACAAAAATTAGCTCCGTCTAAACTTAGTACACATTTGGAGTATCAATTAAAATGCATATAGCTTTTATATCCATTAATATTTCTAATATATATATAATTCAACTTTTTTTTAAGCTCATAAACACAAGTTTTTCTCTATGTATGTATGTATATACATAGCGTTGCCAGGCGTCCGGATAAAGCCAGACATAATTAGGCTTTTTGATTGCGTGTCCGGCCAAAATAAACGGTGTCCGGCTTGTCCGGCTTTTGTTAGGCTTTTTACATTTCGCAAATTAATAATAAAGTACCTATCTAACACTGATTAGGCATTCCTTCTTATTATTTCACTAGAAATTAACAAAATTCATGATAATAACAAAAAGATTTGATTTTACATAAAAATTTTGTTGTACCTATTAATACTAAGACAAAACCTTTATAAAATGGGGTGTATGGCTTTTTTAACCAAATGTCTGGTCAAACTGTCTGGTCTGTCCAGCTATTAGGTTTGGTGACTTGGCAACCCTATATGTATGTGTATTTCAATATATTTTCTTCTCCCTAGGGTATGACTCGTCTCCTGCTAACTCGTATCCCACACTACAAGAATGTAGTCATAATGTCCTTCAACTGTGAACACTGCGGCTTTGAGAATAATGAGATTCAACCGGGCGGTGCATACGCTGAATTGGGAGTACGGTAAGGATAAACTAAGAATTAAGTGATTTATTTAGGTACTAGTATGCAATAAAACTATATTAAAGTCATATATGTATTGTAAGTATCAAACTGATTGACAGCAAATAATATAATAAAATGATCTACCTACATTACACTTGACATAGGTATTAGGTACTATTATTATAACAACACAGAGCAAGCATAACTAATACATAACTACAATTTCGGTTAGTTATCAAGTACTTCAAAGCCAGCCCTAGTAGGTTTGTTTTAAATTTGGTGGAGAGAGCTTGTACGGTGGAGGTGAGCGTTTAACGTTAGATAGGGTCCCTTAAACCTACACCTGGGTCACAAGTCACAGTCACTGTTGAAGCTCCTCTCACTACAACGATGGACCCGACACACGCACTGTGAATATATGGAATGATGAGAGGTTTAGTCTCTGTATAATAAACTACCAATGGGTTAGTTATGAGTTTAACGATTTAAAACATGTTTTTACTATCAGATTAAAAACATTGTGTAGTTAAATTTATATTTATACTATGACACACGAACATTAATAACAAAAAACTCAAAACTAACTCCACTCTTTAGTGACAAAACTTCTGGTAAAGATACGGAAAGAATTAATTAAATTAGCATATATGTTCTATTCAATCTAGATTGTCGACAGAATTTAGGTCTTAGAGACACGCTGAAAAGCATATATTGACTTTTTATAAGAAAAGATATATAATGAGTTATTTGATACTATCTTCTTCTACCTCGCAATTTTTCCAGCTATAGCCAGGGTCTGCCTTACATGTTATGAATAGTTTTTGGCTATTTGTTTTTACGACCGGCCGCCTGCCTGACATCAACCCTCTTTTGGGAATCAACATTAATCAGTGATGTCTAAATATTCTTAGAAAATACATATGATTCAGAAACATCATATTGGCCAGGATCGAACCCGCGCCCTCGGCAACGAGAGGCGGGCCCTTTAACCACTGAGCCACCACTGACTTTAGTTATTTGATACTATGTATGTACATAAATATTTGCAGTTGGAAGCTGAGCATCCAAGATTCTCGTGACCTCAATCGTCAGGTAGTGAAGAGTGACCACACAGCTGTCATTATACCCGAGTTGGACTTTGAGATACCGGCTCTCAGTCAGAAGGGAGGTGAGATTATACATATATACTAGAAGACGAGTGAACTTCGTATCGTCCTATAATCAAGAAATATCTGTTACGTTTTTATATTTATATTTTTGGAGTTTACCTATTAAAGCCATAAATCTCCGTGTTTTGAAGTGCGACAGAATGATTGACATATTAGTTAGTTGTCAAATCTAATGTAAAAAAAGTTTGTATCAACAACTACTAATAAATTAAAAATTAATTAAAAAAACATTGTCCAGCAGACAAAATTGTGAATCTAAACCATTCCCAGATCCCCTTGAATACACACAAAAAATTTCATCAAAATTGGTCCAATCGTTTGAGAGAAGTTCAGTGACATACACACTCACAGAAGAATTATATATATAAAGATAAGTAATTTAGTTCCATCACATCTTACTAACATATATATTAACCGTTTTCAGAGGTGACAACAGTAGAAGGAATAATATCGAGGGCAATCACAGGTTTAACACAAGACCAGGCAGTTAGAAGAGTACAGCATCCCGAACATGCACAACAAATAGATGAGTTTGTGACTAAACTAGAAGAATTAAAAAGTTTACAGAAGACATGGACACTCATCATAGAAGATATTACAGGTGAGAAGAAAATTATACATACTAATATTATAAATGCGAAAGTAACTCTGTCTGTCTGTAACGATTTCACGCCGAAACCACTGAACTGATTTTAATGAAATTTGGTATAGACGTAGAGTTGACCTTGAGAAAGAACATAGGATAGTTTTTATACCAGATTTTTGAAAGGTTCTCTTGGAAACGCGATATTACCGAACTCCACGCGGGCGAAGCTGCGGGCTAGCTAGTATTAATATATTATATAATCATGATGACCTAGAGGTTAAAGCTCCGCCTCTCTCCTGAAAGCGCGGGTTCGATCCTGGCAAGTACCAATGTGATGTTCCGAGTCATATGTACTAAAGAGTATTTAGACATCACTGACTGATGAAGGAAAACATCGTGAGGAAACATGGACTTAATCAAAATATAAGTTTGAAATCACCAACCCGTCTTGAGCGAGCGTGGTGATTAGTACTCTAACCTTCTCCATGTGAGAGCTCAGCAAGGCTCAGCAAGGCTCACCAGTGGGCTCTGATAGGATGATAATGATAATGATTATAGTATTACTATAGTCTATAACTAGGTTTTTCTCGCGGCTTTACCTATGAATATGGAGTTTATTATAGCTCTATACTAAATATCATTCAAAATGGTCAAGAAGTTTATATATTATTAAGTAACAAATAGATAGATGGACATATTTTTTCATACATAACAAATAATTAATTACTGTTTCAAATTACCCTTTCAAAAATTCATATAATTCTAACATACATATATAAAAATGTCTTTAAAACAGTACTTCTTTTTCCTATAGTAGGTTAAGGGTCTAATTATACTGGTTTCATATACAATATATTTCGTTCCAGGGAATTGTTTCGTAGAGAACCCCGAAGCTCCTAAGAAGGATCCTCGCTGTGTCAGAACAGACTTCAAAAGAAGCAAAGAGGATGACATCAAACTGGGAATATATACAGAGGTATGGCGTTATAGTTCAGTGGTTAGAGTGGCGGTGAATAATAAGGTAGCGGGTTCGATTTATATATCGGGTATAAAAATATGATAAAAAATAATGCAGTACAAAAGTTTCATATTACAAATTAAATATTATTGAAAATAGTTTTTATTGAAATACCATAGATATTTTATCATTATGTATAAGAAAATGAAAATAATCATTTACGGATTACTACGCGTATTTTATAATTTTTAAACTACATACTCTCGACGTTTCAGTGACTTTTCAAATACAATGTTTAAATGTAATAAAATACGCGTGTTTCCACTCTAATGAATACTCCCAATATCTCGTCATATATAAGAATTTTAAGGCATATAATATATATGTATATATTTTTTGTGTGTAGGGCTCCACAGCCCTCGCCGGAGCCCTAACATCAGAGGAGCCTTCGGTAGCGAGCTACGAGCAGCTGTCTTCAGACGAGGTGCTACAGTTCAGAACCAACTGCCCTGAGTGTAACGCACCCGCTGACACCAATATGAAGATTACTAGTTAGTATATATATGAACAATAATATATATATATTCTTCTTCTTCCTGGCAATTTCCCAGCTTTAGCCAGGGTCTGCCTTGCATGTTGTGAATAGTTTTGGCTAATTAATCAGTGATGTCTAAATACTCTTATAAAGTACATATGACTCGGAACATCACATTGGTACTTGCCAGGATCGAACCCGCGCCCTCAAGCATGAGAGGCGGACCTTTTAACCACTAGGACACCACTGACTTTTAATTTCGTTAGATTTTGTAAGAGAACAATACACGTATGTATATACATTCTCACATACATTTGTATATATATACCCAAGAGCTTAGCTGTAGTCATACTACAGCTCGAACATGATCTGGCTCGACCGGGGAAGTACCACCCTCTCACAGAAGATTGGCGTGAAGTAGTCAGTAATGACTGCGTTTCGTCTGAGAAGGTGGTCCTTTCTCTTTCCCACCATCTCCTTTCTCTTTCACACACTCAAGGGTAGCAAAGAATGTTCATGGGGGACGGTAACTATCTGTATCAGGTAGGCCGTCTGCTCGTTTGCCTCTTGGTTATAAGATTATATATATGTATAAGTGTGTGTGTGTGTGTGTGTGTTAGTAATAAATTCAAAACTCGATAAATCCTTTGAAATGTAATAATAAAAGTCTGTATTTTGATGTCGAAGAAGGGACTCCCTTTTACCAAATAATTTACTGTTTTTGTATGTATGTAGTTTATTAACTTTATAATATATTTTCAGAGATTCCACACTTCAAGGAAGTAGTGATAATGGCGACCGTGTGTGATGCGTGCGGACATCGGACCAATGAGGTGGGTAGCGACAACGAGACAAGATAAATATTGTAAACACATACACACACACGGTTGTTATGTGGCGGTGTCATAAGTGGTGGTTTAATTAAAATATAATTATCTTAATACGGTGTAATCAGAGGACGCCTTAGCTTGAGGGTAAACTCGTCTATTCTACACGGGTCTGACTCAGCAGTTCCGTGTGAAGAGACTTTTAGTTTTATATTTCTTTTAAGAATTTCATTAGATTTATTGTCACTATTTGTTCAACCTTTGTGCAACATAGTCGAACCCTAGTTATAATTTACTTTATAATTAAATTAAGTCAAATAATTTTGGTTTCATTGGATCCACCGACCGTCGAAAACATAATTCGGTTATAAATACAAGTATTATTAAACTAAATTAAGTAGAAAAAAATTAAGTACATATTTAATTTATGAAATGGAAGTACAGTTATTTAATTATAATTTTTTTAGTTAATAAAATTTATATTTATGCAATTTCTGATTTGTTTTTTAAATAGAAAGCAATTTGCATGATTAAAGGTTGTTATGAAAAAATAATAAAAATCTTATTAAAATCAGTCCTGTAATAAACAAACATTTATACAATTAAAGTAAAATATAATTTCTTTTTCCAGGTGAAGTCAGGTGGTGGCGTTGAAGAGAAAGGTGTGAAGTTTGAAGTGAAGATCAGGAATAGGGAAGACTTCACTAGGGATATATTAAAGGTACATATATATATATATATATATATATATATATATATATATATATATATATATATATATATATATATATATATATGAATTAAGTTCATGTTTAACCAACTGTGGAAAAGATGGTTGTGATCTATAGTTTGTCTGTAAACAAAATATATCTCCTTTTCATATGCCTGTTCTTTAAGATATTTTTATTTCCATTAAGAAACTATTATAACTTAATGAGCATCACACATATATGGAATTTTCAGTTTATTTGTTTCTAAATATTTCTCAAAAAGATCTAAAATCTATATTAACCTAAATTTTTATTGTACATATATAAACCATACTATATTTCCACCCGCGTGGAGTTCGGTTATATCGCGTTTCCAAGAGAACCTTTCAGAAGTCTGGGATAAAAACTATATAATACTAATAGGGATATAATCAATGCTTAATCCTAATATATATGTGTAAAAATAATAATATAATCATTTGTTTCAGTCAGAGACATGTAACATGTGTATACCGGAGCTCGAGCTAGAAGTGGGGGGCGCGGCGTTGGGAGGGAGGTTTACCACCGTGGAGGGAGTGCTGACGGCTGTGAAGGAACAGATGATGGAGGGGCTCGGATTGGGGGACGCGGGGGGGCAGGCGAGGGAGAAGGTCGACAGGTAACACACATATATATATATACTAGCTGCGTCCCGCGGTGTTACCCACGGATTTCCGGGATGTAAAGTAGCCTATGTGTCATTCCTGGACGTCAGCTTCATGTATACAAAATTTTATCAAAATCGGTTCAGCCGTCTGAGCGTGAAGAGGTAACAAACATACACACACACTATATAGGATTCTAACAAAATCATAAAAAATTATGGTTGTCTTATAAAGCCAGTAGTTTTAAACAACATATCAAACTTTAACTGGAACAAACTAATTATTATCTTAAACCAAAACACCTTCAATAAGTTGTATTCAGTTTACAAGCACACAAGTCGTGTCAACAAATACTTTCCCTCGTAAAAGTGAACAAACCAAACGTCATCTCTTTAACGACACTTCGGGTGCGTTCGGGAGTTTAAAGGGACGGTACAAATTAAATGTGTGTTGTATAAATATACAGGGTGACTGGTGAATTACTATCGATACTTGAGGACGTGATATTTGACGATCATATATGACAAAATAAAAATTAATATAACATAAACATAATAAACTTCTAAGTAAAGTTAACCAAAAGTTATGTAATTAATTACGCATCGTGTGAACACCCTACAGATTAGGTATACACACACACACACACACACACACACACACACGCGCGCTGGTACAAAACCACGCCGCCGCACGGGTCCACACTTGGAACACTTGGAACGTGTCCGCACTTTATTTATTTATACGGAAATTTGGTCAAAAATTAAGCACCTATTTTTTTTACATAATTCGAATGAGAATCATGTACCGAGTATTCTCCTTAAATATTGATAGTAATTCACCAGTCACCCTGTATATATGTGTATTACAATGCACATATGTAAGTGTGTTGTTTTCATACAAAATCTACTAAATTAATATACTATAATAAACATGATTCATATTATTTATAATATAAGAATAACATAATAATTGCCTCGGAAGCAACTTCAAGAATAACATCACACATACTATGATATATCCAAACTATTCTGTAAAATACATTCTATGCTCAACCATAGTGAATACAAATTTAAGTCATTATTATTCCAGACATCTGGATTTGATAAACTAAATTTCCAGGTCTAGAATACAAATATATTTATCATATATTCCAGATGTATATCCAGTATAGATGAAATCTTAGAAGGGAAATCATCAGCCACATTGATTTTGGACGACCCCGCTGGAAATTCATATGTACAGAACTTAAGTGATGACCCAACAGTGTTTGATGATGGTAAATTATATACTAGCTTTCCGCCCGCAGCTTTGCCCGCGTTGAGTTCGGTTATATCGCGTTTCCAACAGAACCTTCCAAAAGTCTAGGATAAAAACTATCCTATGTTCTTTCTGAAGGTCAACTCTATGTCTGTACTGAATTTCATTAAAATCAGTTCAGTGGTTTAGAAGTGAAAGCGTAACAGACAGACAGAGTTACTTTCGCATTTATAATATTAGTAGGGATTGTGAAAGAAATATTTTAAAAGTAGTTAATATATATAATATTTCAGTTCAAACTTTCTTCTGATCTGCTTCCAATGTAGATACGTGGAATTATACAATGATAGTTACGAGGATTTGCACTATCACCGGCGATTAAGTACAAAATATATAACATTATTATGTCATAAATGTATATAGTATTTTCAAATCTACTTAAATGCAATCAAATCTGCTTAAATGTTTTCAAATCTACTCAAATGTAATCAAATCTAATATATTTTTTGTCATTCAGGTCTCAAAGTAGTTCATTACGAGCGCTCCTATGAACAAAACGACGAGTTGGGATTAAACGATATGAAGACAGAAGGCTATGAAGAGAGTTGACAATGATATATATTGATTATAATAATAAAGTATATTTAGGCAGACCCTGGCTAAAGCTGGGAAATTGCCAGGTAGAAGAATAATAAAGATATGTTTACTTATTAAAATTGTTTTTATATTTTTTTTAATATAAATAAAAAACATGTTGTATACTACTTCTGGTTTTCTTGTAAATGTATATATATTAAAATGATTTTCTATAATATTATTGTGTTATGTTTATTCATTATATGCAAGATTTTTAAGAAAATATTGGTAATTTTTATGCAATTCAAAGTGATAAACATCTGTCAAGAGGGCTAGCCTAAACCCTTTGGTAGGAATGTATACCAAAAATACTTCTTTTTTTTGCTATAAAGTAACCGAAAAGTCGGGAGTATGTAATTTTAAAATACTAAAATATTACCCGTAGTACAAAAATATTAGTTTTATAAAAAAATACATTTTGTCAAAAATTAAGCAGTGTTTCAAAAAAAAGTAGTCAAATGCTTTAAAATACGAAATATTATTTTTAGATTATTATGCTTTTAAATAAGACAAATAAAAGTAGACCAAATGTTAGAAAGATTTTTCTGCAAATATTTATAAACGTTTGAGAAAGTAATTCGATAATCTACAGAATTAATACTATTAGTATATAAAATCCTTGAATCACATTACCTTACTCGAAGAGATGTTATCTTCTATATATATAAAAATGGATTGCTGTTCCTTAGTCTCGCTAAAACTCGAGAACAGCTGAACGGATTTATCTTATCTTAGTCTTGAAATGTTCGTGGAGGTTCAGGGAAGATATAAAAGGTGAGAAAAATTGGAATAATTGCCGGGAAAACCCTAAAAACAGCCCTTTTCTATTTCCCATACAAACGCTTTTTTTTGACATTAGATTTGACAACTAACTAATATGTCAATCAATCTGTTTGATTGAAACAGGAAAAACCTGATTATTTATGGCCTCTAAGACGGAATAGAGTTCGCCTGGTCAGCTATACATATATTACTAATGACGAAACTAACGCGGACGAAGTCGCGGGCAAAAACTAGTATATATATAAAAATGGATTGCTGTTCCTTAGTCTCGCTAAAACTCGAGAACGGCTGAACGGATTTATCATATCTTACTCTTGAAATGTTCGTGGAGGTTCAGGAAAGGTATAAAAGCTGAAAAAAAAAATTATTTCCGGGAAAACCCTAAAAACAGCGCTAATCTATTTCCCATACAAACGGGTTTTTTGACATTAGATTTGACAACTAACTAATATGTCAATCATTCTGTCGCACTTTAGAACACGGAGATTTATGACTTAAGCTTTAAAGGTAAACTCCAAAAATATAATTAAGAAATAATTTAATTCTTGATTGAGGCAGTACGAAGTCTGCCGGGTCAGCTAGTTGATTATAAAACACGAATGTAACTTTCAATTATAGCGAAATCTTATATTTAAAATATCGATATTTTGTTAAAAACATTGATGTTTTAACATCGATATGTAGTTTTTATTTTGTAATGGCAGCACTATCACCTGTCAAATGTTATCAAAATGACGTTTTGTTAGAAAACAAAGTTTTGTATACTTAAATAAATAAATTTTAATTAATTATGGAGGATAATGTTAAACCAAATCTCCTGCCTCACCACGAGCAACAATCATTGTGCACCACCCGTCTACCTTACAGACAAGGAAGGAAATTAACTGCTGTTAAGGTAAGAATAAGGCGGCCAACCGTCCCGCATTCTGCGGGACCGTCCCGCAATTATAGAAGAAATCCCGCTTTGAAATTATTAGTAAAATAGTTCCGCAAAACGTTGTATGCGTCCCGCATGTCCCGCATTCCTATTTTTCTACCACACTTCTACACAACACCCACACGCGCCCACGGTCAACAGTGCAGGAACACAGATTACCTATAATAGGGACAAGCGTATCGCGCCCGCGATAATCTCGTTTTCTTTCTTTCCTCTGAACTCATGACGCTTAAGAGAGTACTTAAATTTAATATGGGCAGTTGCGAAGATTTTTATGACATTCCCAATCCCTAACACCCCCCCCCCCCCCGCCATTCACGAAAAGTTAAGTCCCGCATTCAGTTTTCGGAAAGTTGGCCGCCTTAGGTAAGAATATAATTTAATTATGAGACCTAAGATTTTTCGATGTTCATTTAAATGAAACATAATTTCGGATTACTGCGTAAGTATAGTTATAATTCGTAAATGTTAGTTTCATTTAAATATTGTAAAAAGTCTACATTGGTCGACATATAAAAATATTTGATTAAAGATCATAGCTTTAAGCTTATCATTTTTAAGTTATATATATAAATATATGTGTATTTTAACATATTTTCCAGGTTTATTCAATAACAAAAGAATCAAATCATCTCCTGATCTTCGGTGTACCGTCACTGAATCTTCGTCAAGAAATAAAATCCTTATTCATCAAGTTCGGTAAACTCTTAAAGTTTAACATCACCGAACACAATGCTGAACCTTTTACAGAGACTTACCATGCTCAATATGAGAGAATACAGTCAGCTAGAATCGCCAAAAGGATGTTGGACACAAAAAACTTCTATGGCGGTGTCTTACATGTATGTTATGCTCCAGAATTAGAAAATGTTGTTGAAACAAAACAGAAACTGATTCAACGACAGCGAGATGTTATATTTAGACTCAGAAATCTTCAAAAGGATACTGAAAAACAGCGCACGGAACAGCTAACTACCAATACAATGGTTAATCAAGAAAAAGTTATGCCGGTAAAACTAGACATGGGAAAAATTAATATAATTAAGTTAAATGACACTATCGGACCACATAGAAGAAGTAAAAAGAGAAAAATTAATCATGGAAAAGAGTTTAAACAGAGTTTGGAACAGAATACTAAAGCAATAGATGATAGTATTAAAAAAGACCATAGCTATAAGGAAATGAGTTTGCAAGCACCAAAAGATATCGAAATAGTAGATTGCACATCAGCAGATTCTTCCGTGATCACAAATATTAATGAACATTTAAATTATAATAAATTTGGCAATGAAATTATAAGAAAGGTACCAATAAAACCAGAAACCAAAATACAATTTTACATAAATAAAAAGTCGTAGTACGAATTAATGTTTTATTTATCTACATAAGTTATTGAAAATAAATAACAATTATCATTATTACCTTAATTTTATTCAGTATAAACTATTTTCGAAATTTTATTTCTTTCTAAGTAGTAATTCAATTTGCCGCCATTTCAAATTAGCAAAATGTCACAGAGTATAAATTTTTATATATGCTACATTATGTAAGGATATAAATATACATTTTCTTATTCTTCGGGATATTCTTCTTCTTGTGCCTCTTCTTGTTCATCAAAGTCATCTTCAACTCCCACCTCCTGTTAAGAAATGAAAATATATACAATTTATTTCATTTAAAAGTTAATCCCGAATCGAGTCCATTCTTTTCGACACTGGCAGAATATACTGTGCACGTCTTTGCACGAATGAAGGCCACATTTTAAACAACCAACCAATTTAAATGTTTTGTGTAAAACAGGTATGGTAGTAATAAAAAAAAATTGTAAATTAAAGTGAGTATTTGTCTATTTATGCATTCGCTTTGTTTAATATATGATTATACAGCAGTGGTTCCGCAGCTTTTCTTGACCAGGGACCATTTTGTATACTTTTTGTCTGCATGGGACCACGATATATGAATAATACAGTGAATGATTACGAAAAAAAAATTTAAAAACTTAATATATTTTTAGCAACAAAAATATGTTATTAAAACGTTAAAATTTAAATGAGTTTTGACTTCGCGGCCCATCGGTTGGGAACCACTTTTTGAATCTTGCAGCCCACAAGTTCGGAACCACTGTTCATGATTAATAATCTCCTCACCTCATACTGCTGGTATTCTGAGACGAGGTCGTTCATGTTGCTCTCCGCCTCTGTGAATTCCATCTCGTCCATTCCTTCACCCGTGTACCAATGAAGGAAGGCCTGGAACGATTTACCATGACAGATAACTTGGTAGAAGGCGATAGACGTAAAAAAACGATACGGTGAGATTGTTAAGTTTCATAGTACGAGGGATACGAGATAATTATTGCTCGTGATTGATTGTTTCAAAGTACACTTGCGAGCTGTTAAATTGGAAATATTGTTTCAGTTTTTATTACAGTGAGTGTACACGCGCCAACTACGCCAAAACCTTGACATGTGACTTGCCGACTGTCAAACTATGGAAATAATTTTCAAACAAATTATTTAAAAACGAAGTAAATAACAATATTATGTTTTCATTAATTTGATTTTCATTGATAGTTATTTTATTCAAGACATTACACAAATACAGAAAAAGTATCAATAGTAGTTACCAAACAAGAATTCCGCGAAAGAAATAATAATAATTAAATTGCTTTCGTGTTTTTTACAATAACTTAATAATTTCTTTCTAAAAATCGTAAAGATTTTTTCACAAAAAATTTCAATAGGTAAGCTATTATATAAGTTCGCTCCCTCAAACTGTACATTTTTAATTCCGTATTTGGTCCTGGTCTTGGGTAATTCAAGTTTATGTTTGTCTCGTGTTTTGTTTATATGATTAAAAAAAGATATTTATTAATAAAAGTCGTTTTAATTACCTTTCTTCTGAACATCAGCGTGAATTGTTCAGAGATTCTTTTAAAGATCTCCTGTATGGCGGTCGAGTTACCAACAAATGTTGCCGCCATTTTCAGTCCGCGCGGCGGTACGTCACACACAGCAACTTTGACATTATTCGGTATCCATTCAACGAAGTAGCTACGAAAATAATAATAATTATTAATCTTAAAAGATCTATTTGTGGCGTATTTTGATCATATTTTCGATAGAAAGCTTGCAGGGAAATAAAATTGGATATTTTTTTGGCCTCCAGATCAGACATATTTTATATTCTCGTATTTTAAAGCACGTTGTGATAGGAGCTTACGGTCCCTTGGGAAACCAACATCCCCAAAGACCATACCATCAAGGTCAACAAATAATACGAGCTCACTAACGAACTAACTCGAAATAGGTTCGTCGTTGATTTGTACGCGGTAGAGGTGGGAGCGAGAGATATAAGAACTAAATCTCTCTACCTATTGAAAGACTTGGGCCATGAATGAATGATGATAGGTTTCGTCTGTCTTTCGGTTTAAAGACATTTATTCCTTATAAAGAACACAAAAGTTCACTTATAATAAGAAATTACAATAATTTTGCATGAAGGTACATTTAAAAGTCTGCCTTAAGAATTATATACAGTGAAATAAAATGTGGCGGGTAGTTATATTACACAAACATGTTTAGGTAGGGTTTACATTAACTTATAAATTATTTTGCACATATTCCATTACACGTTTTTTGAATATAGGAAAACTCTTGCTATGTATAATTGAGTCTGATAATTTGTTATAAATTTGAACTCCTTCAAATAAGATGTTTTTCTTTCCATAGTTGGTTCTGGTTTTTGGGAGTTCTAGTTTATTACGTTTTCTAGTGTATTGTGTGTTTCTTTCTGTCGTTCATTCGTTCGTTCAGTATTCATTCATTCTTACCTGCTGTTCTTATCCTGGGCACTGATCATCTGTTCCTCCACCTCCTTAGTACTGACTCGTCCTCTGAAGATGGCTGCCACCGTGAGGTAGCGACCTCTCCGAGGATCGCACGCTGCCATCATGTTGACCGGAGAAAACATCTGATATATATAATACAATATAATATTGGTTATGTAGAGAGAGGAGCTTGTATGGAGGTGATCGTTTAACGTTAGATAGGGCCCCTTAAACCTACACCTGGGACACAAGTCCCAGTCACTGTTGAAGCTCCTCTCACTACAACGATGGACCCGACACACGCACCGTGAATACATGGAATGATGAGAGGATTACGTCACCCATGGACATCTGTATTATAGTTTTGCGTATGCGTTGCCACCCTTGATTGGAGAGAGAGGAAAGAGATTGAAAAGAGCAACCGTCTCTCTCACTCATCGGACGAAACGCATCCATTAAAGACTACTTGACGCCGATCTTCTGTGAAAGGGTGGTACTTACGGTCGAGACAGACCATGTTCGAGCTGCAGTAACTTGATCACAGATAAACCTTTTTTGTCGAATTTAGTTGATCTGAGTACCATATACGTATTAAATTTCTTATTCAAATTATTAGTGTATACTCAGCCTTAAATTTCGTACGATATTTTAACGTAATCGTAGTAAATCATAATATAAGTAGTATCAAAGCAAGCGAGTCAGAAATGGAAAGTATAATAATTAAGTAAGTAGGTATATTCTTCTTCTTCTATCTGTCAATTTCCCAGCTTCAGCCAGGGTCTGCCTCACATGTGTATAGTTTTGTCTAATTGTTTTTACGACTGGTCGCCTGCCTGACATCAACCCTCTTTGGGGATGCATTAATCAGTGATATCTAAATACTCTTATAAAGTACATATGACTCGGAACATCACATTGGTACTTGCCAGGATCGAACCTGCGCCCTAATGCATGAGAGGCGGGCCTTATAACAACTAGGACAGCACTGATTATATATAACAATTAACCCTAGAAAGATAGTCTGCGTAAAATTAACGCATGCGTTTGCGAAATATAGCGTTCTCTTCCTAAATAACGCGAATCCATAGCTGTGTGTTTAGGACATCTCGTTGGTCGCTGGGAGCTTCCGCATGGCGCACGTGGACTTAAGGTAAGTGCAACCGATTTTGAAATAAAACGATCACGTGCGTCAAAATTACGCATGATTATCTTGTATGTGACTTTTATGATTTTGACTTGTACAATTTGTTTTTCTATTTTTAATGTTTTTATAACCGTATATCATTATTTATATTACTAGTTTCTTTTTATAGATATTAAAGCAACGATGGGAAATAGAAACTTAGACGAAGACCATATCCTGGCCAGTCTCATGCAAAGTGATGACGAGATTCCCTGTGAGTATACCGACAGTGAAGTAGCGGACCATGAGAGTGAAGATGACGTGCAGAGCGACGCAGAAGAGGCTTTTATAGATGAGTTAGAAGAAGAACAGCCAACGTCAAGTGAAAGCATAATCTTAGATAGGCCAAGCACCACTGAACAACCAATATCAATGTTTTGTTTCGACGGACCTCTTACTCTCTACTTATATAAAGCGAAAACGGCAAGAATGGTTTACTTATAATCGTCTTGTGATGAGGATGCTACTATCATTGAAGTGACTGGTAAACCAGAAATGATTATGTATTATAATCAAACAGAAGGCAGAGTAGACACACTCGACTAAATGTGTTCTCTGATGTCCTGTAGTAGGAAAACAAATAGATGGCCTATGGCTTTGTTGTATGGAATGGTAAACATTGCCTGCATAAACTCATAGGTATATACATAATTTATAGCCACAATGTTCATTACAAAGGAAAAAAGCTTATAGGCCTGAAAAAATTTCATGAAGAATCTTAGCTTGGGTCTGTCTTCTCCATTTATGTGAAAGCGGTTAGAAACTGCTACTTTGAAAAGATATTTGCGTGATAACATCTTTAATATTTTCCTAATATTATGTATAAGATATCCCTATTGTAGATTTTGTGAAAAAAAAGTTGATTATTATAGTTAAAAATAATTTGTGATGAAAAAAGTAAGTGGTAAAAAATTTATTTGGTTTATGAAAGAAGATTATAGTTTTTAGTTTATTTTTAATAAAAAATGTTTATAAATAAATTATCTGCAGTTTTAATTATTCTAATATATATGTTAATGTATATAAGACACGATTTTATTTAAATAAATTAATAAACCCCAACTTACAGCTAATTGAAACACATGCGTCAATTTTACGCATGAGTATCTTTTTAGTACTACACAATATGATTATCTTTCTAGGGTTAAGTAAGTATATAGTAATACATAATATATGTATGACCTGTTGTGTAAGCTCGGCTACCGTGAGCGCTCTGTACTCCTGGCTGTTGCGCGCGGTGAGGGGGGCGAACCCTGGGGATGTACGTAGTTATATTATTACTATACGAAGTAAATAGACATAAAGTTGCAATGTATATCAAACATTTCCATGCATTAATGAGTATTGTAAAACAATGCTTTATATGACTAGAATTAAATGTATCCACATAAGAATTTATTAAAAGCACTACAATTGACGTGTCATTACCGTATCTTGTATTTTCATTTATAAATATTAAACGTATTTAAATGTATTTGTAAATATAATTATAATTGTTAATATTAATTAATTTTTTTTCAGATAAAGATTTATACATACATTATTTTAGTTTTATCTAAAATATCAATTATCTTTATAAAGACCTCTAGTTACTAGTGAAGGATTTTTGATATCTCATAATTTTTTATTTAAATAACGGTCTTTAGAGAAATTAATTTCAGCGCCATCTAGTTAAGCAAAGAAATAATTGTATGAAATGATAACAACGCCATCTAGTTTATCAAATAATCAACTATCAAAAATATTAACAATGCCATCTAGTATCAGCAAACCACAAACCGGGCATAAAGAAGTGCAGTCTCGGGAAGGGCACCATGTTGACGGCCAGCTTGCGGAGGTCCGCGTTCAACTGTCCCGGGAAACGAAGACAAGTGGTCACTCCGGACATTGTCAACTGAAATAATTATATTAATTGAATGTATTGTAGAAGAAAGTGGAATTAAAATGATTTAGATAAACTATGGCAAATAGGAACATTACAGTAAACAGAAACTAATTACGGAAAAAATGTATTTTGTACCAAGGAGCACGAATTTATAATTAATTGCCAAATTATATAAAAGACGCAAAAACAACATACATGTATTTATAAGAAATTACTTAAGGATCACATTTTCAAAGGTAATGTTATTAAATAAACATATTTTAAAAATAATGTTTTGAAAATTTTCTAACAACATGTCAGCCGGCCCTTTACTCAATAACAAATGTTCGCATAAAATATAAATTCACTAGACAATTATTGAAATGTACTTAAATATTCACAAATGTTTTTGTTTAGCAAGCTTTATGTAATACCGTGTATTTGTTTGCGAACTCTGTATATTAATTATAACTGATTTGTTAAGTTTATTTATTTCTTCTCGAAGTGATTGTAATCTTGAAAAATAAAGTGATTTTAAACCGTACATTATAAAGTATTTTATTCAAATTATTAAGGCTTTACACAAAACTGATAGTACAAAAGAAGAACATATGACTTTAATCTAGCTATTCATATAACTTGTAACAAAAAGCCATTAATATAGCACGTAAATCATGTGGAATTCATTAGTTATGTTTTTATATCAAACTATTAAGAATTCGTTAAAATGACTGTCCATAAAAAATTTAACACAAATCTAGTCTAATCTTAAACCATATACCTAGCATTCATTAAAAGCTATCATTTATTAAGTTTCCTTATTTAATCTCACCGAAACCAAGTGGTTGAGGTCTCCGTAAGTGGGTGTCGCGAGTCTCAGTGTCCTGAAGCAGATGTCGTAGAGCGCCTCGTTGTCGATACAGAAGGTCTCGTCCGTGTTCTCTACAAGCTGATGGACGGAGAGTGTCGCGTTGTACGGCTCTACCACTGTGTCAGACACCTGGAATTATTGAGAATTGCACTGGGTTACTTCTTCTTCTACCTGGCAATTTCCCAAACTTTAACCAGGGTCTGTGTTACATGTTGTGAATAGTTTTGGCTAATTGTTTTCACGACCGGCCGCCTGCCTGACATCAACAATCTTTAGGAATGCATTAATCAGTGATGTTTTAATACTCTTATAAATTACATATGACTCGGAAAAATCACATTGGTGCTTGCCAGCATCGAACTCGCGCCCTCGTGCATGAGAGGCGGGACTTTTAACCATAAGGCCACCAATGACTAATTGCACTGGGTTACTAAATACTATCAATAAATGGCGCTGTTAATAAAATGGTGCTAAATTTATATAATCTTAAATAACTATCGTTTAAGCTCATTATTCATGTAATATTGTACACCAACACCAAATCAAGCTTTAGAATTATCGTTGAAGTTGTTATACAGGGTGACTGGTGAATTACTATCGATACTTGAGGACGTGATATTTGACGATCATATATGACAAAATAAAAATTAATATAACATAAATATTAATAAACTTCTAAGTAAAGTTAACCAAAAGTTATGTAATTAATTACGCATCGTGTGAACACCCTACAGATTAGGTATACACACACACAAGCGCGTGCGGCGGCGTGGTGTTGTATCAGCACGCCGCCGCACGCGTCCACACTTGGAACGTGTCAAAACTTTATTTATTTATACGGAAATTTGGTCAAAAATTAAGTACCTATTTTTTTTACATAATTCGAATGAGAATCATGTACCGAGTATTCTCCTTAAATATCGATAGTAATTCACCAGTCACCCTGTATATTATTTCTATAAGAATATGCTCTCAATCATCATATTAATGTCTCTAACCTTCGGTGAAGGAGTCACACTGAACGTGTTGACGATTCTGTCCGGGTATTCTTCTCTTAGCTTGCTCAGCAGCAGAGTCCCAAGCCCGGAGCCAGTCCCGCCGCCCAGCGAGTGAGTTAACTGGAAACCTACAACCAGACTTATATTTATTAGAACTAATAATAATAATAATAATAATTTATTTCAGATCTTAATCCATATTGTGTTAGTAAAAATTAAACTTAATAAACTAGTTGGTTAGTAAAGTTACAAACATAAATGTTACTAATGAGATCTAGGATTTTTGGGAGTACTCATTTAAATATAACTAATATTTTCGGATTTTACTTTTACTTCTACTTGGGTGTCCTCACATCTCGTCTGTCCGTGATCACGGTTGCTGAAAAGTAGCCGAAACGTCGGGTGTATGTAGTTTGTAATCAAAAATAAAAACCCGAAGTAAAATCCGAAAATATTAGTTTCATTTATTAGAACTAGTATAAACCAAACAATATATATTGTCTTAGTTGTCTAAATATCTCACTAGAAGCGCCACTGTATACAATAAACGTTACTCTATTTGGTCGTATTATACTGTCTCTTGTCAACTGTTTGAAATGTGTTGTCATGATAATAAATTTCAGTTTAATAAATTAATCCATGTTTACTTTCGCCCAATTCCATCAATATACAAAGAAAAGAACTTTTCTTATGCTTTACTATCGAATATAGAGAAGCAAGATTGGTATAATTGGTTTATTGTATGAAGTAGCTACACACAGAGTCTATTCCACATAAATACTGTGATGCTAGATTGATAGCGCGATCTTTTCTCTCATAAAAAGGCACATTTTATACAGACTTACAATTTAATATATTAACCTTATAGTTTATTGCTATTATTGGTTTGCTTAAAATCAATAAATTTAATACTTCTGCCACTTTTTATCTATGCAATTGATTTTATACGTCAGTTTCCCCTACTTGATAACAGATGGCGTTGTACTAATTGTACAAGTGTTCTATTCTATCAGTAAGTCAATCTATCATGTATATATCTCAGCCCCAACTCCCCGGACCTTGTAAACAGTCGCAGGGCTCCGCCTCCTTCCTCACCACATCCATGACTGCGTCTATCAGTTCCGCGCCCTCCGTGTAGTGGCCCTTCGCCCAGTTGTTGCCTGAAATTTCATGAAAAATACAATTCGCGACATATATCTTCAAAATTAAATGATATTATTTATAGACAAAAAGAGTGTTTGTTTTAAGGAATAATTATATAAAATATTGTATATTGTGTCTTAAGGACATATAATTTTTTAAGGGGACGTTGATATTTAGAAAAAAATCTCTATTTGTCAGTGCGTGCACAGAGATTTGGAAGTAAGCAGAATATGTTTGAAAAATAAAATACAAACTTTAATCATAATTTCTTCCTCTAAAACATTGACAATAATGAGATCTTTCGTGAGTATTCATTTAAATGAAACTAATATTTTCGGTTTACTACGCGTAATTTATAATTATTAACGGGCAGATTAGATGTTAGTGTGATCACGGTTGCTGCAAAGTAACCAAAAATTATGTAGTTTTAAAAAATAATAAAATAACTCGTAGTAATCTGAAAATATTAGTTTCATTTCAATAAACACTTGCGACCGTCCTAGATCTCATTACTAAGTAACTTAGTAGCACATATAGTAAGCTACTATTGAAGTATCCCCCCCTCCTTCCTCACCCGCGCCGCTCTGTCCGAACACGTAGTTGTCAGGTCTGAACAGTCTGCCGTGGCTCGAGCCTCTGATGGAGTCCATGGTGCCTGGCTCGAGGTCCACGAGCACTGCTCGAGGAACGTAGCGGTTACCTATAGATAGAAAACAATGTCATCAGCCTATCAGAGCCCACTGCTGAGCAAAGGCCTCTTTCTCACATGGAGAAGGTTTGAGCATTAATAATCACACTCGCTCAACACGGGTTGGTGATTTCAAACTTATAATTGTGTAACTATAAGTCCAGGTTTCCTCGCGATGTTTTCCTTCATCAGTCAGTGATGTCTAAATACTCTTATAAAGTACATATGACTCCGTAAAATCACATTGGTACTTGCCAGGTTTGAACCCGCGCCCTCGGCAACGAGAGGCGGACCCCTTAACCACTAGGCCACTACAGTACAATAGATACCTACTTAAATTGATAGATAGATTATTTATGTAATTTTTGCTTAGATTTTGAGAAACATAAAGATTTTTATGTACTTATAGTTTCTATATAATAATCCTAGATAGATTTTAAGAGACAGATGAAACACTCAGAAAGTTAACAGTCAGTGGTGGCCTAGTGGTTAAAAGGCCCGCCTCTCGTTGCCGTGAACGCGGGTTCGATCCTGGTCCGGGCAAGTACCAACGTGACTTTTCCGAGTCATATGTACATTATAAGAGTATTTAGACATCACTGATTAATACATTTAATAGGGTTGATGTCAGGCAGACGGCCGGTTAAAACAATTAGCCAAAACTATTCACAACATGTAAGGCAGACCCTGGCCATAGCTGGGAAATTGCCAGGTAGAAGAAGAAGAATACAATAGATACTTAGACATATAGAAAGATGGATCGCTTATGTCCTTTTAGTTTCTATATAACATTCTTAGATACATTTTAGAGATAGATAGATTGTTAATGTTCTTTTAGCTTCTACTCTCACCTTTATCTTAGAGGACTTTGATATCCAGAGAGAAATAATCTGTTTTATTATTTTTATTCTTACAAATAGGACCAGGGGCTCTACACTTCCGATTGCGATCGATAATTTTCAACATGGGTACAAACACATTATACTTAGAAATTCACTCAAAAATAAAACCTTTTAAGATGTTCAATACAACATTTAATTGCACAGTTTTTTATACAGTAATATAGTACTACTAGAAGACCCGGCGAACTTCGTGTCGCCCTATAATCAAGAAATATCTGTTACGTTTTTTTAATTATATTTTTGGAGTTTACCTATTAAAGACATAAATCTCCGTGTTTTGAACTGCGACAGAATGATTGACATATTAATTAGTTGTCAAATCTAATGTCAAAAAAACGTTTGTATCAACAACTACATACTAATAAATTAAAAAAACATTGTGAATCTAAACCATTCCCAGATCGCCTAGAACACACACAAAAAAATATATCAAAATCGGTCCAGTTGTTTGAGAGAAGTTTAGTGACATACACACTCACAGAAGAATTATATATATAAGTATAAGTAACTTAGTACAATCACATCTTACCATCAGCGGCTTCATTATAATACACCTGGATCCTGTCCAGCTGTAAGTCACTGTTCCCTCGGTACACGCCGGTCGGGTCGATGCCGTGCTCGTCAGATATTATCTCCCAGAACTAAATATTAATATAATACATATATATTATCACACTACATAATATATTATATTTATTATAGTGACAGTCAGCGCCTGATAATAAAATGATAGCAATTATTCTTTCCGACACATTTGCTACAATATTAATAATATAAAAAGAAGTTTATTCTTTTATTACTTTATTTTTCTTTTCTCTTATTAAAATTATTGTACACTTCGATTTATTTTTACAATAATAACTTATATAATATTCCTTTTATTCTTATATTAGTATAGAACTTAGAAGTCTTCATCACGACATTGCAGCTTTTTTAAATATAAATAAAAAGCATTCAAATCATTTAAGTTTATGTAATTAAGTAACTAACGGGCATATAACAAGTTTTATAACTATTGTATAAAGAATAAGAGAAACAATAATAATAAAATTGTGTCTTTACCGAAACGTCCGGAGTATGTAGTTAAAATAGTAAAATACGCGTAGTAATACGAATATTATTAGTCTCATTTAAATAATAACAGTATTTAATCTTTAAATTCAAATGATTATCTTCACTAATATTTGTAAATAGTGTATCTGTTTTGCATATAAACTTAAACTTGTTGACATAATTTATTTAAATACGGTAGAAACGTAAAAAGTTTGAAATGCTTCAAAAGTAATAATATTTTTTGTTGCGTTTGTCAGAAATGTTCAAATTGTACCTACATATTATGTCATAAATTAAAAAAAAAAACATCTCAAGTGTAAGTTAGTTTAATAAACAAAGAATTATTTAATTTTATATGAACAGCAATTAATTTTAAATTTATTTAAATATACAATCACAATTTTTTTTCATGAGAACAGGAAGTAAACAATGTAACTTCTTAAATCTAATTTGTGACAAATTTTAATAAAATAAATATTATTTTTTATATACGAATCAAGTCATAATATATTTTAATATATTTATATAATATGTATATAGTTTATTTATTCTGTATTCACGTTTGATTGACCGTCACATTCAGAGCGTAACCGAAGTAAAAATAGATTTTCTTCACTATTTTCGTTGTTTTAAAAATAAGGTTTCCAAAATAAGGTTTTATATCTCCTTACCTTAGAGCCGATCTGATTGCCGCACTGACCCGCCTGGAGATGGACTATTTCACGCATTTTTGATGTTATTTCACTTAAAAACACTTGTTGAGTACGGAGAAAGGTTGCGACTATTTTCAGCGCTGTTATCCACGTGATACGATTGAAATACAAAAGTAGCTGAAACGCTATAAATGGAATAATAAATTGCCTAATTTAAATAAATACTTTATATCAGTGTAATATTTCAATATTCCAACAAAATATTTACCGTATTTTTCAAAAGTATAAGTAAAAAATATAATTTTACTTAATCTTATCTGAGAAAACATTAATTTTAATTACGTAGTTTTGTTTAATTTTACAAATATTTTTCTACATATTTAATTAAAATTTTTTTATTGCAAATATTTATCCACAGATGTTATAAGAATAATATTTTTTTTTATAATCTGTGTTATGAAACGTCAATTGTCAAACAACAAAAATTTTTCGTATGCTAAAAATCGCCGTGAATTCCCTTAAACAAGTTATTGTTAATGTATATAATTAAGACTGTTATATATATAGCATTATTTACGTTATTTTCGTGTGTTTAAGTTATATTTTATAGTTATGTGCGCCATGATGGTGGTGTATCGCCGCGGGCTTAGTGCCGTTTTATGAAGATTATTTTGTATCCAATAATGTATCTGATGGGGGCATGACGAGTTGCTTTTAGTATAAACATCGTCAATAACGTGAGTAAATAACAGAATTCATAAACTTACACATGATAACATAATCAAATAACTATCTTATATCCATCTTTTTGTCTTCGTAGTATTTTATCGTAAACACATATTTAAAAAGTCTTATCACTTTAACATCTCCACGGATATATAATAATACCTATAATTGTTTATATCACATTAAATCCATTATAAAAATAGTAAATCCAGTTTATTTTTTACGAGTCCTTCAAATAGTAATTTCCAATATGTATCTTGTATAATATATCCTATGAACAAGTTTAAATCATAATTTGAGCTAATTAAGTATTTCCTGTAACAGCCAGCACACTACATCTCGGATAATTATTTAATAATTTGATATTATACATAAAAATATTTTTAAATACATGAAGAGTAACTCGTATCAAGAAATAACTTCTCATCTCATCTGATCCTGTAATTTTGCTAAAAAGTAACCGAAACGTCGGGAGTATGTAGTTTAAAATAATAAAAAACGTGTAGTAATATGAATAATATTAGTTTCATTTAAATGAATACTCAAAAGTCTTAGATCTCATTAATTAGCTTTTAAAGCTGATATTATTTTCTTGATTAATATACAGTTATTGATTTATTTCCTTTTTACATGGGATATATTGAATATATACATTTATTCTAAATTTATTATGTATTATGGCTTTTTATATTTATTTTGTATGAAATACTTAAATATTGACCAGTATTGATAGATTTTTCCATTTGGATAACTCTTGTTAGGATTACAAATATCGTATGACATTGTAAATATTTAGAAAATTTTAAAAATAATGAATTCTTAAAAAAGTAATAATTAAAGTTTTTTATTAAGCTCTGTTTGTATTTTTGATATCTTGAGAACTCGGAATATATATATTTTTTTATAATATAAGGAAATTAATTATTCTTTGTTTAAAGTTAAAATTTTAAAATAATTATTACTTTCATTATATATTATTTTTGATATTTTTAATTCATTATTCCTTGATTCATTAATACATGAGAGCGGGGGTTCAATCCTGGCAAGTACCAATGTGATGTTCCGAGTCATATGTACTTTATAAGAGTATTTAGACATCACTGACAGATGAAGGAAAACACGGACTATATTCAAATTATAAGTTTAAAATCGCTAACCCATATTGAGTGAGTGTGGTGATTAATGCTCTAACCTTCTCCATGTGAGAAGATACTCAGCAGTGGGCTCTGATAGGATGATGACATATATATATATCACAATATATTATTATTTATATTTTGTCCGTCTTTTGTCCTGTTTAATCTCTTACACGGTTAAATCTTTTCTGATGGTACTTAACAATAATAATTGATTTATAAGAAGAGAAATTCCTATTTTTATTTTAGTAATTATATTTTAAGTATTCTTATTTATTGTCATATTGTTTTTCAAATCAGATGTCTAAGCAATTCGTTGCCTAAGTCCTTGTTAAAATGACATAGATACTTTCAGTCTGAAAGTATTTCAAAGATATTATAATGGAACATGTAGTAAGGATACTTTACATAAAAATGTATACTAGTTACGAGGTCTAAATTAGTATAGTCACGTCCCGCGGATGTTGTTGTTAAATAGTACAATAATAATTATGTTCTGTTCCATTCAGACTGAAACAATATGTTTTATAGTTTCTATGTAACAATAACACATACATACATACATATATCAGTGTGTTTCAATGAATTTAGTATTTATATACATTTTGTAGTAATTGAAATTGAAAGACGAATTACAATACCAATTAAAAAAAATTTTAAATCAAGTAAAAATGTTAAAATTTATATGATGGTATGAGATGTTTAAATGAAACGAATATTATTCGTATTACTACGCGTATTTTATTATTTTAACTACCATACTCCCGACGTTTCGGTTACTTTTCATTACATTAAGATGAGATGTGAATGTCTGTCAGTTGGTTTTGTTATTTAATCACCTACCGCCATCGATTTTTTTGTTAAGAAAGAACAAGAAGTTTAAATACATTAAAATATAATAAAATTTCATGGTTATGAAATGATACTAATGTTTTCGTATAACTCGCATATTTTATTATTATAAAAATTATGTACCTACTCCCGACGTTTCGGTTACTTTTCAGCAACATTACATTTGAATCACATAATAAACAGAATAGTATTAGTTTAATTTATATGATGTTTATATAACTTACAGATGGAGAGCATTTACCAGGAGCCGAAGGTTGAAGATGAGATGTATCCGCCTAAGTTGGAAGAACACTTCCTTGATCCCAAGGAAGAGTCTCTACCGGAAACTTACGACCGGAAGACAGACGAGACAGAGTACGAACAGCAAATGGACCTCACTATACCTCGACCCGGGCCGATGCCTAACAGACCTCCCACCAAGTTCATTAGCGTCACCAGTTCAGCCTTAACCGAGGAACAGAGAGCGATGTACGAATCAGTTCTCTCTACATGGAAACCGATAATGTTCCCGAAACGAACGAAACGATACATATGTATGAAGTGCAATAAAGAATTCAAGAATTACCAGAATCTTTACCTCCACACAACCAGAGTACATTCGTCAGAAGAGTCGGCTGTCATTTGTGATATTTGCGATAAGACATTCAAGAACAAACACTATTTATACATGCATAGGATGAACAAACATTACTCTGATTCAGAGAAGTGTTACTGCCAGTTCTGCCTCCAAGAGTTCAGGACGAGGAGAGCTCTCCACATGCACATAAAGAGGATACATCCGAACACTCTCCCCGAAATAAAGTGTCCCGAATGCGGCAAGGAGTTCGCCGTGCCGTATAAGCTACGGTATCACATAGAAAACTGCCACCGGCCGGACAAAGAGAAGTACAAGTGCCACATCTGCCAGAAATTATACAAGAGCCACCTCAACCTGAACAGACACCTGCATTTCCAGCACTCGCAAGTCGAAAGACATCCATGCGTGTTCTGTCCAATGACCTTTAAATCCCGCCATCACATGAAACGCCACATCCTCAACATACATCCGCCTCTAGAGTCCAAAGTCACTTGCCCCGAATGCTTAAAGGAATTCAAGAACGACCAGTACCTAAAAGAACACATGCAGGTCCACACGTCCATGGAGAAGAAGGTCAAATGCGACTTGTGCGATAAATTCTTTCACTCTGCCGTACGTCTGAAGAAACATAAGAAGATCGTACATCCGAACAAACCGAAAATAAGATGCGAAAAGTGTAATAAAGAGTTCGCCCACGCTCATTACTTGAGACGGCATAACAACTCAGTGCACGTAGAAGTAGACGAGAGCAATTACCAGCACGAATGCGAGCAGTGCGGGAAGAAGTTTAAAATAAAGAGATATCTGAACAATCATCTTCAGAGGCACGAGCAGCAGCACCTGAAGAGGATCTCGCAAATGGTGAAGACGGTCATGGACGACGGAGAGACCGCGGAGAAGACCAAGAAGAGGGGTAGACCGAGGAAGACCAGGAAGGAGATCGAGTTTATCAAGTGCGAGCCGGTCACCAGCAGCGACGATGACCTGGACAGCGGCTCGGACAGCGAGTAGACCGAGTAGAACGAGTAGACCGGGAGCTTAGACCGCTAGATACACTCACACGATATGATGTTTGGGCCATGCATAGAGTATGTTATACGAATGGGGGAAGGTGACACCGACGTGTGACGTCATGGGAAATGGGGGGTGGGGGCGATATTTATTAATAACTAGCTTCGTCCCGCGGTGTTACCCGCGTATTTCCAGGATGAAAAGTAGCCTATGTGTTATTTCTGGACGTCAGCTTCCTTTATACAAAATTTTATCAAAACCGATTCAGCCGTTTGATCGTGAAGAAGTAACAAACATATACACACACACAAACTCGCAATTATAATATTAGTAGGATTTAGCATTCTTGTTATAAAATAATCTATCTTGCAACGTCATTTAACTTTATTGGGAAACTCAAATTAAGGAGAATTTTGTATGGTAATGATTTAAATAAGTTCGAGCGAAACTACTGTAAGAAATATGTTTGCTATCTATTATTTTTAAATACATACATTACAATGTGTGACGTCACATTAGGAGGAGTGGGGGTAGTTCTAAAATTGGTGTAACTTACTCTATGGATTGACCCCTTTAGGTGAAATGGCTGGTTATTTAGGGGTTTTAATACGGAGTTAGGAATTGACTATGTTCTGTCACCCGGATTTGTCTCCACTGTTTCTTAGTGATTAGAGAATTCATAAAGTTTATGTAATTTTTGTTTTCAAGTTGTCGGCGGAGTCGAGGAAGTTTTTTTTGTATATTTTTATATAATAATAGAAATATTGATTTGTTAAGTCGTTAATGTTTAAATATGACATACTTTATGTTCGTGGAAGTTTTTAAATACAAATTATGTTTTATGTGTAAATAAAATTATATATACATACATATATATCTATATATATTACTATGATATTTTAAATAAATCTTTTTCCTATATATAATTATATACTTCTGTTATGTAAAAGGTTCTATCGTAGTTGAAGTTGTCTTCTGTATATAGGTAGGCCGTAATTTTTGTTTGTGTATTTTAAATGTACATAAAACGAAATCTTCTTGAAAAATTTTTTCTATACTAAATTTAAACATTTATTAGCGAATCGTTGGAGTTATTGATACTTACAGTTTTGAGGTAAAATGCAATACATATTTTCTTAATTCATGACTGCGTATCCAGCAGAGTTTTATCAAAATGGGACACTGGGATTTAAAATTTTTCTTGCACATTCCTTCATATCATATATCATAGGTTTTTGGCCAGTTTAAAAGTTCGTTGACCTTAAGTTAGTATATATTTCTCACAGCTTTGTTGGTGACGCAGTTCTTATTGTAAATAAGTGGTTTCCGACACTTTCTTATTGTATTTGAAGAATTTAACGTTCATAGTATTAAGTTTTGATTTTATTTTATTTTTTTGTAAATATTCGAGATCTTTATGAAACTCAATAAACGGTTACTCGATGTGTTGTTTCATTATTTTTTATGTACAACAGTACCTGTGGTCAGAAATATATAATAAAACTAGCTTTCCGCCCGCAGCTTCGCCCGCGTGTAGTTCGGTTATATCGCGTTTCCAAGAGAACCTTTCAAAAGTCTGGAATAAAAACTATCCTATGTTTTTTCTCAAGCACAACTCTATGTATGTACCAAATTTCATTAAAATCAGTTCAGTGGTTTAGGCGTGAAAGCGTAACAGACAGACAGAATTACTTTCGCATTTATAATATTAGTATGAAACAAATTTTTTATAGCCCGAGTTGACTAATATGTAGTCTTAATCCAAATGTTCTTTAAGTCATCATCATTTCAGTCGAACGACAATCTTTAAGTATATTTGAAGAAAATCTTTATCATATAATTGGCAGCAATATAATTGATTTGCTTAAAATATTGATTTATTTGTAAAACACTTTACAATGTAATTTACAGTAAATGAAGTCGACATTAGGCTAGGCTTGTATTGTGGACATTTATTTTTAGCAGACAGGATTTAATAAATTATTATTGCTATGATTTATATTCTTCTTCTACCTGGCAATTTCGCAGCTTTAGCCAGGGTCTGCCTTACATGTTGTGAATAGTTTTGGCTACTTGTTTTTACGACCGGCCGCCTGCCTGACATCAATCCTCTTTAGGAATGCATTAATCAGTGATGTCTAAATACTCTTATAAAGTACATATGAATCGGAAAAATCACATTGGAACTTGTCAGGCACAGGATCGACCCCGCGCCTTCATGCATGAGAGGCGGACCTTTTAACCACTAGGACACCACTGATTTTCTATGTATACAGCAATATTTTAATCCGTTTAATGTTACTTTTGAAATAAAATGTAACATACATGATCACAAATGTTTTTGAATAATAATTGCAACAAATGATATTTTTATTCAATTATGTATCATAGAACTGGTAATAAATAGTAAAGTCTCGTAAGTCGTTTACCGTGTTAAATTATACAAATATTTCTTTCTGTGAAATCTGTGTTAAAAATTATAATTTCATATTTTTTTATTAAAAAAATATTTTGCAAAGTATGTAATTGCAACTGATGTGTCTTTATTATTCTTAAAGTATTAAATTGAATTTATTTTAAATAACTCTAATTGTGTTTACGACCGGCCGCCTGCCTGACATCAACCCTCTTTGGGAATGCATATATATTGTTAGAAAAGAAAACATAATGATTTTTAAACAAACGTTATGCCAGCAAATGGTCGATTTATTATAATTCAAGTCTAATTAGTTCATAGTTTCTTCTCTTGACAATAGTTGAGAACATAAAGTGTCAGATTGTCAGTAACGGCGCTCCTTATATACGTGGCTTGAGGGTTGATAGATTAATAATAAATATTTTTATTACTTAGGGAAAGTGTTATCTTTGCTCTTGCTTTTGGGACCAAAAAGACGTTAATTTACAACTTTCATAATTAATTGTCAATTTGAATGCGACAAGTAAACTTATTGTACCCAAATTTTCATTGGCACACGCAAATTAGCGAATTGAAAAAAATATCAAGATATACTCCCATTATCCCTGCATTCGTAATAAAAAATAGTATGTCCAACTAATATATTTATTTGTCAGTCGTAATAAAACCACCATATATATATCCACACTTTATTCTTAATCCTCCCTCCCTCTGTGTTTCATATGGACCAGCTTCACATGCGTCCTCATGGCCGTTCGTTGCGCGAACCTCCGCCCACAATCCTCACAGGGGTAAGGCTTCTCTCCAGTATGTGTTCTAACATGATTCACTAATGTAGATCTCGCTCGGAACAGTTTTCCGCACGCGTGGCAGATATGTGAGGGCGGGGGGCGAAGTCCCCGGTGCACGGAGCGCGCGTGCTTGTGTAGGGACGCTCGAGTCGCCAGCGAAGCCCCACACTCCTCGCAGCGATGTGGTCTTGAACCTTCGTGTTGGACCCGAGTGTGTGTTGTTAGTAGGGCGGCGGTGTCAAAACGTTTTGGGCATAACGAACACGCGAACCTGGAACAATATTATAGTTTTAAACTTATTATGCACTAGCTGCGTCCCGCGGATTTAAAGTAAAGTAGCCTATGTGTTATTCCTGGACGTCAGCGGAAGTATACAAAATGTTATCAAAATCGGTTTGAGCGTGAGGAAGTAACAAACATACACACACACTCACAAACTTTCGCAAATATAATACTAGTAGGATTGGAATTATTTAATTATGTATAGCGACATCTGTTGACAGTTGTGTAATAATTGTTGTATACAGGGTGACTGGTGAATTACTATCGATATTTGAGGACGTGATATTTGACGATCATATATGACGAAATAAAAATTAATATAACATAAATATTAATAAACTTCTAAGTAAAGTTAACCAAAAGTTATGTAATTAATTACGCATCGTGTGAACACCCTACAGATTAGGTATACACTGACACTCACACATACGCGTGTCGTGACGTAGTGTTGTATCAGCACGCCGCCGCACGCGTCCACACTTGAACACTTGGAACGTGTCAACACTTTATTTATTTATACGGAAATTTTGTCAAAAATTAAGTGCCTATTTTTTTTACATAATTCGAATGAGAATCATGTACCGAGTATTCTCCTTAAATATTGATAGTAATTCACCAGTCACCCTGTATATATATTTCCTTATTCAATTATCTATTATTTAATATTTATTGTATCAACTCACTTGAGACTCTTCTTGTCCTTGTGTTTAGTCGTTCTTTTGAGATGTTGTCGGAGTGTGTGAGCCGACTTGAACCTGGAAATAATATTCAATGGATTAAAATAACATATTGTTGTTAAGAAAGATATATATTTGTCATTAGTCTTTATAAATAGGTATTATTCTGAGTATTTTTCTAAACTAAAGTAGTAAGAAGTGTATTCTTATAGTAAATAATATGTATATGTGCCATGTTACCGCTGTTTGTAAAGTTAAGTACAAGAATTCTTTCAATTTAACCAAAAACACATGTAACTTATTGCCTATTTACTTCTAATAACACAAAAACGAAGCCCAAAACATTTCTACTGATAATTTAGCAGAATTTAAATATACTTCCATCAATTTTTACTTATTTTTATAAAATGTCTTATGACTATCAGTTCCAATAACACAAAAACTAAGCCAAAAACATTCTCCAGTATTTTTATCTGTATATATATAATTCTTCTGTGAGTGTGTATGTCACTGAACTTCTATCAAACGACCGGACCTATTTTGATGAAATTTTTTGTGTGTGTTCAAGGGGATCTGGGAATGGTTTAGATTCACAATTTTGTCCACTGGACAATGTTTTTTTAATTAATATTTAATTTATTAGTAGTTGTTGATACAAACGTTTTTTTTTTACATTAGATTTGACAGCTAACTAATATGTCAATCATTCTGTCGCACTTCAAAACACGGAGATTTATGGCTTTAATAGATAAACTCCAAAAATATAAATAATAAAACGTAACAGATATTTCTTGATGATAGGGCGATACGAAGTTCGCCGGGTCTTCTAGTATATAATATATTTCCATTAGTTTCTACTTATATTCACAACCTACCTCACGTCACACTCCACACAGTAGAAGTCCTTGTGGTCGCTGTGCTTCACGAGGTGGTGTCTTATTTGATTCCTCGTTCTGAACCTCTTGCCACACTCCGGACACTCGTAGTTCTTGATGCCTTGATGGATGCTAAACAAACACACACACATATATATTGAATTATTAGTACATTTATTCAACACCTTTGTACTACACACACACACATACACATCCTGACTTTAGTCACTGGCTAAAGCTGGGAAATCGCCAGGTAGAAGAAGAAGACACACACACCTATCATATACAATAAATTACCGAACGAAATAAAAGACTTAACTTGTGTAAAATTTAAAAAAACTTTTGTTTTCCCTTCTAGTCAACAAATGTTTTAGTATTACTCAATAAATGATTACGTAATGGACGAAACATAATATTGTAATACATAAATTGATGAATAAAATATACAACTTAATCATGTATCTATCTATCATTGTTGATTTTGATTAATATGAATTTATAATTATAATTGCATTGTTTGATTTGAATTTCTAATTTTAATTTAATGGTTAATTTGAATTTATAATTTAAGCCTAACATTTGCATGCCTTAAGGTAGAATGTACTGGAACTTATACTAGATTCTATTATATACACCTATATTCTGTACCTACATTCGGAGCAAATAAATATTATTATTATCATACATACATACAACAGATGATACTGTTACTTTATGTATTAGAATATATGTTTATTTAAATTGGTTTTCTTGATACATATATCAGTGTATTAGAATTATATGAATGTAGTGTTATTCATATAATTTTTATCGTATTAACTGGCAGGTAGTGGTGATGAGTTAGCATCTTAATTATAGTTGGTCATAATATGCCTACTAATATTATAAATACGAAAGTAACTCTGTCTGTCTGTCTGTTACGCTTTCACGCCTAAACCACTGAACTGATTTTAATGAAATTTGGTACAGACATAGAGTTGAACTTGAGAAAGAACATAGGATAGTTTTTATCCCAGACTTTTGAAAGGTTCTCTTGGAAACGCGATATAATGGAACTCCACGCGGGCGAAGCTGCTGGCGGAAAGCTAGTTAGTAATATGTGTATATTTTACACTGCAGTATGTCTGTCTCTCTCTGTATGTGTGTGTGTGTGTGTGTGTATACTTACAGCATGTGCTCGGCCAGTGAGTCATTATTAACGAAGCTCTTGCCACACTCTCTACAGACAGCCCTCGAGCCAGAGTGATGATTCCTCATGTGGCCGCGGTGAGTCTTGTCATTACTGATATAAAACAAAAACACTTCAAGAATTTTCTATATAACATAAATAATATAATGTTCATAACTCTAGATTATAATAATTTTACTATACAATAACTTCACTCGTTAATTTCTTAATTGTATTAATAGAGAAACAAATATTAATCAAATATTAACAACATCATCTCGGCAGTATTAACTTGAAAGACTAACATATACCCACATATATGCCCCAGGTTATATGCTGATGATGATGACATAAACTATATATAAATATATATATTTATATATATACAGTATGTTATACAGCAAATGGCGTTCCCTTGAACACGTTAATATATATCACTAATAGATTAAAATTAATATATCAGCATAGAAAAATAAGCACAAAATAATCTAAATAAAAAAATAATAATTTATTCACAATAATTTCGAAACCTCCTATATGTATGTGGCGCGAAATAGAACGTATGTATCTAGCGTAGTAGCATTGCCGAAAGTGGCAACGTCGCAATACGCACGATGCCGAGCGGCGCCTTTTGTAGTGGCGGCATATTGAATTATAAAGACACGTAGTCGGATTGTTAACAGTAAAAATAAACATTTTAAATGTATGTTTAGTTTTAGAAATAACACTTAACCCGTCTCAAATGTATTGCTGACTAAGGAACGTGTCACTGAGGTACCTATTCGCAAACAGTAAATAAAAAAAAAACAAATTCAACCATCATATCTAAGCCACGTTTCAATAACATTACAATAATAATACAGAGAATTAGACAGAATTTGCACGCAACGGCCGACACGTCGCCGTCATGTCGCCGCCCGCTCGTTGTTACAAAATAAACAAAATATACTAGTTAATACTAAGGCGGCCAACTTTCCGAAAACTGAATGCGGGACGTAACCTTTCGTGAATCGCGGGGGGGGGGGGGTGTTAGGGATTGGGAGTGTCATAAAAATCTGCCCATATTAAAATAAAAATCTGCCCATATTAAATTTAAGTACTCTCTTACGCGTCATGAGTTCAGAAGAAAGAAAGAAAACGAGATTATCGCGGGCGCGATATGCTTGTCCCTATTAGGTAATCTGTGTTCCCGCACTGTTGATCGTGGTATGGGTGTTGTGTAGAAGTGTGGTAGAAAAATAGGAATGCGGGACATGCGGGACGCATACAACGTTTTGCGGGACTATTTTACGAATAATTTCAAAGCGGGATTTCGTCTAGCATTGCGGGACGGTCCCGCAGAATGCGGGACGGTTGGCCGCCTTAGTTAATACAGAAGGTCTACTCGCTGGGTACATGAATTTGCTTTACATATTAAGTTGGATGAAAGTTTATTTAAACCACAGTTTAGGCTAGCATTTAAATGATCATGGTGGTATTACACAATTTATTTACAGTTCACATGGAGGTATTAAGCAGTTTTAGGAAAGAGTTCTGAACTTATTAATTTTGTGGCACACTCGTTTAGTGTTATTTTTTTTTATGTTCTCGAAATGTTTAAGGTATTATGATACATTTAAATAATGTTAAAACTTACCTAGATTTTGAACTGCTCGATATGCTGACCTCCTCTGTCTACACATTGTTGCAATCGCCGACGGTTATTTTCGTGCACTTTTTGAAGTGAGTACGGATGCTGCTTGTTTTTCTTTAATATTTTAAACACTACGACGTGACTCATATTGAACAGGCGGCCGGCTCTTCTGGTGCTTGAACCGGGCTCCTCCTCAAAATGCCTTAGCACGTTCTCTTCCTGTCGCACTGAAATCACGGGTCGCGGGCCACCAGAACGACGCGGCACTACCGGCTCATTATTACGCATACGCACCAGGGCACTCACAATTACACGAGAATTCCGCGGTTGGTGTGTATTAGGGTACCTCTCAGCATACATCCTCAGAGCACGTGCACCATCATAGTCACACTCAGCATAAATGAGCACCATATTCACATACTCCTGCGCACTGAACTGATAACGCGGCATCTTTCACACGAAAATACGTAGACGTAGTAATGCGGAAATAATAGACGTGCGATCCCGGTCAGCGGCGTGGGATTACTAAATAGTAAATACTAAAAAATAAAATTTCGCGGACGTTCGGGGGCGGGGGTCGGGTGACACTTTAAAATCGTAGATCAATCGAATGCCGCATACGCGGCCCGTCTTTTATAAGTAAGTTGCGACGTTGCCGTTCTTCAAATATGCGTGTACAGGATGTTTCTTTTACATGTTAATTTAATATTTTTAATGATTATTTTTTAAATAAAAAAAAATAAAAAACATTTTGTTTTCGATTGGTAATATTTTTTTTAGCATGTATGGATGCTACATTGTTGCGGATTAATGGGAACGTGAATTGTTAGTTAACATACTGTATATAATACTCACTTTGATACTTTCCCACATATGTGACAAGTGTAGACCGAGAGCACACCCTCATGTTGAGATCTGAAAACAATATACAAATTAAACAATACTATAGTTGTAGGTCTCTTAGACTATAATTACATTATATATGTATATTAAAATGACTGTATTTCTTAACCTACATCACAAAAGAGGTAATTGTTATAAATATTATTGAGTAAGATTTGTATAATAAATTGTTATGTTTGGGTCTGTTAAACAAAATATATCCTGGAAACAATACTATTATTTAGGAACAATGTACTCAAAACTCTAACATGTTTGAAAGAATAATTTATATAACTTTATATATGACCTAGTAAAGATACAATCAATTTATAAGCAACACTTAATAATATATTTTTCATTATAGAATACTTCATTCACCTACTGAAATTAGATTTCTACAGCTCAATTGTTGCAACGACTTGAGCAATACAATTGAATGGTTGCAGATTCAAGTAAAAGAAAGTCGTATTAGTTACACTATTTGTAGCTCAAGAACGACTCTACCGATATGGATGAAGATTGGTGGAGAGATAGATTAAAACAAGGAGACGGACATAGGATACTTTACATCCGAATGAAAATGAAAATAAATAGAAGTTGATTACATCCAACATCTTCTAATATACTGTCTTTAAGGAGGAATACAGTTTCTACTGTATATATAGGTTTTGTTCCCATTTCCATATACAGGGTGACTGGTGAATTACTATCGATATTTGAGGACGTGATATTTGACGATCATATATGACAAAATAAAAATTAATATAACATAAATATTAATAAACTTCTAAGTAAAGTTAACCAAAAGTTATGTAATTAATTACGCATCGTGTGAACAGCCTACAGATTAGGTATATATATACACACACACACACACACACACACACACACACACACACGCGGCGGCGTGTTGTTGTATTAGCACGCCGCCGCACGCGTCCACACTTGGAACACTTGGAACGTGTACACACTTAATTTATTTATACGGAAATTTGGTCAAAAATTAAGTACCTATTTTTTTTACATAACTCGAATGAGAATCATGTACCGAGTATGCTCCTTAAATATTGATAGTAATTCACCAGTCACCCTGTATATTTGTAATTTTGAAAGTAACACAGACGAAGTAGCGGGCAAAAAACTAGTATATTATATATACATCCCTACTAATATTATAAATGCGAAAGTAACTCTGTCTGTCTGTCTGTTACGCTTTCACGCCTAAACCACTGAACTGATTTTAATGAAATTTGGTACAGACATAGAGTTGACCTTGAGAAAGAACATAGGATAGTTTTTATCCCAGACTACTAAAAGGTTATCTTGGTAACGCGATATAACCGAACTCCACGCGGGCGAAGCTGCGGGCGGAAAGCTAAATATTATACATATGTGTGTGTGTGTGTGTCTGTGTGTGTGTCTCACCTGTAATGATTGACTATAGCCAGCCTGTCAGTCATCCGTCTGCCACACTGCACACACTCATACCTCAGCGTGTGAGTGAGTCCGTGCACAGAGGCCGAGTATGGTGTGGGCAGGTACATGCTGCATACCTCACACTTGTAGCTGCCGCGAGCCTGGAACACATAGACTAGACTTAGTCTAGACTAGACTGGAGATAAATGAGACTTAGACTCAGACTAGCAGACTGACAGACTTAATAAAATGATATAAATTGATAATACTTCTCAGATTAATTTGATATCCTACTAATATTATAATTGCGAAACTTTATGTGTGTGTGTGTGTATGTCTGTTACTTCTTCACGCTCGAACGGCTCAACCGATTTTGATAAAATTTTGTATATAGGAAGCTGACGTCCAGGAATAACATATAGGGAATTTTACATCCAGGAAATCCACGGGTAACACCGCGGGGTACAGCTAGTTGGTACATATATGTGAGAGAAGACGGAGATATCAATGTATGTACACCACTTGCGATTAAACCTCTTTAAAGACTTTCAATATTTATTATATTGATAAATATGGTGGAATTATTGTTAAAATAAAAATAATAAATAAATGCTAGTAGTAAAATGGTTAGGTTATCAAATTCACTATGATTTTGGTTGGTTCTCATCATTCAATGTATTCACGGTGCGTGTGTCGGGTCCATCGTTGTAGTGAGAGGAGCTTCAACAGTGACTGGTACTTGTGACCCAGGTGTAGGTTTAATATATATAGAGAGACGAAACCTCTCATCATTCAATGTATTCACGGTGCGTGTGTCGGGTCCATCGTTGTAGTGAGAGGAGCTTCAACAGTGACTGGGACTTGTGACCCAGGTGTAGGTTTAATATATATAGAGAGACGAAACCTCTCATCATTCAATGTATTCACGGTGCGTGTGTCGGGTCCATCGTTGTAGTGAGAGGAGCTTCAACAGTGACTGGGACTTGTGACCCAGGTGTAGGTTTTAATATATATAGAGAGACGAAACCTCTCATCATTCAATGTATTCACGGTGCGTGTGTCGGGTCCATCGTTGTAGTGAGAGGAGCTTCAACAGTGACTGGGACTTGTGACCCAGGTGTAGGTTTAATATATATAGAGAGACGAAACCTCTCATCATTCCATGTATTCACGGTGCGTGTGTCGGGTCCATCGTTGTAGTGAGAGGAGCTTCAACAGTGACTGGGACTTGTGACCCAGGTGTAGGTTTAATATATATAGAGAGACGAAACCTCTCATCATTCAATGTATTCACGGTGCGTGTGTCGGGTCCATCGTTGTAGTGAGAGGAGCTTCAACAGTGACTGGGACTTGTGACCCAGGTGTAGGTTTAATATATATAGAGAGACGAAACCTCTCATCATTCAATGTATTCACGGTGCGTGTGTCGGGTCCATCGTTGTAGTGAGAGGAGCTTCAACAGTGACTGGGACTTGTGACCCAGGTGTAGGTTTAATATATATAGAGAGACGAAACCTCTCATCATTCCATGTATTCACGGTGCGTGTGTCGGGTCCATCGTTGTAGTGAGAGGAGCTTCAACAGTGACTGGGACTTGTGACCCAGGTGTAGGTTTAATATATATAGAGAGACGAAACCTCTCATCATTCAATGTATTCACGGTGCGTGTGTCGGGTCCATCGTTGTAGTGAGAGGAGCTTCAACAGTGACTGGGACTTGTGACCCAGGTGTAGGTTTAATATATATAGAGAGACGAAACCTCTCATCATTCAATGTATTCACGGTGCGTGTGTCGGGTCCATCGTTGTAGTGAGAGGAGCTTCAACAGTGACTGGGACTTGTGACCCAGGTGTAGGTTTAATATATATAGAGAGACGAAACCTCTCATCATTCCATGTATTCACGGTGCGTGTGTCGGGTCCATCGTTGTAGTGAGAGGAGCTTCAACAGTGACTGTGACTTGTGACCCAGGTGTAGGTTTAAGGGACCCTTATCGAACGTTAAATGCTCACCTCCACCGTACAAGCTCCTCTCTCTACCAAATTTGATAACATATAATACAATATACCGGACTGTGTTTGAACATATGATTCTTCAGTTTTTCTTCATAGTTGAAACCTTTGAAGCACAGATGGCACTGGAACGGAAATTTCAGTGTCGCCTCGTTCTCAGCCTGAAAAATAATAATATATAATGTAAATAATCAACATATTCAAAAAATAGATACTCTTTTAACATGCTAGTGACTGCATATAATTTGTAGAGGCATGACCAATTATATTTATAAAGACATACACATATATACAGGGTGACTGGTGAATTACTATCAATATTTAAGGAGAATACTCGGTACATGATTCTCATTCGAATTATGTAAAAAAAAAATAGGTACTCAATTTTTGACCAAATTTCCGTATAAATAAATAAAGTGTGGACACGTTCCAAGTGTTCCAAGTGTTCCAAGTGTGGACGCGTGCGGCGGCGTGCTGATACAACACCACGCCCCCGCACGAATGTGTGTGTGTGTGTGTGTGTACCTAATCTGTAGGGTGTTCACACGATGCGTAATTAATTACATAACTTTTGGTTAACTTTACTTAGAAGTTTATTAATATTTATGTTATATTAATTTTTATGTTGTCATATATGATCGTCAAATATCACGTCCTCAAGTATCGATAGTAATTCACCAGTCACCCTGTATATATTTAGGGAACACACTTTTTATTCAAACCAAACCTCTATATTCCCGAACGAACGACGAACGAAGCGATATTATATCGATGACGCTTGGCTTGTACTTTGAACGCGGGAAAGTATGTTGTGAACACGACTTGTATTATTATAAATAGAATTTAACTAATTTAAGGTGTTTTGGTTTAATAATAATTAGTTTGCTCTAGTTAAGGTTTTATTGTTATAAAGTACTGGCTTTATAAGAAAACTATATTTTTATAAGGATTTTGTTAGAATCCTATATATATATACTAGTTCCCTCACCTGTCTCTGCCTAAGTTGTTCTGCCGGGTCGAGTGTAATGACTCTTATCTTGTTCTCATCTATGTCTATAGTTCTCCGAAGGTTTCGTTTCTTTGGTGTCTTAGCCTCTTGTGGTTCACTCCTGGAGATAAACACATGTTAATATACAGTAATACCCCGCTTAACGCGACCCCGTTGTGCGAGGTTTCACTATAACGCGATTTTCAAAAATTTATTCAGGTTGGGACATTGTAGAGTATAGACAATAATGATGACCGTGTCTTGAACGTGCGTCAAACGATTAAAAACAGTGTTTGGTGTTATGAACGTATTTTACAAGAACGTAAACAAAACGCTACCCAAAAGACAATACATGTATTTTATCGTAAAAATAGGAGTACCTATGTATTGTATAGTGTTCTTAGAATTAAAGTGATCGATTAAAATGATTTTTATGTTAGTGTATTAAATTTTGACTGTGTTTAATCATAAACCTCGATATACGCGGATTTCAGTTTACGCGATTTTCTTCGGAACGTATCCTTCGCGTAAAGCGGGGTATTACTGTATATTATATATTATCAAATATACATAATATGTTCTATAACTCACTCTAACTCATTCTCTGTCTTAATATTATCCGTGACTCTTATCTTGACTTTCTTTTTAACTTTTTTGGTCTTTTCTTTCTTCTCTTGAGTAGATTCTGTTATGAAGCCATCTAGTCCCATATCTTTCAACTTATTTTCACTGTAAGAAAACATCTAATTGATTAGAATGTTAATAAAAATTGTATTATTATTATATTAATTTTTTATTCATTTGTAAAAACACTTTATAATGCAATATACAGTAAAACGTTGATTTCCACACTAGGCTAGACCTGTATCGTGGACATCAATTCATTTCAAGCAGAGACGATTCAGTAAATTTTTACTACTCTTATAACAATAGTAAATTACAATCACACAAAGAGTGGTACTGTACTTAAAGTTGTTAACAATAAAAAAAAATAAGTAATCTTTATATTATGACATTACAATGTTTTAAAAATTAGTTATAAGTTATACTTGTTATATATATAATATAAAGATTAGTTTATTTAAAAGTTATTTGTTTGTTAAAGCTAATCGGGTTAAACTTGATTATCAATAGATGGCGCTTCTGACATTATAATGGTCAGTGGATAAAAGAGGAGATTTTTAATATGGACAGTAAATAATTATTATGTTGTTATTCAGTGAAATTGTAATCGACATTTAATATACTTTAAATGTTGTTCCTTTGATATTTCAGAGCAGCCCAATTCATTTATTAATTCAATGATTCCTAGATTTATATAAATACAGGGTGACTGGAGAATTACTATCGATACTTGAGGACGTGATTTTTGACGATCATATATAACATAAATATTAATAAACTTCTAAGTCAAGTTAACCAAAAGTTATGTAATTAATTACGCATCGTGTGAACACCCTACAGATTAGGTATACACACACACACACACGCGTGCGGCGGCGTGGTGTTGTATCAGCACGCCGCCGCACGCGTCCACACTTGGAACACTTGGAACGTGTCCACACTTTATTTATTTATACGGAAATGTGGTCAAAAATTAAGGACCTATTTTTTTTACATAATTCGAATGAGAATCATGTACCGAGTATGCTCCTTAAATATTGATAGTAATTCACCAGTCACCCTGTATATATATGTGTGTGCGTGTGTGTTTGTTCATTTACCGTATCTCCTGTAATGGTACATCATCTTCTGTCTCCAGTTTAAGAGGAACTTCTTCATCGAGAAAGTGAGTTTCATCCGAGGGGGGCATGAAGTGGATTTTCTCATGCTGGAAATATATTAAGACTATGTATAAGATTATTGAGGATAAATGATATACATTATAGAAAAGTCCCATCGAAATCGGTACAGCCGTTTCAGAGATCAATATAACATAGAGATAGATAAGAAATTGTAAAAAAATACTATTTAATTAATATTACAAACAGATATGTAGTAGAATTCTTTTTATATATACAAGTTTTTGCCCGCGACTTCGTCCGCGTTTATTTAATAAGTAATATATGTATAGCTGACTGAACTCTTTTCCAACATAGAGGCCGTAAATAACCAAATATTGGAATTTACTAAGATTTTTCTTTTTCGATTGCATAGTATTAATTAATATCCTATGTCCATCTCCTTGTTCTAATCTATCTCTCAACCAATGTTCATCCATATCCGTACAGTCGTTAGAGTTATAAATAGTGTGACAAAAACGATTTTCTTTTATATATATGTATACTAGCTGCACCGCGCGGTGTTACCCGCGGATTTCCGGGATTAAAAGTAGCCTATGTGTTATTCCTGGACGTCAGCTTCATATATACAAAATTTTATCAAAATCGGTTCAGCCGTTTGAGCATAAAGAAACAAACATACACACACACTCCCAAACTTTCACAATTATACTATTAGTAGGATATATATACCTCCAAAACTTTATGGTACCCCGTTTTAGTCTTGACATTATCTATGACCAGTGTGGCCGAGCTGCTCAGTTGTGGGTTAGCATACTTAGTTAGTTCAGGATCCTGGCCATCTATGGGAAACTGGAAATATTAATTAATATTAATAATATTCAGTCAAAAACCCTGGCTAAAGCTGGGAAATTGCCAGGAAGACGAATATTCATTCAAAATTGTTGGATATATAATCTTTTTATAATCATATTGGTCTCTATATATTTACTACTTATATTTTACTTACAAATTCAAAAGTTTGTAAGGATTAATTTCTTAAGTAGTATTCAATAAAACTATATTAAATTTGTCTTGTATGTATGTATTGTAAGTATCAAACTGATTGACATCAACTACTATAATAAAGTGATCTACCTACATTACACTTGACATAGGTACTGTTATTATAACAACACCAAGCAAGCATAACTAATACATCATGTTTTGTTATTCATGATTAAGAAACTTTGAACAGATTTTGATCAAACTTTGAAATAATGTAGTTTAAATCATAGATATAGCAGATAATGTATGTTCAGTCTGTGTAGTTCCCGGGAACACTACATAATAGATGTATTGTATGAAGTAACGACACGCTATAGATGGCGCTGACTGTTGGTTCATATATTCATTCTTCTACCTGGCAATTTCCCAGCTATAGCCAGGGTCTGCCTTACATGTTGCGTATAATTTTGGCTATTTGTTTTAATGACCGGCCGCCTGCCTGACATCAATCCTCTTTTGGGAATCAACATTAATCAGTGATCTCTAAATAGTCTAAGAAAGTACATATGACTCGGAAAAATCACATTGGTACTTGCCCGGGCCAGGCCAGGCCACATATGTACATGTGTTTACCTCTGAAAAAAATCCAAAATCGACACAGGCAAAGTCAATAAAAAAAAGCTAGTATATATTATACTTACCGGAGCACATCGACTATGATAGTTGTATAGTGTTAGATGAGCTTTAAGTACTTTCTGCTTGAAGCGTACACTCTTCATCAGTAGACAGCTGCATTCCCAGCAGAGCCATTGAGGAAGACCATCGGAATCGGATACCTGGGAATAAATCATAAAAAGTTCGGGCTTGGTAAATTGATAAATACTATCTAGACATCTTACTTCACAAGATACATAGTAACTATCACTATAGAATCTATATATATAATTTAATAAAAGAAATTACTTAATTAGTGGTAGAACAGGGAGCGAGAGGTATAACAGATAAATCTCTGTACAACCTACTAAAAGACTTGGGCCTGTCCAGAACTAACATTAATACATTCTTTGAAGACAGCCCTAGTAAGTTTGTGTCAAATTTGGTAGAGAGAGGAGCTTGGACGGTGGAGATGATCGTTTAACGTCAGATAGGGGCCCCTTAAACCTACACCTGGGACACAAGTCCCAGTCACTGTTGAAGCTCCTCTCACTACAACGATGGACCCGACACACGCACTATAAATTCATTGAATGATGACAAATTTCGTCTCATAAAAAGAATAATAATATACATATATTTTAAGTGAGATTGAGTTGACCAGGTAGTAATGATCATTCCAGAATTACATTTCCTTGTTTATATATTCGAAATTGCAGTCTTTGTGAAAACAAATAAGCACCTTTTTCCTTCATTAAGAGATACGAGAAATCGCACTATAAATCTAAGGTCTCAATATCAAAACCTTTTATGTACAGGCAACTACAAAACGGCATTATTAAAGAACATATTAGCCATGGCCCCTATTATATATAACAAAATACCTAATGAGATAAAGGATTTAACTTATGTAAAATTTAAAAAACTTTTGTTTTCTTTACTAGTTAACAAGTGCTATTACTCTGTAAATGATTTTGTAATGGATAGACATCATTTTGTAAGAAATTGCTGAATAAAAAATTTATAAAATATATAACTTAATCATCTATATATCTATCATTGTATCACAAATCATAGGAAATATAATATAATTGTATAGTTAATTTTAATTAAGTTTAATTTATAATTTCAATTGTACGAGTATTGTTGATTCGACTTTGTTATTTTATTGAATTATTAATTTTCATCTGTAAAACATTTAATATGAATTTATAATTATAATTTCATGTTTAATTTAATTTCTTATTTTAATTGAATAGTTAATTTTAATTTGTAATTTAAACCTTATATTTGCATGCCTTATGGTAGAATGTACCTGGAACTTATATTAAAATCTATTTGTACACCTATATTCTGTGCCTACATTCAGAGCAAATAAATATTATTATTATTATTACTATCTATAAGAGAAGTCTGACATTTAACTTGTAGATGCTCAAAAGCCAGCAGTTACAATAGTTCAACTGCTGGAAAAACACCTTAAATAATATTATATAGCAATAATATACATGTATGGCTTAATTTGATATATCGAAATAAGTTTAAGTATTTCAGAATATGCCAAAACTTATATGGATAAACTTTCTTAAAGAAACATAGTTTTAGTCTAATTTAGCTCTACAATTTTTTATGTATCATTGATTGACTAATTGATCGAGTAAGATTTGTAAATGCAACAAACTCTCAACTTTTCTTTATCACTATCTATTGAAATCTGCAGAGTATAACATATAAGTGCATAGTATTTGTTTATATAAAGAATACAGTGAAAAATATTGAATAAATTTTAGTATTATTGTCTTAAATCAGTGGCCTATTGGTTAAAGGGTCTCTTGTTGCCGAGTTTGCTGGTTCAAACCTGACAAGTACCAATGTGATTTTTCAGAGTCATATGTGTACTCTCTGAGAGTATTTAGATACTACTGACATACATTGAAGGAAAACATTGTGTGGAAACCTGAACTTATAGTTTCACAATTATAAGTTTGAAATCACCAACCCGTCTTGAGCGAGCGTGGTGATTAATGCTCAAACCTTCTCCATGTGAGAAAGAGGCCTTGCTCAGCAGTGGGCTCTGATAGGATAATAAAAGTATGGGAGTATTGTTTTAAGTAATATTATAATTTAACTTGTGATCTTCATTGTGGATTTATTTAAGTATAATTGTGTTTGTATAAAGTTATTTGTAATATTAAGAATGTTAAGTTCCCAGAATCTTATTTTTCACAAGTGGGGGTCTTGTGACAGAGGTGGAAAGATCTTACCTTTATTTCGAAAAATTAATGCTTACAAAGGTCACGTTATGTGAAAAATTATATTAAATTCATAAATTATCCACACTATATTAATAGTTTATATAAAATATTTGCCCTTTGTTTTTGAGTTACTACAATTAATTTATTTCGAAAGTATTGAATAATACACAATGAACTACGAATTATTAACGATTCACGGATTAAAATGCAAAAACATAAATCAAGTTAAAGTTAAAATCTATTCAACAATTATGCGACGTGGTTGCATCTGAACAATGAGTATTTTAAAACGGTTTATAAAAATTATGAACGGCATTTTAATATATACGGGAATTATAGCTACTTATATGATTTAGAGAACATTAATACTTCTGTTTTGTAGAAATAATAAAACAAATAATCACTTACTATTATATCAGCCAATTCAACGAAAAGTTCACGATAATTCTCAATTTTCACGACCCGACGGTCGGTTGAAAGACAACAGCGGCATATAGTTTTAGGCGCGTCTAATTCCGGTTTATATTCGATCTCAACTAAGCTATGATGAGTCTCCATTATCACCAATAAAATATATAATTTCAAAAATAAAATTAATACGTTAAATTACATGATAATTGATTGTAAACAATATGTAAAGAATATGGCCATGGCGTGTTGACAAGCGTGGTTCTGACACTGACTAGCTAGTAATGAGCTCCAAACGCCAATATCCCATATAAAGCTAGGTTTACACTTTTAGTAATTCTTTTTGTGTTTTGCCAACAAATAATATTGAAAATGAGATAAATGTTAAATCTCTTCTTATTTACTGGGTAATTTATCAAATAATAAATTTATTGTTTATTTAACATTTGTGTTGGTTAACTCCAAATAGATTTGGAAATCGTCATTGGGACAGCTTTCACCAACAGTCTGGGGCAGCTCAATAAAAATTCGACAGTATTATTAAATTCAATTCGAGTCAATAAATTTTTTATTCTATATTGAACTAAAATATTATTTATGTGATAAATATTACAATTTTATATCAGTGGCGTGTACAGAGATTTGAGGTAGTAAGCATATTTGAAGAAAATAGAGAGTTTTACCTACCAATAAAACTTACCTATTATTTTTCCTTAAGACATCCGGAATCCATCTTGAGTCAAGCACCTGTCTTTTTAGCCTTTTTTGTCCAGTTTTCGCTCCCTTCCGGTGCAACTTCAGCCCTCTAATGTCAATTTGGCGGGAGAAAACTTGCACATTTTAACAAATTGATATTTCTTACCTCATTATACATACTCGAGATGAACCAGGTAGAAATTACCTGGATTCCGGATGTCTTAAGGAAAAATAATAGGTAAGTTTTATTGGTAGGTAAAACTCTCTATTATTGTTCCATGTTGACATCCGGAATCCATCTTGAGTGACGTGTTTGTTATCACCTGTTCATAAATATTATGACGATGCTATAATGTGTCCAATAAAAATTAAATTATTGGAATAAAATAATTTATTTAAATAACAATTTGATTTAAGGAATCTATCAAAATAGCTTGACAGCCAAACTTTTGTGCTTTCCTGTGACCGATTTAATACAACTCTTTTAAAACTTCTTATAGGTAAAGGATCTTGCCCCCGTTTCTAGTTTCTAAATTTTATCTATTTGAAAGCATTCTATCTAGTTAAGGGAAGCTACTGAAGGTCTTACAGATCTGGGAGAAGCTTCAATACCAGCTTCTTTGTGTAAAGACTTAATCCAAACTCGACCATATTTGACGCTACTCTAGGTCCGCCCCTCGAGCTGTCAAAGATATGTATGATGTACCCCAATAGAGGGCGGCATTCGCCTGGCAGCCTCACGACCAGCGCGGAGCAGAACGGTGACGAGCGCCTGCACTTTAGGCGGGGATAGTAGTGAGCCAATGACTAGATATTCTTATATAGAGGAAGGGGGTCCTACAACGGGCTTGTAATGGGCTTTGTAAAATTTTCCTTCCTGACTGCCTGTAACTAATCAGTCTTAGATTCGGATCGTGGCCAAAATGTAACGGGATTACCCTTATCAATAAGTTTTTAATCTTCAATTGTTAATAAAGTGAGATAATGGACTTTACGTCCTGACGATAAAAGCTGCAGGATTGCTACTACAATGATCAAGTCCCGGCTTCCCCCGGGGGGGGGGAGGGTTAAGGTTAAGGTTAACGCGTAAGCTAGCTATGACCCTACCTGTAAATGTAGGCAGGTCATTCTGGAAGGCATTTGCAGCCCTGGTTTTGTGACAGAGTCGCCACTAGCGAGGCGGTGCCCAGGGACAGCAGGTCCCACATGGCTGGTCTCCTGCCAGCGGCAGAGGATTTCTATTAGCCACCGCAAACACTATAAATTGTTTACATTTACCAGATGTGTGCTGAAATATTGTAAACAATTTAAGAGTCCCAGATAGGTGATGTGGAACTCTTCTTTTTTGGGTTACTGAAATAACTTTAAGAATGTGTTTAACGAGAATATACACATAAAGTTAGATGCAAAATCTATATTTTAGGGAACTTTAGTAAAAGTAAGAATAAAAGATTCATGTATGTACAACGATAGTTACAGACAGACAGATAGATAGACAGATAGGTACAAGTAACAGGGTACGTTTTGTGAATATGGGTTTTTTAATCACTTACTCGTCTTAACCACTACAGACTCTATTTTATTATTTATTTATTTATTTATTTTTTTTTTTTTTTTGCAAAACGTTGCTAGATAATGAAAGGGATTATCTCTTACTCGTTCAACCGTCACGTCATTTCCGTCCACCCGAAATTAGCCACGATACGCAAATGAAGATCCCGGACCTTCAGCTGGTGAATTTTACGTCAAGGCGTCTACTAAGACTTGACAAAGGTTGGGAATTTGTTAAGACTCTTGCAGAGATCAATGTAGTAGATCTTCTGCTCAAAGACTATTTTGCCATGTCGGAGCTTTTGTTATGAAGCGTCCTTTGGCATTGTTCAGGTATTATAGCCCCGAGGTTAGGAGGTGGAAATATCGAAGCAAGGTCGTAACTTCACTGACGACTGAAAGCGTTGTGGTAGGTAACTTTTCAATCCGCTATACTCAATGTCTCCCATTGTTTAACTACCGTGCTGACCCTTACGCAGATGAATCTATCTGATGTAATATACTGTGCTAAGGCGGACATTGCATATTCCGAGCTTTAGATAACAATATCAACGGTCGGTCAAGTCAAGTTCAGAGCAATTTCCGCCCTGGTACTTCCTTCTTTGTTTATATACAATACCACTGTTCGATTGTCCGAGAAGAAAAGAATGTTGGCATCGTTTAATCAACTCTGTTCGTGGGCAAAAGCTTCTAGGTTAGCTTACGATTCCTTGTACTTGCCATGCCATGTTTTCTGGGCCTCAGTCTCTCCTATAAGCGCTTCTCGGTCGACTGCTAAGGCACCGGCTGTTATGTAATGCATTTCCGAGCCCAAACGTATCGGCAGTGCAGCTAAGAAAGCTTTTAACCATCAATGTAACTTGAGAACCTGTGGTTCTGCAAGTATTTTGAGGTGATTTAAAGGGAGGGATACTGTCGCCTGTGGTATGCAGTGTACGACAGTATCTCCCTCTGCAAACAACCAATGAGGCAAAGTTAAGTCTCCCCAAAAGGAGCTGGGCCTGTTCGGGGAGCCAACTGCCTTGGCCAATCTGATGCTGAAGTGAAGCGCATGCGTAGGGCGATGCACTTCAGTTCCGACAGGGACTTCGGGTTCAGTTTTGCGTCCCATGAAATGCCTAGGTATTCTGGACATTGAGTCAGAAACAGCACAGATTTAATGAAATTCATTGTCCGGCCAAGTTGTTGCAGAATATTGATGGTGAAGGCTAACCGGTCGCTCAGAATGTGAGGCGGTTGGTTTGCCAATTAAAAATCTTCTTAATAAACTACGCATCTAATGTAGTGATGGCGTAGAAACACTGCTATCCAGCCTGTGACGCATGCCAGTATTCGGGGTGCCGATGGTAAACCAAAAAAGCTGGCAAGTGTAGTAAATATAACAAACAGGGAAAACAGAATTGTCATAAACCCGGCTTCGCTAACCAGTTTCCAGTTTGTAATGAAAAGCTGGAAACGTTTTAAATGAACAAAGCTATACAACTGTTTCAAATTAAATGTCTCACGTTGTAAATCGTAGCTTTTAGGAATCGAAAAGAATGTTCATAGAAAACCGAGTGTAATATCAGCTCTTTCCAACATTTTAAAGAAAAAGATATGTGAAATCCTTTAATGATTCCACAGATGTAATTCGGTACATATAACTTAATCCAGATATCGATCTGTTTTTTAATAGTTGGTATTTATTAATACCTTATCTGTCCCCGCCCCATTTTTTGTATGTAGGCAGACAGTCAATATATCAAATAATATTTTTTGAAAACGGAGGTATGGTCTGTAAAGTCGAACGATAAAAATTCTCCGTTACTCGTTTTCATTAATCTTCTCTTAAAGATTGTATGAAATCAGCGCGAATACCACAAATAGTTCAAGGAATATCTTTGGTTTACTTGGAGTATTCCAAATCTTAAACATTTTATTATTATTTTAATATAGTTATTATTTTAATAATAATTGCGTATTTAAATTTGTTTTACTACCACTAGAATAGTCTACGATTTTTAGTTAAGCTATTTGACGTACTTCTTTTCGAGATATTAAAGCATTTTTCAAAAGCTGCAATTCGAGTTCTAGACAAAGTTTATGCTCGTCGTTCAACATCCTAACTCCCTAAAATTGCTTTAATTCAAACAGTTCCTTAAATTCGTTGTAAGGACCTGGCTCTCCGGCGGGGAATCGAACCCCGGTCACCCGCGTGACAGGCGGGGATACTGGCCACTATACTACCGAAGATATCATCACGACTGACGAAGATCTTACATTCACTCTATTGTCATGTAAACGGGAGTGAAAGCAGACAATAATTTTAAGAATTAATGTCCACGATATCTTTTTATCAGAATGAAGCAGGTGTCGGGTACCGTACGTCGTACGAGACAGTGATCCGTACACCGAGGCGCATCAGAGTAAAATGCGTCATTTACTTCTACAGCGAAGTATTTCAACTGATAATAATCATCAAACCGGAACGCATTCCAACATTAAATATTTGTATATAAGATAATTAAAATCAATGTAAATCCGTTGGGTTCGTGAAAGTCCGTTCCTCAATATTGATGGTTAAACTCAGATATGGACAACCGTCAAGTGCGGTTTTTGAATTTCGTTACTTTATATTCCCAAAGGATATAGTTAACTGACTTCTGAAATCGTGTTCTTTAATATTTTAAAGTGAAGTAATTGTTGTAAAATATTATTACATTTTTATTTATTGTAATGTGGGTACTCAATAAAAAAAAAGAAGCCACTTGTCGCATCTGATATTGAAAATATGAGCTACTTACAGCTTTGGGAGATCGTTTTGGTAGACTGTACCTGTCCAGACTGGAACCTCGTGACGAATACTCACTGTCACACGAACTTTTTTCCCAGTCCATGACGTTCGAAGGGAGACAAATATTTAAATATTAACACTTTTCAATACGAACACTTTAAAGACTGTAATAATTATAACTACTAATAAGTATTCTTAAAAACTGGACTACTGCTCGCTCTGAAAGACGATGCTATAATGAGGTAAGAAATATCAATTTGTTAAAATGTGCAAGTTTTCTCCCGCCAAATTGACATTAGAGGGCTGAAGTTGCACCGGAAGGGAGCGAAAACTGGACAAAAAAGGCTAAAAAGACAGGTGCTTGACTCAAGATGGATTCCGGATGTCAACATGGAACAATAATAGCAATTTTCATAATTTCTTCCTCTAAAACATTGATAATAATGAGATCTTTTGCAAGTATTCATTTAAATAAAACTAATATTTTCGGACACGTAATTTTTTTATTTTTAACGTGACAACGCTTGATGCAAAGTATCCCAAACGTCGCGTCGTAGGGAATATGTAGATTTTAAATATACTAAAATACGCGAAGTAATCAGAAAATATTAATTTCTTTTAAAGATTGATAATATTCGTTCATAATGTTACAGTAGTCAGATCAGAACGAACATCTATATACTTTAATAGCTTTCTTCCCGCAGCTTCGCCCGCGTGGAGTTCGCTTATATCGCGTTTCCAAGAAAACCTTTCAAAAGTCTGGGATAAAAACTAGCCTATGTTCTTTCTCAAGGTCAACTCTATGTCTGTACCAAATTTCATTAAAATCAGTTTAGTGGTTTAGGCGTGAAAGTGTAACAGACAGACAGAATCACTTTCGCATTTATAATATTAGTAGGGATGGATCTCTCAACTACTTCTGAACCACGAAAGTAATTTAAAAGTTAAAGTTTATTATATAATCTACATTTGATTCAAATAAAACAAAAATCCATAAAATTATATATATTTTATTTATTATTATTTATAAATCGTAAATACATCTTGGAAGTAATTATTTTGTGTGTTCCGATACAAGAAAATATATGGGCGGAGGAGCCAACAGGAATACCGGCATATCTATAGAAAAGACACAGATTAAAAATATATATCATTAAGATAAAAAAAGTATCTATATATTGTTTAATAAGACGAATCTTAATAATTTCTACCTGTCTTCTTTAAATTTTCCATCGAACTGCTCTGTTGTGGCTCGGTGCTACTGAAATTATATACATTACTTTCATATTTAACACAATGAAGATATATTATGAGACTAGAAGACCTGGCGAACTTCGTATCGCCCCATAATCAAGCAATATCTGTTACGTTTTTTTATTTATATTTTTAGAGTTTACCTTTAAGCCATAAATCTCCGTGTTCTGAAGTGCGACAAAATGATTAACATATTAGTCAGTTGTCAAATCTAATGTAAAAAAAAAAACGTTTGTATGGGAAATAGAAAAGGGCTGTTTTTATGGTTTTCCCAGTAATGAATCAATTTTTTTCAGCTTTTATACCTTCCCTGAACCTCCACGAACATTTCAAGACTAAGATAAGATAAATCCGTTCAGCTGTTCTCGAGTTTTAGTGAGACTAAGGAACAGCAATCCATTTTTATATATGGCTCAAAAGGACTCGTATCCAGAGCCGTAAAAACATAAAAAAAGAGTTAATTACCTTTGTCCATCCAAGCTGATATTGTTCAAAGATTTCGATAGTGAATTATGTACGGAACATTTTAAATCAGCTAGCGAGCTGGTCTCCCTTAACCTCGTCATCAGAGTGTGGTGGAGTAAGTTTTGACAGCTGCATGAACACTTCATTGTCACTTTTGACGTATCTATATGACATTTCGTTTCAGAGTTGCCATTACTGGATGTTAGTGCCGTATTTTTGGGAGTCCTATTTATATTTGGGTCTGAAGAATATTTTTCCCCTCCAAATCTGTTTTTATTCATCATTGAAAACTGGTACTGTCCTCTACGGCTTGTGGTTGGTGATATTTTTGGGGATCGAGAGATGATTTGTGTTTTACCAAGTTTTATGTCGTATTCCTTCGCTATTGCTTCGAAAACCTGTGTAGTGTTAGAAAGATTATATGTTTGCATAAATGACTTAATTATTGAAAAAATTGTAACTTTTCGCTTTTAATTTGTTTTGTTTTTATTAATTAGTGTTTTTTTTTCTTGTAGATGTAATTTAAGTTAATTAGATTAAGGTGCTGTTGTTAAAAACTTTTTAGACAGTGCTGTGAATACCTGTAATAGGTGTACCTATGAAGACCTATACTTTTGACTGTATTTTTTGTGTAAATGTTGTATATGTGTACTGTTGGTGTACCTAAGTAAATAAATAAAAGATTTTCTTCTTTTTGGAAGAAAGCCATTTAAATGGAGTGTTTCGACTGATTACTAATATTAAACACAGAGGCATATCTAACGAAATGCTTTGTATAGCAATCACCCAAATACTTATTATAAAAAATATTATTCCATCTGTAAAGCCGTATGTTAAAAAAAAAACAAGTCAAAATCTATCTTTATACGGCGTAGTTTAACAAACACAGTTAATATTAATAGAATCTACAAAGAAATGTCACTAACTTAAATAATTGAATAGAATATTACTTGTTAATAGATTAAGTAACTATTTGACGGTCAAGGTGCCAAATTATTTTGGTTTCGATTAAATTCTTCATAAACAGATGTCATTGACATTTTAAAGTTAAAAAAGTTACAATTTGAATATTTTATGTATGATCCATTAATAAATTTTGATAGGGAAGATATAAAGGCAAATATTATTTATTTATTTTATTGCAATATGTATTTTGATACCTGTTGAGCGACTAAGTTTCTTGAGTAAGGCGAGTCTTTAGGCGGTAGTACCTCTCTGCACAGAGCGCATCTCTCCAATCTACTCCAACAGCCTGGAATTAATAATATTGATATATGGCAACACCTTTACATACCATAAACAATTATAAACATATACGGACTTGTTACGTGACGGTGTCATAAGTGGTCGTTTAATTAAAATATAATTATCTTTATACGGTGTAATCAGAGGACGCCTTAGCTTCTGGTAAACTCGTCTATTCTACACGGGTCTGACTCAGCAGTTCCGTGTGAAGACAGGTTTTGGTTTTATATTTATTTTAAGAATTTAAATAGAATATTGTCACTATTTGTTCAATCTTTGTGCAACATAGTCGAACCCTAGTTGTAATTTACTTTATAATTAAATTAAGTCAAATAATTTGGGTTCAATGCATCCATCGACCGTCGAAATCATAATTAACTTAAAAAGACAATATACAAAACAAGTGTTATGATTCTAAGAAACGGTGAAGCAAAATGAAACCTTTTTTGTGGCTCACACATTAAACCGACAAAAATACGTGTATATACTAATTTAGATAAATATCTAAGTTATATTTTTGTGACTTACGTACAAGAGAAATCTCTATGCTTATACCCTTCAACAAGAGTAATAGTTATCAAACTTTATTAGGGTACATCTCACCTTCACAATACAAGTGTGTGCGGCGACAGCTGAGGGCGGCGGCTGCAGTCGCCCCACAGACGGCACAGGCCAGGGACCGGAGCACCCCGCCCAGGGCGCGCCGGGGACGGTCGGAGCCTGCGCCCCCGCCGGACCACAGCAACTATATCACCATTAATAGAGCTATGGGGCCGTTCAAGTATTACGTAAGCAGATTTATTACAATTATTTAACCCCCATCCCCCTTGTCAGCAAAAGTAAGCAAAGCTCTTACCCCCTCCCTCCATGCTTACGTAAACATTTTCAATTACTGTATTGTTTTTTATTAAATATACTTAAGTCAAGAAAAAAAAAATATTTTTTATGGATCTTCTCGATGTGACGATAAAAAAGTAAATAACTACCGATGACGTAATCATTACCTAGACTCCCCTACCCCCCATGTTATCCAAAATAAGCAAACCAAAGACTCCCCCGCCCTTCCATAGTGCTTACGTAATACTTGAACGGCCCCTATTTGGCAACACGTGATCAACCAAAATATCTTTGGAAGAAGAAAGAAGTTTAATATAAAATATGTATTAGGAGATGCACCGAAGTTTTTTGGCGCACGTTTAGAGTGAAGCGAACATTTTTTGGATATGGATTCCATTATCAGGCCCTTAAATTGAAATTTGTCATCATCGAATTGTAGGTACACCTCTGAGTAGATCGACTAAGTCAATGTCGATAAATGTTACTAGAGATGTTAAAATCCTGTGTTTAAAACCTTCGAAAAAATTCTCAATATTATTACAAGTTCTACACAGACTAAACACGCATTATTAATTGTTTTCCTTGATAGATCTCAAATGACTAACGTAGATAATAATGACTGCCATAAATTTCTCCGTATTTATTTGCTCGATGCAAAACTTCTTAGTACGACTGCATAACAAAATAATAATCAGAAAAAAATTAGAAGATTAGAGCTATAAAAAGTATTTCATAGACTTCCCAAAATCCTACTAATATTATAATTGCGAAAGTTTGTGAGTTTGTATGTTTGTTTCTTTACGCTCAAACGGCTTAACAGATATTGATAAAATTTTGTACACAGAAAGCTGATATCCAGGAATAACACATAGGCTACTTTACATCCCGGAAATCAAGTAACACCGCGGGGCGCAGCTAGTATACTATAAATATAACAATTTTTCCTGCTTTAAGTGAATTCATATAGTGACTGTAGTGTATGTATCTATACAAAAGATATAATACACTGTCTCACGTACCCCACTAGAGGGGCAGCATGCGCTCGGCAGACTAACGACTAGCGCGGAGCAGAACGGGGACGTGCGTGCGCTCTAGGCGGGGTAATAGTGAGACTGTGTCTAGTTATACATACATGTAGGACCAGGAATCCTACAGTGACGAATGACGTTATAAGTTGACATACCTCTGGGTCTTCATCAGGGTTGACTCCACAGCTCCACAGAACCAGGGTCACCTCCCGACCCTGGCCGTCACCACGAATGATACCAGCCACCTTATTGATCTATACATATAATAAAATTGTACAAAAGTGCTGTCTGTACATTGAAAATAAAAATAAAAAAATAGCAGGGGTTATTGTTATTTCGATGTCGAACCCAAAAATGTAATTAACTTTTTTTTTGTCTGTTTGTCTGTTCACGCTAGCCTCAGAAACGGCTGATCCGAGTTGGATGCGGTTTTCACGAATGTATTGTGGTATGCTTCAGTTATGCTTTAGTGTATGTTTCATGTCAATCGGTTCGTAAATAAAAAAAGTTATGTCAAAAAAACGCTGCTCATAGTCACTATTTCACGCGAACGAAGTCGCGGGCACAGCTAGTATATAATAAAAGATCATTTTATTACCACACATTAAGCAAGTATGAATATAACTCATGTGTTTATAACGATTTATTGCAAAGAAAAATCAAAAATACATCGTCATAGTCGATACGGTGACCAAAAAAAAACCAATCTACCCACAACATTTTATAACAAAGTCAAGAAAGTAAATAGAAGCTTTTGTTTCATGTTTCATGCCATTAATATGTGGAACATATTAATAATAGAAAGCTTTTAGTATAAGATTAGAAAATAGCTACTAATATTATAAATACGAAAGTAACTCTGTCTGTATGTCTGTTACGCTTTGACGCATAAACCACTGAACTGATTTTAATGAAATTTAGTACAGAGATGTAGTTGACCTTGAGAAAGAACATAGGATAGTTTTTATCCCAGACTTTTGAAAGGTTCTCTTGGAAACACGATATAACCGAACTCCACGCGGGCGAAGCTGCGGACGGAAAGCTAGTATTAAAATATGACTGATAAATTACTGTCAAAATATGTCCATCTGTTTGAAATATTTTTGGAAACAAACAAACGTACAAACTTCGAAGACATTTTCAAAATGATATTTAGAAGTTATCGTTTGTTACTAAAATACAGATTCGATTGTATTAGAGATTTAAAGAAAATCTCATCATTCCATGTATTCACGGTGCGTGTGTCGGGTCCATCGTTGTAGTGAGAGGAGCTACAACAGTGACTGGGACTTGTGACCCAGGTGTAGGTTTAAGGGACCCTATCTAACGTTAAACGATCACCTCCACCGTACAAGCTCCTCTCTCTACCTAACCCAATGAAACTAAAGATAGAACATTTAATATTATGTATTGTTACCGGTAGTCCAAGTAGGTCGTTACCATCGGCCTGTAATAGACAGTCGCCGGTTCGAAGACCGGCTGAAGCGGCTCTTGATTCAGGAGTGACGTCACGAATCTATTAGAAACCAATATAAACCAGTTAAAACCGGTTATATGAAAATAAGATGATCTTTTGAAGTAAATCCTGCATTACAATGATGATACCTTAATAAATAAATAATTATTATTTTTATATATAAAGAACAGCGAAGTAATTAAAAATATTAATTTCAAAATTATAATAAAGCAAAAAACTATCATATTACTGGCAACACTGAACAGATAATAAAAAGAAGAAAAGGACTCGTATACAGAGCCGTAAAAACATTTACAAAAAATAAAATAAAAAGAAGCTTAAAAAAGCTGTCGAACTAATAAGAAGAGCTGTAATTTAAAGCTGACATATCTATATATTACTAGCTGACCCGGCAGACTTGGTACTGCCTCAATCAAGAAATAAATTATGTCTTATTTATTTTTTGGAGTTTACCTGTAAGCCATAAATGTCCGTGATCTGAAGTGCGACAAAATCATTGACATATTAGTTAGTTGTCAAATCTAATGTCAAAAAACAAGTTTGTATGGGAAATAGAAAAGCACTGTTTTTATGGTTTTCCCAGTAATGAATCATTTTTCTTCAGCTTTTATACCTTCCCTGAACCTCCACGAACATTTCAAGACTAAGATAAGATAAATCCGTTCAGTCGTTTCCGAGTTTTAGTGAGACTAAGGAACAGCAATTCATTTTTATATACATAGATATATGAATTCAATTTTGTTCCTTATATTTACATTAAAAAGTATTTGTTTAAGAAGTTATATAAATAAGTTTTTTAATTAAAAATATAACTAACCCATGGATATGGATCCCAAAGTGTTCGCGTTAATTTAAATCCGAGGCCTTCTCCTTCATCCTCTGGCAGGTTTAACTGAAAAATATTACTGTATTTATAAATATTAAAGTTAAAAATTACATAATATCTAGTAATATTAAGTTTTACAATACTATTTTGGATATTTCTATAATTTAGATTGTCTATGGTTAAAAAATTATCCACAGATAATAAAGAATACAAATATTTGATTACTAGATTCTGAAAAAAGGTTTTTATTAAAAAAAAATGTTAACTAGTTACTTATTTGTATACTTTACCATTTTTAAGACTATATTGTTTAATTTCTGTGTATGATCTGTTATAAAATCATTTTTTTTACGTATTATAATAATTTCTATATAATTGTTAAATAATATTAAATACGATATCTTTAAAAATTAATTATAATTATGTTACCAAAACAACTCGTACGCCAGCCGACGATTGCTCCATTTCTTGGTTGTCTGAGGACGCCATCTTGAAAGATATTGAAAACTAAATTTGACAGAAGAAATTTATTTAATGACAGTAACAGATAGTCGAATTATTTTCTAAAGTTGTTTAACAACTATTTTATAATTAAATTTCATCATCATCAGCCTATCAGAGCCCACTGCTGAGTCTCTTCCCACATGGAGAAGGTTTGAGCATTAATAATCACACTCGCTCAAGACGGGTTTGTGATTTCAAACTTGTAATTAGATATTACAAGTCCATGTTTCCTCATGTTTTCCTTCATCAGTCAGTGATGTCTAAATACTCTTATAAAGTACATATGACTCGGAACATCACATTGGTACTTGAGAAGAACGAACCCCACTAGGACACCACAATTTAATTTACTATAATAATAATTAAATTTAAATTGATAGTTTTAAGATCTAAACTTAGCTAAAATAATAATAGCTTACCTTATTTTAGGAAAAGAAAAACTAAACATAATTAAGTAGGTACCTGATACCAATTTCTATGTTAAAAAAATTATCCAATAATAGAAGCATTTTATATAGCCTTAGTAAAACTATCTTTTAAACTCTGTACGGATAGTTTCGACGTATCTTCGATCAATAAATACGTGAAGGATATTGTGTAACTAATTACCGTACGTTTTACAACCTTCAATAATAAAATGAGCTTTCATCGGCGACCTCGAATTAAGATTTGATCACACCCATTATATATATATATATATAACATTACATTCTAAACATATTACTATACTAGCATTCCGCCCGCAGCTTCGCCCGCGTGGAGTTCGGTTATATCGCGTTACCAAGAGAACCTTTCAAAAGTCTGGGATAAAAACTATCCTATGTTCCTTCTCAAGGTCGACTCTATGTCTGTACCAAAATTTCATTAAAATCAGTTCAGTGGTTTAGGCGTGAAAGCGTGACAGACAGACAGAGTTACTTTCGCATTTATAATATTAGTAGGGATATACATAAGTCAGTGGTTTCCTAGTGGTTAAAAGACCCGCCTCTCATACATGAGGGCGCGGGTTCGATCCTGGCAAGTACCAATGTGATAATCCGAGTCATATGTACTTTCTAAGAGTATTTAGACATCACTGATCAATGCATTCCCAAATAGGGTTGATGTCAGGCAGGCGGTCGGTCTTAAAAACAATTAGCCAAAACTATTCACAACATGTAATGCAGACCCTGGCTAAAGCTGGGAAATTGCCAGGTAGAAGAAGATATATAATCTTTTAAATATTTGTTACGTATTCAGTTATTATTATGAGAAATTTAAATCTATATATATCTATATATCAAAAAAGTCGTGTTAGTTACAAATTTATAATATTTATGACTCTAACGGCTGTACGGATATGGATGAACATTGGTGGAGAGATAGATTAGAACATGGAAAGGACATAGGATAATTAATACTGTTCGATGGAAACAGAAAAATTTAATAAACTCCAATATCTGGTTATTTACGTCCTCTAGGACGGAATAGAGTTCGCCCGGTCAGATATACATATATTACTAATGAAGAAATCAACTATGTCTGTCTGTCTGTTACGCTTTCACGCCTAAACCACTGAACTGATTCTAATGAAATTTAGTACAGACATAGAGTTGACCTTGACAAAGAACATAGGATAGTTTTTATCCCAGACTTTTGAAAGGTTCTCTTGGAAACGCGATATAAACGAACTCCACGCGGGCGAAGCTGCGGGCGGAAAGATAGTGTTAGTATAATGTGATATGATTTATGAATGGAAAACTATTAACTGTACGTATGGAGTACGAAGATTTTAACCCGGAGTAAGGGTACAGACTGCGTTAAGCTTTTAATGGCAAAAAATATACACATAAATATTCTTTAGAGGTAGAGAGAGGAGCTTGTACGGTGGAGGTGATCGTTTAACGTTAGATAGGGTCCCTTAAACCTACACCTGGGACACAAGTCACAGTCACTGTTGAAGCTCCTCTCACTACAACGATGGACCCGACACACGCACCGTGAATACATTGAATGATGAGAGGTTTCGTCTCTCTATATATATTAAACCTACTCCTGGGTCACAAGTCCCAGTCACTGTTGAAGCTCCTCTCACTACAACGATGGACCCGACACACGCACCGTGAATACATTGAATGATGAGAGGTTTCGTCTCTCTATATATATTAAACCTACTCCTGGGTCACAAGTCACAGTCACTGTTGAAGCTCCTCTCACTACAACGATGGACCCGACACACGCACCGTGAATACATTGAATGATGAGAGGTTTCGTCTCTCTATATATATTAAACCTACACCTGGGTCACAAGTCACAGTCACTGTTGAAGCTCCTCTCACTACAACGATGGACCCGACACACGCACCGTGAATACATTGAATGATGAGAGGTTTCGTCTCTCTATATATATTAAACCTACTCCTGGGTCACAAGTCCCAGTCACTGTTGAAGCTCCTCTCACTACAACGATGGACCCGACACACGCACCGTGAATACATTGAATGATGAGAGGTTTCGTCTCTCTATATATATTAAACCTACTCCTGGGTCACAAGTCCCAGTCACTGTTGAAGCTCCTCTCACTACAACGATGGACCCGACACACGCACCGTGAATACATTGAATGATGAGAGGTTTCGTCTCTCTATATATATTAAACCTACACCTGGGTCACAAGTCCCAGTCACTGTTGAAGCTCCTCTCACTACAACGATGGACCCGACACACGCACCGTGAATACATTGAATGATGAGAGGTTTCGTCTCTCTATATATATTAAACCTACTCCTGGGTCACAAGTCCCAGTCACTGTTGAAGCTCCTCTCACTACAACGATGGACCCGACACACGCACCGTGAATACATTGAATGATGAGAGGTTTCGTCTCTCTATATATATTAAACCTACACCTGGGTCACAAGTCCCAGTCACTGTTGAAGCTCCTCTCACTACAACGATGGACCCGACACACGCACCGTGAATACATTGAATGATGAGAGGTTTCGTATCTCTATATATATTAAACCTACACCTGGGTCACAAGTCCCAGTCACTGTTGAAGCTCCTCTCACTACAACGATGGACCCGACACACGCACCGTGAATACATTGAATGATGAGAGGTTTCGTCTCTCTATATATATTAAACCTACTCCTGGGTCACAAGTCCCAGTCACTGTTGAAGCTCCTCTCACTACAACGATGGACCCGACACACGCACCGTGAATACATGGAATGATGAGAGGTTTCGTCTCTCTATATATATTAAACCTACACCTGGGTCACAAGTCCCAGTCACTGTTGAAGCTCCTCTCACTACAACGATGGACCCGACACACGCACCGTGAATACATTGAATGATGAGAGTATCGCCTCTGACTTAATAAAAATTAATTTATTGATTCGTATATTAAAAAACAATATTTTTTAACCGACTGTCAAAAAAGCTTATGCTTCTGAAATGTATAAAATCCATTTTAATACTACATATTTGTTTATAAAAAATTAGGTTTTCTAAACGTCACGTTTACCTTAAAATAAACTTTTAATTAAACACTTATCCCATGAATTGTATAAAAATTTTGATAAGCCATTTTTATATTACAAAATAACATTTTGGTTATAAAAAAAAAAAAATCTCGACTTTACCTTAAAATAAAATTTAAGTATACACTTATTAAAAATCAACTATCAAAATAAAATTCGACTTTTATTTTGTTTTATATATATAATTATCAACTTAAAAGTTATATCAAAATCAGTTAAGCAATTAATAATATTTAGTTTAATATAATTTTAACTTACCTTAAAACTTTAACTAAACTTCTCTTCAATAATATTTGTAACACACTGGCGATTCGATCGTAGGAACCGCTAGTGATGTGTCACTGTTGTATTTTATCGATAATTTTACATTGTTTCTACGATAGTTTGTAGTACATATGATTTAATTAATATTTGAGATAAATATATTAATGTACTCTTCTTCTATCTGGCAATTTCCCAGCTAAAGCCAGGGTCTGCCTTACATGTTGTGAATAGTTTTTGCTAATTGTTTTTACGACCGGCCGCCTGCCTGACATCAACCCTCTTTGAGAATGTATTAATCAGTGATGTCTAAATACTCTTATAAAGTACATATGACTGAACAATCACATTGGTACTTGCCCGGGCCAGGATCGAACCCGCGCCCTCGAGCTTAAGAGGCGGGCCTCTTAACCACTAGGCCACCACTGACTTTGATAAATATATTAATGTATTTTTTTTTAATATCACAAATTCCGTGAACCACCTGTCGCATGTCGCATTACACTCGGCGAAGATCTGGAGTAAGGTAAAACTTTGTAATAAGTTCATCGTGTACTCATAATGAGATTATAAGAATTTAACGAGCTTTATTCATTTAAATGTAAATAATATTTTTCGGAAAAGTCGCGTGGTATACCAAAAATACTAGTTTCATTTAAATATACTTACTCATACTTATATTTCAATGGTATTTGTATAATTGATCTCATCATATTTTCACAAATAAATAGTTTTTTAAATAACTAATACTACTTATTTTGTTTATAAATATTCCTAAAATATAGATTATTTTTAATTTAGTATCATCATAAAAAACAAATGTATACTAAATTTACAATACCATTCAATATAATTCCAATATATATTTTGACTTCACCAAAATTAATTAAGAAGAGAGTCGATAAAAATACTATCGATAAATTACAATCGACGTCACCCATCCCTAGTGACCGTCCTCGCTTCAATGCCAAAGTTTCGAAAGATACCTCTCACGTATTGGTGAAGTTTATTTGATACTAATGTGTATTAAATATATGTGGCAGACCCTGGCTAATGCTGGGAAATTGCCAGGAAGAAGATATAGATAAAGAATATTTAAATTATGTTTGATTAAATTTAAATGATTATAAGTCGTGGTGTCCTAGTGGTAAGAGGTCCGCCTCTCATGCATGAGGGCGTGGGTTCGATCCTGGCAAACACCAATGTGATGTTCCGAGTCATATGTACTTTATAACAGTATTTAGACATCACTGACTGATGAAGGAAAACATCGTGAGGAAACATGGACTTAATCAAATTATAAGTTTGAAATCACCAACCCGTCTTGAGCGAGCGTGGTTGTTAATGTTCTAACCTTCTCCATGTGAGAAAGAGGCCTTTGCTCAGCAGTGGCTCTGATAGGATGATGACGAATGTGTATTGAAAATTAGTTTATATAAGTACATATATTACAATTTTATTTCAATTTACTGTCACAAGAATATTGATATTAAAACAAAAAAAATACACGAAAAAATTAATTAATCTATTTTAAAATCACCTATTTATATTCAACAAGAAAATTTAAAAAGCTTGAAGTTTTTTTACTCAGAAAAATTGACAAAAAAGTAAAATTCTGCTTCTTAGCATTGTCAAAGATCTATGCAGGGGTTATGTTAAAATAGGTTATAAATGAAAAACTCAAAAGTAACAGTAATGAGTTACACGATGGTACGCGTAGTATGAATTATTTACACGTACTAAGTCTCTCATAACACATTCAGTAGAACTCTATATTAAGAGATAAAACCTCTCATCATTCAATGTATTCACGGTGCGTGTGTCGGGTCCATCGTTGTAGTGAGAGGAGCTTCAACAGTGATTGGGACTTGTGACCCAGGTGTAGGTTTAATTGACTCTTATCTAACTTGCTTATGTTCTTAATAAATAAAAGCCGTACAACAGAAAGTAAATGGATGACACTACTGAGAGGAAAATTATATTTGTTTGTTGACTGAAATATAAAATACACATGTTCAGGCTTTATATAAAATCTTATCTTCTCTTCTATATATATAAAAATGGATTGCCTTTCGTTAGTCTCGCTAAAACTCGAGAACAGCTGAACGGATTTTTCTTATCTTAGCCTTGAAATGTTCGTGGAGGTTCAGGGAAGGTATAAAAGCTGAAAAAAATTGATTCATTACTGGGAAAACCATAAAAACAGCCTTTTTCTATTTCCCATACAAACGTTTTTTTTGACATTAGATTTGACAACTAATTAATATGTCAATCATTCTGTCTCACTTTAAAACACGGAGATTTATGGCTTTAATAGGTAAACTCCAAAAATATAAATAAAAAACGTAATAGATATTTCTTGATTATAGGGCGACACGAAGTTCGCCAGGTCTTCTAGTTATAAATAAAATTGATTTTCGCCTTTTTATTGTTCGTCTTCATTCGTGATGGAATCTTGGAATATGTTGCCATTGTCAATAATTTTATTTGTTGGACGAATTAATACTTAGTTCCATTTAAATGAGACCGCGTAAAAATCTAACCGCTAACGTATAATTAATACACGTTATTCTTGTAATATTTATTTTTATCCAGATTTTTTATATCAGCATTTTTTTAAAAAGGCACTTTTATTAATAATATTTTGACTAAAATCAAGTTAAAGATGATATTGACGCTATTTCTATTATATTAACTTAAATTAATTTACGAATATATAAGTACAATCTGAATTTTATACAAAAAATATGATTAAACAGTTCTCAATAATATGAAACTTTCATATAAATATTCGAGTAGCGATCATCTTAGTTGCAAAAGTTACATACTAGATATATTCATATCTTTTTTGTAATATCAAGTAAATATATTATTGTCTTAATTTCCTTTAAATCAAATATCATTTAATACAAGAAAATTTATATATATTTAATGATTTAAAAAAATATTTTTCATTTTAAAATCAACGTTTATTTATTATATTCCATACATTAATGTACACCTAGCTGTATGAATTTTCAATAGATTTTTAATGGCAACACTAAACGTGTATAGATCATAACTATATAGAGGTTCACTTCCATCCCGAACTATTATATTAAAATTTATTTAATAATTTATATGTAAATCATTACATAATAACTAAAATAACTAAACCAAAACGATATCTTTGTAGATATTAATCCAAAAATACATTAATAACTGTTTGGGTGTGGTCACACAACGATCGATATGACAGTCCTCAGGATTCCTCTGTGCATGATATCTATAATTTCCCTCTGTACATACCTCTGATCTGTGCCATCATGTCTTCAAATATTGTTTGAAAACAAATACAAAGTTTAAAAATGAGTGATTTATTAGCTTGCCGTGTGTGCCTTGCATCTGAAGACGTGAAGCTTTACAGTCTCAATAAGTACAATTTGTTGCAATCCTACGAGATACTAACCGGAGTACAGGTTAGATATTAAATAACATTATTTTCTTTCTTATTCTTAACCATAGTAATACACTATTTCAAACATAAAAATGTTAAAGTACATTCAATTATAGATATTTGAATTATTTATTTGTTATAGGGTCATATTTTTTTGTTAATATAATTACTTCTGTGTATTAAAATTAAGTTATTATTCATAAAATTAAAAATACCGTGTGCCTTACCTTTAGTATTATTTAATTAAAATTAAATTAAAGTTTCTCATTGTTTGAAGATTCCTAGCATGTTTTTGTTTATTTTTTTAAACCATAAAAGTATTACTTAGAAAATATTATTAATTAATATTATAGAACAATGAAACATTATTTTAACCAACTCTTAAAAACGAAGGTACTTACTTCCTCATATATATTATTATTATTCTGAGATATAATTTCACTTCTTATAAACAAATAAATATCACATTTAATAATGGTATCATACAATGATCATTATATTTATTTAATCTTTAAAGATATCTTTATCTTTTCATATCTTTTTCTCAGCTATGTCCCGAAGATGGTCTGCCTCAACACATCTGTAGTTTCTGCAGTTCCTTGTTGAATAAAGCCGTATCTTTTAAGGAAAAGTGTCTCAATTCTCAGGAAATATTGAAATTTAGCGGACAGAAGCAAAGAGTGAGTTTTTGTATTCTATTAATAATCACATTGTATTGATGTATAGCTCGAAAGAATTATATATATAGACTATCATCGTCATCATCAACTTACCGCCTATCCAGGTTGTTTGTCTCGCCCAAAGTGGGACGAATGTCTTGTATATATAAAGACTATATAAATGTTAATTAACTGTATATATATATATATATATATAACAAATTTAATGATATCTTAGCCATGACACATACAACGCCTCTAACCAATATCATGGTTACTATAAATAAACCGAAACATCGGTATTGTGTAGTCATAAAAAATAACACATAGTATCGGAAAACCTTAGTTTCATGTATGTGAAAGATTCTTAAGAACCACTTCATATTTAATAATATCTTTGACGGTCTATCTGTTAAAGATAATGACAATATGGTTATCAAAGAACAAATCATCGGAAATAGTGCAAATCTGAGTTATTACCATTGGATAATTATTTAGTGTTTAATTTTAAACTAACTAGCTTTCAGCCCGCAGCTTCGCCCGCGTGGAGTTCGGTTATATCGCGTTTCCAAGAGAACCTTTCAAAAGTGTGGGATAAAAACTATCCTATGTTCTTTCTCAAGGACAACTCTATGTCTGTACCAAATTTCATTAAAATCAGTTCAGTGGTTTAGGCTTGAAAGCGTAACAGACAGACGGACAGAGTTACTTTCGCATTTATAATATTAGTAGGGATTGTGAAAAAAATACCTCAAAAGTCGTTAATATATAAAATATTTCAGCTCAAACTTTCTTCTAATCTGCTTCCAATGTAGATACGTGGAATTATACAATGATAGTTACGAGGATTTGTATTATCACCGACTATATAATTCTTATATATTATTTATTACATATATTTGTATTATATATGTACTTGAGTTGGCTGTCATCATTTAGGCCCCTTATATGTACTTTAAAAATGAGCAGATTTTTATAATTTAACTCTTATTCTAATTCAAAAAGTTTTGCATTAAAAGTTCAATATTTCTGGGTACAGGGAATAGAAAGAGTAAATGGGTGTGTCAAATGTCTATTTTAAGCAATGCTAATAAAATTTGTCTTAAAATATTCTTTTAAATTCCACATAACTAATTCTCACTGAGTAACTACTAACATATTCTTCTTCTTATAAGCTCCTGTGATAATTTTTCAGCTGACTTTAGATTTTATAAAAGAAATCCACCTAGCACACCGTAACCCGTACAGCTTAGACGAAGAACATAGAAGATACAACATAGATTACACTACCATCAAGAAGGAGACTATTATCAAAGAAGAATTACAAGAAAAGAAGAAAAAAAGGAGAAAAAAAGAGAATATAGAAATTAAACTAGAAGATGAAGCCCAGAATGATGATTATTGTAACTACGAAAGCGATCAAGATATACCGGTCCTGGAATTGGATATACGTGGACTAGATCTGCCTGATGGGCAGGAGATAGCAGAAAATGGCCAGGAGATGGCAGAAAATAGCCAGGAGATAGCAGATAAGGATCTGAAGGATGTCGAGATAGTGCTGCTGAGTAAAGCTGAGCAGATACAAGAGATTGAGAAAAGGAAGACTTCTTCGAACTACATCAACTCGTACTACAAGTGTGAGAAATGCTTCAAGGGATTTATAACTGAGCCTACGTATAGGAACCACATGGTGTGCCATGATCCTGTGAGTATATATACTTGTTTTGGTCTGCGACTTCGTCCGCGTTAATTTCTTCATCTATCTATATATATAAAAATGAATTGCTGTTCGTTAGTCTCACTAAAACTCGAGTACAGCTGAACGGATTTATCTTATCTTAGTCTTGAAATGTTAGTGGAGGTTCAGGGAAGGTATGAAAGCTGAAAAAAATTGATTTATTTCCGGGAAACCCTAAAAACAGCGCTTTTCTATTTCCCATACAAACGTTTTCTTTGACATTAGATTTGACAACTGACTAATATGTCAATCATTCTGTTCAATTGAAACAGGAGAAACCTGATTATTTATGGCCTCTAAGACGGAATAGAGTTCGCCCGGTCAGCTATACATATATCACTCTTGACCAAACTAACGCGGACGAAGTCGCGGGCAAAAACTAGTTAGTAATATATGTATAGCTGAACGGGCGAACTGTTCCGACCTAGAGGCCGTAAATAACCAGATATTGGAATTTATTAAGTATTTTTTCGATTTTTAGTGGAATAGTATTAAATATCCTCTGTCCGTCTCCTTGTTCTAATCTATCTCTCAACCAATCTTCATCCATATCCGTACAGCTGTTCTTGAGTTATAAATAGTGTAACTAACACGACTTTCTTTCATATATATATATTATAATCAAATTTGATATTTTTGATGGTCTCTTAACCGACTAGCTATACTGTCCTTGTTAATAATGCCTTAGAATTTTTCCATCTTTTATTGTTCATTCAAATTAAATACTCAAATTATTTGCAAATGAATTATGTTTCACTTATATCCCTACTTATTTTATAAATGCGAAAGTAACTCTGTCTGTCTGTTACGCTTTCACGCCCAAACCACTAAACTGACTTTAATTAAATTTGGTACAGACATAGAGTGGACTTTGAGAAAGAACATAGGATAGTTTTTATCACAGACTGTTGAAAGGTTCTCTTGGAAACGCGACATAACCGAACTCCACGCGGACGAAGCTGCGAGCGGAAAGCTAGTAATATATATTTATATATTATATTCAATGTATCGCAGTGTTGTATACGTTTCGTTTTATTGTTTACAGGAGCGCGGGCCACACACGTGCGACGTGTGCAGCTCCCACTGGCCGTGTGCGCGCGCCCTTAGGGCACACTCACTCAACACACACGAGAGGAAGTACATGTGCAGGGTGTGCGACCACGTGTCGAGGTCCAGGTGAGTGACACACACACACACAGACACACACACACACACACACACACACACACAGACAGAGAGACACACACACACATATATTTTCGTTAAACATTCAATACGTCGACGATTATTCCCAAAGAGGGTTGATGTCAGGCAGGCGGCCGGTCGTAAAAACAAATAGCCAAAACTATTCACAACAAATAAGGCAGATCCTGGCTAAAGCTGGGAGATTGCCAGGTAGAAGAAGAAGTGTAATGAATACAATATTGTTTTCCAGTCACCGAGCCAAAGAGCACAGCAAGTGGCACAGCGGCTTCTCCTTCATCTGTAAGACGTGCGGGGCGTCCTTCGCGTGAGTTACATTCATAATAACTATATAGAATAATATCGTAGAACATAGAACTCCTCCGAAACGGCTGGACCGATTCTCATGAAATCTTGTGAGCATATTGAGTAGCTCTGAGAATAGGCCGACATCTATTTTTCATACCCCTAAGTCATAAGGGTAGTTCACCCCTAATGTTTTTTTTGGAGGATTTTTTTATAATGTAGCATTAAAAAAACATACAACCCAAAATTTTTATCACCAACCCCTACTTTTTATATGGCAAAAAAAAATTGCCGGGTCAGCTAGTATACATATTTTTCTACGATTTATTGAAACAAAACTATTTTCTTATATAAAAATTTTCATGAACACAATCATACATACATCAGTTCTAGTCTTCTTCCTGCCAATTTCCCAGCTTTAGCCAGGGTCTGCATCAGTCCTATTATTTTCCAGTAAATCCACAAGTTATCTAACGCACATGCGTCTCCAACATCCGTCGAGCAACTCTTGCGAGATCTGCGGGGAGTCTTTCGTTGGAGAGTTCGGTTTGAGGATGCACAAGAAGAAGACACATGTAGGTAGCACACACAGACTAGCACAGAGAGCACAGGCCAGCATGTAATATGTTCAATATCAGTTTCAGTATCCGGGTGTGAGTCAGTGCGACCGATGTAACCACAAGTTCGATTCCCGGGACGCGCTGCTGAGACACCTTCAACTATCCAGCGAAAATTGTGACGCGAGCGACTCACAACGGTTGGAAAAATATCACAGAATTAAATCATTTTGACCATCCTTTCCCTATTCCCACCCTTTCCTTCCATTTCCTTATTCCCATCCCTCCCTATCCCTAAAAAAGGTTGGCAACGCATCCGCAACATTTATGTTGCAGATGTCTATGGGCGACGGTAACTACCTTCCATCAAGTGAGCCGTCTATTCGTTTGCCACCATTCACATAAAAAAAACATATTTTCATTATTTATCAACATCAGCCTATCAAAGCCCATTATTGAGCAAAATTTTCTCACATGGCGAAGGTTTGAGCATTAATCACGATCGCTCAACACGGGTTGGTGATTTCAAACTTATAATTTGATTAAGTCCATGTTTCATCATATTTACCTTCATCAATCAGTGATATCTAAATACTCTTAAGTACATGTGACTCGGAACATCACATTGGTACTTGCCAGGGTCGAACCCGCGCTCATGCTAGAGGTGGACCTTTAACTTGTCGGACACAAGTGACTTTTCGTGTGTTATTATTAAATATTTTTCATATGAATGTTTGTTTTCAGACCGTGTCCTCAGTGCGGCGAGGGCTTCAATGATGACGACTGTCTGAAAGACCACTTGGCAACACATGACAAGAATTCGAGCGTCACGTGCGAAGAGGTTACCAATATATATATACTAGCTTTCCGCCCGCAGCTTCGCCCGCGTGGAGTTCGGTTATATCGCGTTACCAAGAGAACCTTTCAAAAGTCTGGGATAAAAACTATCCTATGTTCTTTCTCAAGGTCAATTCTAAGTCTGTATCAAATTGCATTAAAATCAGTTCAGTGGTTTAGGCGTGAAAGCGTAACAGACAGATAGAGTTCCCTTCGCATTTATAATATTAGTAGGGATATATATATATATATATATACAACACACATTAAATTTAAGCCGTCCCTTTAAACTCCCGAACGCACCCGAAGTGTCGTTAAAGAGATGACGTTTGGTTTGTTCACTTTTACGAGGGAAAGTATTTGTTGACACGACTTGTGTGTTTGTAAACTGAATACAACTTATTGAAGGTGTTTTGGTTTAAGATAATAATTAGTTTGTTCCAATTAAAGTTTGATATGTTATTTAAAGGTACAAGCTTTGTAAAACAACCATATTTTTTAATGATTTTGTTAGAATCCTATATATATATATATATACAGGGTGACTGGTGAATTACTATCAATATTTAAGGAGCATACTCGGTACATGATTCTCATTCGAATTATGTAAAAAATAGGTACTTAATTTTTGACCAAATTTCCGTATAAATAAATAAAGTGCGGACACGTTCCAAATGTTCCAAGTGTGGACGCGTACGGCGGCGTGCTGATACAACACTACGCCACCGACGTGTGTATGTGTGTGTGTGCGTGTACCTAATCTCTAGGGTGTTCACACGATGCGTAATTAATTACATAACCTTGGTTAACTTTACTTAGAAGTTTATTAATATTTATGTTATATTAATTTTTATTTCGTCATATATGATCGTCAAATATCACGTCCTCAAATATCGATAGTAATTCACCAGTCACCCTGTATATATATATTAATAAAAGCTCAAGTTTGTATTGTTACAGTGCAAACTAACGTTTTCATCATCCAGTTCCTACACCATCCACTACCAAAGAGTTCACCTCGGACTTAAAATGAAGCAGAACAAGCCGCGCTGCTATAAGAAACCGGCTGACAGTCACGTCTGTGAGATGTGCGGCAAGAAGTGTATTGTAATGATAATAACAATCATAATAATAATAATTAAAACATAAATATAACACATAAATAATACACACCACAGAATGTAGGTACAGAATACAGGTGTACAAATAGATTAATGATGGACCTGTATGCTGCAGACCAAGGCGACCCTGATGTACCACCAACGCATCCACACCGGAGAGCGGCCCTTCCAATGTACCGACTGTCCCAAGAAGTTCAGTGTGTACCAGAGACTGCAGGTAGGGAGCCAATACATACATACATAAACATACAGGGTGACTGGTGAATTACTATCAATATTTAAGGAGCATACTCGGTACATGATTCTCATTCGAATTATGTAAAAAAAATAGGTACTTAATTTTTGACAAAATTTCCGTATAAATAAATAAAGTGTTGACACGTTCCAAGTGTTCCTAGTGTGGACGCGTACGGCGGCGTGCTGATACAAAACCACGCCCCCGCTGCGTATGTGTGAGTGTGTGTGTATACCTAATCTGTAGGGTGTTCACACGATGCGTAATTAATTACATAACTTTTGGTTAACTTTACTTAGAAGTTTATTAATATTTATGTTATATTAATTTTTATTTTGTCATATATGATCGTCAACTACCACGTCCTCAAATATCGATAGTAATTCACCAGTCACCCTGTATATTATAAAGTATACAGTATGTTATTGTGACCAGATCCACCAACGTATCCACACGGGGGAGAGTCCATATCAATGTAAGAGTTGCCCGAAGGCATTCAAACACAAGGCGGCCCTCAACAGACACGATCGGGTAACTCGAGTTTGTTATTATATTATGATACCACAGCTCCACCGGGGAAGTACCACCCTCTCACTGAAGATCGGCGTCAAGTAGTCTTTAATGACTGCGTTTGGTCTCATGAGTGACAGATACGGTTGACCTTTCCCTGGTCCCAACTTTTCGCACAATATCTTTATTCCCATCCCTCCCTATTCCTAAAAAACCAAGGTTGGCAACACGTCCGCAATATCTTGTATGTTATGGTAACTACCTTACATCAAGTAGGCTGCCTGCTCGTTTGACACCTTTTACATAAATAATAATGATTTTGAAGGCAGCCCTAGTAGGTTCTTATCAAATTAAGTAAAGTGAGGAGCTTGTACGGTGGAGGTGAGCATTTAACGTTAGATAGGGTCCCTTAAACCTACACCTGGGTCACAAGTCCCAGTCACTGTTGAAGCTCCTCTCACTACAACGATGGACCCGACACACGCACCGTGAATACATTGAATGATGAGAGGTTTCGTCTCATTTCCAGGTCCATACGGGGGCAAAGCCCTACGGCTGTCCTCACTGCGGCAAGTCCTTTTCTCAGTCCAACTCTATGAAGCTTCATGTTAGCACCGTGCACCTACGACTACCAGCGCCCTACAGGAACAGAACTAATAAAATATAAACTACCTACTGATCTTTCATTCACCGTCAAATAATATATATCAAAGAAAGTCTTGTTAGGTACACTATTTATAACTCTAACGGCTGTACGGATATGGATGAACATTGGTGGAGAGATAGATTACAACAAGGAGACGGACATAGGATATTTAATACTGTTTGATAAAAAAATAAAAAAAATACTCAATAAATTCTAATATCTGGTTATTTATGGCCTCTAGGGAGGTAAATATGACTTTGTAAATTAAATATGTTTTGGATAATACTTAATAAGATAAAACTCTTTAAGAGAAGTTTGTTCTTGGTGATTTTTATTTTATTTATATGTCTGATTTTTTTATATGTATTTAAGTTTGTTGTATAAAAGAAGAAACTTTATCAATAGCTTCCGAGTAGCTCGTATAAATATGTTCAGAATCCACAACAGCTAGTTCACGTGTAACTAATACAACGACACTCCCATATCTCACCAACTACATAGATGGGAAAAGGATTGATATTGAGAGCGGTACCACATCACATGCCTTATACATAGAACTCACGTTCAGTGATTCAATAAAGTTATCAATTCCAACGAAGCAACATTCGGAACATACTATATTTGAACTAAAAGCAGCTGTACCATAGATTAAATGAAACACGACCTCTTTATATGTACTCATTTATTACGGAAGTTTGTTCTGGGACGTCCCTACCAGTGTCTGTCAAATTTCTTGAACAGCTCCATGCAGGTCCTAGCATCTTCCAAAGAATCATGATGACCCTCCTGAATATTCTTGTTTAGGTGCTCACGAGCGAGGTCCTTCAGAGACCGGGGCTGACCATTCTGAAATATATATTCGTAAAAACGTTTAGTATTGAACCTTTCACGATGCTACAGAGATCGTTCAGACTTATTAATGCTTTGCTGAGATCAGAACACACTCTACACATAATATACAGCCATATAACTACATACAGACATTTGAACACATTACAAGTTAAATGAAGCACGCTGGTAAGTTGAGCATCACAGCAGTGTGTATTGGACCCTTCACTCATAGTGAAACAAACATCCAAGCAAAAGTATTTAATATTAGTGGCTATAAGACGATGACAGCTCAGAGTTCTGTCTTATAATAGTAGTGATGTGTAAAATAAATAATCACCTTCATAAACATGGGATGTTTGGCGAAATCTCTTTTGTTACGGTCCGGATGAGACAAATTCAGGACTCCAAGATCAAAGTCCAAACTGTGGCCCACCAGGATTCTACCCTTCAACCACTCGGCAACATATCTTTGTACGGTGTCGAAAGACTCCCCGTCTTCCAGATCACGCGCGGTGATCCCGTGCACGCTACTCCTGTAGTCAGTGACGGTGTCCGTCGGTTCAACGAAACAGTTTAACAAAACTCTGCCATCTTCGTCCACTACTGACACCTTGGCCAGAATACTCCTGTTGCCCGACCCCACCATCTCACAGTCCAAAGCAATTACAAGATTCATTATGATGTTTTAAACTTAAAGTTTTAGGTCTCCTGACTGGAAAGAACACTACAGACGCAAAACGACTCGTCGCCCGTAACTCTTGCAATTGAAATAACTGTTGCGTCATTCTGAGGCTATTTAAAGCCTAAATTCGACTCCGGGGAATCCCCGTGTGTGTGTTACCAACTTTCAAAATATCTATCTCTAAAGTTGATGACAAAAACCCCTAAGATCGATTTAATTCTTTTGTTTCCCCCCTAAAAATACATATATATATAAATTCATAATGATTTAGAAATAATAAACTGTGACATGTTTAAAAATTGTTTTATTCCAGTGTATTTAATACTTTAAATATTTCGTCTTCATCTGAAGATTCAGATTTTTTAAAATCATACATGTTGATAATAAATAAATTTAACATTTTTTTGGATGGATTAAATGTTGCACAAGATTCACCATTTTATTTTTTTATAAATGTCTAGCAAAACGGGGGGAACCACCGTGTAATGTGTTTATGTGTTTACATACGGGTTTTCGAGTCTCATTCACTTTAAAATAATAATATAAAGTCATTCTATAATGATTTTTATGAGCCGTGTGTACAAAAAGGATTAGAATTCATTAATTAATGTTTTGATCGTCTCCCGAAATACATTATTCCGCATGTGATAAGATCGAATACCATACAGTGGACATAATTATTCCATATTATTTATTATAAAAGAAAGAAATAATTGAGTTCGAGTAAGATTAGGTAATGTAAGAGCGATTAAATATATTTAATATATAAAATTTAGTGTTTGGTATCTTCATTATCTAAATAATAGTCTTATAAATTCTTTCAATTATATTCTCTTAAATGAAACTATTCTATTAGCAAGGCAAACTATTATGATATAAGTAGATCTCATTAATAATATTCACTTTCTAAATTATAGACACTAAATTTCTTTGAAATTATATAATCAATAATGATAGGTGTTATGAGTAATCGTAATGTATATTAAACTTCTTTAGTTCTTATTAATAGATAAGAAATGCGTCTGGTCATTAAAATGTAATTGTTTCCGCTTCCGTGTTTGCTATACAACGACATAATAATCTGTATCATAGAGTTGGCTACAGCCATTTCATAAACCGATTATATGACATTTCAATTTTAATCGATGTTAATTTTTATAAAATATGTTATTATAATATAAAATTTATCATAATTTAATACGTTATTATCAAGAATTATCATTACAGATCAGTCTGTTTTTTTTAATTTGAAATAATTATAATGACTTAATGTTTTACGGTAATAAAATTTTAATATTAAACAATAATAAATTAATACACATTAGAAAATTATCATATTTAAAAGTTTTAAATTCACATTAAACAAATACATATTCCAGTGTACGGAAAAACCAATATTGGTTTATGAGACACTGAAATATTAGATATTAATGTAAAAAATACCAACATAATTGTAATAAATAAATATAAAAACAAAACCAAGAGATCACATTAAATTTTTACGATAAGAGAATCGTTAATAAAAATCGGTATACGTCATGTGTCAATCCCTAGTCGTTACAGACGCACACCGGACGCCACAGATATCGTGATGGCGTACGCATAGAACAGAAAAATAAGGTCCATTTTGTATTTGTTATACGAAGTAATCTGTGGGAGTGATCATGTTTTACTGTTCCTATGTTAGTATACACTATGTTATCTGTGAATGTGGCGATACATTCCCAACGGAGGACGGATTGAAGGAGCATCTCAGAACAGAACACGATAATAAATTAAGGATAGAGAGAAACGAATATAAATGTGATACGGTGAGTTATGGCGCGTAATTATACTTACATGTACAACTAGCTATAAAAACAGTATGTGTTAATCATATATTTTGTTTTACTATGTCAGTTAAGATTGTAATGTCATGATACGGATTTAAAAGCTCTTTTCGGCATCAATTGTCAGAAATTAAGTTATTCGTTAAAAATTACGAAATCTTACGATAGTTTACTGTTGAGAGCATCGAAAAAATTGTTACGAGAAAAAATAATTTCGCGAGTATCGCGAAGTATTTTTTTGGTTCGAAAAAAGTTTTGCAATGATAATAATGATTAATTATTAACTGAAAACACAATTAAAACTCTCATTTTCATTTAATATCCAGAGACAACAAGATTTTTTTACGAATCTATAGTCACCATATAAAATGTACAAAAAAATATATTACTAGTGAAATATGTAAAAGAATTACTGCATTTAGATATACAAGTTCATCAAATACACTTAGTAATCCTAATAATATAAATTGAACACAAAAATCAAATATATATATAGATATATGTAAGAAACCTGATTATCACATAAATTTTCCAGTGCGACAAGATCTTTGGCAGTGAGAAGGCCTGTCTGATACATCAGCGAGTACACACCAACCCTCGACTTAGACGAGACCGAGATATCGACAAAAAGAAATATTACACACTCAAGAACATAGTGTGTGAAGTGTGTGGTAAACAATATGCTGTGAGTATATAACAGTAGAGAAACCTCTCATCATTCAATGTATTCACGGTGCGTGGGACTTGTGACCCAGGTGTAGGTTTAAGGGACTTATATTTTGAAACCAAACTCTTGATAATAACATATATATATATACTAAAAGACCTTGCTAACTAACCCTATAATCAGAAATATCTGTTACTTTTTTTTATTTATATTTTTGGAGTTTACCTATTAAAGACATAAATCTCCGTGTTTTGAAGTGCGACAGAATGATTGACATATTAGTTAGATGTCAAATCTAATGTCAAAAAAAAAGTTTGTATCAGCAACTACTAATAAATTAAAAATTAAGTAAAAAAGCATTGTCCAGCGGACAAAATTGTGAATCTAAACCATTCCCAGATCCCCTTGAACACACACAAAAAATTTAATAAAAATCGGTTCAGTCGTGTGAGAGAAGTTCAGTGACATACGCACTCACAGAAGAATTATATATATAAAGACATGTCAGTGGTTTTAAGCTACATATAAATATATATTTTAATTAAAATGAGTCCAATATCTAGTGGTCAAACACATATATTTTAATGGGCTCTCTATAGACAGAAGTTTTTAAATGGATTTTATTAATACAATTATTTTATACATCTGTATATATCTACCGATGACATAATTATATGGACATATTACTGAATACCATGGTTTTATTATAACAGACAATTGCCAGTAGTTTAGGTATAAAAACTGAAGTTTATATATATTTGTTACAGTCAAACGCAGCTCTTCGATATCATCAACGTGTCCACACCGGAGAGAGGCCGTACCGATGCTCCATGTGTCCCAAGAGCTTCACCATGCCCCTATTCCTACAGGTAACGGAAATATATCTGACCACACACTTATGTGACATGAAATAAGGACTCAAATCAACAAAATCTAATGTATTAGTTATACTTCATCATCAGCCTATCAGAGCCCACTGCTGAGCTTCTCACATGGAGAAGGTTTGAGCATTAATCACCATACACACTCAAGACGGGTTGGTGATTTCAAACTTATAATTTGATTAAGTCCATGTTTCCTCACGATGTTTTTCTTCATCAGTCAGTGATGTCTAAATACTTTTAGTTATGCTTGCTAGGTGTTGTTATAATAATAGTATGTCAAGTGTAATGTAGACAGATCACTTTATTATATTAGTTGCTGTCAATCAGTTTGATACTTAGACATACATACATGACTTTAATATACATAGTTTTATTGAATATTACTTAAGAAATTTGTATATACATATATATACTAGCTGACCTGGCAAATGTTTTGCCATATAAAAAATAGGGGGTTGATGAAGAAAAAGGAATAATTTTGTATTGTATGTATGTTCTAATTCCACATAATACAAAAATTATATATTTTGTCTAAAAATAAAAAATTAAGGATGATCACTTAGGGGCATGAAAAATTAGTAGCCGATTCTCAGACATACTGAATACTTATATAAAATTTGATAAAAATCTGTAAAGCAATTTCAGAGGAGTACAGTAACTAACATTGTGGCATGGAAATAATATATATGCATATATTTTTTCTAATTTTTTTGAGTATTTAATTAATTTCTTTATATAACTTGTGTCTAAATGATTTTATTCCTTCAATGTTACAGATTCACACTCGAACTCATACCGGAGAGAGGCCGTATGAATGTCAGCACTGTCCGAAAGCTTTCAGCAACAAGGCAGCCTTACTGAGACATGACAGGGTAAGAAATAGATATATTATGTACCAAGATAAGTTGGGAACCTAGTGGTTAAAAGGACTGCTTCATGCATGCGGACGCGGGTTCGATTCTGGGAATTACCAATGTGATGTTCCGAGTCATATGTACTTTATAAGAGTATTTACTATTTAGACATTACTGATTAATGCATTACAACAATTTAAAAAAAATTGCCAAAACTATTCACAACATGTAAGGCAGACCCTGGCTAAAGCTGTAAAATTGACAGGAAGAAGATGTACCAAGTGATAAAGTGGTCATTATAAAAAATGTCTACCATATAATTCAAACTTTAATATCTATCTCAACTTGTAAACCAAACACTATTTTAATTAAATGTATCATGTATCATGCTGATGAAAAGTTGATTTACATTAAGTACAATGTCCATTCAATCTCTACTAATATTATAAATGCGAAAGTAACTCTATATGTCTGTTACGCTTTCACGACTAAACCACTGAACTGATTTTAATGAAATTTGGTCCAGACATAGAGTTGACCTTGAGAAAGAATTTAAAATAGTTTTTATCCCAGACTTGAAAGGTTCTCTTGGTAACGCGATATAACCGAACTCCACGCGGGCGAAGCTGCGGGCGGAAAGCTAGTATATATATATTGGTAACCTCTTCGCACGTGACGCTCGAATTCTTGTCATGTGTTGCCAAGTGGTCTTTCAGACAGTCGTCATCATTGAAACCCTCGCCGCACTGAGGACACGGTCTGAAAACAAACATTCATATGAAAAATATTTAATAATGACACACGAAAAGTCACTTGTGTCCGACAAGTTAAAGGTCCACCTCTATCATGAGGGCGCGGGTTTGATCCTGACAAGTACCAATGTGATGTTCCGACATGTACTTTATATAAGTTTGTTTGTTGTATAAGTTGTCCTCACAAAATGTTCTTTAGTGGCCTGTCATTATGTAAACTAAGTATATGTATGTATATATGTCCCAGGTCCACACGGGCGTCAAGCCATATGAGTGCCCCCAATGCGGAAAGTTCTTCACTCAGTCTAACTCTATGAAGCTGCATGTGAGGACCGTGCATCTAAAACTACCGGCTCCTTACAAGAGTAAGAACAGGAAGGGGAAGAGTAGGAACGGTGAGGACAAACATACACACACACACACACACATATATACAGGGTGACTGGTGAATTACTATCAATATTTAAGGAGAATACACGGTACATGATTCTCATTCGAATTATGTAAAAAAAAAAAATAGGTACTTAATTTTTGACCAAATTTCCGTATAAATAAATAAAGTGTGGACGCGTGTGTGTCTGTGTGCGTGTATACCTAATCTGTAGGGTGTTCACACGATGCGTAATAAATTAGATAACTTTTGGTTAACTTTACTTAGAAGTTTATTAATATTTATGTTATATTAATTTTTATTTTGTCATATATGATCGTCAAATATCACGTCCTCAAGTATCGATAGTAATTCACCAGTCACCCTGTATATATTACTATTCGCCAATAGATGTCAGGAGTCATATTTTAAAAGACACCTTTTTGTATTTTTTTTTAAATAAAACAAAATTTTCTAAAATTGATTCCTAGCTAGATCGATTTATCGCCCCGAAATCCCCTACATACTAAATTTCAAATCGTTGGAGCGGATTCCGAGATTCCAAGAATTACAAGAATTGCTCATTCAAATATATATATACAGGGTGACTGGTGAATTACTATCGATACTTAAGGACGTGATATTTGACGATCATATATGACAAAATAAAAATTAATATAACATAAATATTAATAAACTTCTAAGTAAAGTTAACCAAAAGTTATGTAATTAAGTACGCATCGTGTGAACACCCTACAGATTAGGTATACACACACACACTCACACGCGTGCTGCGGCGTGGTGTTGTATCAGCACGCCGCCGCACGCGTCCACACTTGGAACGTGTCCACACTTTATTTATTTATACGGAAATTTGGTCAAAAATTAAGTACCTATTTTTTTTTTACATAATTCGAATGAGAATTATGTACCGAGTATTCTCCTTAAATATTGATAGTAATTCACCAGTCACCCTGTATATGTAAAAGATAATCTTGAGCTTTATTTCTCTTGATGAGTAGGAACATGTCAAAGAAATTAATAACACTTGCACTTAAACATAGTTTTGTGTATGTTTCACAATCTTTCTGAGCTACATATCTACACTACAGATGAATGTCTGAATTTGTATTTGAATACTGAACTCATAATGATTAAACTATTATTCCAGCGTCGTCACTGCAGGAGACATTGGATGGTTTACATTCTGAAGAGTTTGTGTCTCAAGTGAAGACGGAGAGGGATTATGAAGAGATATACCAAGAGACGGACGGATATCAGGTTGATATACTATTACTAGCTGCGCCCCGCGGTGTTACTCGCGGATTTCTGGGATGTAAAGTAGCCTATGTGTTATTCCTGGACGTCATCTTCCTGTATACAAAATTTTATCAAAATCAGTTCAGCCGTTTGAGCGTGAAGAAGTAACAAACATACACACACACTCACAAACTACCACAATTATAATATTAGTAGGATATATATTCATGTCTATATATTCATGTCTCTGTGTTATAGTCCCAGAATAATGAATCAATATATTTTTAAGAAATCTTTTATATTGTCCAGAACTAATATTAATACATTATTGGAAAGTACTTCGAAGGCAGCCCTAGTAGGTTCTTTTAAAATTGTTAGGTTTTATCAAACTTAACACAAAAGGGTTTTCCATGACTACCAAGATCTTGCTGTACAATGCTTTTGTGTATAGTCAATTGGAATGTGTATTGTGTGGAATCCCATTTATACTATTCATTCTCAAAGTGTTGAGAGTATTCAGCGCCACTTCACTAGGCATCTTGCCTTCCATTCAAATGAGTTCTCGCATAGACAACCATATGTTCAAAGGCTTGTGCATTTCAAAATGCTGTCTCTTCGTGACAGAATGCGTGCAGGGTCTCTGCTTCTTGCATAAAATACTTAATGGTGATATTCAGTACAGTGGCCTAGTCGAACGCTTTTAAATGTTCCTTGTAAATGACCAAGGAATTCTATTCCGAACACATTTCACATTCATCGCATTAAAACTAACTTTGGATCCCAGTCTCCCGTAGTGGATTTAGCAAAATTTTTAAATGATATTTCCAAAAAATTACCAAGTCTAGACCTATTTAGTGATTCATTTTATGTATTTAAACAAAAAATTATTGACTATTTTTTTTTCTAACTTAGTTTTCCTAAGTTTATATAGTAATATTTTTTATTTTGTGATTTTTATTTTATCTTTAAATTAGTATGTAAACTTTTTAATTGCACTGTTTATAGTTAGTAAATGTTATGTACACTTATCATTGACATATATATCTGATGTTTTAATATAGTCACTGTAAATATTCAATATGTACGTTGTAAGTTTGCTTGTTGTAAATAAATACATAAATAAATTTAGTAGAGAGAGCAGCTTGTACGGTGGAGGTGATCGTTTAACGTTAGATAGGGTCCCTTAAACCTACACCTGGGACACAAGTACCAGTCACTGTTGAAGCTCCTCTCACTACAACGATGGACCCGACACACGCACCGTGAATATATTGAGTGATGAGAGGATTCGTCTCTTATAATTTAAGTATAATAATGATTTGTTTGTAACTTATTTTGTCAGGTTTATCAGAGTGAAGAGAATCCGTACGGAGAGATCAAGGTGGAGAGTTCAGAAGTAGAGATGTATGACAACGAGGAACAACTGGAAGTATTGTACGAGGAAGTGTATGAAGTACAGGAAGTGTAGGCCGGGGGTCTGAAGTACAATGAGTGAAGCACAAGCCGTATGAAGTGAAGTTCACCTCGGGTTGAAACGACTGAAGTTTAATAGGCCTGTGTATTGGTGATTTGAACACAGCTGGAGTTTTAGTGTTTGTAAATAATATTGTAAGTTGATAAACAGTTGTTGTATTAGATGAAGCTGTAATTGGGAGATGTAATGTAATAAATAATGTTTGTTTTCTGAGTTCATTAACTTTATTTAATATATGAGTTGTATAAATGATTTCTAAGTATATATTTGTTTTATTATCCTCAAAATACTTCATGCGAACACTTGGACTTGTTTTGGATGAACTATTCTATAAGAAGTAACACATTCTCTATAAATTATTTTTGTTCAATTATACCAGTAAAGTAAATAATTTGTTTTCATTTTAATACTTACACCTTCCATGAAAATTTTCGACATCTTGTTTTTATTTCTATGTTTTGTATTCATTCGATATATTCTGTTCAAAGATTTTAATTTAGTTATAATCTTTGTTTATCTACTTAGTGTCTTGTTTTTTGACAAATCCCTTTATAGATATAAAAACATTATTTTGGCGGAAATATAAGGAAATCATAATAATTCGAAAAATAGAATGTCGACTATTTTGTTGAGTTTACTTAATTAATACTTTCCCTATTTGTTGTAAATTCATTAAATCATATACATATGTATTTCTTTATCAATTTAATATATAAAAGTCGCTTAGACTATTATATATGTATTTTTCTTGTTCTATATGCTGGTAAATATATTGATACAAGAAAAAGCTCATCAATCCATAAAAAAACCTTTGTTTTTTATCCATATAAAAACATTAACATGGGCAGTATATACCACAATTTGACTGAAGCAATAATAGATTAAAATCTTGGTTAAATTCACAGTTATATCCAAATACACAGTTAAATCCAAATTCATAGTTTAAAAGGTTAAATAATTAAAATACATATGAATCAACAACTTTTAATATATATTACACAGAACTTCGTATGACATTTTATTGCTGTATCCACTATCAACTATACAAAGTGTTATCTTCTCCTTCCTGGCAATTTCCCAGCTTTAGCCAGGGTCTGCCTGACTATACAAAGTGTTATAACATATAAAATTCATTTTCCAATTCATATTTACATAATTTTGGTCATACACATGTTTAGGATTGACACCGAGCATTAATGATTGTATTAAATTTATATATTATACATAGAAATTAGTAACAAAATTATTTAAAATACTTATATATATGATGAAAATAATTAAATGTCATATAAATACAATTAAAAACTAAGATAATTCATATTATACATAGAATATTAACATTTTATTTTATTATATTTGTTCTTTTATAATATGACAGGTGACAATCCCATACAAGACCGTCGTTGTGCAGTCTGTCCGTGTTATTTACATGAGAGTGAACAAAAACATTAATTTACATATATAATACATTATTTATATACATTATAGAGATCTATGTGTCGCTCCCCGGACAACATCTTGCTTGTGATCCAGGGCTCCAGTCATTTTGGGGCTCCGACTATCTGAAAGTAGATAAATATTATCACTCCTCACTAATTATACTATTGTATTGTACACAAGTTGTGAGATGTCTTCTTTTTCTACCTGGCAATTTCCCAGCTTTAGCCAGGGTCTGCCGTATATAGTGTGAATAGTTTTAGCTAATTGTTTTAACCGGCCGCCTGCCTGACATCAACCCTCTTTTGGGAATGCATTAATCAGTGATGTCTAAATACTCTTATACATATGACTGAACAATCACATTGGTACTTGCTAGAAGCCAGGTCTGTATTTTTATTAACTATTTTGGTTTGTATCGGTGTTCTTAATTTGCTCGTATTTATCTAGTAATGTTGACGTATTTTATGAGTGGTGTTTATGTATGTATGTTTTGATCGAGTGATGTTGATATATGTTATGAGTGTTCTGTCTGTATGTATGTATGTTTTATTCACCTCAAGTCTCACGTGTACGCGGGGCTGTGTCCTCTGCTGCGGCTGTACGCGCCCTCGGCACTGATATATAGAGATGGAAATATAGATTAGAAAGAACGGGAATAATGTAAGATAAAACAAATTATCTTTATATATACATATAATTCTTCTGTGAGTTTGTATGTCACTGAACTTCTCTCAAACGACAGGACCGATTTTGATGAAATTTTTTGTGTGTTCAAGGGGATCTGGGAATGGTTTAGATTCACAATTTTGTCCGCTGAACAATGTTTTTTTAATTAATTTTTAATTTATTAGTAGTTGTTGATACAAACGTTTTCTTTTGACATTAGATTTGACAACTAACTAATATGTCAATCATTCTGTTGCACTGTCAGAACATTGAGATTTATGGCTTTAATAGGTAAACTTCGCCGGGTCTTCTAGTATATATATATACAGGGTGACTGGTGAATTACTATCAATATTTAAGGAGCATACTCGGTACACGATTCTCATTCGAATTATGTAAAAAAAATAGGCACTTAATTTTTAACCAAATTTCCGTATAAATAAGTAAAGTGTTGACACGTTCAAAGTGTTCAAGTGTGGACGGACGCGTGCGGCGGCGTGCTGATACAACAACACGTCACGACATGCGTATGTGTGAGTGTCAGTGTATACCTAATCTGTAGGGTGTTCACACGATGCGTAATTAATTACATAACTTTTGGTTAACTTTACTTAGAAGTTTATTAATATTTATGTTATATTAATTTTTATTTTGTCATATATGATCGTCAAATATCACGTCCTCAAATATCGATAGTAATTCACCAGTCACCCTGTATATACATACCGATAGTCCCTCTGTCCGTAAGCGGCGGGGCTCCGTCGCGGGCTGGGACTGCGCCCCACGGGCTGGGGACACGGCCGAGGGGGCGCTGGAAACATGAAACGATTATAGGTTTATAAACACATAGTAAATATTTTGATAATTGATTTGAGGTTGACCGCCTTTCGCTCCACCAATGTATTTTATGTTAAAGAATATATTTTTTATTTTTATGTATATTTGGTGTGCAATAAAGAGTTAAATAATAATAAAATATTTTGATAATAACACGTTATAATATTCGTCTTTTTCATTCAATATTTTATGAGAAAAATTATATGGTTAGTATTGTATTTGTATAAATATTGAACACTTGATGTAGTAGAAGGTTATGTCTATGTGTGTGTATATCTCTCTCTCTGTCTGTGTATGTGTGTGTGTGTGTGTGCATGTCTTACGTTGCCTCTCCCTCCTCCTGGGTCCAGCCACAGCCAGAGAAGGACTGGGAGTAGCGCGGGGTCTGGACGTTGAGAACTCTGTAACAAATAATGTTCAAAGAAATATGTTAATACAAATGAAGATTATGTATGGTGACTAGTTGACATGAGTCAGAACTAGATGGCGTTGTCATAGATATAGATCAATATAACTAATTAATTTTGATGTCTTTTTATATTAAACTCTATGTATAAATATTATCAATACCTGTTCCATTCACTCCACTTCTCCTAGCAGCTTGAAGCGAGGAGTACGCTGAAACAAAATATATTTATATATAAAAAAAATACAAATAGAAATCGCACTATAAATCTTAGGTCTCAATATCATAATCTTTTATGTACAGGCAACTACAGAACTGCCTTATTAAGAAGAAACATTGACCATGTCCTCTACTATAATATATAACAAAATACCTAATGAGATAAAAGAATTAGCTTATATAAAATTTAAAAAACTTTTGTTTTCTTTTTTAGTTAACAAGTGCTTTTTACTCAGTAGTAGAATTTCTAATGGATAACACAATTTTGTAAGAAATTGCTAAATAAAAAATGTATAATTTAAATAACAATCATTGTATAACAAATCATCGGATATATAATATAATTGTATGGTTAATTTTAATTATGTAATTGAGTTTAATTTATAATTCTAATTGTACGAGTATTGTTAATTTGATTTTGTTATTTTATTTAAGTAATATGTAGTTAATTTTAATCTGTAAAACACTTAATATGAATTTATATGTAATTATAATTGCATGGTTAAATAATTTGTAGTTTTAATTGAATAGTTAATTTTAATTTATAATTTAAACCTAATATTTGCATGCTTTATGGTAGAATGTACCTGGAACTTATACTAAAAATCTATTTGTACACCTATATTCTGTACCTACATTCAGAGCACATAAATATTATTATTATATCTTCTATGGAGTTACAGAATGTGTTTACACTATAGACATACATACATACATTCAATATCTATCATTTAGTGAAGTTGGTTATAAATACATATAATATATTACCTCTTATGACAGATAACTCTATCGCTGCCCGCAGTTCGTCGTGCTCACCCTACAAAGAACAAATATATATAAAATCAATCTAAAACTTCACTTAAATATTATTATTAACATATAATTAGTTAATTTCTTTGAGTTGATATATTAGCTAGTATAAAGAATTATTATGTATATATTATATTAATAAATATTTCTTATATTATATTTCTTTCTATATATATATACCTGTGTTTCTCTCCGCCTCGCATCTATAGCTGCTCTCTGTGCTCGCGACCCTGCACACACACACAATATTTAGAAACTTATATTATTAATATTCATTTTATAGTTTGTCTGTGCAGTGTATAATTTTTCATTATATTATAGTAAGTAATTTGATCGCCTAAGCATGCATGTATGTACGTATGTGTATGTATATAATAATATACACATATGTATGTATGTGTGTGTATGTATATGTACCGTGTCTCGGCGCATGCGCAGCTCCGTCGCCCAGGTCCAACTGCAGCACTCCAAGTTCTGAAAACATGTTAGTTAACATATTATAATGTGAACTACCACCAGGCCACTAGCATTTGGATCTACAAGAGTTACTTAAGAACTACTATATATATATATATATATATCTACATCTGTATTCTGTGTGTTTACCACAAGTATTCTTGTCTGACTACATCTTGTAAGTAACTTATACTGATATTTACAACACGTGACTCATGTATGGAAAACTATCAAACTATACGTGTGACGTGTGTACAAACCTATGGTAAGTATTACATACTGTTATGAGAATCAAAGTCGAAGGGGTTTTAAAAAAAGATTTAGTGTGAAAAGTAGACACGACTTTTTTCAATGGATGATCGATTTATACTGAAATGTGCTGACGAGGCAGGATTAAGGTAAAAGTCAGTAGATTAGGGTACATCGGGAATATTTAATGCTACGGCCACACCAAACGAGCTCAAGTGGCGGTACATCTAAGACATTATAATTATAATTATAGTGATAATGTGCATTCACGTCAAACCGTAGTGTAGCCGCAGCATAACTGTACAATCGTACCTAAATAATGTAGCACCTGACAAAAATATTGTTCTTGTAATGATTATGATACACATACTTAGGAATATAATCAAGCTAAAAATAATTTTAGACTGTAACTCATATGTAATCCGGATTATATTCTGTTTGTGTGCCTAAATAACTGTGTGTGTGTGTGTGTGTGTGTCTGTGTGTGTGTGTCTGTGTGTGTGTGTCTGTGTGTGTGTGTCTGTGTGTGTGTGTCTGTGTGTGTGTGTCCGTCTCACCGGGCAGCGTGATGTTGTTATCTCTCTGCGCCGCGTGTGTGTGTGTGTGTATGGGCGCGTGTATCTGCGGGTAGTCCCTGGCCGTCAGTAGGTGAGTGTTCGCGTTAGGAGCCATCGCCACGTCCGGGACCGCCGCTGAGAGGCGTCCTCCCGACCAACTGCCGCTCCTGTAAATAATATACATATATTAATTCAATATCTTTATATATATAATTCTTCTGTGAGTGTGTATGTCACTGAACTTCTCTCAAACGACCGGACAGATTTTGATGAATTTTTTTGTGTGTGTTCAAGGGGATCTGGGAATGGTTTAGATTCACAATTTTGTCCGCTGGACAATGTTTTTTTAATTAATTTTTAATTTATTTGTAGTTGTTGATACAAACGTTTTTTTTTACATAAAATTTGACAACCAACTAATATGTCAATCATTCTGTCGCACTTCAAAACACGGAGATTTATGGCTTTAATAGGTAAACTCCAAAAATATCAATCAAAAAACGTAACAGATATCTCTTGATTATAGGGCGATACGAAGTTCGCCAGGTCTTCTAGTATAAAAACAGTATCACTTAATTTTTTTACATACATTGAGTAAAATATTACATATATGTAGTTACAAAATTTGTCACTTAGATCGCGCTATTAAAGTATCTGTTCATTTCTCTAAGTTAGCATAATATTTTGTATTGATTGAATTAAAAATATGAGTGAATAATATATACGTGTCGAATCAACAAGTCTTTCATTTCAAACGTACATATTGGAGTGTATATCATTTCTTGTCACATAATGTAACTTATGTAATGAATATTTTGCTTATTATATATTATAATTATTTCTTTTTAACAGTCTTTGTGGAAATAACTGTTGCTAAGTAAAGTATCACTTACAAAAATGCCAAGAAACTATCTGCAGTGTTTACACCTATACACTGTGGATTACCTCTGACACATTTAGAGAACATAGGACTCAAAGATATTTGTATCACTAGCTTTCCGCCCGCAGCTTCGCCCGCGTAGAGTTCGGTTATATCGCGTTTCCAAGAGAACCTTTCAAAAGTCGGAGATAAAAACTATCCTATGTTCTTTATCAAGATCAACTCTATGTCTGTACCAAATTTCATTAAAATCAGTTCAGTGGTTTAGTCGTGAAAGTGTGACAGACAGAGTTACTTTCGCATTTATAATATTAGTAGGGATGTATGTATGTATATGTCACCTATGATGTGTCTCTATCGGCCTGGCCGGTAGTTCCCTGCGGTATGTTCCCGGTCGACTCTCTGTAAATACAAACAAACAAATAAATAAATAGTAAATATATTGTTAACTCGTTATAATCTTAACATACAACATATAGTAATATATACCTATAAATGTATATTTTTCATAAATAAATATATAAATAGTTACATTATTACATACACATTCTTTTAAACACTAATATAACACAAGACATATATTCTATAATAAATGTTGTACACACAAATATATATTTTATATGTTTGTGTGATGTATATATATATTACATACCTATAGAGGTATGAGTGGTTGTAGAACCACACCTCAATGACCCCGAGTTTGACCTGAAAATAATATAAAATTAATTAAATTACGTCTACTATAAGAAATGCAAGCTCAATTAACGAATTTAAATCTCAACTTTAACAAAATATTTTAGAAAATAATTGATATACCAACGATGTAACACACTCGTAATAATATCTTACTATCTTTAATTGAGTTCCAAATAATCTGGCGACTACTTTTGTATTTTCACTTTTGTATGTATGTTCTCATGTAAGTGACTATGACTTTGAGAATAAATTCTTTAAACCTAACTACTGAACCGATAATGATGACACTATGATTATACGTCTAGTTGGTTTTCATAATCGTTTGATGGACATGTTAAGATAACTGATAGACATGTAGCCCACCACGCTTTAATTCAGCGTAGTGGGTTATACTGGCAGAATATTTTTTATGACTTAACACCAGTTAGCATCGTTAAACTGAACTGCAAACTGGCCGCGTGTCTCGTGTAAACTGTGTGTATTTCGTTTTACGGTATCACTCGTGGTAAGGATATAGGTCTGTCTGTCTGTCTGTCTGTCTGTCTGTCTGTATATGCGTGTATCTGTCTGTGTGTGTACCTGCAGCAGTCCTCGTCCACGTCGCTCCTGCCGGGTGCCGCCTGTACAGACACCTCCCTGTACACACCACGCTTATATCATTATACATCACTATTAATATTGTCTCCCTCTCTCTCACTCTTTACGTGTATCTATATATCTATCTCACTCTCTCTCTGTCCGTACCTGTCGTCTTCGTCGTTGAGCAGCAGCTCTGCCACAGCGTCAGGTAGTGATCGTTCCCGGACAGCTCTCAGGGCCAACTGATGACACACGGACAACATTAACATAACATATATATATAATAACATATATGTATGAACATTGGTGAAGAGATAAATTAGAAGGAGACGGACATGGGATGTTTAATACTGTTCGATGGAAACAGAAAATACTTAATAGACTCCAATGTCTGGTTATTTACGACCTCTAGGGCGGAACAGAGTTCGCTCGGTCAGCTACACATATTTTACTAAAGACGAAATTAACGCGGACGAAGTCGCGGTCAAATACTAGTATATATACTATTTCCCCTACCTGTCTGTTGACGGGCGTGGTGTCCGCCGCGTGTAACCTCAGCGCCCTCTGTGCGGGCGGAGCGGCTCTCAGTTCGTGAAGCCTCGCCCTGAGGGAGTACATGAGGCGCGGGGGCACGCACGCGCGGACACCCTCTGTACTACACGTGCTGCTGGCTGGAGATACATGAGATACGTGAGATATATGAGATGAGATAGATGAGATGAGAATATATACAAGTATGGTGATGACATGTAGTATAGGTTACTATACGTACTGCTTGATGGAGATACAAGATATATATGAGGTAGAACAGAGGAGAATAAGGCAAGTAAAGTATGATAGGAGTCATTATAGTTACTTCATATAAAATTTTATAGCTTAATATATATTGTTAATAATAATCATTTATTAATCTATCACCCCTCAAGCCACGTATATAAGGGGCGCTGTTACTGACAATCGGACACTTTATGTTCTCAACTATTGTTAAGAGAAGAAACTATGAACTAATTGTTTTGTTTTTATAATACCATAAACGTGTTTTCTTTTCTAAATATATATACAGTAGAAACTCAATTATCCCGACTACGGACAAGTCCGAAAAAAAAATGTCAAACCTTAAGAGAGTGATGTTGTTGAGAGTGGCGTACGTCAAATAACAATTAACAAATATTCTAAACAAAATTATACTTATTATTTTAATTTATGATCACCAATTGCAAATTATCAAATACATATTGCAATTTTATTTCATGATTAAATCTTTTTTTGGTACATACATATATTTGTATAAAAAAATATATCCTTTAATTATTTATTAATAAACATTGATTTTCGTTGATATGTATTTGTTACTTTTTTTAAAAAAATAAACTACATACTACATATGCACAAAACCGTCTTTTCTTCATACATTCGATTATCCGAATGCCTATCGACAACAATTAGTCCGGTTAATCGAGGTCTTACTTTACTAATATTATAAATACTTTCACGCCTAAACCACTGAACTGATTTTAATGAAATTCGGTACAGAGATAGAGTTGACCTTGAGAAAGAACATAGGATAGTTTTTATCTCAGACTTTTGGAAGGTTCTCTTGGAAACGCGATATAACCGAACTCCACGCGGGCTGACAGCTAGTATATATATAAAGGTAGTATATATGACCAGGTTTTGTATATTATCTATACTATATATATTATTTCCCTCACCGTCCGGGTCGTGCCTGGCCCTATGTGTCGTCACCATGTACAGTGTGTCAGGTATTCGGTGAGCGTACCGCTGTCGCCGAGCACGGGCCAGCTCCGCCTCGGGTACCTCTTGGTCTTCGAGCAACGCCTGGAGGCAACCATATATATATATAAAAATTGTATTATTTTCAAACAATTTTGCTATTCTTACACAATAATTTTGTTTATGTTTCTATGGTTATAGTATAAACAATGATTATCTATCTCGATATATAAAATGTAAGGTAATAATTGTAACATTTCAGTGAGTATGTAATATATTTCTTAAAGCGTAGTACTTTTTCTTTATTCGATGCATTTCACACAAGAATAATGTTCTTGACCTTAAATCGTTCACACTTTATGTGGTAGATAAGGAATTATTTTGTTATATGTGCATTTCATATATTTTACAAATTATAATATACTTACTTATATTATTTAACTCACATAGGTTAATTAAGCATGTTAATTTTATAGTATTGTTTTTTATTTTATTTACTATACATTTCGAAATCGCTATTTTAGCAGTTATTTTCATTTTTTTATGTCAGATGTTTGTTTGCATATTTTTTGTAATGGGTGCAGTGAATGTGCGGGGAAGTTAAATATTAAAAGTAATTATTTTTATATATATAATGACTATAAATAGCCTAAGCATTTATTATCAAAACTGCGGTGGTCTTAAATCGAAATTGAGTGATTTCCGAGTTAATAATATGTCAAAGATTATGACATCGTAATTTTACATATATGTACATAATTTTAGATATACATAGTTCAGAATTAATAGACGATAGGTATTAAATAGTATGCAATCGAGATTTTCATCAAACATAGACTTAGTGGCTATTCATAATAATATTATGTCCAACAGGTTTTCAAATCGGGAAAATGCTTGTTTTGAAGAAATTTTCGTTACAATTACTTTATGCAATAAGAAAATTATATTAGGAACCGTTTATATTCCAACTATCATTATTAATAACACTCGCAGTCCTGTTTTTAAATAACATTGTTTAAGAGTTTAGTTTAAACGCTAAATATTCTCTATAAATTTACCTTCACATCCTTAAATTAAGTTTATTTTATTATTTGTATACATCGCTTTTACCAAGTGTATTATTAGAGATGCGGCCCGAGCGGCGTCTCGTTTTAATTTATCTATATTTCTTAGTGAGAAATGTTTAAAGACTCAGGTATTATTTGTCTTTAATTTATTGTGTTATTGTTTATATTTTTATTATATTCCTATGCTTTGTTTTTTTCCAATAAACTAAAAATAATATACATATATAATCCAACCTTGATCTCATCGAGGTAGGGCAGAAAGCACCTCGGCGGTCTATGAGCGAGCCAGGCCTCCGCCCCCACGGCGCCCGGGGCTACGGCCAGCCCGCGACGGACAGCCTGCAACGATATATATAATAACATATATTGAATATATAATATTATCTAGCATATACAAATAAGATGAATTTATTAATATGTCTGCGGAGATCATTTATAAGAAATAATTTTGTTATCTATATTTAGTTTATTCTATACTCGTGTCTATTGTCTATGCTCTCTGCTAACGTATGAAGAATAAATTATCCAGTTTGGTTCAACAGAAAATCACAATTTCATTTAATACAAGAAAAATCCTATACAAAACCTAAATAGTTAACAACATAGATAATTGTACAACGATACACATTACAATATAAGTATACAAGATATTTTTTATGTCAAACGAGCAGACGGCCTACTTGATTCCGCAACAGAAAGGTTGCTGATGCATTGTCAAACTTGATTAATTCGGAATGAGAGGAAAAGGTGGGAATAGGGAAATTGCAACCGTCTCTGTCACTCATCAGATCAAACGCAGCCAGTAAAGGCTACTTCACGCCGATCTTCAGTCAGAGGGTGGTACTTCCCCGGTCGAGACAGAACATGTTTAAGCTATAGTAAAATGACCTCAGCTAGGCTTTACCACCTACAAAAATGATGTCTCAAACGAGCGTGGTGATTAATGCTCTAACCTCCATATGAGACGAAGTGTCTAAGACGAGACGTATCAAACATATAATTGGCTCACTCAATCATGAGTCAATATTAATTTTACGCATAATTGAGTATATATTTTACAGATCACTCAACATATAAATTTTACTAGCAAATAAATCATTACGACACATGTATCTTCATTGTACATATCTAAACATTCAAAATTGAGCTTTATCGCTATAAACGGAGGTCTTTTTTTAGCACTGAGCTCTGATAGAATGATGATGATGTCAGATAGTCAGTGGTGGCCTAATGGTTAGAGGGCCCGCCTCTCGTTACTGAGCGCGGGTTCTGTCCTGGCCCGGGTAAGTACCAATGTGATATTCCGAGTCATATGTACTGTCTAAGAGTATTTAGACATCACTGATTAATGCATTCCCAAAGAGGGTTGATGTCAGGCAGGCGGCCGGTCGTAAAAACAATTAGCCAAAACTATTCACAACATGTAAGGCAGACCCTGGCTATAGCCGGGAAAATGCCAGGTAGAAGAAGAAGAAGATGATGATGATGATAATAATGATGTTAATGATAATGATGATGTTATCATTCCATCACCTGTTGCAGCAGGTCACAGTCGTGCGGCAGGTGCTCCAGCCGTAGTAGCGGCACCAGTGCGGCGGCCGCCTCCCGCAGCGCCTCGTCCGCCGGCCCGCGGCGACGTCTCCTTGATCTGCCGTCCCTCCTCGTGTGCCACACTATATTCGGCTCTATTGACATATAAATACGGTTTAAATTAATATTTGATGTAAAACTTTGTTATACGCACATAGGTATATGTATAAGTAAATAGTAAGTTACATATTCATTGTTTAAAATGTGTAACATCTTATCTCATCTTCATATATAAATCTATACTAATATTATAAAGCTGAAGAGTTTGTTTGTTTGAAAGCGCTAATCTCCGAAACTACTGGTTCAAATTAAATAATTCTTTTTGTGTTGGATAGTCCAGTTATCGAGGAAGGCTGTGGGCTATATAACATCACGCTACGACCAGTAGGAGCAAAGATATAATGGTAAATGTGTAAAAAACGGGAGAAATTATTTCATCTTTGAGGCCTTCCGTTGCGTGCGCCGTGAAAACGGTTCAAGATACACAAAAAATATGTATCAAAGAATAATAGCTCTTTTAATGATCTAAAAAACAGTCCGCGACAGTATATGTCTATCTATTAAGATTAACTCACAAAAACCGTTTTTATGCTACCTAATTTGGTCGAAATAATTTGTTTAAGTTGTATCAACATAATAATATTAATCTTTATTCAAATAAACAAATAAATATGTTGTTGAGAAAGAGTACTTCATTGTGAATTAAAAAAAACATAGGTTTTATCCTGAATATTCTACGGGAACTCGACCATTCCGAAAACCCCGCAAGCACGGGAACTATGTGGGAAGAACCAAAAATCTGCCGGAAGTCACTATTCCACGCGGACGAAGTCGCGGGCAAAAGCTAGTCATGTATAAATGTCGAATCATTGCATATGTAAAGCAGTGTATCGGAAATCTCTCTCAGAAATAAATCGTGAACTATTTAGTGTCTTTTTTATCCTCAACATACTAAGCCCAGCAATAACTTTATTACGAACACTCAACTTGGGTGTATGGGTAAACCACACATCATTTAAATTTGATAGTTTTATAAGTATTTATAAGTATCGGATTTAGGTAATAAGAACGACTTATTTATTTGGACGCTTTATTGATAGTGACTAAATTATGACAATGCTTACATTTATATTTGCTTATTAATGTGTACGTACAATGAAATTATGTTAATGTATGGGTGAACCCATACGTTGGAAGTAAGCTGGTGAATGCTTTAGGAAAAGTGTGATCGGGTTAAAAGAACGAAAGTTAAATATAAGTTAGATAGAAAGAGTGTTACGGCTCCTATATTACTGTAGAGGCGGGTAAGAGCAGTGCGCGCACATTTATAGCCGGATCATATACATATAGTATGTGTGTGTGTCTGTCTGTCCGTGTGTACGTACCACTGCACGTCTGCGCGGGCGCGGCCCTCTCGGCCCACCTCATGACGGCCCGCAGCGCCTGCGCCTCGCTCGCCTGCAGGAAGGGCGAGGCGAGCGCGGCCGCCAGCGCAGCCCGAGGGACGCGCGCGGAGCCCGAGTGGGACATGATGGACGGGAACTCGTCGCGGAGGTAGCGGGTCGCTTGACTGGAAATAATACATAGTTAAACATAAAATATTCATTTAGAACTGATTATTTACAATCTAAAGTCACCTTTTAGTCACATTACCCGGGCATTATGAATATTGCCCAATGTACAATTTAGATAATGCTGTTTTCGATTACCCACTACTGTTAAAAGTTATTACATACAGTCCATTGCTTTTGTTTAATTATATTTCTAAGTAAGTTACAATTAAGGAGTCATAGTGAATACAAGTTGTTTGAGTTTAAAAAATCCTGATAAAATAAAAACAACCTTAAGTTGAAACACCCGATCAATCACTTGTCCCACGATATATATATATGTTATATAATTGGGCCGTTACTGTTTTTAATTTACGTTAACGATATTATTAACATCGAACTAAGTGGAAAACTTACGCTATACGCAGATGATACATCTCTTTTTTATTACGGCGGTTCTATACAGGAATTGATGGGTAAAGCTCAGAAAGATCTAGACGCACTGAGTGAGTGGCTACAATACAACCTTTTAACTATAAATATATCAAAAACTTCCTACATGATTTTCTGTGCAAAAAATAAACCTATACCAGACTACACACCTCTTAAAGTCAACGAAAACATTGTACAGCGCTCAACAAAAGAGAAATACCTGGATAGACGAAACTGGCTTTGGATAGACGAAAAGTTAACGTGGAAAGAACATATAAAGCATAAACTGTGTGCCCTAAGAAAGGTCTCAAATTGTATTCCAAATAAAGTACGAATGATTATATATAATAGCTTAGTCAAATCAAATATTGAATACTTAATACAAGTGTGGGGATCTGCTGCCAAGACCAACTTAATACCGTAACAAAGACTACAAAATAAACTTATTAAAACACTTTTCCATTATCCGTATTTAACTTCAACCAAAAAATTGTATAAAGAAACAAAATTGCTAAATATCAACCAACTATACACGTATTATGCTTGTATCCTAGTAAAAAAAATAATTACCAGTTCAATTCACACTAACATCAAAATTGATAAGAGAACAACTAAACATGAATTAAGAAGTAAAGATAAATTGAGGCTGGCTGGTGTACGTACAAAGTTCGGTCAAAAAACTACATTATTTGATGGAGTGCAGTTATATAACAATTTACCAAATAATATAAGTGAGGCAGAGAGTATGAATATATTTAAGACAAAGCTGAAGGAGTACGTAAATACAGTTTAGACGATAATAGTTTGTTTAGATACCGGCGCTCCAGAGGTGTTATATTGTAACTACATATTAATGTATCTATTAATCTCATTTCATGTAAACCCTGTGTTTTTATGAGAAAATAAACTCTTTAAACTTATATTACCGATGCACCCAGGCCGACGCATGTTTCGCCCCGCTCCATCTAATAATTGCCGGCAGCGTATCAGCCGTCAGAGCTCGAGCCAGCGCGTCCTCGCATCCCTGCGCTGCTATCGGCATTTCCAAGAACCTAGCCAACTCGTACAGACGGAACGCATCCTCTAGACTAGAGCGGGAACCACGCAACTGGAAATATATAATTATTATTTAATTTACTGGCTCATTACTACAGAGACTACCAACAGCATCCTAAATATGATATGTAACAGGCTAGATTGTACATATGTTAATCATTGCTGCGCCATCTCTAGTGGGATGGTGAAGCAATAATAAATACTAACGTAGTTTAAGTTTTATATTGTTACTAACAAATTGAGTCTTGTGTTGCTTGAATTTTAAATAAATAAATAAATAATAATATAGAGAATTTTGAATTTACACAGCCGAGACCATCAATAAGAAAATGTTATGCTTATATATTGAATAAAGTTATTTGAGTTTGAGCATGACTGTACTTTATTAAATCCTTTTTATATATCAAAGTTGATAACTTTATTTATTAATTCATCCTGGTTGATGCAGGCAAAGGTTTAGCCTGTATTTTATTAAATCATTTCTATATATCAAAGTTATAACTTTATCATAAAAGGAGTTTTGGTGTAAATTAACTACACTTGTTGTTTATATCGTAGACTATTTATATATTGAGCTGACACAGATGATAAAACATTAAGTAAAGTATTATATACATGGGATTAGTATGGAAAGATAAAATTTAATAATTAGTTCAACAAAACTGCAGTTATATCTTATTCTCCTTTTTCTTGAAAATAAATAAATAAATTAATGAATTAATTTTATTTTATACTTTTTATAATCTGTGCTTATTAAAAATTATTGAAACTTCACATATGTATATTATTTTTTCTTCTTCTTCTTTCTGGCAATGTCCGAGCTTTAGCCAGGGTCTGCCGATGTATATTATTTTTTATTAATATTAGTTATTAGTTATATATATGTATGTATATTTACCGTTCCCGAGCCAGAGGCTGTGTTGGAGTTGCTCTTTGATATCAGAGAGAGGTCCACCTGAAAATAACAATATGAAGCTTTACAATCATTACATATAACATATATATGGAACTAGCTTTCTGCCCGCGGCTTCGCCCGCTTGGAGTTCGGTTATATCGCGTTTCCAAGAGAAAATTCAAGTCTGGGATAAAAACTATCCTATGTTCTTTCTCAAGGTCAACTCTATGTCTGTACCAAATTTCATTAAAATCAGTTCAGTGGTTTAGGCGTGAAAGCGTAACAGACAGACAGTGTTACTTTCGCATTTATAATGTTAGTAGGGATTATCATTAAAAATATTTGGATATGCGAGTACATATAAAATACAATACAAAATCCCCGGGGATATTTGTTTTGGCCTCCAGTCCAGATATATTTTTGTATTCGCGTATTTTAAAGCGCGTTGTGGTGATAGAGCTTACGATCCCTTGGGAAACCAACATCCCCAAAGACCATACCATCAAGGTCAACAAATATTACGAGCTCACTAACGAACTCACTCGAAATAGGTTCGTCATTGATTTGTACGCGGTAGAAGTGGGAGCGAGAGGTATAACAGATAAATCTCTCTACAACATACTAAAAGACTTGGGCTTGTCCAGAACTAATATTAATGTATTCTTGGAAAGTACATCGAAGGCAGCCCTAGTAGGTTTTTCAAATTTGGTAGAGAGAGGAGCTTGGACGGTAGAGGTGAGCGTTTAATACGTTAGATAGGGTCCCTTAAACCTACACCTGGGTCACAAGTCACAGCCACTGTTGAAGCTCCTCTCACTACAACGAGGGACCCGACACACGCACTGTGAGGTTTCGTCACTCTATGTCTGTATGTATGTATGTATGTATGTATGTATGTCTGTCTGTATGTACCTGGTCGGTGTACGCCGCGTGTAGTAAGGCCCTCGCGAACCTCCTCGGTAGAACACGTTCGTCAACACACACGGTGCCCGAACACGCGCCGCGACGAGACATTACACTCCTGTAGAAATAAAAACAAATTAGATTCGAAACATATATATATACTAAAAGACCCGGCGATCTTCGTATCGCCCTATAATCAAGAAATATCTGCTACGTTTTTTTATTTATATTTTTGGAGTTTACCTATTAAAGCCATAAATCTAGGTGTTTTGAAGTGCGACAGAATGATTGACATATTAGTTAGTTGTCAAATCTTATGTCAAAAAAAAGTTTGTATCAACAACTACTAATAAATTAAAAATTAATTAAAAAACATTGTCCAGCGGACAAAATTGTGAATCTAAACCATTCCCAGATCCCTTTGAACACACAAAAAATTTCATCAAAATCGGTCCAGTCGTTTGAGAGAAGTTCATTGACATACTCACTCACAGAAGAATTATATATATAAAGATATTAATATACGATACGATTAAGAACCCATATATTAGATGATTTCACTGATTCATTGATCTTGCTTAATATCACTACTGTTTATTATTTGTAATATTTTAATTGTAGTTATAGTTTTTTTAAATTTCCTTTGTAAGCGAACTTTGTTCTTTTTGGAAATAAACTTATTTAAACCTAAACCTTATGTTTGTAGTTTATTTAAAAGTACACCATATCTGTTGCCAAGAAGAGAACTTGTAGCATAGATCATATATATTTTAATTGACGTTGTAAATTAATATGTTTAAATATCTTTCTTCAGTATTGTAATCTTTTTATTGTGAACCGAATATACATTGTAACTTTTGTAGAACAAACAATAATTTTTTTCTTACAGAGACACTACTTATCTAAATCACTATATATATATAATAAGTTGGGGAAAAAGTCTTTTCGCATTATAGTATGTATGAACTTGTAATAAAATCTGTTTGGCTGTAGTATTTGTATCTGGCTGGTTTTGATATCATTGAAAGTTAATATTTTAAAGAACATAATTCCAAATACAAATTAGACAAATGTGTGATTTTCATTTGTTTTTCGTACTGTCAAGATGTGTGAATCTAATGAAGAAATTCGATACATTTTAAAATTTTACTACAAAAAAAGGTAAAAATGCAACGCAAGCCGCGAAAAATGTGTGTGTGTATATATATGTATGTATGTATAAGTCTTCGTCACTCACCTAAAGAACCTGGACCTGGCAGCCAGCACGAGCCTGTGGCAGGGCAGCTCCATGGCGCTCCTGAACCCGTACGCACCCTCACACTCACCCTCCGCACCCTCGCAGTCACCCTCCGCACCCTCACTCTCCACCGACCACGACAGACGAGCGTCACACAGCTCACCTGGAATATAACACGAAAAACACATTATGCACTAAAGTTCTCAAACTTATTTTGTATTGAGAACATTTTTTTTTCTCCAATACTATCCAAATGATCATTTTAGGTCAGAGATTCTCAAACTTATTCTGTATCTGCACTCTTTGAGAATAAATTATAATTTTTTCTCCATTAATTTATCTACTGAAGATCATTATAACTTATATTTGCTGAATTAAATTACAAATCACATAGATTTCTATACAAGGCCTCCATTTTTTACCCTTTAAGCGTACAATTATCAACCGTTTATTGTAATTTAATAGACAATAAGTTCTATAGACATATCAATGTTTTCTAAATTCTATCAAAGTATATTAATGTTCTTGTAATTATACAGCTAATAGTTCCATCCGCTCGTCACGAGATGGCGCTATACTTCAACAACTTGAACATCTTGGTGTAGGACTGAATGTTCTAGAGATTCCCGTAATTCCCGGCGTCCTTTCATTCTGTCTCATGCTACCACAGATTACTAATAGTAGACTACGTTCACATTTCCGTTTCCGTATCTGATGGGCGCGAAATTAAATTGGTTTACAATAAATTTGTAACTTCAAGCGGGCCACTAAAACGCCCGGCGGGCCGCAGGTTGAGTATAGTTCTAGAATCTGTTTTTTTTATTTTTAATTTCTTTTTGTAGTTATTATACATACTTTTTTTACCATTTTATATTATTTTTTTTATTGTATCTAGTAAGTTTCGGAGTAAGGTCTAAACATTGTGTAATCCATGTTGAAATAGCCTGTAAGTGATGATACGCAAATGTAATATTAAGTTCCATCAAGTTATAATGTAGTTATAAGTGTTTGTGTATCACGTTGGCTTCCTATTAAATAAAATAAAAATAAAATCTAGAACATTCTGTATCTATCAGTGTATAGTATATAGTGTATGTGTACTCACCCGAGTCCAACAGATACTTCATGTCTCTATAGAGCCCGTCCGGAGTGAACCCCAGCAGGTCTGCCAGGCGACGGAGTCTGGAGGGGTCCACGCGACGTGCACGGGCGCATGTACAACGACCAACTGTATACACACACATATATATATATTTATCCTACTAATATTATAATTGCGGAAGTTTGTGTGTATGTTTGTTACTACTTCAAGCTCAAACGACTGAACCGATTTTGATAAAATTTTGTATACAGGAAGCTGACGTCCAGGAATAACACATAGGCTACTTTACATCCCGAATATCCGCGGGTAACACCGCGGGCGCAGCTAGTATCTATACTAATATTATAAAGCTGAAGAGTTTGTTTGTTTGTTTGTTTGTTTGAAAGCGCTAATCTCTGAAACTACTGGTTCGAATTGAATAATTCTTTTTGTGTTACCGAACGGGAGAAATTATTTCATCTTTGAAGCCTTCCGTTGCGTGCGCCGTGAAAACGGTTCAAGATACACAAAAAATATGTATTAAAGAAAAATAGTTCTTTTAATGATCTAAAAAACAGTCCGCGAAAGTATATGTCTATCTTTTAAGATTAACTCACAAAACCGTTTTCATAGTACCTAATTCGGTCGAAATAACTTGTTTAGGTTATATCAACATAATAATATTAATCTTTATTCAAATAAACAAATAAATATGTTGTTGGTTAGGAATACTTCATTATGAATTAAAAAATAACATAGGTTTTATCCTGAAAATTCTACGGGAACTCGACCATTCCGAAAACCCCGCAAGAACGGGAACTATGTGGGAACAACCAAAAATCTGCCGGAAGTCACTATTCCACGCAGACGAAGTCGCGGCAAAAGCTAGTATACATATATAACGCACAGTATACTGAACCATCGGTACGTTTATATAACACACACACACACACAGACATATAGTTAAATGATAATCATTTATTAATCTATCATCCCTCAAGCCACGTATATAAGGAGCGTCGCTACTAACAATCTGACACTTTATGTTCTCAACTATTGACAAGAGAAGAAACTCTGAACTAATTAGTCTTGAATAATAATAAATGTGCCATTTGCTGGCAAAACATTTTCTGTTCTGTCATATTGAATACTACATCTCATATAAACTGTGATAGTGCAAATACACTAATTGTGAGAAAATTACCTTAAAAGTCGTTAATATATAAAATATTTCATCTCAAACTTTCTTCTGATAATCTGCTTCCAATGTACATATATATGTGGAATTGCAATATCCTATATGATATATAATTTATTATATGATATATAATATTAACTTTATCTCACAAATACTATAAAAGTGGAAGTATTCTGATAGACAAGTCATGTCTATTCACTGTAATTTATTAATATTATTTGATTCTGGTTGTTTGTTCATTAATAATGCATTTTGTTTTAATTTAAAGTTATTTTTTTAACTAACCAATGAATAATTATAATTTCTGTCATACAATTGTTTTTTTTTTTAGTATATTTCTGTTTAATTCCTAATAATATAAAACATTATATTCACTTGTTGAGTTCTCCACGCTGATGATGTCCAAATCGACCTCCGAGCCTCGCTCCCACTCTGGAATTATTATTAATACATATTAAAGCCAGTAGGAAAAAACTATCAACATATATCTTGCCTGATTATCTTATAGATAGTAGAAAAAAAAGATAATTTAGTATTAATACAGTCAATCTGGGTAACTTTGACAGATAAGGGTGATATTTTATACTATATTTAAAAAAATTAAACCTATCACTCGGGTGTTTTTATTTTATCAGTGCTCTCGTATTACTTTCCGTCTCTAGACATCCACAGAAAGTTTATAAAACATACCAATATAGTTTAAAATCTAAATTTTGTGTGTGTCAAAGTTACCCTCCTAAGATGGGTAACTTTGACACACACAGAGCCAAGCATAAAAATGTAGTTATAAGTATTATTTTTATCAATCTGGGTAACATTGGGGTATATATTTATTAACTAATGGATGCATGTGACACAATAAAACGAACATTTTGCAATTTTGTCTTATATTAAAAAAAAATATGAAGAATCAGTCTACAACATTTGGCAACGTTACACACATTGTTTAACACCATCAAAAACGCTTAAAAAAACTCCTTTAATTTAATATTTTTATTCAAATTATAAAGAAAACAAGCAAAAATAATTTTAAGAAACAAAAATTTTGTAAATTCTTGAGCATAACTTGTTTATTCTCCCCACTCCATATAGAGCAAATCGTCAATAATACTTGTGTAGAGCCCAGGCTGCTTTATACTGATTTTACTGTTATCTACTGTAGATACAACATCATCTTATCTAATTTTAATAATTTCTCTTTTATCTGGCCATTTCCAACCACCTTGTGTTGATCTACTCATTACAACAAGTGTATAATACGGGAATGTGTAACTTGTCACTTTTCCTTGAAGCAGTGTGCCTTCTGTTTTAAATATAATTGTTGTTCTAGGTGAAAACTCAATATATTTTGATGTGCATGTTGCAAAACTCCAACTTTAACAACAAATTCTTCAATCACCTCTTCTACCACCATTTTAGTTTCTATGTAATTTAGTTTTTAGTTACTGTTCAAAATACGTATTTTCATATTTATGCATGAAATTTCAAAATAAGATTTAATTATATGCAATTTTTTCATGAAAGTACACTCACAAATTTCTCTGTATAACATCTCACTTACCTTATCAACAACCAAAATCACAAAATATTCAAAAAGTTATTCAGAAACGAAGTTATGACGTTTTTTTACTTTCACAACTTACTTTTTTTAAAGTGCTTTTAGGAAGCTTATTTAAAATCGCAAATCTAAAATAAACATATATGAATAATGTTGGTTTCATGCGAAAAAATAATCGAAACTAGTTCATGGTCCCACTGTCAAAGTTACCCGACGAATTAAAGTTACCCAGATTGACTGTATATGTTTATTATTATTTAATTATTGAGACGTGATTACCGTGTTAGGTTTGTATGGCGACTGCCACATATATATAATTAATTTATCAACTATGCAACATATAGAATATCAGCTTGTTTCTCAGTGCCAATATGGACAGTGATTTTTCGCTTACATTAATGACATCATAATATATAGAGAGTTATTATTATTCTATGTTTGTATTTATGTGTCTTCTTCTTCTTCCTGTCAATTTCCCAGCTTTAGCCAGAGTCTGCCTTACATGTTGTGAACAGTTTTGGCCAATTGTTTTTACGACCGGCCGCCTGCCTGACATCAACCCTTTTTTGGGAATCAACATTGTGTGTGTGTGTGTGTGTGTGTGTGTGTGTGTGTGTGTGTGTATACTAACTGCAGCACGCGTCACATCTGCCTCCGTTCCTGATCGCTCCGGGCCCCGCATACATGACTACCACGGCTGCCTCGAGCTCCTCGCGCGGCAGGGACCCACCAGCGCCCTCCAGCGGCACACGGCACGAACTATAACGTATAAAGAATATCATCATCATCATGCTATCAGAGCCCACTGCTGAGCTTCTTCTCACATGGAGAAGGTTAGAGCATTAATCGCCACACTTGCTCCAGACGGGTTGGTGATTTCAAACTTATTACATATTTGATTACAAGTTCATGTTTCTTCATGGTGTCTGAATGCTCTTATAAAGTACATATGACTAGGAACATCACATTGGTACTTAACAGATTTCGAACCCGCCCTCATGCATGAGAGACGGACTTTTAACCACTAGGACACCACTACTATCCAATAAGATAATGTTCGAGTAAAAACTCGTACTAAATGATTTCATAATCCCTACTAATATTATAAATGTGAAAGTAATTCTGTCTGTCTGTTTGTTACACTTTCACGCCTAAACCACTGAACTGATTTGAATGAAATTTGGTACAGAGATAGAGTTGACCTTGAGAAAGAACATAGGATAGTTTTTATCCCAGACTTGAAAGGTTCCCTTGGAAACGCGATATAACCGAACCCCACGCGGGCGAAGCTGCGGGCGGAAAGCTATTAGTTTATATACAGCATGTTCACGTACTTGGGATATCTCATGAGCAGATCTCTGAAGTATGAGCACCGGGCCGCTAATATAACTCTATGTGCTGATAGCGCGAAGCCTTTCCCTACTAGCTCCACGTCACACCACCACCTCTCTCGATATAGGTCTAGCAGGTCCGCGTGTAAAGCTGGGGCCGGTTCTCGAGCTAATTCGGCCTGGGTCGCAAGGTCCCGTAGGGCTGCACCCGCTTCAAGTTCCTCACGAAGTAAAAAAACCTCGGATAATCTCCAGGTGGAAACCACCGAACGTATGAAACGGGCATGCTCGCAACCTGGAATATACAAACTCAAACTCAAATCACTTTATACTAGAAGACCCGGCGAACTTCATATTGCTCTATAATCAAGAAATATCTGTTAGAATGATTGAAATATTATTTAGTTGTCAAATCTAATGTCAAAAAAAACCGTTTGTATGGGAAATGGAAAAGGGCTGTTTTTAGGGTTTTCCGGAAATGTATCAATTTTTTTCAGCTTTTAAACCTTCCCTGAACCTCCTCGAACATTTCAAGACTAAGATAAGATAAATCCGTTCAGCCGTTCTCGAGTTTTAGTGAGACTTAAGGACAGCAATTCATTTTTATATATATAGATAGAAGCATTACACTTTCTTATTGATGGTCACTTGAGACACTACCACCGATTCGGAAAAGAACATACAGTTGTTAGCTCTCGATATCTTACTAGGTTTATATACATAACCCTGGCTAAAGCTGGGAAATTGCCAGGAGGAATCTTACTATGTTTATATATTAAAGGAGTAATATTTGATAAGATCTAAATATTTGTGTATTAAATTTTAAATGAAACTAATACTATTTTTTTCATGTAAAAGTTGGCAAACGAGCACATTGCCTACTTGATGGTCAATAATGACCATCGCTAATTGACAACCAAAACATAGGTGTTACGGATGCGTTGCCAACTTTGATTGTTGAGGTAAAAGGGAGGAGTGGGAATAGGGAAATACAAGGAAAGGGTGGGAACAGGGATAGAACAACCGTCTCTCTCACTCATCGGTCGAAACGCAGTCATTAAAGACTACTTGACGCCGATCTTCAGTGAGAGGGTGGTGTTAGCACTTAATTACTATACATTATACTGGAAGAAATCTCTTCTAGGGATAAGGATACCTTTTAAACTTATTTTTCCTGTGTCATATTTTTTTGTCCTTAATGTTTCTGGTATGTTTGTTATTTTAACTACATACTCTCAAAATTTCGGTTTTTTTTTTATGTTAAAGGTGGCAAAGGAGCAGACGGCCCACTTGATGGAAGGTGGTTACCGTCGCCCATGGACATCCGCAACATTTTGTTGCGGATGCGTTGCCAACCTTGTTTTTTTAGGGATAGGGAGGGGTGGGAATACGGAAAGGAAAGGGCAGGAATAGGGAAAGGGCACCCGGCTCTCTCACTCATCGGACGAAACGCAGCCAGTAAAGGCTACTTCACGCCGATCTTCTGTGAGAGGGTGGTACTTCCCCGGTCGAGCCTGCCCATGTTCGAGCTGTAGTAACTTACCACAGCTAGGCTCTACCACCTTAAAAGGTTACTTTTCAGCAACCATCATAAGCAAGCAATCACGACATGAGAATCACTTCTATTTCTAACCAAACCGTTCAATATATCTACTGTTCTCATCGGCTAGTATATCTAAGCCCCCCCTCCTCCCTCCACTTATTCTCTTTTTCCCCCCTCTCACCTCTATCAGGCCGGGCGTCTCTCGGCCTGCGTGTGGCCGCGGCCAGCCTCCTCCTCAGAGTCCCCAAGCCAGCTCCACCGGCCTTTTTCTTACGTTCCCTGATGAAAATACTATTAGTATGACTTATAATAATATATACAGTCGATCAATATTGAGAACTTATTATAATATGTCATGTGTCTATTGTTAGAGGTTTTGCTAGTTTAAAATAATTCAGTAGACTATATGTATATGTAATAAGTCTAATAATTAGCAAGCTCCCTTAATTAAAGTAGGTTAAATATATATATATATATACTATATCCTTTGGCAACACTATGTATTTTATCAAATATGTCCACATGTATTACATCGTCTTAATTGAAACTTCCCTTAATTAAAGTCTACATATAATCTATAACATTCTTCAACGCTATGTGTATTGACATGTGTACATGTATTACATCCCCTCTCCCGTGTGTTCATATATAAGTGATGTGTCTGTCGCATGTCGTTCTGTAACGCGTGTAACGCCTCACCTGATGACGTCAGCCATGGTGGGTGGGGAGGGAGGTACGCCGGCGTCACACGCCTCGCCCTCCTACATACACAAACACACAAACATTATAATATATAACTGAATCAATTTATATTATTATTACTATAGCGCTTACCAGCAAAATCTATTGAGATTAAAATAAACTTAAAAATTGATACATAATTTAAATTTAAATGTAAGTTTATAGATATTATTCTGTGCTATAAGGCGCCATTAATAAAGTATCACACATACATTTTATGACTTTTGAACCCCTACCCCCTTGTCACAGGTTGTCACATTTTTGTAACCCCCTCTTCTGTGATGTCATACAATAAAAATTTATGCACGTATTTAAAAAAAGAAAACAGCTTGTTTATTGTTTCCTCATTTTTAATAGATAATCTAAGTAAATTTCAAATTTTAATATGTGTGACGTCACAAAACTATTACCCCCTCCACGTGCCTTGTTACACTTCAGTGTCACCCCCCATTAACATGTTACGTACTTTATAGATGGCATCTAATTCAATATTGATATAATTTTAAAACATGTATATAATAATTAGGAACTACCCTCCAATTCTACTACTAGTTACTCTATGTATCTGTTTACCTGGGGGTGTGACAGCGCAGCGCCCATGTCGGGGCGGCGCACGCGCAGACAACAGAGGAGCCGGCTCATCGGACGGAAGACATCACCGCACCGATCGGCCCGCGCGAGCCCGTCCTACACACACACACACACACATACATACAATACTACTATTTACAACTATAGTTATATACACAAGAGTCAAGATCTATATCAAAAACAGAATACGAAACTTCGAAGGCAGCCCTAGTAGGTTCTTATCAAATTTGGTAGAGAGAGGAGCTTGGACAGTGGAGGTGATCGTTTAACGTTAGATAGGGTCCCTTAAACCTACACCTGGGTCACAAGTACCAGTCACTGTTGAAGCTCCTCTCACTACAACGATGGACCCGACACACGCACCGTGAATACATGGAAGGATGAGAGGTTTCATCTCATATAATATATAACCAGTAATATCCCAAAGAATATGGATCCACAACAAAAAATTAACATGGATTTATATCCATATATGTTACATTACTATATATCAGTGTCACCCAAACTTTTAGAGCCCGTATACTATCTAAGAAAACAAATGATTATTATAATACATAAGGCTAAAAACAGAAATATTATCAACCAATTAGTAATTTTAATAGTTTTGGTATTTACTTTGGGAATCCCTGACACGGGGACATTATTTTGTACATTTATTTAATGATAATTTTCTATATATCGTGATGAAATACAATAAATGTATTAGGAATAAATTAAACAACACTATATATGTGTATATGTATATACTAGTTTTTGTCCGCGACTTCTTCCGCGTTAATTTCGTCATTAGTAATATATTATGTATAGCTGACTGGGCGAACTCTATTCCGACTTAGAGGCTGTAAATAACCAGATATTGGAATTTATTAAGTATCTTTTCTGTTTCGATGGAACAGTACTAAATATCCTATGTCCTTGTTCTAATCTATCTCTCCACCAATTTTCAACCACATCTCTACAACCATTCTTGAGTTATAAATAGTGTAACTAACATGACTTTCTTTTATAAATACAAAATAAAAATATATATAAAATTGTACCGTCTGTATGTATTTTCATATTATGAGACACTGCCCATCATATTATATGATATTTGAGGGTGTTTAACAATGGGAGATATATAATATATGTAGTAAAGTTTCCAATAAATCCGCTAAGTAGTTTTTGTGGAAAAAGCACAACTAACATCTCGAAATCAATTTTAACATAATTGTTATAGAAAATGTTTAAAAAATCACCCATTCCTGTTTTAAAGCCTATTTAAGTTATTTTCAATCAGTTTCATGACTTACAATAGTTTCAAATAAATTGTATATAAAAATATCACTATGGTGTAAGCTACTAATGTTCAAATGAAACTAATATTTTTCGAATTACTAGGCGTATTTTATTATTTTATACTACATACTCCTGATGTTTCAGTTAATTTACAAACGCGATCATTAAGACGAGATGTTTTACAAAAATAAAGCAGGCATAGTAATTTGAATAATATTAGTTTCATTTAAATGAATACTCGAGAATAACTCAGATCTAAGTTAGCAAGTGGAGTTCGTTAATAATGTAGAAAAAGAGGAGTAAGTTAAGACTATATCATCATCATCAGCCTATCAGAGCCCACTGCTGAGCCTCTTCTCACATGGAAAAGGTTTGAGCATTAATCACCACGCTCACTCAATATGGATTATAACTGGAAAAATTCTTATAAATTTCTCCATTTAACAAGATATTTATTGAAGAACTATCATACCCTTGTACATATCGTCGATGAAGTACCAATACCTTCTAAGTTTTGAGAATCTAATTTTACACCAGAAGAAAAAAACTGTAAAATATATACAAATCAATGAATTCTGCCACTTAGTAGATATTTTGATATAACTCAAGAAACTGTTTGTTATAGAAATATTGGATAGAAGTGAAGTCAATCTATAAGATTATGAATTTTATGTCTATTGTAATAAAAAAGTACTTTTGAACTAAATTGTCAGTTAGGAGGTATTGGTACTTCATCAACAATATGCATGCAGAAATCTTTTCTATGCAGTTATTGCTACATTACATACTACGACTCTACTTCTCAATATATCGATCTATCTATTATTATTTTAATGTTGATGATTATTATGAGTAATATAATTTTATCTGCATGTGTGTAAAACCTATAATTAAGACAACATTTTGATTTTATAATTACTTATTCAATATTGTATTTTTCGATTTTATTAATGTATGTCTTGATGGTGTTAATAAAAAAATAAATAAATATCCTTACTTTTTTAATTGTATTTACAAAGAAATGATTATAAATATTCTAGTTATTTCTTATATCATTTCTTTTTATTAATCATACTTAATTAGATAAATTATTATTAAAACATAAATGAAACTAATATATTTTGGATTATATTAAGCGACTTTATTTTTATGAAAATCTACATACTACCAATGTTTCAGCTACTTTACAGAAACCATAATCACAGGTGGACGAGAAAATCAATTATTGTGTATTTAAGTTAATTTTGTATAATATGATTTATTCCATTATATATGTTAATATATATAACAAAGTCGTGTTAGTTACACGATTTATAACTCTAACGACTGTACGGATATGGATGAAGATTTGTGGAGAGATAGATTAGAACAAGGAGACGGACATAGGATGCTTTACATACGATTGAAAAATACTAAGTTGATTAAATACATAATCTTATCCATTGTCTTTAAGGAGTAATAGAGTTCGCCTAGTCAGCTATATATTTCTAATACTGGAATTAACACAGACGAAGTTGAGGGTTAAAACTAGTATATATATATTATTTGAACAATAACAAGATGATGTATATTTTTTAATCATGTTTAAATGACACAGATTCTATGTTCTGATTAACTCTGAGATAAAAGAATCATGATTATTTAACATAAAAAATAATAATATGTGTTTTAACAAACTACTGAGATTTAATATGCTCTAGTTAAAGTTTTAATGAAAAAAGTAATTTATATTTAATTATTTATGTAAGAAAATATATTAAAGATTATATAGATGTATATATATGAAGAATTATATGTGCTATCAATATATTTAACATATAGTTTGTGTATATATTTAACATATAGTGGTGCAAATAAATTAATTAAATAAAAACAATAGTGTGATATACATATATAGTACAAGTCAAAACATATACAATTTTTTTCAATGAAGTTTTATTTAATAGTATGTATTATAATATAATAATGAAATACTATGTATATAAAAAATATTATTGATTTCGTAATAAAAACAATTGTACGTAAAATATTAACAGAAAAATAGATTTTATAAGTATATATAGTAGTCATAGAACGATCGAATTTTTGTCACTAAAAATTAACTCACTGACCGTAAATACTCATTTATATTTAATACATCTTCAATAGTTTTTCATAAACGATTTTATTTTAATAAATTTTCATAAGAGCATTACGTTTTTGTGTAAATAGTTAGCGGTACAAGTGAACGCATCCTGTGCACTTCGCGATAATACTGAATTGTTCCGAGCGTTAAGATAATGATAATAATAGAACATATATAATATATATGTTATGTATCATATAATATATGACCTATTTAATATGTAGGGGTGTTTTTGAAAGGGAAAACATGGGGTGGAGGTTTTACGTCACGGCGCGCAGGTCACTCGGCCCCCGGTGACCTAAATAATGTTTGCGACACATTGGAGATATGCATTGCATTGCTAAAATGTCAACAGGGCTCCGACAATTGACCAACTCCGTCCCACTGACCCGATAGAAATGAATTACAACACTGCTTTATGTTCACGTAAATAACTTAATATATTGATTTGTTAATATATTATATGATGTATAAGGATTTGATGATAGATAGTGTTCTACTTACTGATGACAAAAGTCATTACAGTACAATGATCCAGAAACAGCTAGCACTCATTAGTCAAACATTTTGTTTTCACCACTTCGGGCCGCCATTAAGTCGTACAGCAACTTGTAAATGGTTCGACCGTATCACTTAACAACATAAACGAAGTACGCACATTTTGTAGCTTTATAACTATTACTAATATTATTGTTAACACAGATGAAAGCTCGTCGGGTTGAAGAATTGAATAAAAAAATTGCAACGAGCACAACCCGTTAGACTTCCCCGTTCGCAATTGTGACACTATTGCCAACTTCAGAAATTAATAAATAAATACTAGTCTTACCAATGTTGTTTTAGAAATCGGATACACGTGACGCATATTATGGTATAGCAAATGAATTTAATAAAATAAAACAGTATATGTATAATTTAGTATCAAGAACTTATTTAAATAAAAAAATACATATAAAAATCAAACTACACATTTTTTAAATAGTGTTTTAATTGTTTAAAATTTATTTCCGTTTATATGTGATACGAGTATCCAATATATTAACAATATTTGACATTTACAACAGATTACAAAACCAAAATTTGTTCCTGTTTTGACTTTTGAGAAGCGATATACCGCCGTTGGTTTTTTAACAAAACTTTTGTGTTATTTTATTATTACCAGTTGTTATATTGTAAAATAAACTTTGACATATCAAGATCTAGCAGTTTTTTGATAGACGGATTTGATTTTCTTTTAAAATTCTTTGTTACAAGGTGAGTAATAACAAAACTTTGAATTTATGAATACAATAACTAAATTTTTTTTCGTAATAGCTAATTCTAGTTAATAAAACAAATGTATGTTCTGTTTGTATTTAATTTAGAATGGATTGTGGCTTTCTGTATTTTTGTATAAGTCTCACGAATTTTTTAATACCTATATGTGAAAAAATATTCCTATATTTGTGAAAACTACTTCTTCTTTAGTTAGTTGCGTTTCGTTAATGTCTTGTGCCAATATTATACTGAACTGAAATGAACATAGAATATAAATACAAAAGGATAAATAAATATATATATACAAAAGGAGTATTGACAACAGAGAGTAAGGATTTGAAGTCAATAACACCAGAAAACTAGAATGAGAATGCAAATTTGAACTAAGCACTTGTTCTAGCATGTTCCACTCAAGTTATCTTCTAGAAAAGTCTATTTTATCTTGTGAAAACTAATGAACAGTTGTAGCACTTATAAAGATAATATACATGTATTTCACTGTTAAATTCATTTGCTATATTATATCAATATTAATAAAATCAAATTAATTTCAGATCGCTTTTTAATCATGGATGAAGATCCCGAACTCACAAGGAGTCAAGTTATTGTGATACCGGAGTCACCGGAACGGCCAGAAAATATCAATCAACCGGAAAACTTACAGCCAATAAATGTTGACGATAACGCTCTAATCGAGGACGTTTTAGAGATTATACAGAATAATAATCAGAATTATAACCCAGATGTTGTTTTAGAGCATTTAAACTCAGATTTGCCACCATCGCCAGTTTTAGCCTCGGCAGGAGTCAGTTTATCTCGAACAGCCTCAAATACTGAAGTGGAACAACATTCATCGCAGGCTCGGATATCAAATGAAGATCCTATTTTAGTTAATGAAGAATCAAATAGTTTAGCTTCTTGTCCAGAAAATGATGCTGATGTTGACGAACCTCCGGCTAAAATGAGGAAAATTAGCTCACAAAAAGGAGATGAAGGTGACGGGGAAACATGCCCGATATGTTTAGATACATGGGGTAATTCAGGAGAACATAGACTGGTTGCGTTAAAGTGTGGGCACTTATTCGGCTGGCAATGTGTCGAGCGATGGCTTAAAGCACAACCAACTAAAGATAGAACATGCCCGACTTGTAAAAGTAAAGCAACTTTGAAAGATATGAGATTTATTTATGCGAGGAGATTAGTCGCAGCGGATACATCACAGATTACAGCGCTACAGAAGCAGATAGATGTACTTAAATCTGAGAATAGCAGGGCTGAATTGGAGTTACTCAAGTCCAGGATCGCTCATCGAGCTTGTGTGTTACAGTTAGAAGTGCTCCGTAGTACACTGATGAAGAGCCAATCGGCTAAAGATCAGCCTCCGCGACGATCTTGGAGATTCGCCCTCGAGAAGAATCAAGAAGTCAGTAAAGACGGTGGCTGTAGAGTACTCACTTACAACTGCCGGACATATGAATTGTATGTATCCCAAAAAAGCACTAATAATCTCTTCCCCGGATACGGCATAAGGAAAGTCAGTTGTATAGACTATAAATTAGGGCAGTTCATACATTTACATCCAAAACCTATACGAGATATAACATATTCACAACCCAGGGACCTTTTACTAAGTGTAGGCTTGGATAGTTCAGTCAGAATCATTGAACGAGGCATCCCCAGTGCATCCATTCAATGTGGAATGCCCCTATGGTCGTGTTCGTGGGACTATTTGCGCAGTAACGAATTCTGTGTAGGCGGAGTTGGGGGTGTGATACATCAGTATGACGTGCGAAATACAAGTGCTTCGATACAGACTTTAAATACTAATGATTTATCACCGGTTGTCTCGCTATGTTCAACGGAGCATGGGCTATTATCTTGTCAATTAAATTCTTGCTGGCTTTGGGAATCAAATATGAGACAGTGGGTACCCAAAGCAATACCTATAGATGGGCCATTCGTATCCCTGTGCTATGACAACGAATCCCACCGAGCCTTAATAACATCCCGAGCAAGTGGTAACAGTCGATCAAAACTAACATTATTCAAATTAAAAGCCAATAACAGCGGTGAGATTATGTTTGATTTAGAACAAACATTCGTTGGTTCAGCCCGATCGACTTTAATGTCCCGGGGAACATTTGTCAGGACTCCGGGATCAATCTGGGCAGCTGCACATAGTGAGAGTGACTCGGCTCTCAATTTGCATGGTCTCGATGGAGCTCGAACAATGACTTTACCAGCAGTCGAACCAGCATTAGATATATGTACAGCTCAAGTTAACGGTGATACAATAGTTGCAGCTCTATCGGAGTCAAGATTAAGATTGTATAAAGCTGTAGCAACCAGTTCTTGACAAAAAACATTCTAAATTCGTTATTTTGTGGCTTATAGTAATGACTAAGTTGTGCAGTGACTGAATACAAATATTTGGTTATACAAAATATTATAATTGTGAATTATTCCTTATGTAACCGAGGCTGGCTGGATATTACCTCATTGTGTTTAATAAAGATAAATTTTGTTTGATATTTATTATTAACTATCTTTCATCCCGCAGCTTCGCCCGCGTGTAGTTCGGTTATATCGCGTTTCCAAGAAAACCTTTCAAAAGTCTGGGATAAAAACTATCCTATGTTCTTTCTCAAGGTCAACTCTATATCTGTACTAAGTTTCATTAAAATCAGTTCAGTGGTTTAGGCGTGAAAACGTAACAGACAGACAGACAGAGTTACTTTCTTATTTATAATATTAGTAGCTTATTAACTTAAATAGCCCTAATAATTGTTATGAAGGAATTATTCATGCGTTTTAAACAAGTACACGTTGCTAATTCTTTAAGATGCAACATTTCTATGCCAAATTAAATAATAAAAAACTAAAATTGAAATTTAAGATACATACTCAAAGTAAATATAAAAATTTTTTCAATTTCTTTGTGTGATAGTTCTCAACTCTTCAGCCAAATCCCACTCGGCCTTGCCTGATTTTTAAACAATAAAATTATAATTTATTAATAATAAAAATCGCTTTTCATACTTAAATAACATTAATTAAATTCTTAGTAATCTGTAATCTAATACAGATTAAAAAATATTTTTACGTCAATATCAGCTGTAAGAAACGTCACTGTCTATAATCGTGCAAATTTCATTTTCATTATGTACTGTAAAATAAATTTAGTCGCATTCATACTGCCTAAGTTATAGCGTGTGAAAATAACTTATTTTTAAAACAATACCAACAAACACGTTCTAAGTGACATAATTATATATATTAAAAATATTAATCACTTGTGATAATACGAAATAATCTCGACGAAATAATATAATTATGAGAATAGAAAAAATTGGTGTAAATAATAAAGGTAGGCATAATATAGTTCTATTAATAGTTTTAGGAGGTACAAAGCAATCATGTCAATTATTACGAGGTTACCTTAGTACTTTGGACTTTAAACATAATACTATTGCCGTAGCTTTAAATAAAACCTGAAAAAGTTTCGTCATATATATAGATAAAAGTAATTAATGAACGTACAAATAAAACAATAAAAAATATTCAATTTATCAACTTAAATGAATGAAATTATAATATAAAAATAAAGTATTTTATTTCGTGTTTTAATAATAACGAAAACTTGCTGATTCATAAGTTAATAATAAAACTTAAGTTGTCATACATTTTTGTATATTTTTACGTCATTTTGAAAGTTTATCTTAAAAATTATTATCATTGCATAATATATTTAAAAGCACACATTTATTAGTTTGTCTCTGATAAGAATTGTTCAAATAGCTTGATAAAAAAGTAACTATCACAGTCTTAAAAGTTTTTTAACCTATATGATAAAAATGTCGTAGTTTTTTTTTAGTTTGTTTTTTTTTTACTTGACAGGTAAGTAAGAAACCTCTTTAAAAGAAAACTCTTTTTAAAAATATAATTCTCAGTTTTGCTGATAGCTTTATTTATATTTTTCTTGTTTTTTAAGTATTTCTAGATGTATTATATGTATTTAGATCCTCTTTGGTACAATCCAACAAGATTTCTGACTTCCATATATTTCTCATATAGATTATTTTTTATTGAACAAGATAAACTTATTGTTTTAACTTTGAAAGTAAATTTTACTCTAAAAGCTTATCAATTATAAAAGATTTGACTCACAAACATATGAGAAATCATTGCAATGCATTTTATAATAGTTTTTGACAAAAATAATTACTTAAATATTTACTTTTATTCCATTATAATTATATAAAGTAACTTGCTTTTAATCAAATTATTATAAATAATAAAGTTCATTGACATTTCTTTCAATTCAATATTTATATACAGTCTTAGTCAGTCTACATTTTTGTATTACAAAATCATTTTATTATGATTATGTTTATAAATCTTTTAATTATTAACAAAACGAAGATAAACAAAACTTTAATGATTAAAATATTTGTTTTTATATACAATATATATTTTTAAATCTTTTAATGGCAGTCACGGCCAGAGTTAAGAAACCTATGCAACCTATTTGGTTATAATAAATATTTTATTAATAACATTTGTATATATAGACACACTACTGCCTCGGTGTCTGACCATACAGAATGTCATCACACAGCTCGTAAAGTGGGGAATGTATATACATATATATGTATTTGTATTATAAAACATATATTATTATACATACTACGGTATTGAAAATCTTTATTTGGATTGATGTAGGATAAATTTTATTATATTTATGTGATAACAGTCAATATAAACACAAGAAGCCTTCCATATATGTGTGTGTGTTTATATATATATTATACTAGCTGACCCGGCAGACTTCGTACTGCCTCAATCAAGAAATAAAAACAAAAAATATATGTATAACGAAAGAGGTTTCATTCATAGAAATATTCCTCCTTCTATTTGAGTCTTTAAAAAAACAACTATTGATTTCTGTATTGTTACTTTGTTTGGCCATAATTATAAATAGTTTTAATTCTGTAGTGACTTTGTTACTTAATAAATTTATTAATAGATGGCTATTTTATTGCCAATTTGGCATTATGATGAATATATGCAGAGTAATATTATTATATAATAAATTTATATTTCAACACCCTTAAAATGAATATGCAACATAAGATTTACATTGTGTTGTGAGGATTATCAGTGGAGGTGGTCGTTTAACGTTAGATAGGGTCCCTTAAACCTACACCTGGGTCAGAAGTCACAGTCACTGTTGAAGCTCCTCTCACTACAACGATGGACCCGACACACGCACCGTGAATACATGGAATGATGAGAGGTTTCGTTTCCATACAATCAAGATTTTCTTACTTGTACAAAAATTATATAGCAAACTTCTAAAAATAATATAAAGATTGCATTAAAAATTACGTTTTAGTAGCCAAACGTTGGATAAAATATTGGTAAATAATAATTATTTACACAATACGTATCATAAACAACAAAATAAGGTTAAAAACATGATAATAATATTTATTATAATTGTCGGAAACATTTTCTTTATTCTATCAAAGAAAAATCATTGACACGCGTTTAAATCGTCTTAAAATTAAAGTTTTTATCTATATATATGTATGAGACGAGACCTCTCATCATTCCATGTATTCACAGTGCGTGTGTCGGGTCCATCGTTGTAGTGAGAGGAGCTTCAACAGTGACTGGTACTTGTGACCCAGGTGTAGGTTTAATATATATAGAGAGACGAAACCTCTCATCATTCAATGTATTCACGGTGCGTGTGTCGGGTCCATCGTTGTAGTGAGAGGAGCTTCAACAGTGACTGGGACTTGTGACCCAGGTGTAGGTTTAATATATATAGAGAGACGAAACCTCTCATCATTCAATGTATTCACGGTGCGTGTGTCGGGTCCATCGTTGTAGTGAGAGGAGCTTCAACAGTGACTGGGACTTGTGACCCAGGTGTAGGTTTAAAGGGCCCCTATCTAGCGTATATTATTTATTTGATATGTTTTTTAATCTTCTACTTCTTCTACCTAACAATTTCCCCAGCTTTAGCCAGGGTCTGCCTTACATGTTGTGAATAGTTTTGGCTAATCGTTTTTTCAACCGGCCGCCTGCCTGACATCAACCCTCTTTGGGAATGCATTAATCAGTGATGTCTAAATACTCTTAGAAAGTAGATATGATTCGGAAAAATCACATTGGTACTTGCCCGGGCCACGATCGAACCCGCGCCCTCATGCATGAGAGGCGGGCCTTTTAACCATTAGGCCACCACTGACTTTGAAATGGAATGTTTTTTAATAAGTATTTGTATTTATTTTAGCCGTCATGTAATGTGAGTCAACACAAGATGGCGGTCGGAGAGGCCCGTGTGCCGCTGTTACATGAAGAAAGAAGGGGACACCATGGTGAGTGTAATCGTATTGATATTTAGTAATAAAAAAGATTAATATAATAATGTAGGCAATTATATTAATAGATATAATTAATATGTATATTCTATACTAAATTAAGTCCGCGACTTCATCTTGGGCCATGTAGCGTCTGCCCATGATCACGGTTGCTGAAAAGTAGCCGAAACGCCGGGAGTATGTAGTTTATAATAATAAAATACACGTAGTATATCCGAAAAATTTAGTTTCATTTAAATGAAAAAAACTCGCGAAAGTCTTAGATCTCAATTATCCAATAAGCATTTTTTTCAATACTTCCTCTCATACAAATTTTTAGTAAAATAAGTTTTTAATAACAGCGCCATTATTGCATACTAGAAGACCTGGCGAACTTCGTATCGCCCTATAATCAAGAAATATCTGTTACGTTTTTTTATTTATATTTTTCGAGTTTACCTATTAAAGCCATAAATCTCCGTGTTCTGAAGTGCGACAGAATGATTGACATGTTAGTTAGATGTCAAATCTAATGTAAAAAAAACCGTTTGTATGGGAAATAGAAAAGGGCTGTTTTTAAGGTTTTCCCGGTAATGAATCAATTTTTTTCAGCTTTTATACCTTCCCTGAACCTCCACGAACATTTCAAGACTAAGATAAGATAAATCGGTTCAGCTGTTCTCGAGTTTTAGTGAGACTAAAGAACAGCAATTCTCATTATGTGAACAGCAATTCATTTTTATATGTACATACTAGCTTTTGCCGCGACTCCGTCCCCGTGGAATAGTAACTTCCGTCAGATTTTTGGTTCTTCCCACATAGTTCCCGTTCTTGCGGAGTATTCGGAATGGTCGAGTTCCCGTAGAATTTTCAGGATGAAACCTATGTTTTTTTTATTCACAATGAAGTACTCTTAACCAACAACATATTTATTTGTTTATTTGAAAAAAGATTAATATTATTATGTTGATACAACTTAAAGAAATTATTTCGACCAAATTAGGTACCATAAAAACGGTTTTTGTGAGTTAATCTTAAAAGATAGACATATACTGTCGTGGACTGTTTTTTAGATCATTAAAAGAGCTATTATTCTTTAATACATAGTTTTTGTGTATCTCAAACCGTTTTCACGGCGCACGCAACGGAATGCTTCAAAGATGAAATAATTTCTCCCGTTTTTTTACACATTTACCACTATATCTTTGCTCCTACTGGTCGTAGCGTGATGTTATATAGCCCACAGCCTTCCTCGATAACTGGACTATCCAACACAAAAAGAATTATTCATTTCGAACCAGTAGTTTCGGAGATTAGCGCTTTCAAACAAACAAACAAACAAACAAACTCTTCAGCTTTATAATATTAGTATAGATATATAGATTTATATAGTATTATTTTCGTTAATACGTCATCTGACGTGTGACTTTCTCATTGTCCGCACGCGCCAATAAATACGATAAAAGATATTTACTATCATTTTATAGATAATATGAAGTAGGCTTGGCTGTTTATTATTATTTACTACACATTTATCTTAAGCTTTACGATATTTTAATATTTGTATAGATATAGATATTTCAATTAATTACATCGTGTGTCACTCCTATCCCTACTAATATTATAAATGCGAAAGTAACTCTGTCTGTCTGTTACGCTTTCACGCCTAAACCACTGAACTGATTTTAATGAAATTTGGTACAGAGATGGAGTTGACCTTGAGAAAGAACATAGGATAGTTTTTATCCCAGACTTTTGAAAGGTTGTCTTGGAGACGCGATATAACCGAACTCCACGCGGGCGAAGCTGCGGGCGGAAAGCTAGTAAATATTATATATGTGGATATTATCAAGCATTTGTTGCTTTAACGCAAAAACTGCTGAGTTAGCTTAGATTATATGGAGTGATCGTCAACCCATCTTGATCAAGCGTGGTGATTAATGCTCTAACCTTCTCCATGTGAGAAGAGGCTCAGAAGTGGGCTCTGATAGGCTGATGATATGGAGTGATTTTAAAATATCAATTATTTAATAAACATGTTCGCGTATTGAAAAATAATAGTTTATTTTAATATTAAAGTCTTTCACTTATTTTTACGCGGCAGAGTACAAACGTATCGTGTTTTATCTGATAAATAGAAGCATCAAAATATTATGATAAAATGTGTTTATCAATTTTATTGCTTGTTATTGCATTATTATCTTTGTATAGCTTTTAGCGCGACTTCGTCTGTACCTTACCTTACTTTATTAGATGGTGAATTATTTGAGAAAGAAATTAACTCTTTACAATGATGGAACTTCCATACTATACTTGATTTTTGGTATAAATATGACTTCTGGAAGCACGACAGCAGAGTTCAGTGAGTGCGTATCATTGAAGTATGTGATTATGAAGAATCTTCGAGAAATATAAGAATATTAAGAACAATTGAAGTTTCATTTTAAAATATCATGAACGTACTAGAAGAAGTGCAATTAGTGGCTGGCTAGGCTGGCGTCTCTCTCTTTAAAAGAACGAATCCCTACTAATATTATAAATGCGAAAGTAACTGTCTGTCTGTCTGTTACGCTTTCACGCCTAAACCACTGAACTGATTTTAATGAAATTTGGTACAGATATAGAATTGACTTTGAGAAAGAACATAGGATAGTTTTTATCCCATACTTTTGAAAGGTTCTCTTGGAAACGCGATATAAGCGAACTCCACGCGGGCGAAGCTGCGGGCGGAAAGCTAGTTTGTAATTAATCTATATGTGTTTCTTACGATCTTCTTTATACTTCTCAGAGCCTCGTCGCCTCACGGGCGCGTCCTTGGTCGTCACTTCACTGGCCGCTGGGGCCGCCGCTGGAGCCCTGGCCAAAACAGTCATTGCTCCCTTAGATAGGACTAAGATCAACTTCCAGACCTCGTGAGTATGCCTTAATACGAGTTCGCTTCGAACTAGACACGGATAGTTAAAAGTTTAACTTAACAGAAGGTAGAGCTTAGCTGTGGTCATACTGCAGCTCGACCGTAAGTACCACCCTCTCACAGAAGATCGGCGTGAAGTAGTCTTTAATGGCTTCGTTTCGTCCGATGAGTGACAGAGACGGTTGCAATTTCACTGTTCTCACCTTTTGCCTATCGTATCAAAATCCCACCCCTCCCTATTCCTAAAAACCAAGGTTGGCATAATGTATGTTGTGGATGTCACTTCAGTGACGGTCACTACGGTATACTACCCTTCAAGCATAAATCTTCTAACTCATAACTTAGGTTTATCAATGTGAAATTCTTAACCGTCTATATAATGTTTTTTATGTAAATGTCTTTGAGGATATTTAATGCATATAATAATACAATATGAAAAAACTAACACATCAAATCATTGACTTAAGGACGTCCCAGTTGCATTATAATATGACGTCCTACCCTCATTTATAAAAATGATAATTCCTTTTTGACGTCCATCTGTCATATTGCTTAATATTTTTTTGGGAAACAATCCATTTTATACCTTCATCTATACAATTGGGATTTTGAAAAAAAAAAAGTATTGATTTTTTTTATGTATTTTAAAACTTTATTATTAATTATATTGATTTTTAATGCAAAAAACTTGAAAAACTTTTTTTTTAATTAATTATAAACAATTAAAAATTTATAAAATTCAAAAAAAAGTCACGTGACTGTAAACGCGCCATGATTGGTCGGCATACTTGTGACGTCATAATGTTAAAGCAATTTCATAATAGTACAGTGTTTATGGCTATTATTTTTGACTTGATAAAAATATCTCAAATTTATTAGTAAAAAACGATTTGAAAAGTTTATTTCGACTAACTATGTGTGATAAAAGATTTATAAAAGCAAAATCGGATAATATTCCTGATGTTGATATATTTATAACTAATTTTTAAAAAAATGACGTTCGCTTTAATTCTGCTGAAGTTCGAGGTGCTAAGGCATCAAGGTAAATCTGTTAAAAAATACTATTCTAAATGAAAATAAGTATTTATTCCCTATTATTCTATATAATTAATAATATTTATTTCATTAATTGTAGAGCATCACGTGAGAGTTACGGTGATAAAGCTATAGGTTATGGTCAACTTAATCGTAAGAATGGTATTTGTGTTTTAAAAGGACGTGTGTGTCCAGAACACCGAGTTCGGAGTAAAGCTTACTCAGTTACTCTAACTATCAATGAAAAATTAAGAAGAAGAATAATAAAAGAAGAATTAATAAAATGTTATTATAACATTATAAAAAACCAAAATAACATATACTTTAAAAATTTAAATGTAGTCTGATACAGAACCTAGAATGTTATAAAATTATGAAAATATCTATTAATTGAATTCCAATTATTAGACAAACATACATATAGATTTACTATTTAATCGCTTTGAATTATCAATTAAAATTTTTTTAATGCTACGATTCTAAAGGTTATGATTTGGAGCCCAGGTAAAATAATTAATTACTGAACTATACTTATTCGATTTATACACTTAGATATAAAATAATTAATAACAATATTATTATGAATACTTACATCGAAATGATCTTCACAAGAAAAAAAAATGATTTTGTTTTTGAATAATCTCGGTGCACTGCTTGAAACCATTTTTTTCGACGTTTTTCGTCTTGTGGAACATTAAAAAAATTTTTTTTCAGGAGTTGTTTTTGTAGTATTTGTACATAATGGTACAAAACAAGAGCGATAACTTTTGAGTTTTAACATTTTTGATTATTTAACAATGCCAACAGAATTTACTAGATAAAAACTCAAAACACTGTACTAATTATTATATCCCTGTATGCTACAATGAGCAAAAACTAACATTGTGACGTCACACGCGCTCGGGTTTATTCGGGAGCTGTCGGCGGATCTTCGGTACTGAATTTAGAATTTAATTTTTATTTTGAAATAACTTTTTAATTATTGCAAAGAAAAAATAAATAAAAATAGTTTTGTTATAAAACTTATATATGATCTTTCCATTTATCCCAAAAAAAATATATATTCAAAAACCCAATTAAGTATGTACAAGGAATGAATCTATGAAATCTAATTCAAAATCTCTAAATATATTTAAAAAACGATGAAAACCCATATATTACATGATTTCACTAATCTTGTTTAATATCACTACTGTTTATTATTTGTAATTTTAATTGTAGTTATTACTTTTAAAATTTCCTTTGTAAGCGAACTTTGTTCTCTGGAAATAAATTTCTTTAAACCTAAACCTATCTAACAGCAATATCGTCTATTCATGGCCTATCAATACAGAATTCTTTCTTCTATGTGTTTTTCAGTGAGATTCCGTACTCCTGGCGCGCAGCCGTCCGTTTTATAACTCATAGCGCCCGCACTGAAGGCGTGGCGGCGTTATGGAGAGGAAACAGCGCGACCATGGCTCGTATTGTTCCGTACGCAGCAATACAGTTCACAGCGCACGAGCAATGGAAGACGCTGTTGAAAGTTGACTCGCCAGAAACAGCTCAGTGAGTTATCATGAGATTTTCATCAATTTTCCCATCATTTTGGATGAATTTCGTGATAGAAATTTTTGGCATAGCATCATACACTAAAATTAACATTCAATATACGATAGCTTTACTTGGTTTAGAAACAAATTGAGATAGTTGTGGATTTTAGATTAATTTCGTAAAAAAATGTTTGTTAAATTGGTTTATAAACAACTAGCTTTTCGTCCGCAGCTTCGTTCACGTGGAGTTCGGTTATATCGCGTTTCCAAGAGAACCTTTCAAAAGTCTGGGATAAAATCTATCCTATGTTCTTTATCAAGGTCAACTCTATCTCTGTACCAAATTTCATTAAAATCCGTTCAGCGGTTTTGGCGTGAAAGCGTGACAGACAGACATAGTTACTTTCGCATTTATAATATTAGTAGGGATGATATGTAATAAAAGACATACCTTTAAATGAAACTAATATTATTCGGGTATCGTACGCGAATTTTAATATATTTACTCGTCTTAATGATCACGGTTGCTGAAAAGTAACCGAAACGTCTGTAGTATGTAGTTAAAATAATAAAATCCACGTAGTAATACGAATAATATTAGATTCATTTTGAAAACGTTTTACAAATATGACAATACGCTACAAAGATATTTAATTTCATAACTTTGCTTGGTGTACAAACAAGTAACGTGTGAAAACACTGTTTTAAAATACTCTCACTCTGTCAATATTTAGACAATTGTCCAAGAACAACTTTGTTGACATATCATTTCCGTCGACTCTGTCTGTGTTGTCAGATGTTTTGTTTCATAGAAATATGGATATAATTATTCGTATAAAATCACCAGTACCAGATATTTTGATAAAAACCAGTCGTGGGAAGGTTTTGTATAAACACATTAAGATTCTGTTTGTTAAAATACGATAATCACATACAAAACATGCTTTTATTTGAAGAATTCTTTTAGCGTTAGTTAGTTGATTTTAGAAATGCTATTAATTTCGTCATCACTACAGGGAAAGTAATAGTTTAGTATAAATAGGAACTTTAGTAATTCTACTTAATAATCCCTACTAGTATTATAAATGTGAAAGTAACTCTGTCTGTCTATCTGTCTGTTACGCTTTCACGCCTAAACCACTGAACTGATTTTAATGAAATTTGGTTCAGACAGAGTTGACCTTGAGAAAGAACATAGGATAGTTTTTATCCCAGACTTTTGAAAGGTTCTCTTGGAAACGCGATATAAGCGAACTGCACGCCGGCGAAGCTGCGGGCGGAAAGTTATAATAGGAAAATTATGTATGTTTGTTTTTGTCAGGGCATCTCCTCTCCGCTTGTTATTGGCGGGATCTCTAGCGGGTGTCACATCGCAGAGCGCCACCTACCCTCTCGACCTGGCCCGAGCTCGTATGGCCGTTAGTTCCTGTAAGGAGTACACTTCATTAAGACAAGTCTTCGTGAGGGTAATCAGTGAAGAGGGAATCAGGACTTTATACAGGTGAGAAATCTTCGTATATTAGACATTTATATTAAACTAGCTGCGCCCCGCGGTGTTCCAGGATTTCCGGGATGTAAAGTAGCCTATGCGTTATTCCTGGACGTCAGCTTCCTGTATACAAAATTTTATCAAAATCGGTTCAGCCGTTTGAGCTTGAAGAAGTAACAAACATACACACACACAAACTTTCGCAATTATTAGTAGGATGATATATAATTATTATGTATTTTTTATTATACATGTTCGTTTATACATTGAGTCATTGTGGCTTAGTGGTTAAAAGTCCGCCTCTAGCATGAGGGCGCGGGTTCGATCCTGACAAGTACCAATGTGATGTTCCGAGTCATATGTACTTTATAAGAGTATTTAGACATCACTGATTAATGCATTCTCAAAGAGGGTTGATGTCAGGCAGGCGGCCGGTCGTAAAAACAATTAGCCAAAACTATTCACAACATGTAAGGCAGACTGGCTAAAGCTAGGAAATTGACAGGAAGAAGAAATATGCCGTACTTAATTAGAACTTATTCCTCTGAGTATTTATTATTATGACACCACGTCATGTAGATTCATTGTTCTTGGTTTTATTAGAGTTCAAATAATCAACATCTTCGCACATTTAAAAACAAATGATTTGTTCTACAATATTATTAAGATAACATATCTCATTTAAACCATTAAAGTTATCGCATAATCGATTGGGATGACGATTTTTTTCTTAAAAAATGTTTTATTTCTGGGAATCTCAATACAATTTCACTAAAATGTATTTTTTTTGTATATTTTTCAAGTATTCGTGTATTATTTGTTTCAGAGGCTACCCAGCGACTGTTCTTGGAGTGGTTCCGTACGCGGGCGTGTCTTTCTTCACATTTGACTCACTGAGACACTGGTACTTGGGTATGTTGGAAACAAAAAGATTATAAATAACTAGTAATTAACTTATAGATGTACTATAATAATGATTTTTGTATATAAAAGTCCTTAAAATAAGTAACAAGAGCTTTAACATTGAAATTAGTTAGTATATTTTAATAATAAAAATCGAATTTATGAAGTAATAACGTTTAACTTGTAATAAGAATTTAAAAAAAATTATGTGAGTAGTATTAGATCTTATAAGTCGTGGTGTCCTAGTGGTTAAAGGTCCGCCTTTAGCATGAGGGCGCGGGTTCGATCCTGTCAAGTACCAATGTGATGTTCCGAGTCATATGTACTTTATAAGAGTATTTAGATATCACTGACAGATGAAAGAAAATATGAGGAAACATGGACTTAATCAATTATAAATTTGAAATCATCAACTCGTCTTCAGTGATGATAAATGCTCTAACCTTCTCCATGTGAGACGACTTCAGTGGTCTCTGATAGGCTGATGATGTTGGTGTGTTACCCTCTACTCCAGAGCGCACGGGCTCGTCTCCAAGCGGCGTGTCCAACATGTTGTTCGGTGGCGTGGCGGGTGCTCTCGCCCAGACCGCGTCCTACCCGCTCGACATCGTGAGGAGACGCATGCAGACCGCGCACCGCCGGCCAGACGCCACCTACCCTCACCCTACTATACTGGCCACGCTTACATCTGTATACAGGTATTTATTCATTTATTCGTTTATTCATTTATGGAAAAACATGTAGGTTATGCTACAATAAATTATTTGGTTAGGTTAAAAACAATTTGCAGGAACAGTTTCCTCAGTTATTATAGCATGGAGTGTATTATTTTAAATACCTTATATTATAAATATATATATGTATATATATGTATATATATCCGTTTGGTTCGTTCAAGTCATATATGAACTTTAATATGACGATCTTCAGTCCATTATTAGACCTATATTACAAAATGTTTTATATTCTATTATAATAAATAGTTTCTGAAGTTTTGGACATAAAAGGAATATTTAATTTAAATGTATATATTTTAATTCGCTTAACTTACTATATTCTTCTTTCATATATACATTAAACTATATACATATGTATATTATTGTCATGACTATTGTTCATATCTTCAGGTCTGAAGGTTGGCGAGGTTTCTTCAAGGGTCTGAGCATGAACTGGATCAAGGGCCCCATAGCTGTCGGCATCTCCTTCGCTACATACGACGCGATCAAATCAACATTGAGAGATATATCACTCACACTACTTACTTAAACACACACACATATATATAAGAAAGTCGTGTTAGTTACACTATAACTCAAGAACGACTGTACGGATATGGATGAACATTGGTGGAGAGATAGATTAGAACAAGGAGACGGACATAGGATATTTAATACTGTTCGATAGAAAAAAAAACTTAATAAACTCCAATATTAAGTTATTTACGGCCTCTATGTCGGAATAGAGTTCGCCCGGTCTGATATACATATATTACTAATGACGAAATTAACGCGGACGAAGTCGCGGGCATACACTAGTATATGATATTAATTCAGCACAAAGTATTATATATATATGAATGTGCCTTAATATAGAAATATTAAATACATAAGAATTGAAACATACTCACATGTAAATAGTATCGCTGCAAGAAAAATCATGTTTTTGTTGTTTTTATTAATATAATATAGCTTAGCTTATTATATGTATGAGGAATATATTATTGAGTGAAGCGAACGAAACGAACTAAACGCATGAAACGAGCGGAACGCTATACAGTTCATTCACCTAAAGATGATCTCGACAATCAAATGTATGATCGACTAGAAGTTTTATGTTTAATAGACCAGTTATATGTGGTGTATTAAAATACTTAGATGAGACTAACCATTTATATTTATAAGTCAGTGGTGGCCTAGTGATTAAAGGGTCCGCCTCTCGTTGCCAAGGGCGCGGGTTCAAACCTGGCAAGTACCAATGCGATTTTTCTGAGTCATATGTACTTTATAAGAGTATTTAGACATCACTGACATACGGTGAAGGAAAAACATACAACATACAAAACATCGTGAGGAAACCTGGACTTATAGTTTCACGATTATAAGTTTGATATCACCAACCCGTCTTGAGCGAGCGTGGTGATTAATGCTCTAACCTTCTCCATGTGAGAAGAGGCCTCTCAACAGTGGGCTCTGATAGGATGATGACATCATTTATATTTTAGGGCCTGTATACGGAACCCATGATCAAAAAAGGTTCGCTTTCAAAAAGCTAAGGTCGCTTCACTCAATTACTAGCTATACAGATAGTATATATATATTGATTTTATACATTTGTTCGTGGGTGTGTGCAATTATTGATTTGTTGAATGATGAGCAGATTTTGATAAAACTTTTGTATATAGATCTACTAGTCATGTTACGAAGCTACGCGACTGATGGTGAAAATACGACAATAAATAAATTTAATAAATAAATAGCCATTTCGCTGTAAGATTAATTTGGATATGTAAAAAAATATATTATTTGTGATGAAATTTAATATTTAAATCTCCATATATATATTCTTATTTCTAAATAAGTAAAAAAACTTTTTTTTGTATATTTTTTCTGTTATATAATCGTTTTTTTTTTATTATTTTCATGTTCCTTAGAGTATTTGTATCAATAATCAATATTTTTTTTCTGTGTAAGTTGTTGTAAGATGTAATATTTTCATGTGTTTTTTTTAAATAAATGATTGGAAACTGTTTTTATATTTTTTAATGCAATAATTTTTGGAATGAATGTTAAAAGAAAATAATTTAATCATTATTTGTTATAATTTTGAATAAAAGAAGCTTGAATTAAATTTGTTTTTAATATTTTTTTTCAAGATTGTATAAAGAAGGTCTTGTTACCAAAAATAGGAAGAGTTTAAAAAAATATATATACTAATTGAATTTTAGGATAAAATCCCTAATAATATTATAAATACGAAAGTAACTCTGCCTGTCTGTCTGTTACGCTTTCACGCCTAAACCACTGAACTGATTTTAATGAAATTTGGTACAGATAGAGTTGACCTTGAGAAAGAACATAGGATAGTTTTTATCGAAGACTTTTGAAAGGTTCTCTTGGAAACGCGATATAACCGAACTCCACGCGGGCGAAGCTGCGGGCGGAAAGCTAGTTTAACACAATTTTAAAACCAGTCCATTGGATTATGTTAATTATTCTAAGGAAACTACTTCCAGGGTTTCTCTTTACAAAAAAATGGTGATAAAGTTGCAGACGATATTTTAAAGAAAAAAAAAACTCGTTTTCGTTTACTCCAAGTTTGTTTCTTACTATAAACGTAGCGTTACACGTTTTTTTTCACAAATCTTGTCACTTAAACGTAAATTGAATCAGAAACTAGAAGATCTTTGTATAGTATGAAACACAAAGTTATGCGTGGCGTACATTTTGAAGTTATACTTCTTTTGGCGCGATGGAGAAAAATGAGAGTGAATTTTTTTATGCTATGGCTTCATGTAATGAATCGTGGAGTTATGCCAATGTAATGTGTTTTCGAATTAATTTCCATTTTTATAACATGGTAATTTATTTAAACACAAGATGGCGTTTGTCATATTGGTTTTTGATTTACTAAATTTAAGATTCACAAAATGACAAGCTAGGAAATAAACATTACTTATTCTTAATAAAGATAATAAAGAAAATTTTCTGAAATTTGTAAAGATTGATACAAAAATTTATTTAAAAATAACTTATTGTCTATGGTCTCGTATTTGGTGTGATAGTTCGGTTTATAATTCATGATTTAAAAGTAAAATGTCAATGTTTTATTATAAACGAACCTTTTCATTTAACTTTACCCAAAAATAGAATGATGTCGTAAAGTAGGTTTTCTGAATCATTGTTTTAATAATTTTTTTATTAATATGACAGTACGCCATAGATATATATATTTTTAGTTAATTTCGTTCCTTTCATCATAGGCAAAGAAAACAAAGCCATGTCTTTTGTATTTTTCGTCTTACACCATAGATAATTATATGGCTAAACTCAAGCGTCAATTGTCAATCATGTTAAAAAGTAATTAAAGTTTTTTGTGAAGTTCTAGATCAGATTTTAACTAAAACTAATTTCTAGGCTCACAACCATAGATTTGGTTACTTACTTACTAACACTTTTTTCCCAACATTCTCTTATTCCCACCCCTTATACCTAAACACCTAACGTTAGCAACGCATCCGCAACAGAGATGTTGCTTATGTCTATAAGCGACGGCCACTGCCTATCAAATGCAGTTTGCACACTTTAACATAAAAAAAAACACTCTAAATTTAAGCTCCATACCTTTCTGATGCCCAAATATAATATAAATACGATTTTTATATTCCTTTTAATCAAGGAATTCCTTTAATTAAGGAGTAAAGTTCAGCAACTGGTGTAAAATAAAAGACTCACTAATCATAAATTTATTCACAAAAATTGCTTTCACTTAAGAACAAACTTAATTTTATTATTGCACAAGAAACTATGACCTATGACTAGAACATTAAGAATACTAGATTATGTGCAAATGATAATTACTTTGTAATTATTGATATTAGTTATCGTAGTGTGCTTCTTGGTAGTAGCGGCGTTGGTAGTCGGTCTGTGTAGAAGTAGTGGGGGTTGGAATGGGAGTGGGGGGCAGGTAGGGGGGATAGTAGAGCTGGGAGATGACGTCATAGGGCGCCGGGGCTGGCGCGCGAGCCATGCTGAATAGAGCTTCAGGGTCACACACGAATTTATAGACGTAGCGCTCACCTGAACAGAGAAGATTTGATAGAAGATTTATATACAAGAACTGTGCAGAAGATTTATATACAAGAATTCTACAGAAGATTTGTCTACTTCAAGACATTCATTGGTTTTTGGAAGAAGGATAAACCTTCGTTGAAGTCTAGAAACATATGTTATTTTAGTAGAATTTTTTCTTCATTTCTTACTAAAGGTTGTTTTAGGCTACTTGTAAATGACAAGATCAGTTTTGCAGATATTTTCATTTTTCTCTTCTTAATTTTGGGAGAGCAAGCGTTTTATTAGTGTAAAACATACATTTCGTCGGGGATAGTACAAATCCTCGTAACTATCATTGGATAATTTCACGTATCTACATTGGAAGCAGATCAGAAGAAAGTTTAAGATGAAATATTTTCTATATTAACGACTTTTAAGGTATTTTTTCACAAATAGTAATGAATTAAACACTAAATAATTATTAATTTGCACTATTCCCGACAATATATATCATTGGACCTGGTGAAGACTTCACACAGTTATTCTAATAACATAAATGAATATAATTTGTTTATTAACCTGCAACTTTCTGCATGATCCCTTTCTCGTAGTAATATCTCAGTGATCTTGATAGTTTGTCGTAGTTCATGGCCGGTCTATTCTTCTGCGCGCCCCATCGTCTCGCCACCTTCCAAGTTAATAAGTAATAATGAAATCTAAAACTTTCTGAAATTCATTTAAATGAAACTAATATTTTCGGATTACTATGTGTTATGTTATTTTTCACGGTTGCTGCAAAATATAACTTCCATTTATTAAGTATTAGTTTAGAGACGATACCTCTCATCATTCAATGTATTCACGGTGCGTGTGTCGGGTCCATCGTTGTAGTGAGAGGAGCTTCAACAGTGACTGGGACTTGTGACCCAGGTGTAGGTTTACGGGACCCTATCTAACGTTAAACGATCACCTCCACCGTACAAGCTGCTCTCTCTACTTTAGTATCTCTAGTCTTTATTCTTATGCTGTAAGTATCCTTACTTCTTCTGGTTCATGAAGCTTAAACTCCAGTCCTCTCCCGGTCCAAGCGACGCAGCGGGCTCCCTCTGCCAATAATGACACGAGAAACTGCCACAACTGGAGCGCACCTCGACGACCACCTGGAAGAAATGCAGGTGTAAATAATATTTAGATCTCATATGTTTTGAACACCTGGATGAAAATAGTATTGATTATTTATACAGAACTTCGTTATCATCAGTCTATCAGAACCCACTGCTGAGCCTCTTCTCACATGGAGAAGGTTTGAGCATTAATCACGCTCGCTCAAGACGGGTTGGTGATTTCAAACTTGTAATTTTTAAATTATAAGTCCAGGTTTTCTCACGATGTTTCTCTTTGCCGTCTCTAATATACTTAATCTGTATTTAAAACGGTTTAACAAACCGTTTGTAAAATCCGTTACTAACACAATATTTGAATTGATTTGAACAAACATTTTTATTTATTGCATTTGTTAGCCTTTTATTTAAAACTAAATAAGCAAGCAGTGAAACAAGAATTCAATATTCTGTATATTCAAGTCAGAAAAATCATAATTTCATTTTATTACAAGATAATAAATGCATACAATAAAAAGATTTATGCTTCTTAATAGTGTCTATGCACTGGACATAGGGCTGGACATGTCGCAAGACTTAGAGATCAGAGGTGGTCTAAAAAAGTAACCTTTTGGAAAGGCCCACCGGGTAAAAGAAACAGAGGAAGGCCACTGACACACTGGGAAGATGAGATCATTAAGACAGCCGGCCCAAACTGGAAGCAGGTTGCACAGAACAGGGACAAATGGACAGCTTTGGAGGAGGCCTTTACCCAATAATGGGGTTCCTGCTAAATAAATATGTATACAGCTCAAATATATACATATAAAAAAGAAAAAAAAATATGTACCTAAACTCTATTTAAAAGAAAACAAATGAGGTTCAAAGTAATAAATAAACGTAGATTTCAACATATGTATAAATATTATATTAAACATGTTTTAGGTTAAGAATATAAGTTAGTACTTAAATTTTGAAAGTGAAACTGTAAAAGTTATTAGTAGGAAATAAAAGGCTTTTTATTTATTTATTTATTTATTTATTATAATAGTGTCTATAACGCAATATTCTTTGTACTCAAGACACAAAAATCATAGTAAATCTTGTTTCTATTACAACAGAAACAAAACGTATACGCTTCTTAATAACTTCTTTCTATTAATTACAAGAGCATAATCTTGTAATTAAAAGTAAGGTATGTTATTCTTCACTTACCAGAATGTGTGGTCGTGACGTGTGTGTGTGGAGACGAGGCCTCAGCTCGGGAAGATGATGAATGGGAACTGCTCACTACAAGTTAGAAATATAAAAGATATATGTATACAGGGTGACTGGTGAATTACTATCCCCGACTATATATATATATATATATAGTGCAAATCCGCGTAACTCATTGGATAATTAGAAAGATTATCAGACTATCAGAAGAAAGTTTGAGCTGAAATATTTTCTATATTAACGACTTTTAAGGTATTTTTTCACAATTAGTGGATAATAAATTAAACAATTACTAATTTATTGTATAAATAAAAAATAGGGTTTAAAAATTTAAGGTTGTATGTATTTTTAACGCTACATTTAAAAAATAAAATTAAGGATGAACAACCCTTACGATTTAGGGGTATGAGAAATAGATTCTTAGACTATATAGACAATATGCTCACAAGAGTTTCGGAGGACTTTTCTGTCTAAAACCGTCACACGAGAATTTTATATATAAAAAGATTATATCGACCTTCATCAGTCAGTGATGTCTAAATACTCTTATAAAGTACATATGACTCGGAACAACACATTGGTACTTGCCAGGATCAAACCCGCGCTCTCATGCATGAGAGGCGGGCCTTCAACCTTTAGGCCACTTGTTTCTATATCCCTACTAATAATATAATTGTGAAAGTTTGTGAATGTGTGTGTATGTTTGTTACTACTTCACGCTCAAACGGCTGAACCGATTTTGATAAAATTTTGCATACAGGAAGCTGACGTCCAGGAATAACACATAGGCTAGTTTACATCCCGGAAATCCGTGGGTAACACCGCGGGGCGCAGCTAGTTATGTTATAATGGAAGAGTCGGAATAATCATATTTTTTTAACTTATTAGGTTTATTTTCGTGTATATTTTCTTCACCTCGTCTATCTCCCCAAGGCTCACTGCTGGTGACGGGCTCCTCTCTAACTTCGTTCTCATCTTCTTTGCTGTAACTGGTACATCTGGAAATATTTATTAAAATATCAGAGTACATACAAATATGAATAATTCTTATCGTAACAACATAAATATACTATAAATACGTAAATATGCTATACTATCTATTCCCAAAGAGGGTTGATGTCAGGCAGGCGGCCGGTCGTAAAAATAATAGACAAAACTATTCACAACATGTAAGGCAGAGCCTGGCTAAAGCTGGGAAATTGACAGGTAGAAGAAGAAGAAAATAGTACGTACGTCAGTTTAAATATCTTTGTATTTATGTTTTTTCTATGTTTCTGGACTTGGTCGTGTTAAATTGAAGTTATTAGTCCTAAATCTTGTGTAAATTTTTGGGTATATGGATTGTTATTTAATGAAATGTCAAAATAAGATGCTAAAAGTTGACATTACTTAAGTCGGCGTAATTTAATGGTAGGATAAAACAGTTCTGGATTTTTTTTTATTAATGAAAACTCATACTATATAGAAAAGGGTCATGACAAATTTTAATTACATAACCGATAAGTAACTTTTTTTCGATACATATATTTAAAATGTGGGACAACACTAGTTATTGGTGTAACATATGTATAAAGCTTCCTTCATTTTACGGTATTATTATAGTATTTTAATATAAAACTATTAAAATAACGAATAATAATATATTTCTGTAAAACAAAACAGAATGAAACATCTCATTTCCTGATCTAGTGATCTTTTGCAAGTCCTGTCTTAAAATACACTCTTTTTATACAAACTTAATTGACAATGTTTTAAGGACAGCATTTTCTTTACTAATCATAAAATCCATATTTATTATTATAGATGGCTCTTATTTTCACATGTAGATTGTCTACATCTGGAAATAGGTTTTTCAACGATATTTTTGACTATAATCAGATTCTTTAGTGTTCATTTAAATGACACTAATATTATTCAGATTACTACGGTACTAATATTATAAATGCGAAAGTAACTCTTTCTGTCTGTTACGCTTTCACGATTAAACCACTTAACTGGTTTTAATTAAATTTGGTACATAGATAGAGTTGACCTTGAGAAAGAACATAGGATAGTTTAAATCCCAGACTTTTGAAAGGTTCTCTTTTAAACGCGATATAACCGAACACCAAACGGGCGAAGCTGCGGGAGGAAAGCTAATTTTGTTATATTTAAGAACTGATGAGATGTCTGTCCGTGATCATGGTTGCTAAAAAGTACCCGAAAAGTCTGTAGTATGTAGTTTATAATAATAAAATACACCTAGTAATACGAATAATATTAGTTTAGTTAGTTTCATTTAAATGGCATAACTTACCTGTGCTGGTAGTCTCTATACTCTAATCTGTCTTCCTCCCCTTTACATCTGTGAAACCTATTGTAATAAATTATTAAAGTTTTTGTTATAAAAAAAACTAGCTGATTAAGCAAACTCATAAAAAAAAGGGCTCGGTGATAAAAAACTAAAAATTTACGTGTGAACAACCCTTATGACTTAGGTGTATGAAAAATAGAATCTAACCGATTCTCAGACCTACTAAATACGTATATAAAATTTGGTAAAAATCGGTAAAGCTGTTTCTGAGGAGTACAGTTACTAAATATTGTGACGTGGAAATATTATATATATAAAAAAAAAATACTAATATTGTTTTATTTATTAGATTATTTCTACAAAGATGCTTAAATAATATTAATGCTGTATAGTGTAGCTTTAAGAATATAGTTTAATATTTTAAAACATCATAATCTTACCGATTATAGTAATTAAATTGTTAAAAGATTAATGAGTAATAAAAAGAACTTGTTTTTGCTCGCGACTTCGTCCGCGTTAATTTTGTCATTAGTAATATATGTATAGCTGACCGGGCGAACTGTATTCTGACCCAGAGGCCGTAAATAACTAAATATTGGAATTTATTAAGTATTTTTTTTTATCGAACAGTATTAAATATCCTATGTCCGTCTCCTTATTCTAATCTATTTCTCCACCAATCTTCATCCATATCCGTACAGTCGTTAGAGTTATAAATAGTGTAACTAACACGACTTTCGTTTATATATATACAAGTTTATGTGTATATATATATTCTGTTATTCTGTAACCCTAGTATGTCTGTTCGTCACTGATAGCTGGGGAATAACGACGGAAGTCACGATTACAATTATTATCATTTTATGTTGTTTTTACAACGAAATACAAAAATTTCAAAATAGAAAAACCATATTTGACAAGATTAAATGGCATTTATTTATATATTTAACTAAATTTGTCTTTGAGAATAAATTTCGTTTTAATTACTGAAAAAATAATCAACACATTTACTGATAGAAAATCGTGTTAGTTACACTATTTATAACTCAAGACTGTACGGATATGGATGAACATTGGTGGAGAGATAGATTAGAACATAGAAAGGACATAGGATACTTTTGAATTCGTTCGACCAAAACAAAATTGCTAATAAAAGCCAAAATCTTTTTATTTACTGCCTCTAAATCGAAACAGTTCTGGTCAGCTATTTATAATTATGAAACTAACGCGGACGAAGTCGAAAGCAAAAACTAGTAAATCTCTACTAATATTATAAATACGAAAGTAACTCTGTATGTCTGTTACGCTTTCACGCCTAAACCGTTGAACTGATTTTAATGAAATTTGGTACAGACATAGAGTTAACCTTGAGAAAGAACATAGGATAGTTTTTATCCCAGACTTTTGAAAGGTTCTCTTGGAAACGCGATATAACTGAACTCCACGCGGGCGAAGCTGCGGAAGGAATGCTAGTACATATATACTTACTGTGTTTGCTGCGGTTCGATGTGTGTGTGTGCGTGTGTGGTCGTGTGCGTGTGTGTCTGTGTGTGCGGGTGCCTGTGTGTGTACACTGGTGTGTGTGTGTGCGTGGCCGCGTGTATGTGTGGGTGCTCGTAACTCTCCCGTCTGTGTGACGCTTCTCTGAAAGTTAAAAAAGAAAATAAATTATTAAACAAAATACAGTTTTAACCTAAGACCCAGTTTCACCAATCAATGTTAAATAAGTAACATCGTGTTAATGCGTTTGATGCTCTGTTAGATGTATCGAGAGTCCCACCACGCACAAATGTCCGTTTAAATGTCTTAACAAGCCACTAATATTAATTCCTGTTCTAGAGCTCCGTCTAATGGCTAACAGAATGTTAATGGTATTGTCAAAACTCAATCGTCCAATCGCAGCCCTGATTTCTTGTAACCATAGTAACGTCATCTGTTTTGTCAGTTTCGACTATTTCCTTGTTATTAATAAAGTGAATTAAAATTTCATTTAGTATGATGATTCTGCCTCCAGCTTTTCTATGACATTGCAAAATAAATTTTCTTTTTATTTCTTATAATTTGAACACAATTTATGCCTATATTTGTAACACAATAATATATAACACAATTTATTTACAATACGATTTTGACAAGTTACACCTAGTAAATTAAAAAGAAAGCTTTTTGTGTGCTAAATGTATGCAACCAACGATATATAAAATTTGGTCGCATTAGTTAATAAGTGACGTATCGAGGAATATATACGATCAAAGTATAAAGTGGTGCATCGTGGCAAACGTGTCATGTTAAACGCTATACTTTCCATTTGGTCATCTTATAACAAGAACGAATAATTTGGTAGTCAGTCATTTAACATAACATTTAATAATGCGTTGTTAATTTGTCATCGTGGAACGTAAATATTTTAACAGACAATTATAATTTTGAAGGTATGTTAGTAAATGCCTTATTTAGACAAATATTGATTGGTGAAACTGGGTCTTAATTTTAATAAATTTATATAACTAAATGATATTTCTTATGTTAGTCATTGGTGGCTTAGTAGTTAAATGTCCGCCTCTCATGCATGAGGGCGCGGGTTCCATCCTGGCTAATACCAATATGATGTTACGTGTCATATGTACTTTATAAGAGTATTTAGAAATCATTGACTGATGAAGGAAAACATCGTGAGGAAACATGGACTTATATCAAATTATAAGTTTGAAATCACCAACCCGTCTTGAGCGAGCGTGGTGATTAATGCTCAAACCTTCTCCATGTGAGAAGAGGCTCAGCAGTGGGCGCTGATAGGATGATGATGATTTCTTATGTTATTTTCCGAATATAAAGTTTATTAATGAAACCAATACTTCAGTCCTTAGAGTTTTTATACCTACCACAAGTTCGCGTACCTAAATACGTAAGCTTAAAAGTGAGGTAAACAATTATTAAGATCACTGTCACTGTTTGGTGTCTTAGTTCTTTGAAAACAGAAACATTTTATTTATTAATAAACATAGATTATTAATTAAATATAATGTACAAGATCAAAACTAACTTGTGAAATAAACTTTTTAGTTTAAAATCTTCAACAAAGCAAACTTTAGTTAGTATAAATTGTTCCAATCTAACAGATGATAAAAGGAAATAGCATTCAATCATCATCATAATCCTATCAGAGCCCACTTCTGAGCATCTTCTCACATGGAGAAGGTTTGAGCATTAATCACGCTCGCTCAAGACGGGTTGGTGATATCAAACTTATAATTTGATGAAATAAAAGTTTCCTCACGATGTTTTCCTTCATCAGTCAGTGATGTCTAAATACTCTTATAAAGTACATATGACTCGGAACATCACATTGGTGCTTGCCAGGATCGAACCCGCGAACTCATGTACGACAGGCGGGCTTTAACCACTAAGACACCACGACTACCATTAAATAGCATTTAAGCTGCACAAAAATCTTAATCAGTTATATAGCTTATCATGAGCTAGTGTGCTCGCCTGTGTGTGTGTGTGTGTGTGTGTGTGTGTGTGTGTGTGTCTGTGTGTGTGTGTGTGTAGCTCACCTGTGCTGGTAGGGTAGTCCCCAGGGTAGGAAGGGAGGCTGCGACATCTTAGCTCACCCCCATACTACTGAAGACGCCTCTGATTATAAAAAAATATTTAATTAGTTGATATAGTCTTAAGGATAGAATAGAATAGTTTTAATTCATTATTTGTGTCTCTCGTGTGAGAAAATGTTTTCGTAACACTTAAATACATATAATGATTTTAATGATTTTTTTTAGGAAAAATATTCTGCTAAATACATGTTTAATATGACTTTGTTACCAATTTATCTATATACATTATATAATATATAATTATAAAATGAAGCTGTAACTATATTGACTAATATTTTTGCCTACATGTCTTGTGTCGCATTACAGCCGACCACCGGGTGGGGGTAAAATGTAAGCTCGCTAGTGTGAGACCTATGTTTTCCATTTTCTTGTATAAGCGTTAAGTTTTAATTGCGATGTACCTATATGAATAACTTTATCTATTTTTCATTCTCTAATATGCATATACAATATGTATATCTTTTTGTGTAAATACTTATAAAAGTTAAAATAAAACTTTAAATTCCTTTTTGATTTCCATTTTACATGATTTCAAAGTATCGTTGTTTCGCAAAAAAACAAAATTTTTGTGTATATGAATATCTTAAATAGGATCTCAATTAAATATGTTTTTTTATATAAAAATATTAAGTATATTGATTTAAATTTAAATAACTGTTTTCAATATCAAAAAAAAAAAATTCGTATATTATAATTATTTATTTATAACTTAATTTTCCCTGACATCGCTACAGTATGAAACGCTACCTCATTGAAAGCCATAGTTTTGAAGCTACGAATTGTTCTTGTACTAAAAATCCCATCAAAATAGTTTCAATCATTTCATTAATGAACAAACGGAAACATGACAAAAGACACATTTTTATCTTCTTCTTCCTGTCAATTCTCCAGCTTTAGCCAGGGTCTGCCTTACATGTTGTGAATAGTTTTGGCTAATTGTTTTTACGACCGGCCGCCTACCTGACATCAACTCTCTTTAGGAATGCATTAATCAGTGATGTCTAAATACTCTTATAAAGTACATATGACTCGGAAAAATCACATTGGTACTTGACGGAATCGAACCCGCGAATTCATGCACGAGAGGCGGACCCTATAACGACTAGGCCACAACTGATTTCAAAAACCACATATTTTTAAATAATTATAATAATAACAGGCTTTCGAGAAAACATGATTGTTTCAAATCCAAAAACTTACATCAAAATAGGTGATTACTATTTGTGACTGCTTCTTCGTCGACTCAGAGTAATTAATATGTTTTTTAATATAAATGAAAATAATTAATTATATTTGTAAAATAATAGTAAATATGTTACTTTTTATCATTTCAGCTTTCTACTTGTTCAAATCGAATCAACACCAGTACCTAAATCTGTTTTAAACATTAGAAAGAACACAAGCATTTTTTAAATGCTTTTATTTTCATATTAATTTATGTAAGTATTATATTTTTTATTTATATATTTTTCATTTCTTTAATAATCCATTATTATTTGTTAAGAAAATATCTTTTGTATGGAATTACTATCGTGACAATATTTAAAACATTTCTGACTGTATTTGACAGATGAAATTAAATATATATATATTTACCTATATACGTATTAATAAAAACTGTAAATAGTAAAGAAAATAACTACTTATATAGAAAAAAAAATAGACATCCCCGGGTCGACATCGTTGTATGTATAAATATATAACTCTTGAGGCCGCTGACTCCGCGGAACGAACACCAAGCGTGTGAACCAGAAGACTCCTGATACACACAAGCTATGGAATGGTATTGATATACTAACATCGGGTCAATCATGTAGTCTTAGGTGTAGGTTATAAGTTTTAAGATGTAATTCTTATTATATTATACACTAGCTTTCCGCCCGCAGCTTCGCCCGTGTGGATTTCAGTTATATCGCGTTTCCAAGAGAACCTTTCAAAAGTCTGGGATAAAAACTATCCTATGTTCTTTGTCAAGGTTAACTCTATTAAAATCATTAAAATCAGTTCAGTGGTTTAGACGTGAAAGCATAACAGACAGAGTTACTTTCGCATTTATAATATTAGTAGGGACATATCCCTAGTTTCGTAGTTTTCCTTGTACCTCGTGTTTTCACCCTATATAATTTATTATTAATACATTTAGTAAACAAAGCTACAATAGTTGTGTCATGGTCAGCACGCATCACCAGTATAAAGCTGATAATGACCTGCCAATCACCTCCCGCCGTGTCTTGAGGGAGAGGACGACCAATATGATAGAAATGAGATTACAAACTGAACATGTTTTACTTACTTAATAAAGAAAAATATATAGGAAATAGGTTGAAAGGAGGTTCAATAGTAAAGAAGTTTTAAATGCGAAAGTAACTCTATCTGTCTGTTTATCACGCTTTCACGCTTAAACCACTGAATAAATTTTAATGAAATTTGGTACAGACATAGAGTTGACGTTGACAAAGAATATAGGATAGTTTTTATACCAGACTTTTGAAAGGTTATCTTGGAAACGCGATATAACCGAACTCGACGCGGGCGAAGCTGCGGGCGGAAAGCTTGTGTCTAAATAAATCAATTATTTACTAGAACAAAAGTTATGATACCTGGTATGTTTTAGACATAAAATATTTAAAATTATATATAATTTCTTCTTTATTATCTTTATCTTTATTAGTTTTTTTTTTATATTATTTCATTCTAATCATAATAACATAATATAAAATATATATATATATATATATTAAAGTGTCCAAAAAGTATTCATACTGTCGCTGTCAAGAATACAACACTTTTAATAAATAAATAATACGTTAAAATTTATCATTAGTAATACATATATGTATGTATAGCTGACCGGGTGAACTCTATTCCGTCTTAAATAGCCAGGTATTGGGCTGTTTTTCAGGTTTCCTGGAAATGAACCAATTTTTTTCAGCTTTTAAACCTTCCCTGAACCTCCACGAACATTTCAATACTAATATAAGATAAATCCGTTCAGCTGTTCTCGAGTTTTAGCGAGACTAAGGAACGACACAATTACCATTACCACCCTAAAATAAATCCACTAAAATTTATTATAAACATAGAAACAACATTTAAATGAAACTAATATTTGTCATATATACTACGTGACTTTATTTTTGTCAGAAACTATGTACATACTAAATGATCACGGTTGCTGTAAAGTAACCGAAACGTCTGTAGTATGTAGTTAAAATAATAAAATACACGTAGTAATACGAATAATATTAGTTTCATTTAAATGAATACTCGAAAATCTTAGATTTCTTTATATATATGTATATATACATATACATTCTCCCGTCTGTACCTGTCTTAACACAATTTCAGTTCCGTCGCTGCTTGTAATATCCGGAGGTGACTTGTTCACTTACTTTGTGGATTCGATTTTTGTATTGACGTAAAATTTGTTATTATGTTTCTTTATTTATATATAAATGTTTAAATATATTTTATTATATATCAAAGAAAGTCGTGTTAGTTACACTATTTATAACTCTAACGACTATATATGGATGAACATTGGTGGAGAGATAGATTAGAACATAGAAAGGACAAGGATATTTAATTCTATTCGTTCGAAAAAAAAATTGCTAATAAAATGAAAATCTATACATTTACTGCCTTTAAATCGAAAGATTTCGCCAGCTATACATTTCTAATTATGAAACTAAAGCGAACAAAGTCAAGAGCAAAAACTAGTATAATATATATGTATTACTTCTAATCAAATACTCGTAAATAAAAATTAGTATAAGCCTTTAAAAAACAAGAGAATTATTTTGATAACAAATAATCAAAAAGGCTGTATACAAAGAGAATACTTAAATATTATCAAATTACATCCCTACTAATATTACAAATGCGAAAGTAACTCTGTCTGTCTGTTACGCTTTCACGCTTAAACCACTGAACTGATTTTAATGAAATTTGGTACAGACATAGGGTTGACCTTGAGAAAGAACATAGGATAGTTTTTATCAAACACATTTGAAAGGTTCTCTTGGAAACGCGATATAACCGAACTCCACGCGGGCGAAGCTGCGGACGGAAAGCTAGTATATTAATAAAACTTAAAAACAACAAAATATATCGGATTTTCTCGTTTTTATTTTATTACAAATATAATAAATAATTTTATCGAAACATTAAAATACATACTTTTAATCAAATCTTATATATATAATTCTCGTATCCTGGTGTTAGACAGAGAACTTCTCCGAAACGGCTGGACCAATTTAGATGACATTTTGTGAGCATATTGATTAGGTCTGAGAATCGGCCAACATCTATATTACATACCGCTTAGTCATAAGGGTTCACCCTTAATAATTTTTTTTAAATATTGTAGCATTAAAAATACATACAATTAAAAATTTTTACTTTTTTATCACCAATATCAATTTTTTAATATTAAAACAAAGTTTACCGGATCAGCTAATATTTTCCTGACACTATTTCAGTTTATTTCTTTGTAACAAATATAATTAAACTCAATATCAACTAAAAAATAAGGTTTTAAAGTAAGTTAGTGTGGAAATTGAACCGCGGAAACCACGGGATGACTTCCGACGACGGCGGACTCGATTAGGAAACAAGAAATAATGTTGATTGGATTCAAATGTACTGGATAACTAGAATTATTAATATTATTTATTATTTTGGGAGAATTTATATTAAAATATATATAACATTTCATCGGCAGACCCTGGCTAAAGCTGGGAAATTGCCAGGAAGAAGATATATAACATTATCAGTTATAATATTTCGTCCGTCCGTAATTACGATCTTAAAGGACTTATTTGAAAAATCAGAGTTATGTACATCATCATCATCCTATCAGAGCCCACTGCTGAGCTTCTTCTCACATGGAGAAGTTAAAGCATTAATCACCACACTCGCTCAACACGGGTTGGTGATTTCAAACTTATAATTTGATAGTCCATGTTTCCTCATATTTTCCTTCATCAGT